CTTTTTTTTATTCTTATTTTATTAAATCTGTCTTATATGTTAAACTTTATAAAGTACTAAGTTTCTTTTAATTAATTTATAATGTTTTATATAATTAGTAGAGAAAACTAGTCTTAAACTATATTATTATTTAGGGTTTTATAGTTTTAATAGACTTAGATTTTTTTTTTATAAAAACTACTACTAAAGCTACTAGGCTGTAGCTTTCTTAAATGTGGCCTTATACTAGCATCTTGTTAATGTATTCTTATAAGGCTTTTTTTTATGCTTTAGTTAAGAGGCAAAGCTTATGCGTTTTTAGGTTGTAATTTTTTATTAAGTTAATAGTGTAATTCTAGGGCTAGTGTAGTAGTAGTTCTCTAGGGTTTTCTAGAGTTTTAAACATATTCTTATAGTCTTTATATTTAGGCAGGATGTAACCTTTTTCTTAGATTTAAATAACACTAATTTATTTTATATTCTTATTTTTTTTAATTTTTTTATAAGAGACTTTTTTAAGTTTTTTTTTTATTATTTTTATTACTTAAGCTTTTAGCTTCTAGTAGGGGAATTTTTAGAGTTTTCTCTTTTTAGAGTAGTAACTGCTACCCTGTTTTACTTATTTGTAGATTAGGCATCTATTATTATAGCATGCTAACTAGGTTATGCGTGCATAGTTGTTAGGAGTTTTTATAGTTATAGTTTTCTAGTTAATTGCAGAGTTATGTGTTTTAAGCTAGTTATAGCCTAAAATTATATTATATTTGCCTTCTAGCTTAAGTATGTTTATAGACCTTTAATCTCTTATATTAGGGGTCTTAAAGTCTTTTTTATAGGTTTCTAGGTTAATCTATTCTTTACTATACTTAATTAATAATGTGTTAGTAAAGGTTACCTTAAATAAGTTTTTTTTTATATAAAATAGTATACTTTATTTGTCTACTTAATCTTTATTTATTACAGTAAAGGTACATCTGCTGTCTACTAGGGCTAGCCTAGGCTATCCTTTGTATGTAAAGGTAGTTATTAGGCTGTGTCCTACTTCTTGTCCTACTATAATTACTGCTAATATGTTATGTTTAACTTCTTTATTAAAAAGAAAATAAAGGTTAATGTCTTATAAGTTATTATTAAATTTTTTTTTTTTTTTTATAAATTTAATATTTTTAGTTATAGTAGTTAGCTACTTTACATTTATAATTTTTAACTAAGTAATGTGTTATTAGATAGTTTTTTTTTCTTACTACTTTTTACTAAAAGTAGTAGAACTTATAGTTGTTTTATTCTTTACACGCTGCCTATCTCTTCTACTTATGTAGGAAAGCTATTTAGCAAGTGTAATAATTTATAGTTTTACAGGCTAAGGCTGTTCTTTGCTATAGGCAGCTGTTATAGCTCTTTTTCTATGTAAGCTACTATCCTACTTAATGTTTATTATTCTAGTATTTAACATAGTATTATTATGTGCACTAATACTAGGGGTATAGACAATTATTAGGCCTATGTAATGTGTTAAAAAGACTTTTTTAGGTCTACTATAGGTATTCCTTTGTTTATACTAGCTATACAGGGTGATTTTTCTATTAGCAGCTGTTAGTGCTATAGGTGCTGCTTCTGCAAAGAACATATTATCTGTAGTTCTGTTATATTACAAGAGCTTTTCTAGAGATTGCTAGGCTTAGAAGCAGTGTCTTAGGTTTTTTAGGCACTAGTTATAGTACTTTAAACTTAGCAAGTTTACTTAGCTATTCTAGCTTTTAATTTTTAATCTTAGTAAAAAATTACTATTACTTTTTTTATTTATAATATTATATTTAACTTTAGCTATTTTTTATATAATGTTAAACATTAAGTAGTTGTTGCTAATATTTATTTAATAAAGTAAGACTATATAATTACTTAAGTAGTTATGTTATAACCTGCACTTTTAGCACTTATATTCTTAAAACTATTAAGAAAGCTTTTTTACTAAAGTGCTAAAAGTCTAGTCTTAAAAAAGAAACTATTTTTCTCTTTTATAAATGTTTATAATGTATCTTTAGATCTAAGTCTTTTTTCTGTATTTTTTAAAGATTATAAAGTCTTGTAACACTATATTAAAGCTGCTAAAATTTTAAATAACTACTTTCTAGTACACTTTAGAATAGTTATTTAAAGAATAGTTGCTTTTACATTACTAGTAAAGTCTGTTGTTTAATCTTTCTAATATTTTCTTATTTATAAGGCTGTATTTAGCAGTAATAGCTTTTATTATTATAGTAGTATTTTTATTCTCTCTCTTTTAAGAGTCTAGGTAGTTTTAGCAAAAATATCCTACTTTTTTATAGTTTAGATAGGCCTTATTTTCTAACTACTTTTATTATTTCTTTATTAAAGGCAGCCTATTATGTTTTAAAACTTAGTTTTTTTTTTAGAAAAGAGCTTTATGTATGCTTTATATAACTAAGGTCTATTAGCTTTTTATTATATTATAAAAGCTTTTTCTTTTTAAAAATAAATTTTAGCTTCTAAAAAGTTTTTTTTAATTTCTTTTTTCTTTTACATTTCTTATAATAATTATTATAAGTTATTACTTTCTTAATATAGTCTTTAAAAGTAGTTAGTTAGTCTATGTGTATAAACTTATCTTTTACTTTGTTATTTAGTTTATTATAAAACATGCAGCATAGAGCTTTCTAGTTGTTCTATCTACATATAGCTATTTGCTCTCTAAAGCGTGCTGCATAGTTTTAGACTAGTCTGCTGCCCTGTCTTATGTTATCTAGTCTGTTAGCTGCAATCCTTTTTTTGTCTAAGGTCCTGTAGATAGTAGATAGGGCTACTTTAAAACTTTTAATACTACTAAATACTTCTTTAGTTTTAGAGTTAAGTAGTGCGCTATTAGCTCTAAAATCTATCTAATTATTAGTATAGAGTTAAAACTAGATTATAAGGGAGCCTTCTAAGTGTAATCTTATTTAGAAGATTATTTCTGTGTTAGTCTAAAATGCTTCTTTATTATATTACATATAAAGATAGCATTTAGTAAAGAATAGTTAGAGGTCTTTTAATAATTTTTTAAAAGGCTTTAAAAAGGCTAGTTTTAAAGCTTTTTTAGCTATAACACTTACTTTATTTATTAAGATATTTTAAACTTTTACTAATTTTACTTATAGTTTATGTATCTAATAAGCTTAAGTAGTAGCCTTATAAAAGTTAATAAGAGGTAGGGGGCTTTATAAGTTTATAGTTTTTTAGTAAAAGTTAGTAATTTTTTACTTAAGTTTTCTAAGCTTACTAACTTTATTACTAATCTACTAAAGTTTTTTAATATTATCCTAGATTAAGTTAATCTGTTCTACTAAAACAGCTTTACTTTAGGTTAGAACTTCTATAGATTTTAATAGCGCAGCATAGGCTATGTTAGAATCTAGGTTATATTATAAAGTTACTATACTTTTTAAAGGGAGTAGTGTTTAATGTTATAATTTTTACTTTAAAAAGCACTTAGGTCTAGGGATATTCCTAGGGGGGAAGTAGGACAGGTAGTAGGGGCTAACTAGTAGGGTGTATAGTCCTACGTACAGGCTATTAGGCTAACAGAGGAGGATAGAGAGACTAGATTGTAGTTTACCCTTAATGCAGCAGTAAAAAGGCTAGGTTAAACAGTCCTTTTAAACAAAGTTAGAGGTATATATAGTGTAAAATATATAAATAGTATTATAGCTTTTTAGAAAGCTAAATGCTACTTAGTCTATGTAAAAAAATAAACTAAATGTTAAACACACCTTCTAAAGGTTGTTTAATGTTAAAACTATATACATGTGCTAGGGCGCTAAGAGGAGTTAGCAGGAGCTTAGAGGAGCCTGCTAAGAGGGGCTCCTCTAAGCTCCCTCTAGCTCCCTGGGCTCGTCTTCCTATTGGACGACGCATTCCTCCATGGCTTCGGGCAGCCGTGCTGACTCCGTGCCCTCCGACTGGTCTCTAAGCGAGCCCTGCCCCGACCTGGCTAGATTGTGGAGCACTGCTGGTGGAGTTACGCTGGTCCAACCGTAGACCGTAACAAAGACGCGCTAGACTACAGAGACGCCTTATACAGTTACTTAGCTGCAGCAGTAGGCTTAACTTATCTATAACTGCCTTAGTTATTAATTGCAGAGCTTTACTAGCTAGGCAATAGCTTAGCTTGTTAAAAGATGTTAGATAGCAATGCACTTAGCAATAATCCTTACAGAGGAGAACACTAAGCTGCGTTAGGCTAACTATTATTAAGAGCAGAAAAGGCAACAGTGACAGCAGTATATTGCTACAGGAGGGACTCTCACAGGCCAGGAAGGTCAGAGGCTGGCTGCAGAGGCTGATAGGGTGGTCGAGGTAGATGCGCAGGCTCAGGCATCTCAGAGCTATCGCCGAGCACCACCAACCTGCTCAAAATGCCACGTGCAAGGCCATAACAGGACTTAATGTAGAAGCAATTAGGAATCTTTTGTATATATATCTATATAGGTTTAATTTAGTTGCTGTTCAGTTATCTGTCAGAAAGGTGCTCTGGTTTTGGTGGGGCTGGCGGATGACTGATTTTGGCGGATGAGTGATAAAACACGTTAGAGGTTCGAACGCTGACTAAGCTAGATCATGGAAATCTAACTAACTAGAATCTGAATTTGAGAAATCTATGATCACTGCAATGGCAACACAAGCCTGTCGATGCATCTTCTATCTAGCAGGGCGAATAGCTAAGGTCTCGAGTGTTCACAAGTCAAGACTGGATCTTTTCATGAAGCGCTGTGGGAATGCTCCTCTGCCATTCCACTGCCAACAAAGCTCCATTTCTCCTACTGGATCTCCACATCTCAATCCAGTGTGAGACATTCTCGGCAAAACAAGGCGGGTTCTATTTTAATCCCGTCATGGATCTCTAATCGTCCCGTCATGGCCTGAGTGGAAGTTTTTGTTAACTCGTATCGATTGTTGCTATGGGCAACGGCTATTTATTTGTACCCATGATCTTCATACCCCATGTCTTTCACCACCCACTAGCAATCCTTTGCTAATTGAAAGCACCCCTCACTCGTTTTCGTTCCTCAAGGCTGTGTATCGAAGACGAGCATTCCTCAGTCTTCCGCCTCTGCAACCATGGGCCGCTGGCAGCCCTACCTATACAATCAGCAGCGCAACTCCATCTACGATGTCCCCGAGGTTTTCAACCCGAAAGCTGTAACTATGGCCAGTCGCGAGCCGCCTACTTCAAAGCCCAAGCAAGAGGGCCCGTTGGTCAACTTTAATCGTCATCCAGACTCGTACCTGATACTCCCCTATGGCAAGACCAATGCGAAGCCGATGAGCCCAAAGCACAAGGTTGCGATCAAGGTTACTCGATGGATCCAGCTCTTCTTACGGACAATCAATCTGTGCGGTGCCATCGGGATGCTTCTCTGTGGCATCTTCATAAGAGGTGCTCAAGATACGGAAGGATACATAATGAGGATTCCCGTATGTCTCCTTCTTCCGCTTAGAAAATACTGCTAACGGAACATGCAGCCTGGTATCGACATTATAAACTGTTTGTATGCCATATATCACCTCCTTAGGGCCGCGAAAGGACGCCCGCCAGGGAGTTCAGCGAGCTATCACTTCTTCGCCCTGGTCATGGATGCCGGGCTCATCCCATTCTACGTGTTCACTGCGATGCTCGCTATCCGTAACTACAACGAGGAAGCAGGGACAAATGGCCGTTGGCGAACATTTTTCCCAACCGATGAAGAGACTAATAAAGTACTCCATGCTGCGTGGCTCACTGCAACAGCACTTGGAGGTCTGCATTGCGCGTCCTTGTTCTTGGACCTGTACCTTGTCTTGGTCTTCCGTAAAATTGCTCGCCTCCCACCAGACATGAATCCTCTAGAGGAGAACTTGACATCTCGGCGTAAGAGGAAGCATAAGCACAAGAATTCTTCCATTTCGGCTATAACTCCTCTCACTGAAGATGACAAACGATTCAGTGCTATGAGCGCGGGCACAACGGTGGTTGGAAGCAGGCATTCTCAGGCAGACCCGCTTATGGGTGAGAAAGACTTACCGCCTCCAGATGTTAGCAAGGTGCCGTTCATGCACACGCGCACCAACTCAGATGTCGCCTACTCGCCACATACGCCCAGCTCAGCGCTTCAATCCCGCCATTCTTTGTACTCTCAGCCGGCGTCGGCTCATCAGTCCCGTGCAGACCTTCATCGTCGGCAAGACCTCTATCGTAAGGATGACTCGGATGACAACGAAACCCTGGCTCAACGTAAATCATTCCTGGCGCAGCAGGCTATCAAGAGAAGTTCAAGACCAAACTCAATGGTATCCTCGAAGCAGGAGTTCTACACGCCTCCGACAACCGCTGACAAAAATGGTGATTCTGACGACATTTCCCTCCAGGATAACCGCGAGAGCCTGCAGACCGACAATTGGTTCGTCCATGGAAGATCCGTTGATGAGCCGGAACAAGACCATTGCAATCCCGGAAAGAGGACAATGTTTCCTTCAAAAACCCAAACTCAGGGTTACAATGCGGTTCCAATGGAATACGACGTATCAGACGAAGAATTTGAGCCTCCGATGATGCCTCAGCCTCTTCGCATGAATCCGCCCACCCCGCCTCCGACTAAGACCTTCACCTCTGAAGCCAGGAGCACGCCTCAACCTGCTTCGCTTCAGAGGACCCATACGACAACGTCGATTTCTAGCGAGGCAACCTTCTCACGCTCTCCAACGCGCGCCTCCACGCCCAAGACGCGCTATTATGGAGATCTCAAGGCCGCTACCCAGGGAATCCGAAGTGGTGGGTACTCTCCAGCCAACTCGCCAAGTGCATCACCCACGAAGAGCTCCTTCACTCCAAACAACCTTCCCAGTGCGGTGAAGAAGTACACTACCAACTCACCGAGCACAGCGAAGAACTACGCTTCAAACTCGCCCCTTAGCTTGGACAAGAAGAACTACGCTAGCATTCGAAGAACAGGCGAAACGAGCTACACGCCTGTGAAAAATCAATCGCCGCGTGTTGTGAGCAGGTCTGGTGTGGACTACGAAGGGGACTATTCATTCGACGGGGATACATCAGACCTGGGAATCCCAGGACGCAGACGCGATGTCAGTGGGAAGGTTGCAGAGGAAGGGCGTGGTGGAGTTGCGAATCTAGCTAGTCGATGGGGAGGCATGAGAGGAAGTGGATTGACGTATCGGAAGGTCAGCGGTGTGGCGTAAAATGGTCGTGATTGTACTTTAGGTTTGATATGGTGTTATATGGGCATTGATTTTTGGTGGAGTTATGAACTAGGTGTTGGAATAGGAATTCTGGGCTCAAGAAGCCGAACCTCAAGTGTGTAATTCGATTAGGATTGGGAGAATCCAGACTCGCGAAGGTTGCAAAGCCATTGCATGCCTGGCTACTGTAGTAAATTAGAAACTTGAATGATCGTGCAAGTGTTCTTCTCGTTTGCCACTGCAGTCGTTGTGGGCTGTACAATAATTTCTTACACCGCCAGCTGACGACTGACGCGAGGCCCACATGACTTCGCATCCCACCCGTCCGGGCTGTTGGTCGCTCTGGAGGCTCTTTGTTCATTCACCCTTCAACGACGCGACATTGACCGGTCTAGACATCGTGTGCGATCTTTGTTGCTGTTCGCATTCTTCCCCTGTGTTCTCACAAGACGCCTGCACCCGCCGTTCGCGTCGTGGACATTCCGCGTTGGCCTGTTCCCCGCTCACACGGTTGCTTTTCGCGAGACACGTCTCCATCCTTCTGCACGTATCCCTAGGCTTCTAACATCAGGCTACTCAAACCTCAAGTATTATTCTCTCTGGACGATACGACTGCGCAGCTGCACTCTCCACGAGTCGCCATAGGATACGATTCGATGTTTAACGGCGGGCATGCGCTGCCCACTACATACCCCGCCACAATCATGAGTATGTCGCGTCGGCCAAGTCAAGCACACAAACTGACCGAGGCCACTAGGCAACCTGAATGCCGCACACCCCTCCAACATCTCCAAACTCTACAATCGCGATCTCCCAGACTCGCAAGAGTCCTTTGTGTCTGCTTCATCTAGAACATCGGCCGCGCCGCGCCTGCTCTTGTCGTCGAGTAACATATCCAATGCAACAGTTCCCGACACGGAATTCACGTCTCCCTCGTCCTCCAATGCGCCCTCGAGCCAAAGCCAGCTCCTGGAGCCAGCCATGCTGCTATCTCCGACCAGAGCTCGCGGTGTAAATTCGCGGCCGAATGCACCGCGGATCGAGACCGACAACGCGCCGCGAACCACTGACAAAACAGCGAGTCCCATGTCGATCGACTCCCCTGTGTTGGCTCAGGCATCTAAGAGAACTGCCAGTGGGACTGTGAAGAGTGCTGGATTGACAGTAGACAGCTCTGTCGCGGTCGCCAGCGGGCATAGGAGAACAATCAGCGTCGAGTCCAACTCGAACCCACGCATCGGAGAGGCATGGCGTGCATCCAATCCAAGACATTCGCTTGTAACTAACATATTATGTAGCTATCTGCGCAACTTCGGACTCGACTTTCCTATGCCATGGTCAAGGTGCAGAATGGTTGGGAGAAGCAGTCCCTCGAGGAACTAGAGGAACTCCCATCTCAGCGCGGTTCCCCAAACTCTACTCACGCGAAGAGTGAAGGGTCTCGGCTGCCCTTTGATTCACCCCAATCTACAGAGCGCCGACGCCGTCCCAGTGGTGTATCTGTAAACTCTGACCAGATGATAATGTCCCCAGGTCAGAGCAGCCCTTCAAGCGTTTCACGATCGCTCGCAGCCACTTCCTCTTGTAAGTTTACCCTCGAGTGAATTGCATACCCAATTACCTCTAACATATTACTGCAGCATACTGGCAGTCAGGACCGAGGTCTCAGAGGCAATCTTCGGCCAGCCAGCACACGGTCACCTTTGCGGAGACCGGCCCAGTATTGGCGCCTGCGCCTGAGATAGAACCCCGAAGAAAGCGTCGATCGAGTGCCTCTCATGCACCTCCACCTTTGCTGTCTTCAACTCAGCGTAAGCATTATAGCGACCTAGGTGGCGCACCTCGAACCCCAACCACTGCTCCCAGATCAGGCATTTTGAGAATGCCAAGTCAACAAGCCGAGAAAGATGCGGTAGACACGCTGCTGTTCATGAGCAGCCCCAACAATTCCAGTCGCGTGGCACACACTAGCATAGATTCCAAAGCTCATCCTAGTCCCTTGAGATCAGAAGCTGCTCGAACGCGTCGCGTAATGTTCGAGAATCACTCCATAAAGGACATCGCAGGTCAACAGCACAAGGCAAACATCGGGCAGTCCGGAGCCTTTTCTCGAGCAAATACAACGCGCTAGTTCTTACATCACCGTGTATCTCCACGACTGGCGGCTGTAACAGGCACAATGCCTCAGTAGCATCCCCACTAGGCCGCTCGACGAGAACAAGAACGACTGCATTGCACGGATGGCGTTGTGTGATACCCAAATATCTCATTGTTCCGCACACATTGATTCTATATTGGTTAGGTACACGCTATACTCTGCTAATTCTAGAATGAACGAAGATATTGTCTGCCGGTTTGAAGATACTGTTGACTTAGGCCCGGAAAGGAGGCTTATTTGGTGGCTATATGTATAGGAGCTATGCGTTAACTATTACTCACGCATATTTCCTTATTCAGGGTACCGCACGACGCTACGAACGTCATTATGAGGCTGTTGCATGTGGCTGATCTGTTTGTATATGTGGCGTTACCTATTAAAACATCGAACCACTTGTCGAAATTGCAACACAGCGGACTGCCTCAACTCCTTTAGTTATCACGAAGCTGCTGTCAAGCAGAAGAATCCCACTGTCATGATTACGTCTCCAGATGAGATATTGCCCATCATGCATCGCGAATTGCGGTGTTCCAAGACGCTGCTTGAGTGCTTAGGTTTCTCACTTTCTCGGTTCCTTGCCGAGCCTCGTGCGGATCACCGCCCCGGCGCATCACACATGGGCCTGGCTCGAACATAATCAGTCCACGTCTTACATCTCGCATGCTTCAATTTCTTAGTCAAGGTTTGCAAGCATATAAATACCTGCGCCTTCTGTCCTCCTTTTCTTTTCAGACTGGTCAATTGATTTTCACCCCTTCTCTGTTTCCTCTTTCCTTTGTCCCAGCCAACTCCGCAGTTGGAGGAGGGCTACAATCAGCTTTCCCGCCTTCCAAGCTTGCTTCGGTAGGTTAAGAGCATCAGAGATCATAGAAAGGGTTCAGAATGTCGGCTTCTGCACTGTTGAAGAGTCGGGTGAGGAGACCGAGTTATTTGAAGAAGCTTGCGAAGGCGGAGGATCTGATTGATATGTTTCCACATGGTAGTTATATTGGTTGGAGTGGGTTTACGGGAGTTGGGTATCCAAAGTAAATCTCCATTTCCTTTCTCTCATGCCCCTTCCTGTTCCAACATATTTGAATTCCCTTACCTCTTTTCATTTTCTCGTCTCAGTTTCAAAATGTTGGGGATGCGGAGACAGCGCACAGAGTGGAGCCCGAGACTTCTCCGAACCCACACAACTTGGCTCTAACGCATCCCTGCCAGAATGATACCAAACGCGCTAGCGGATCATGTCGAAAAGAACGGCTTGCAGGGACAGCTCAAATACAATCTCTTCGTTGGCGCGTCCTCGGGTGCTGAAACGGAGAACCGGTGGGCAAGGCTCAATATGATTGAGCGGCGCTCTCCACATCAAGTAGGCAAGGAGATCGCAAAAGGTATCAATAATGGACAGATTAAGTTCTTTGATAAACATTTGAGTATGTTTCCGGTGGATTTGATGTATGGGTAAGTTACAGTGAAGACCGGGTGAATGGAATGGTCCAAGTAGCGGACCTCGGGAATGGTTTCGAGGTGGACTTAGATTATGGATGCTGATTGAAATGCCAGGTTCTATACGTTGCATAAACCACAAAACAAGCTTGATGTCACGATTGTGGAGGCGAGTGCTATTACGGAGGATGGGGGCATTATTCCAGGAGCCAGTGTTGGCGCAAGTCCAGAGTTGATACAGATGGCTGATAAGGTAAACATCAAAGAACCTTCTTCGAATTTCAAGATTAAACTCTTTCCGTAGATCATCATAGAAGTCAACACAGCCGCCCCATCCTTCGAAGGCCTCCACGATATCACCATGACGGATCTGCCTCCTCGTCGAAAGCCTTATCTGATCATGTCCCCCGAAGACCGTATTGGCACGCCGCACATTCCCGTAGACCCCGAAAAGGTCGTTGCAGTTGTGGAATCGGACTATCCAGATCAGACCCAGCCCAACCACCCCGAAGACGAGACCTCGCGCGCCATTGCAGCGAACTTGATCGAATTCCTCCACCACGAAGTCAAGCATGGCCGACTCCCAAAGAACCTCCTCCCACTCCAATCCGGCATCGGCAACATCGCCAACGCCGTAATTGGAGGTCTCGCTGTACGTCCTTCCTAGCCTCCTCCTAAATAACTGAACCTGCATCTAAAACTCTCACAGTCAGGGGGCGCGGACTTCAAAAACCTGCGCGTCTGGACTGAAGTCTTGCAAGACTCCTTCCTCGACCTCTTCGACTCCGGAAACCTCGACTTCGCCACCGCAACGAGCATCCGCTTCTCCCCCAACGGTTTCGAGCGCTTCTACCAAAACTGGGATTCATACGCCCCAAAACTCCTCCTACGTTCCCAGCAAGTCTCTAACTCTCCCGAGATCATTAGACGGCTGGGCGTCATTGGCATGAACACGCCCGTCGAAGTAGATATATATGCCCACGCCAACAGCACCTGTGTCATGGGCTCCCGGATGCTCAACGGCCTCGGCGGCTCCGCAGACTTCCTGCGCTCTGCAAAGTACTCCATCATGCACACGCCTAGCGCCCGACCCACGAAAACCGACCCTACAGGTGTATCCTGCATTGTCCCCATGTGCACACACATCGACCAAACTGAGCACGATCTAGACGTGGTAGTCACCGAACAAGGGCTCGCGGACGTGCGCGGCCTCTCACCTCGCGAACGCGCGCGTGTGATTATCGAGAAATGTGCGCATCCGGAGTATCGGCCGATTCTGAAGGATTATTTTGAGAAGGCGGAGTTTGAGTGTTTGAGGAAGGGGTGGGGTCATGAGCCGCATTTGTTGTGGAATACTTTTGATATGCATCGACATTTGAATGATTTCGGGACGATGAAGTTGCCGAAGTGGGATTTTAGGGGGTATGAATCGTGAATAGAAGGTGATGAGGGAGAGGGTGTTGCAATGGAGGATGGATAGAGAATAGGGAATAGGGAGTAGGGAAAGGGGTTTTTTTTTTGAGAACTTGGTGTTTAGGTGTAGTTAGATGATCCGCTAGTCGGCTGAACTAGAACATATCTATATACCTGGAATGAACACGCTCTGTTGAGTAACACATTCTCGAACAGTTCACCTTACAGTTCTCAAAACCGTGTGAGGTTCGAGTTTTTCAAGACTGTAGTAACACCGCGAAGCCCTTCACAACAAAATTCAAGTCTATCTAACATTATAAAATTAATCTTAGACCCACTTTATCCGCTAAAGGGATCATAATGGGTGCGTAAAATGGGATAGGGTAAAGAAACAGCGACCGAAACTCTAACAAGAATACAAACATCTTCACTCCGTTATTGCATTCTTCATAAAATTGAAAAGATATTTTAATTCTACATACCAGCTTGCAAAAACTGCATGAAAACAGTAAAGGTGTGCTAGAGATGGCAAGATTCTAGCAGCCTGTCTTAGGGTTCTAGTAGTGAGTTACTAAATTAGAACATTAGGCTAAAAGGATCCCAAGATGTGTGTTGAAAGGGGAATGACAGTACAGATATAGCAGATTGGGGGGATATACAAACCAGGAATCCCCTAATCAAGTATCAAATTGCTTTGCTAGTACATAACCAACAGTTCACCCACCACGTCGAATAATCAGTTGATTAATATCGCAATCCTACACATGCTCTAACGCTAACATATATCCACCCCATCCAAAAGTCGCCAAAACACAGCTCCTTACTTCTCAAAAGCATCCCTTAACTTCTCGAAATGACTCCGAATCTCCTCTCCCAACCTCCCCTCTGTATCCGCCAAAATCGTACAAACGAGACTATAATTATTACACAAGAATCTTTCTCTCTTCCTATTATCCGAAATTCCCTTACTCAGCCTCGTTAGATATGCTTCAAACTCGCTTCGCAGCCGCGCCACGCTAACACTGACGGGTTCGTCATCGCCGGCTTCGCTGCTCAATGCCAGGATACCTTGGAGCAGGTTTGCGAATTTCTGTGTGAGGGGAGTCGGGGCGGTTGATTGCGCGTGGGTCGACGAGGAAGGTGATAGAAGCGCTGCAGCGCCACCGCCGGATGGACGGGTGGGGAGAGATGAAGTGAGTTTCTGTAGCGAAGTGCAATGTTGGTCGAGGATTTGCTGAAAGCGTGGCCAGAGCAGCATGTTTGTTGCGTTGATGTAGGATTCTACAGTCGGGACCTTTCGGCGTTGGAGTTCGAAGGCGAAGTGTTGGTTAAGGCGGACACAGAGCAGGATGCCGAGAGTGTCCGTTGTGGATTCCGTGAGTTGTTTCGTTAGGGATTGGCCGAGTGAGAGGGTGGGTTCGAAGATGGAGGCGAAGGTTCGGGATATTGCATGGTAGTTTTGCGATGGGCTGAAGTAGGTGGTGAGGAATGTGTATTCGAAGGAGGCGTTATCGATGATGGCGAGGTTGAAGGACCGGAATGGAACTTCGAGGTAGTGCGCACCTTTTTCTTCTTCGGCGAGGTAGGCGGTTAGAGCATTGGGAGAGGGATTTTTGAGATGATCAAATCGTCGACCTAGAGAGAAGGCCTCGTGGGATGGGGGTAGGGTGCGGTTGTTGCCCAGAAGTGGGCCTCGTTTTGCGCTCGAGTCTTCCCCGAGAACATCATGTTTATCCAGGGTCTGTAATTTGAGCTTCTCCAGTGCTTGTCGGTACCGCGTAAAGTGGTTGAGGTAGTACCAGCGCATAGTATAAATATATGCTTGTGCGATCTCTTGGGAAAGCTGTGGTTGGTGCCTTGCGAGAAAGGCATAGAGATCTTTGTACTTCAAGAACGCTTGCTGTTGAATGATTTGAGCGTTCATGCTAGGGGACCGGATGGCTTTGATTTGAGCGACAACGTAGTCGCGGATTCGTTCGATGGCCTTGTCTGTCAGGTCGTCGATCAGGGGCTTGATGTCTGTTAATGCCTTGACATCTGGCTGCTCTTTCGCTTTTGCATTTGTCGTCTTTGATCGCTTTTCGAGCTCTGCCAGTGCTCGAAGGAAGCCTTCATCCACTGGGCCTTCAGCGATCTTCTTCACGACGGCTGGTGAGATGCTGATATCTTCTACCGCCGGTCCAAGCAGCTTTTCCACGACTTTCCGGTTCTCAAGCTTCGTATTCAGAGCTATCGAACGGTTCTGAAGACTTTCAATCTCCGACGACACCGCTCCAAGATCCGACTGGAAGTTCGTCAGATATGCCTCCACGGACTTCAGGACCTCATCGCAGGCCAATATCGATTTATGGAGATCTTCAAACTTGTCCTTTTCCTTGTCGTCTGCAAACACCATGAGCAAGCTACATAGGAATTGGGATATACACACGAACATTCTTCCACTGACTGCGTGCTATATGTATGCACAGGAGAAGAGTGCCGTATCTCAGGCGTATCCGACTCTATCGCCGCAAACTCCTGCAAGCTCAAACCTCCAAAGTCTATGTCTTCAACCACCTCTTCTGGTTTCTTTGGTACTGGTTCAGCTATCTCATCGCCTTTTATGACAGGGGGTTTGCGAGGAGGCCTTCCTAGTATTGCTTCTAGCACCTGTAGGGGGTCTGAGACGTTCGGGGGCACTCCACCAGTTCCCTGTCGCCTCCTGCCTGCGCCATTGGGTAACCGCGAGGTCGACGGGAGGCTTGTGGATGATGATGACGGCGAGACGAGAGAGAGAGAGGAAGATCTGGGGTTTATGCCGGGTCTTGGAGGTAAAGGACCGGGCCCTGAAGCCTGGTATGGCCGCCGAGGTGCGGGTGAATAGGACTGGCCACGAGGGGGAGGCGTGCCCGATGGCGTGGAATGGGCGGAGAAGCGGTCCAGCCACATGCTGTGGCGTGGAATGTCAGTTTGCAGGGTCACCGAAGCATTGCGTGTGGGAGTTAATGATAATGAGGTCTCAAACGCCGCCGTGAAGGTCGGAACCGTTTCGATTGACATAAGCAGCCGGCTGCTCGTTTGGCCGCGCCGGCGCTAGACAAAGACCGGACTAGCGCTCCGAGTCGCCCCTCCGCCGCCTAAGTCAAAATGCAGACACGACAGACCCTTCCCAATCCACTGACTATAAGGTCCCCTTCCTCACCCACCACTACTCCCCAGACCCCAACACCCGCCTCTGCCTCTTCCTCAACCCCAGTCGCATCTCACTCTCATTAATCACCATGGCCGACGATGCGCAGGTACGTTGCTGCGCGTTCCCTTTACATGTGCAATTTTACCCCACCTTTTATCGATTGCCGTCGCCAAAATGCGCCCAGGCATCGAAGTTGCTGTTGCGTGCCCACTCATGCCGTCCTCCATCTGCTAACAGCGTCGCCTACAGCATGAGCACACGTTCGAGAGCGCTGATGCCGGTGCCTCTCTCACCTACCCGATGCAGTGCTCGGCCTTGAGGAAGAATGGCTTCGTCGTCATCAAGAACCGCCCGTGCAAGATCGTCGAAATGTCCACCTCCAAGACTGGCAAGCACGGCCACGCCAAGGTCCACTTGGTCGCCATCGACATCTTCACTAGCAAGAAGTTGGAAGAGTTGTGCCCTTCCACTCATAACATGGATGTCCCCAACGTCCGCCGCCAGGAGTACCAGCTCGTAAGTGCGCGCGAGGCTCACCGAGGTAAAAATTTGCTGACAGAGCATTGTAGCTTGACGTTACCGACGACGGCTTCCTCTCCCTCATGTCTGATGATGGATCTACCAAGGACGATGTCAAGCTCCCCGAGGGTGAGGTTGGCGAGAAGATCTCCAAGCTCTTCACCGAGGACGGCAAGGACACCAGTAAGTGCCAATTCGCAGCGTATGCTACCAACACATACTGAAGAATATGTAGATGTCATCGTCCTCACTGCTATGGGTGAGGAAACCGCTATCGACGCCAAGGAAGCTCCCAAGTCTTAGATAACTGCGTTGGACAACAGGCCGTTGGCAGCAAGGAGTTGTGGAGTGTTGACGGGCCTCTCGGAAAAGCCAGGGGGGCTCTACGCTTTTCCTATTAGAGCCTTGTTCTGCGTGGTATCTTTGGCAGTCTCCAAGTGCTATCCTTGCGCCTCTGCTGATGGCGACCAATTTTAGTGGTTCTTCGGAAGGGTTTGGGTTTCTTGCATTGCCGCTTTCATATAATGGGGGAAACGTAGTCACGAATCTGTCCCTTACCCTAGAATATCCCCATTGGCAATGATGACAAAATGTGCTATGTGAGAAGTTTGTAATCTGCGCACTAGTGAGAATATCTTAGTGAATGTGTGATTGCCTAATTCGCACTAGCGGAAAGCGAATCTCAGATGTGTATCTCGGCAGAGAGACTTTCCTAACTTCATCTCATCTGGACTTTGAACGCCTCTCGACTCACCACCTCGATGAATCCGGCACCAGAGCGACTCTTTATCAATGGACTCTGCCAGAACTAGTGGACCCATCTGCGGCATCGAAAATTGCCGCTCTCGAGTCTATGAAGAGGGTGAAGACGGGTACCTCTACTGTGAAAACGGACATAGGAAAGGAGTGAGTCAGGCGGCTCAATTGTTGAATCTAACAATTAACCATGGATTCAGGAGCTCGTTGTCGGGCAAGACGATGACGATTTCACCACTGCGGCTCGACAGAAGACGCGTGCACAGAACCCCGAAGATGAGTCTGAGAGGGTGTACCAATGTGCGTTGTAGTTTTCGACTTGATAGCACTCATTCAGATCTCATTACTCAGGCTATCATGTTCTGTTCGAGGATATTTTGCGTGCGGGACTATTCCGCAGTCGAGTCCATGTTCCATAGATGCATAAATCTGTCTTTGGTGGGACCTGCTAATCCGAAATTTAAATGTAGACTTCAAGGGCAACCAAGCATTCGACCTATACTTAAAATGCCTTCAATTGATACTGCGACGCCAAGTATGGTTCTTGATTCACGAGAAAGGACTTCCTGCCGAACTGGAGAATGTTGTCATTGACCTTTGGGCTCTGCGTATCCTCCAGCTCGAGGAGCAAATTGCCGATGTTCATGGTTACGATTCTCAATCCCACGTATTCAGCACCTCCGAAAACGACCCAGTGTCTGAAAGAGAGACTACAAAGTCTAAAGGCCGGGGTTCCAAGCTGAAAAGCACCCCTGGGCTAATCGACATCCTTGCGCTGTCCTACCTTGGAATATTAACGCTGCGATTGCCGGTTACTCCTGGTGATATCCTCTCATGGATTAAGACCAAGAAGATGCCATATGATAAAGCCATTAAGTATATCCCCATCGCCATGAGAGATCGGCTGCCTTCAAATTATCACGCTATCTTAGACCCAAACGCTACTCTGAAGCCTGAACGACTCTACTCTGCTGTCATTGATCTGGAATCAATTTTTGAGAAAGAATACGGCCTTGTGTGGCCCAATATTAATAACCACCTACTTTTATTTCGGTACCTGAAGGACTTGGCCCTTCCGTTAGAGTTGTATGAAGCAACAATTCGATTAGCCGGCTATCTGAACTACGATTTTACGTATCCTATAGACGGGCATAGAAGGTTGGGCATACGATACCTTCCAGAAGCCCAGTTAGCAGCCTGCCTTGTGGTATGTGTTAAACTTATGTACCCTCTCGACGGCCAACGGCGAAACCCGAAAACAATATCTGAACCCGCAGCAATTGGAATGAATTGGGATGACTGGTACGAGCAAATTAGCTCCACAAGGCAAAGTGGCTTTGGGTCCGCTTCAACATACACCACTGATGATCTCGTGGAATTGAGAGAACAGGACGTCTTCGCGATGTCGGGAAATCAGCTGGATCAATACCTGGACTGGTATCAGGATACGTTCATCGATGAAACCCGGACTGAGCAAACCGAAGAAGGGGACTTTCTAAATGCATTGTACAAATTATTTCCGATCAATCCAGAGCCTAGGTCAGAGCCCCGCAACACCCCCTTGGAGAATCTCGCGGATGCAGAGAAACTAAATCTGGTGAGGGCAATCCATGGCAGGATCCAGCATCGACAGGTAATCGAGGAGGGCAAGGAGAGGCCTGATACAGTGAGGCCTGGGGAAATGTATATATACTATCCGAAAGAGAAGGAACTACCAGAGCAGGCCAAGCGATTCTACGGGGAAGTTGCTAGGATTTCGGGTTTGTCGTTGGAAATGCTTATCATGGCTGTGTTCTTTGCGGAGAAGAAAATTGAGAAGTGGGAAGCCATCCAACGAAAGAAATCGAAACCAGACGTGTTGGGCATCTAGATGTACAAATTTGTAATTTCAAAATTTGGAAAGCTGCCTCATATTTTCGACTTTTCAAAGCTTGAGAATTAGCGCGGATGCCTCGAGGCAAATTGGAAATTGGGTCTGGTCTAAACGTGATCTTGCCGAAACATTTGATCTAAGTCTCTCTTATCACAACATTCGGCTTGTGGAGTTTTATTTTCCTCCGAGTGTATATAAACGGCAGGGGTGAATGGGTTGCCACGTGATATCTACTCGCTTATATAATCTCCTTTAGCGAGTGGGTCCGTGCACACACTTCGAATTCGAACAAACTCGCCGCTCCACGACCGCGCGAACTTCATACAGGATCCAGCAGCACCGCCAACATGCAGATCTTCGTGAAGACCCGTAAGAATACCTCCAAAATTATGCATTTCAGTCAACTTGCTCACCAATGTTTGTAGTAACGGGCAAGACCATCACCCTCGAGGTGGAGTCCTCCGACACAATCGGTTCGTTCTCCACACTCGCCTCTTCCACCCCCCTCGAAGTCCTGACAGGCTTCCCAATCACTGTTGCAAAATCCTACATTTGAAAAGACATGGCGTTAACAACCAATAACTAGACAATGTCAAATCTAAGATCCAGGATAAGGAAGGCATACCCCCGGACCAACAGCGCCTAATCTTCGCCGGCAAGCAGCTCGAGGATGGCCGCACACTCTCCGACTACAATATCCAGAAAGAGTCGACCCTGCACCTGGTCTTGCGTCTGCGTGGCGGTATTATTGAACCGTCGCTGAAGGCATTGGCTTCGAAGTACAACTGCGACAAGATGTTCGTAGAGCCTGTATATGTTTTGATGTCAAAGCAGGAATGCTAATGAATGTATAGGATCTGCCGTAAATGCTATGTACGTTGAGCCAGCCGGTTTAACTATATCGATGGAAGAGCATGGGAGGCTAATAGTATCACAGGCCCGTCTCCCACCGCGTGCTGTCAACTGTGTAAGCTCTTTTCGCTGCACACCTCACCCCCATCCACAAACACTAACATATCCACTAGCGCAAGAAGAAGTGCGGCCACAGCAACCAACTCCGACCCAAGAAGAAGCTGAAGTAAACGGATCGCATCGGCGCATGGGGAGTCGGGATGGCTGGAACAAAGCAAGCAGTTCAGTACGAAGCGATGGCAAGCATGGATGGGTGGAAACATGGCTTTTATACAGAGCTACCGTGCTCGCTACTGGCAGAACTAGGTTTGCAAATATGCAATACATGTAGAGTGATAACTCGAACCCTTTTCTTCTTCTTCGACCGGATTGAGTGCATATCCCACTAGTGATCACTAAGATGAATGAACTCCAGCATATTTGAGAGATATTGGGTCGCCAGATGTGATATTTTCCACATCTAGAAAGCAAATGGTGGCGCAATTGCGTCACGTGAGTGCGCGCCACATTCGCATAATCAATTACGTCATATATCATCACATCACACAAAAATTAGATCCTAGGTAAATTTCAAACTGATTGCTATCCTTTTCATGCAAATCTAAGTATATTTGTAACTATGCTAAGTCAAGAAACAATGCTGGTTTTGCCTTCGTGATATTTTTAGATTAATTAGTACAAGCAGGGGCGAACCGTTCTGATTGGGGCCATGGTAGGAATCCTTTTAGCAGTCTGTGTGCGCAACTATGGAGAAGGAAATGTTGCCAACAACTATCTTCAAGGTTGTTAGCTTTAGGTTACCACTACATCATTTTGACAACGATACGCATCACACATGGCTTTGACACAGTCTTGCAAGAGTGATTACTCCATTTTATCTAAACTGAAATACACGTCTCCTTCCACATGCCGCAGCATGGGACCGTAAGAGCATGCCAAACTTTTCCATCGCAGATGCAAAGGTCATCCATGTAGCTAGAAGACAAATTGTGATGGGTTCGTGAGGTCGCGACATTGACATCCTTCCGTCCATGCATTGACCGTCTGTGAGAGAGAGGCCAACATTGATAAACGCACAGGATGCTCGATGAGAGACAGCATGTGGTGCGTGTTGGTAGAACGCAGGCACACAGAAAGGAAGGGAAATTAGGAGTTCTGAGTCCGGGAGCACGGGTATCGGTATTCACCTCAGAATCCAGAAATCGAACAACTAAAAGAGAAGACGTCCCGTGAAATCCAGAAAATCGAGTATCCGGCCATAGGAGAAGAAAGGGAAAATCCGAACATACGCGTTCGTCCAAAAGAGGAGTGTCGTGGCATGGTGCTTTTAACAAACGACAAAAGACACTCGTTTCGTTGGATAGGGGGGAAGCAAGTGAATCGACATTGCTCCGAAAATGCAACGGCCTAGGAAAAGGTGGGGAACAGGAAGGGTAGGGTACAGTACAGAAAAGTGTCTGGGTATGGCAAGGTGTATGTGAAGACATGTTTGTGAATCGAATCGAATCGAAGGGGGAATATATGCTTGAATCGAATGGGTGAATGGGTGAATGGGAAATGGGATGTGGTATCAACAAACGCCTCGCTATGCATTGATGGATGGGTTGCTGGAAATTAAGGAAATTGGGTTGTTTGTGCTTCATGGGGATGATACAGAATCCGATGTGCAAGGTGGATGGGTGGGTTGTGTTCGGTGTGAGATTCTTGGTGCTGGGTGCCTGCGAGAAGGCAATAAGAGCAAGGCCATCATTGCCTTTGTGTCGAGGTATATATGGAGGGTGCGCGTGGTGTTTGTACGAAGGGTGTAGACGGCTAGTGGTACGGGGAGTCAGTCTGTATGAGACTAGTGTCGTGGGCGCTTCCAATAGTATTGCTGTTAAAGCGTTGATAAATGTTAGTGACATCAAAGGATTAGTCGCTTGGCTAAGTTTCTAGAATAGACTAACCTTATGTTGCTTCCTAACAGCTCGGAGGCCAGTCCCGCCCATGCCACCAGTGACAGCGTCACGCCTCATCTGATCCGTATCCATCTCTGGAAGATAGTAGAACTCACTCTCGAGAGGCTTGCCGGCCGCGTCCTTTCCCAATCGAGGAATCTCACCAATACAAGGTATGTCATCCATGAGCTTCTTTAGGTCTTGCGTGGTGAGCTGGGGAGTCGGAGTAGAGGCTTCACTGCTGTTTGCGCTCCTGTCTCCTGACGATTTGCGGGCACATGCCTTGAGCTCTGCGGGGAGCTGGCCATGGATGCCAGAGAGGGGGATAGAATGGACACGGGAGAACGCAAGCTGATTGATGACGTGATTTTTGATGGGTGATTCCTTGAAGCATAGGGACTCGGAGCTTGAGCGTTGTTGGGGAGACTGAGAGGTAACGAGGGGTTTACGGCGTCGCTGGGAAGGGTTTATTGACCGAGTTGGGGTGGTTGTGGAGAATGACGCGAGGCGAGGGAGAAGGTTGTCTCCGCAGGGACCGAATGAGAGCACGACAGGGTCGTTCTCTTCGTCACCATCGGAGAAATCATCTGCTGCAAAAGATGACAGAATGCTAATTTGAGTTTTGGGATCTTGGGCAGAAATAGAGCGCGAAAGGGCTGGACGGAGAAAGGTCTCATTGTTAGCAGGCGTAGGGCTAGGGCTTGCAGCATCCTCGTCAGCAGCGTCAACATCCTCATACACTTGGACGGAGGCTAGCTGGGCGGACCCCACGAAACTTGGCAGTCGAATCGGGCTCTGAGAGACTGGCGACCTCGGAATGACAGGAGGGCTGGAGGCGAAGTGGTCCTGGGTTGATCGGCGTATCGGAGACTCGTCCTCGTTCCATGTTCCTTCCCCAGTCTCCGAGTCCCATGAGAGCTTCCTTCCATTTGTGTCTGGCCACGCGATCATTACGCGAGCATCTTGAACATCCAACATGATCTCTGCGTCCGGATTCTCCGACGTGTACGTCTCCCCTTTGCTCAATTCGTGCACACGGCCTAGGGAATGTATCATTGCACCATTCCAACCCAAGCACACGATCTCAACATAGCCATGTGGGTACAACGCGCTCGGAGCGTGATACGCGGCCTGGACGTGTACACGCGATATTAGGCGATTTGCAGACAATTGGTGATGTGAGGAATTAGAAGACCTTCCCATTCGAATAATCTCGCCATTTGCGGGAAGATTCAGGATAGATACGGCTCCGAGGGGGACACGCTCTGAGAGGGTTGAGATGGTACGTGCCAGACTTAGGCGTGCATTCTGAGGCGACGACGATGCTAGGATGCCTGTGGAAGAGGTGGGAACTGGTGTGGGATAGTACTTCAGCTGCTGTTTTGGGAATGAAGGGGATTCTTCCGCGAATTTACGTTTCGAGGATGTTGGACGCGGAAACGGTGATGACGAGAGCGGCTCGAACGCGGGGAGCAGCGATGGCTTCCGCGTCGACTCTGGCCGCTGCGAAGGTGACTCAGAGGGCAATTGGTCTGCACGACTGCCAGGCGAAGAGTCCATCGTGCAAAGGATGCGTGAAGACGCGAACCAGGGCGGCCGTGTCAGGCTTCTATATAAGCACCGCGAAGGAGTGAGCCGTGGTCGAGGCTCGGACACCCGGGACGACTCAAGAGGGAGATGCTAGGAGAAAGAAGAAGAGGTGTGGTGGAGTGTGTAAGAGGGGGTCAAGGTGAAGAGGCCATGAGGTTAATTGGGAGGAGGGAACGGTCACGTCGGAACGACCATGCGGTCACGTCGCGGTTGTGGAGTTTTACCTACGCTCCGCGAGTAGACGCGCTCCAGCGTAGAAGCTCGGACGTTGAGCTCCACACAGGAATTCCTCCCCGGCGTGCACAAATTCATTATTTTTTGCAAGGATTGCAGTCGTGACGGCTCAGCATTACGTTTGCTCCGCAAAATCGCTGCGTTTCTTCCTATATCAGCTTCTTCAAAGCAGATTTTCGGTTCATGTTCAATCTTCAAATGCCATCCGGTGTTCCTCGGCGAACAAGATCTCGTTCATAATGCTCCGTGCTTGTGCACAAAGGTTCACGCTTGTCACGCTTGTAATAGATATTACTCGCTCGGTTTCTGCAGTGCCTTCATCTCTTGTCCCGCTTCCCAACCCCTCCCCACGCCGCATATCGTCTGGATTTTGGCCGCGCCCATTGGCCTCGGCCATACGCGCTGTGGATGTGATCTTGCTCGCAGCAAACATAATCCTGAATTGCGTACTCCGTCCCTGCGGTGAGAAATGGTGTCCTGCTGAATCGCCAATTTTAGGCTGATCGGGCACAGGTGGATTACTGCGTATCCAACCACAGCATCAGGCTGCGAAGAAAAGAAAATATGTTCGCAGCGCTCACTTCGCTAGCACGGAGTCGATGATGTCGGGCCGCAGCTGCAAGGAGGCCCCAAGAGAGTTCCAATGGAGCGGTATAGACGCGTGCTCAAACCGCGAGGGAGGCGGGTCTACGGTTTCGGGCGTGAGGCTTTGCAATACCTTGGTGCGAAAGGGTTTCATATTGAAAAATGCCGTGGGCCAAACGGGGTCATCATCGCACGAGAAGAATATCTCTCTGTGATTCGAAGGCAGATATTCTGTGCGAATGCATGCAGGCTAGGTTCGATACGAGTGGTCTTCGCCGGCTTCCTGCATCGCATGCTGAGGCGTGAAGGCGCGAGACCATCCTGACGCGCGTTTATTGGTCAGTCCAGTCTCAATCATCTCCAAAAGCGGTAAACGCTTGGCTTGATCACGTGAAGAACCTTCCCCGCGTCGTGTCGGAGAAAAGAAACCCCAACCTCCGTCGAAATTTTCCACAGTTCCCATCCGGTGCCACTACAGCTTCACCTCAAACTCCCAGCAACCATGTCGAAATTCGTGGTAGTCAAAGGCGCGCAAAGCGATACTGCTCTCACAACCAAAGTCACCAGCGGATCTCCTTACCAGTTAGACCCTGCCCAAGTCGAACGAGCCGCCAAAGGTCTCCTAGGGCACATGAAGAAGCATGCGATACTGAAGGCAGAATCCGCGGACAAGAAGAATCTACTCGCAGCAGACGATGGCGATTCCGAGGAGGACGATGCACCCATCTATTTGACTCTCTCTACAAAGACCCACGTCAAAGACGAGAATCGATTGAAGCCGAACAAAATGTCTGTTTCGATCGTCATCCCCACGTTGACCAATTTCTGACTTTTCTCCAGCCCACTGTTCCATTCAATACAGCCCAAAAATGTGCGGATCTGTCTTATCGTGCGCGAGCCCCAGCGCGAATTCAAAGACCTCATCGCAGATTCTTCATTCCCTGAGAACGTCAGTGCGAAAATTTGCCGAGTCATCGACGTGAACAAGCTCAGAACGAAATACAAATCATTCGAGCAGAAACGACAGCTACTCGTAGAATACGACGTCTTCCTAGCCGACGACCGAATCATCACAACCCTCCCAAAAGTCCTTGGTAAAGTGTTCTACTCCAGTAAAGGCAAGCGGCCAATGCCCGTCACGGTGACGAGACAGAAAAAAGGCACGAAAACAAGAGTCACAGCAACACCACAGGAAGTCGCTCAAGATATTGAGACGACGCTTATATCCACTTTGGTCAATCTGAGCTCCTCTGCAAACACTACGGTTAAGATCGGCACGCTTTCCATGACACCCCAGCAAGTATCACAGAATGTTGGAGCGGTAGTGTCGCACTTGACGACGAGGTTGATACCGAAAGGCTGGAGGAATGTCCGCGCGCTTCATATCAAGGGAGGCAGCACAATGGCGCTGCCAGTCTGGCTTGCGGATGAACTGTGGCTGGATGAGCGGCAGGTCCTTGATCAGCCATGGACACCTCCAATTAGAGACGGAGCTCCTCGTATCAATGAGAAGAAGAGGAAGTTTGAGGAGTGGGAGAATGAGTTGATTGATGAGGAGGAGCTTGCGGAGCGGAGGTCGAGATCGAAGAAGTCAGACAAGATGAAGGCTATCAATGTTACCCCGAAGGAAAAGGCTTCGATTAGTAAGGAGCGAAAGAAGAAGATAAAGAACGAGGCGATGAAATCTGTTCAGGCACCACTAATCGCTAGCTGAAAACTTGCACGCACAGAAGTCTGTATGGGAAGGGGTTTCAAGTTCATCCTGGCGTTAAGATGGTATGCAATATAGTTAGGTGAGTGGTTAAAAGCCTAGGCGAACTTGATCCTTGACAATAATATTCAAAATGATCCGATCTGTGCAACCCGGCGCAGCAATAATGCATATCAACCGTATCAATAACGCCATTCCACAATATTTGCCTTCGATTTTACAGCTCCACAATTTCTTGCAGTACTTCCCCAACCACCTCCCAAGCCGCCTTTGGAGGAGCAAAATACGTTTTAAACAAATAAACTAACTCCTTATCATTCAACTGCATATGCCCTCCTTCCGTCGTCTTGAACACCAAACCTCCCTTCTCATCCAACTTCTTCAGTCCAATCCAATCCTCTTTATAAATCGTCCTATCCCGCAAGTCCGTCACATCTCCACTCGTCAAATTCGTCTGCGCAAACCACCCACTCTCCTTCGGAATCACCGTCGTATCGTCTTCAAAAACATACATAATAAAATTATCCAAACTTGCGAGATTCTCCGCATATGTAGCATTCTTGCCTTCGCGCTCGTTATTAATGTCTGCGAGGAAGTTCGAGTGCTCTAGGTACTCGGAACTCGGTTCGCCAGTGGAGGCGTTCGTGCTGCGGAAGTACTGCGCGGGAACGAGATGTGATTGCACGTAATCGGACCAGGTATTCGTTCTAAGCAACGCCATTGCTCCCTTACAAACCCAGTCCGCCGCACCACAGGTTTGATATTTTGCGATTCCGTTGTGTTGGCTGCCGAATGTGATGAGGTTCCGAACAGGAGGTAAGTTACACCGCTCAATATATCCCCGGAGAAATTGTCCGCCTTGCGAGAAGCCCAGTGCGTTTACGGCTGGCGCCGTGGAGAGTATAGGGTGTGAGGCGAGGTCCTCGCAAACCTGGGCGATTTGGAGGGTTATGTTTCCGAAGAATGTTGCCGTTCGGTCGGAGCCAGGGTCTTCGTCTAGCCGGATGTTGTAGACGAACGTTCCGGGGTTGGTTTCGTTTGCTAGGTCGCCGACCGATTTGAGGCCGTCAGCATCGTAGTTGTCGCCCAGGCCGTGCCAGATTATTAAAGGGAGCGGGGAGCGTTCGGAGAGCGGGAGGATGGAAGCGGAGGTTATTAGTAGGAGCGTTGAGAGGGGTATTAGGCGGAGCATTTTAGTGGTGCTTTGAGGTTAGGATGGGGAGCTGGGCTTTGGAGATGTACGTCGTCAACGAGCTTGATTGGTCGGAGAAGCGTTATTCCGTTATCGGGATGGTCCAAGCTCCAATCTCATATCGTGATTCTCGAGTTTTTGGAGAGAGATATACGTAAAGCGAGAGCTAGTAATTGGTTGTGCAATGAAAGTGGAAGCTATTTTATACTCAACTTAGAGAGGCTATTATCACCCTCGCTTTTGATAGAGTTTGTGTGTTAATATTTATCCTTTCACAGCTTGATATCATACAACATCATGGCCCCTGGATTTATAGAGCTGTGCTTTACATCCAATTCTGCTTCTGTAGCCTTGCACTGGACATGAGTTAAGAAAGAAGTGATGTATTGTGGACTGAAGGTCTGAGGAGCTGTGTGATTTATATAGTATGATGAGACGCCAAGACCAAGGCTGATTGGGCAGCCCATCGTCGAGCCCTCCGACTTACAGCTTCACATCCGAAATTTTAATTATCTGCTGATTTCTCTATTTGCTCTGATGAGCCCGTGTACCAAACCGTAATGGTCTTAGGAATCATGTTCATCATAAATCAACTCTCAAGCGCCACTACTCCTCTCCAGAGGAGCAAGGCTCTAGCCCCAACCTTGTGATACCACAACGCCCCCCCAGCTTATGAAAATAGAGGTAGGCTCGTCTACGCTATCGGCGCCGACGTTGGTACTTTTTCGATCATCGTTTGAGTACTTGCATGTACAGAGGGCGGAACCTCGTTGGATAAGAAGGCGGTTGGGAGCACGATTCTATGTTATGCGCAAGGAAAAGGAACTCTAGCGAGAACCCAGGAGTGTTGCCGCAGAACATGAAAAGTTACTGAGATTTTCATCCAAGCAGCGCGCCTCACAAGTCGGAAGAGAGAATCCCAGGAGGCCCAAGAGACTCGTCTTGAAGGACATATAAATGGCGGTTGTGATTGCCCCTTCGCGCGTTTCCGAGTATAAAGATACGATATACATTAAGGAATTTATGCCTAGAAGCCGGAGGCCAATCACAATGCCACACCCGCTAGAGGTAATATAATATTAATAGTCAAGGCAGCCAATGGTCGAATAACAGCCCCAGAAACTTGTAATCGACTCTTCCATTTCTCGCCCCTCTTCTTTTTCTCCTCATTGGATTCTTCAATCTTCTCATCAGTCTCATCATCAATCCTGTGTTGTAATTCATTACGGCCTTTAATTTGCTTTAATTGCTTATCTCTTTCCTCCTCTAATTGCTTCCTCAGACGGGCCACCTTTGCTCAATTTCCGACCTGCTCTGCTTCGTCAATTCCTTTTTGAAGATTCTCCGATTTCTTCTCCCGATCTCCCATTTGCTTTTCAAGTTTAGAGGTTAGAATGGCGCCGGCAGACGTACTATCCAGGAAACGATGGTCATCCGACAGCTTATGTTGAATCTCAGCACAACATCGCCCTTTGTCAGAAGCTACCCCACGATGGTCTCGGCCATTCCCTGGGTGCCGTTGTACTGAAACACAGAAGGGCCTTTCGAAATCAAATAGTCCCAATATTGGTTCTGCAAGTCTACGTCTCTTTCAGGCTGGTTCTGAGATCCACTTGGTCCCAGATCGTGGTAACGAGCGCAACATTCGCGAGGGCATGGTCTCCGCAAAGTTCGCTGAAGACTTCGAGATATCACCGAGCTGAGCCTGAAAACCGGGTGTCGTTGAGTCTGCGGAGGGATGATTCCCTTGAGAGCGATACCGAAGTGATACTAAGCTATCAGGAATCATTTAATCTGCGCTTTACACTCATACTAAGTATATCAGGATAGGAATCAGAGATAGACACTGTACTTAGTGTTTCTGCATCGCTGTCTTCATCATCGTCGAACCCAGGCGTATCGACCACAGCCACTGGCACCAATCGCTATCTGTATTAGCATGCATGCTTTCGTTTCTATGTGTCCAATGTTAACATTCGAGTCGCAACGAACGGTGCAGATTTACGCAAGGGATGGAAGAGTATGTCCCTCAGCTACCGAATTAGGCCGGTGTTTGTTGATGAAGTAGCCCTTTCCTGACCCCGCGACACCCATGACAAAAATTAGGGCATCAACTCCTTGAGAGGTCCACTGATTCGATTCGTTGTCGATGTCCAGTGGGCTGTGAGCTGTAACCTCAGCCTCGTCGGTCTGTCTTCAACTTCTTCCTTGGAACAATTGTAATAGGTCCATTTTATATAGTACGATAGATTCAGTATCCTATAATACGAGGACTAGTTGAGTTGGAGGCTAAGGACTTGGTATTCTGTTGAGCATTGGGGTGGAGACGCGTGACCGAAAACAGGTGGTGGCGTCTTTACATGAGTCACGCTTTCCGGGAACCTGTTCTCTAGTCTCAACGGAAAATTAAACAACGATAATTAATTTTGCTTTTCTTAGAGCCTCAGCTGAGCTCTAACCTCGTCCCTTCATCCGCAGGGTATATGTCAGGTAAAGTAATGGCTGGCCGAACCCCTTGAGACTGGGTGAATGTGTAGAAGGTAAAGGTTCGAATTTTGAAAACGTGTAATATATACCACAGTTGAGGATCCTGACAATTGGAATAGGAGACCTATACAGCGCTATATTCGTCGAAGGTGAATTTGGGCGTTTGTGCGGTAGGATACTCCACCTGCAGATACTCTTCTGAAGGCTCACACAGCTACTAATGACCATATCGAAACATTGTTCCAGCCTGCGTGCTCCAAAGCAAGGGCGTTAATTCAGCAGCACGTTGGCCAAGTTTTAGGCACATGCCATAAACCACCAAAGGTACTTCTCGTTCAGGTATTGATTCCGAACAAAGCCCCCTGAGCTAATCTGCGCAGGCTATTGTCCTGGTGGGCGGAACAACGTTTCCAACCAGCCGTGGTACTGTACGATTGGGCGATCGTTATGCTTGTACGAGTGAGATTTTGTGTACGTTCGTACGGCAGGGAGGATGAGAGGCAGGTGTACGTATTGTAACTGTTATGGTTCACGCGATCTGTACGAGGAATATGATTCGATTGAAGTATGCCGTACTCTAGTTGAAACGGCTCAGATACTTACAGACCTCGTCTAATTGGTTAGGTGCCTCTGTTGTCTGTTTTGCACAGTCTCTTACCTAGGCTGCAGAAGTTAAGAGCCCTCTAGACTGCGTCTCTTGCCTTATCCTGCGGTAGTACGTTGTCTATAGCTGAAGACTAATCGCAGCAGAGCAAGATAATCCACCTCTATCTCTAATCGCTGGAGCCCTCCTACTCCCCTAGAATCTCCATACGAACACCCTAAAAGGGTAATATGATCTGTACCTGGGATATTATTAAACGTACAGTGCGGCTCACAAACTGGGTACGTTCGTACTGAACACGTGACTGGACGGCTAACTTTGTACGTACTTTAGTACGCCCCTTTGGAAGCCCTGGGGTGGAATGGGTTCATCAAAATATCTAGCCCACCTGCTGAAGGCGGAATATAATGACAGAATTGAGATCCGTCACTCTCCTGGATTCGGCACGTAAGTAATGAGGGCCACCAGCATAGATGGGCCGCTGACTCGCCGTAAGATGGAGTGCTGCGGGTCGTAGTGCTGTCATGGCAGTCGCTGAAGTATCGTCGCTTCTCGGGTTTCGCGTCTACACAACGGATTTTCCTATAATTTTTTTAAGAGCCAGGGAAGGAAGAACAACCTCACGATCGGGTAACATAGGATCACTGTGAGAGTCGTTACATAGTAGTAGGAAAACTAGAGTGGTTGGTAAAGAAAATGAGCTTCCACCTCCCCATTCTCCAGCGGTAAAGAACCATGCTGATATCCAGGGCTTCCAACGAGGCGTAGTACTGTACGATTGGGCGATTTTGAGGCCTGTACGGGTGAGATTTTGTGTACGTTCGTACGACAGGGAGGAGGAGAGGTAGGTGTACGTATTGTAACTGTTACAGCTCACATAATCTGTACAAGTAGTACAATTTAATTAAAGTACGCTGTACTAGCTAAAACAGCTAAGACTATAGGTCTCTAATAACGCAAGATTAGGGTCTAATTAACTATAAAATAACTAGTTCTCTCTAGTAACAAGAGCAGATAGGACTAGATAAGGCCTATAAGGCAGCAAGAGGCGTAGATAGATAACTCTATAATAGAAAATAGTCTATAATAGGCATTTTTAAGACAACAGACTGCAGATAAATAGATTAAAACCCTTAGAAAGAGATTTAAGCGTTCTTACAAAACTTTTAGCTAATTAGAGCCCTAGAAGCTCCCTTAAATGCTCCCTACAGGCCTCCTGCTCGCCAGAGCCCTTCTACCCTTCCAGAACCCCTATATAAACCCCCTAAAAGGGTAATACAATCTGTACTATGTACCGTACCTAGGGCATTATTAAACGTACGGTACGGCTCACGAACTCGGTGCGTTCGTATTGAACACGTGACCGTTACGGTTCACTTTGTACGGACCGTAGTACGGCCTGTTGGAAGCCCTGCTGATATCCCGTCACAGGGTGAGAAAATTGAACATATACGTCCAAAAACACACAAATCCAGGGAACATATTGCATGCCCGGAAGGAATCGCAGATGAGAGATTTTCTATTGGGGTATGGGTATGCCATGGATATACTATTGATGTTGAAGCACTGGAGTGGAAGTCTTCAGGTGAGTGGCAGGGTGCAACCTTTGAGAGCCATGGTAGCCCGCTAATGAGCCGCCGGCTAGGGGAAAGATTGCTATGCAAAATCATCTGCAAGCTCGATAGGGCTTTCGAGGCACTTCCGGAGTTTATAACCCCGTCGTGCAATCATATCGCGTAGTCGACATTGATATTGTCATGTTTCCAAGAGGGAACGCTTTAGAATTTACCGTTTATTTCTAAGACCGGCCCCTTCGAATAGTATGTCAAGAAAGTCATGATGTCTTTGGAAGTGTTCACTGACTTAGATGGTGCTATCGAGGTAGTGCGGTGATGAAATGGAGGCATAGTACAGGAGAGGGAACCCTGTGAGGATGCACTGGCTCGGCCAAGTCATCATTGCCTCTCAACAGCTGTGTATATATTATAGCGCTCAGTGTGTCTACTAGATCCTTTGTTAGAAGCCGAGAGAATCCTCAAATGCTCCAGCCCCTATTGGCTTTGCGTTTCCGTCAGCCGTTTCTTCCTGATGTTAGTTGATCCTTCCGGCGAGAACCTGCTAGCCCAAGGTCCCTACGAAGCATAAGCGACCCCGCGAGTGGCTTTTTCTCGTCAAATTTTCGCCAGAAGTGTGAAGGTGTGTAGCTACTCGCGATAGACTCCGTTGAGCCCCAAGGTAGAGTTCAGACGCTCACTCGTTGTTCACTCCAGCACCTAACTTAACATCCCCCGCCATGTATCAATGATGAGCGAAGTCCCCTTCCACTTCCTCCTCTCTGAGTGATGATAATGAGCCTGCAAGCGACTCTGAAACGGGCGGGGAGGACTCGAATTTCTGCAGTGATTTATCCGACCGAGCACCTCTTATTGACCCATTTTTGGACAAGGCACAACTTGAAGACGAAGTTGAGCGCTTCCAACGAGAACTACTAGATGTTACAGCGCGCTTGAACCAGGCTAAAACACAGCTATCCCTGGAACAGTCTAGACAACCAGCAGTTTACAACGACCAGCACTTTCAAAACAAGGTGACATATCTTCAAGATAAAATTAGACGGTGGACCAGTACCCATTCTGGTCACTCAGGGAATTACATGATAAAAATTACCAAAGGAAAATTTCACGACCTTAGTCGTGACTAGGCGGCATACCTGGAAGACAGGAAGTTTCGGCCTTGGCTCATCCAGGCTCGTGTGTGGGATACTCTGCAACGGCGGGTATTTGACACTTCTTATTCTGACCCACGGTCTGGTTATATTTTTTGCAGGTCACGCTGGGAAATACCCACTAGAGAGGTCATTTGCGGAAGGTACGAAATTCCTTTCAGACTGCCCAGAACCAAAGCAAAAGGTCTCAGCCGCTGATTTAGGACCCATACCAGACGCAAAGCATATCGTGAGTGGAGAGTCCCAAATCTCTCACTTCTCTTTCATGGAAAAGGATCGAAAGTTATCTAAACACACATATGCAAGAAGAGACCCATTCTCGCGCCTATCGACTCAGAGCACCGATATGGAAAACTTTGAGAAGATATGTCGACAACAGCACAACTAAATCCGAAAGGGAGAAGGCGCGCAAATATCTGGAGGATATTATACGGACTGCAATCTACCTAGACCTCGACATGAAGAAATAGACCGTCGATATGTCATTGCCACTTGAAGTTGGGGGGACTGGACTAGACTTTGACCCCAATTGTATGGAAGAAGTCGACAAAAGGGAGGCCAGAAAATACGTTAGATTAATAGTCTCACCTCTGCTGGTGAAGGGGATAGATAAGACCGACGGAACTATCGAGCATCAAATGCTCATGAAAGCTGAGGTTTGCTTGGATACCGTCTGCAAACTGGCGCAGAGCCACGCCCAGCAGGCAATGGCACCAATTTACACTAGAAAAACACAGAATCTGGCTTCCACAGGGCCACCCTATCCATACCTCAGGTACCGGGCTTCGCATCCGTACCGAGACCCAAGACACAACCAGGATTCCCGAAGACGGAGTGGTTCACAGGCAACACAGGCAAACACTATCTCGAAACGTCAAGTTCGCTTCATTTAGAATCAGTAAACAATTTGATTGACACACACCGGGAGGAGACTCTTAGCCGATGGCTAAGGCGACATTCGTACCAAAGTTTAGAAAATTCCTGCGATCTATCCCGTACCGGTTCCATCTCTAGGCTGGTTTGCGGCCATGAATTTGCGCAACCCTGACGAATCCTGCCCCAACCATGACTTTCCGGGCGCTAATCTTCTTGACCAGGCTTCCCTGCTCTCCAGGTGGCTCGATTATTGCCCGGCTAGAATCATCTAACCCTTTCTATTTCCTGCCGTATCGGTCACTAGAAGCTCGTCACTAGTTGATAGCAGTGGCAGTTGATAGAGTGAAATCGATGAACAATGGCGCAAAGGAAGGAAGTGTAGTAGGATCTATGGCCGGCTTAAAGAGTGTAGGTGGTGAAGGAGGTCTGCTCACGCCTGACGGCCTAATTTCTAATGGTAGTTAGAGCATCTGCCAAGAACGAGGATGATAATGAAAGGCTCGGTTGAAGCTGCGTAGTCGTTGAAGATTCGACTCTTGATCAGGCCATGATGAGGTTCCCATGATTTCTCGACAGGTATCAAGCCGAATTAGATCCCCTATTACATGAACGCTATTCAAACTTTGAAGCGCATCGCATCTAGTCATACAATTTAAACAAAAGAATGACATTACTATTACACACTATTAACCTTCTTACCTGTTGGCCTATGCGCATAACCATTGCGACATGATTCATTACCCGTCAAGCAATTTTGCCCAATTAAATCCTCCTGGTTCTTCACTCTCACATTATCCCCTCACTCTTATCCCCTCTCTCATCCCCAATGCCTAAACCCCCCTTTCATCTACATCCCATTCCAATCCAGCTCCTCACAACACCGCAGCCAACCCAATAATAGCAGCCATCAACCCTACCCCTCCGGTCGCAGCCGCTCCAGCAAATTCTTGCACGCTTGTCGTTGGGCCCGCTGGTGTATGTGGTGGTAGACTCTCACTCGGCAACACAACCGTGCTTCCCTCCGTGATTGTCGTCGTTTGGCCAGTGCAAGTCACACTTGGCGGGCAAGTTGTTAACGTCGGGTAGCCTGGAAGTACACACGTGCACGTCACTGTTGGTGGACAGGACGTTGGACCTTGCGTGTGCGTCCACTTAGTGGTTTGGCCATGACATGTACACTTCGGGGGACACCAGGTAATCGTTTCGATGGATGTTGTGGTAATGGTGACTTCAGTTGGCTTAGGATGCGGATGCGTGCAAAAGGTCTTGTTCCAGCATGGGTAAGGAGGGGTGGTAGTCGGGAGCGGTGGAGTCGTGATGATCGGACGGCAGGATCCACGATAATCGTAGTAGTAGCCTGACGGGCATTCACAATTGCCATGATGGCTCCGCGTGCATGGGATTGGCGTTGGTGTCGGCGTCGGGGTTGTGCTGGAGCTCGACGTCTTTGGATTGCAGATGAGAGCATATTCGGCTTGGAAGTCGTGCCAGTCGTCGTGGCAATTCTTGGCCTTGCATACAATCAGAGAATCCCAGGCTCCAGGCGCACATAGCTCGTGAGCATTCTTCCACGGGCCAGCATTCACGCACTTCTTCAGACACTCATCAGTGAAGTCGTAGGGGAATGGAGTTGGTGTGGGTGTTGGCGTGGGTGTTGTGTTCGTTGCCCTGCAATACCCGCGATAGTCAGGAGTGTAGCCTGAGGGGCAGACACAGTAGAAACTGCTTCCGTCTGGGCAGGGAATCGGCCTTGGCTCGTTATTCGGGCGGCAGATTTGGTCAACCTCCCACCCAAATACCTGCCAGTCTTGGGGACAATTGTCGATGCCGCATTCACGAACCGCGTTTTCGGCAGTGCATAACTCCTTGACGTCCTTGTAGCCGCCCTTCTTCACACAGTTTTCGACGCATGCGTCTGTGAACTTGTAGGGGAATGGATTAGGTGTCGGCGTCGGAGTTGGAGTAGTTGTTGGGACTGGGGTCGGATAATGCCCGCAAATTTTCCCATACTCCTCAAACACGTAACTGACATCAGCCTGGCAGTTCTTGCTGACACATTGTCCAATGGCGGCACCACTATCGTCAGTGCAGAAGACGCTCTTTAGCTTATAGCCTAACTTCTCGGAGCACCCTTTGAGGCAGGTTTGATGGAGGTCTGGAATCTTGTCGTCAGTTGGGGTCGGCGTTGGTGTAGAAGTTGTTGTCGACGATGACGATGATGGAGTTGGTCCACAGAGCTTCTCATATTCCAGCCTATAGTCTTGCCAGTCATCGTGGCATTCTTTCTGGTTGCATGCCGCAAGTAGAGCCCGGGCTGAGGTCGCGCAGAGGTGCTCGATATCAGCGTATCCGGCTGTGGCAACGCACTTTGCGAGGCATGGATCCTTGATAGTGGGGAGAGTAGCCGAAGCTATTGCCACTAGGGCAGTAGATGTGAGTATATAGCGCATCGTTGAGCGAGCGTGTTAACGAAGCGAGTGGATAATAGGAAATGTAGAGATATCAATATGTATGTACAGAAGGGATGTTGATGTATTTGAATGCTTGTGTGATAGAACTAGGATGGTGGATGCCAACCACGGGGCAATATATACCCACCATCCTCTATTCATACGAAGTCCTTGATGGGGAGGCCAGAGTCGTGACGGCAATGGTAATACGAAACCACGAGGTAACAACAACTCTTCTATCGGACTAATGTACGATGTCAAGCTCGGAGATTTCCTTTTCCATCGTTCGAGAGCCTGGATTTGGAGGCGCATTGACAGTATTGAAAGAATACGATAGGACCACGATGTCATCTGATCGTATAAACCAATCATGTATATTACGCGAGGGGTTCAGTCAGGAGAGCATTTTAGTAAGGTGATGTCAATTGTGACGGGAACTTTGGAGTGCCAGGGTGACAGACCAGCAGTGCATGGTTCCTGGATGCTCTCCAGCTGTTCGCACGAGAAGTTAAAATAGCGTCGAGCTTATCCGCCTTCGTTTGACTGAACGTTCAGTCAACGTCCTGAGCTTTCGATAAAGTCTTAGCCATGGACATAACAACGAGACTCACGAGAGATGCTATAATTGTCGCTATTGCATGAATCGCACTACAACGCGTGCTTTAGCATATCCTCATTAAAATCAACTGATGCGGATATTCGGGGAAAAGCAGTGTTGGTGTTAACTAAAGGACGAGCTGAGCTGAGCACAGCATATGCACGGAAGGTATGCTTCGATGCGTCGAATAGTAACCTTAAAGAGAAGCATAAAAGACGGTGAATCTGTTGTGATGTTTCGAAGGGGCAATGAGCTTTGGATGAGGCGTTGGGTGAGGTCACACCAAAAATAGTGCCATTTCAACGCTAACCCTAATCGAGCAACCACATCCACCCATAATCACATCATGTGGCAGGCGCAAGCATCGTGAAAATGGCAATGCGAGGGTCTAAAAGTCGAACGAGAGTCCAAGGCAAGCATTCGGGGTGCCGAGGTAAAATTCGTTCTCCAGTGTAGAGAAGAACAGTAAGAATCCGACTGTGGCATACGGCATGTGGCGGTGCAGTCACAAGGCCTCTATTAGTGGACCGGATTATATCTTCATTTAGACCTCAGCTCTAAGCAAAAAGTCAATATTAGGTGGACTATAGGTGTCTCAGAAGTAAATTTGGACATTTACTCTGGGTTCACTTTCATCCTTCATGCAGGAAGCACTACGACTCCCTCCTGAAACCCCATATGTCAGTTCTGCGGCCATATCATGACTTCCTCTCAGCTCTCTTGATTTCATAGCTGTGAGGATAAAAAAAGGGCGTCTTTTCGGTTTAGGCGGGGGGATATTCGCCGCCAATCAAAGAAAATTTTGCTTTGAGTAGCGCTGTACGGTAGCTGGTTCGGATGGTAAATTATAACTGATCCTGATAGAGTATCAACGGATATGTTCCTTCCGTTCAAGCTCTCTTGATAAAGTGACCATTTGGCTCTGTCAATGACTGGTGGTCAAGACACTGAGAACATTTTCCACACTAGGGACACTTCGGAGCTGATTCCACAAGGGAAGGTCTCGGTAGAGTTCGGAATACAGTGGTGGCTGTTTCAATGGGTCTTCTCTCCATTCTCTCATGAGTCATGTCGGTGTGGAAGCTTCCGCTTATCCCAACCCAACCCCTCAGATCTTGAGAACGGCACACCCCCGTTCTTATCTCCAACAAACGCTTTGGTCACAAGTACGAGCCCTTGTCTTCCCCGCACCATCGCGATAAGGTTTGTTTTCAAGAGGGGCACTTTGGCGGGGTAGCAGACAAAGGCCTCGAGGAATAGTTCTGGTGCATGCCGTCGCGGGAGGGTGGTTGGAGGGAAGAGGGGAAATAATTTCGTGAAGACCAAGGAACGAAAGGAACGGCATAGGAAAGGGCCGAGTTAGCAGTTAGCTAGCAAATAAGTAACTGATGGAAATCATAGAAATACTGAGGATAGAAGATGCCTCCAAAGAAACCGAGGGCATTCCGCTACCCCTGAGGACGGAAACAGAATCGACCGAGTTTCAAACCGAAGGATCATGCGGTTGCCATCGGCTTCTCTTGTGCACGGAGAGTTGATGAGCAGTTTGGGGGTGGCACACCAAAGCCCCTGTCTACCCCACAACTCCAAGGAACCTTGTGATACGGCAGCTGAGGATTCGAGCAAACTGTGGAACATGAATCATGAGCAGTCTCGTGTGCTTTTCGACGACAGCCTTCCTGCCATCGGAGAATTGATCGAAGCTCGCACACTCGCACCAATTCATGCCTAGTGTGCTGACTTCTGGCACACTTCATGCATGACTTTGAGACCAAAATGTGCCGGGCCGGCTCCAGGGATCTGCAGCAGAGTATTCGGGTCTGAGAAGGTTTAACAGAGGGGCGGTGACGCTAAGTCAAACAATAAAATATTCCTGTGATTCTTGACTCAAGATAACAATTGTCGTTGTGGCAGTGCGAGAGCCAAAGGGTTTGACTAAAGTGAAAGGGAACTAAGCAGGACAAGAGGATAGCTCTGACTGTACGACACGCAAATCAAACGCGGTGACACAACTTAAAACCAACTTCGACACGAGCATCGGGATGAAGAGAGAGACAAGAGGAGGCATTGGTACGAGGGCGTTTTTAGAGGAGCTATCAGCGTGATTAATCGTTAGTTTGAGTGACTAGATCGGTAGCAGTCCAGCCGCGAGCACGATGGCGGCGCTCATCACACACTTGTGGCTTTGGTAATCGGCGTTTGCTGTTGCGCAAGTGCGACAGCCGGTCTGATGCTTCGCTTGAAGGCTTCGGCAGTCTGCACTCGTGACCCGCTATACCTGATGAATGCAAAGTCGCCAGCGGGGATGTTCCCAGTGATATGTCAGTGCTAAAAGAAAATTGAAGTCGTTGTTGGGTCGTTTTAGAGGGGTTGAGGTGGTGCGGTGGTCTTCCCAAGCGCCCGGTACCTCAGGTACAGACTTCCGCTCGGCTCGATGAAACGGGGCCCGTGATTCGGCTTACCGCGTGTATCAAAGTGGTGGCTTGCCGGATCGCTGGCGAAATAAATTGTGATAGATTTAGGCCAGATAAGGATAGGATCGCACGGGCAGAGGTATTGTGTACATATGAGGTGAGGCCCGGGAAGAGGATGGGAGACAGGCTTTTGATTGACATTTTGCGGCTGGGGAGCGGTGAGGCGCTGGAAAGCCTTCTGACGCGCATATTGTTCCTTCGTCCTGAAATCTCCCGTGATTGCGTGCGTTATTCTAGCAGGTAGAAGGCGGACACGTGTTGACACATCCGTTGCTCTCATGAGTCTGAAACGGGCTTATTTGCCTGATGGGTGTGCTGTTTGGTGAGCGTCGACCTTAGGAGCCACCTCCCTCGACGTGTGGCTGTTATCAGCTCGTCGGAAGGCCTGCCGCGTACCTGCATTATTCTATATATGAAGACAGATGACGGGCATGCTGGGGAGGGCGTTTGGAGCTGATGGATCCCCATGGAGGAACGGTGCCTTCTATTTTGGGAGAGGTTCCCCCTTCAGATGCTGCGTCTTGCGTGCCCTGGAGCGCGGGCGTGAGGTGAGCTGGGGCGAGGAGTTGTCAAATGGAATTGTGCCTGGGCTTGCCACTAGCGCAGCCGCGGCCGCCGCCAACTGCTCCGTTTGGGTTGGACGATATATGCAGCCCACGCGACCACGATGGGTGAACAGAGGATGTGTGAACGATATGACATGGAGGCGAATGGCGGCCACCAGCCTTGACGGTCGCAAAGCCCCATGCGCGAGCTGGAAACAAGCTGGCAACACAGTCGTGATGCCGTGCACGTAAAGCATTAAATTATTTAAGCAGTGCGCAAATATTGGCAGGGAGGGGCGGCACAACCGTCGGATCTTCGATGTGGAGAGGCGGTAGTGATCTTGTTGACCCTGCTTGACTTTGTCGCTTCGACCCTTTGGGACTGGCTGGGAAGCTTCAGCACCAGGGCTCACAGAAGCCGCTCGCGGCGTTTCAAGTGTTCTGGCGCTGTTGTTGGAGGGATGGCGGTCTGCGGCTGAGAGGTGTTGCTGCGCGAAAGTTGTGCATTGGGGGCAGCTTTTTGCAGTGTAGTTCCCAAGCAGCAGCGCAGGACCTGGGCCTGAAGAGTGCTTGCTGTCAATGGGCCTTTTTTGGGGGGGAGGACGGCGCACACGCTGCCGTGCCGTCTACGCCGAGGGCGATTAGTGCAGTTCTGAGCAGACCCTGTGAAGCGCCAGTTTTCAGAGGAGCGTGGTCACTGCGGTCACTACAGTCACTACGGTGAAGGGTGAAGGGCCAAGTGAAAGTCTGGGCTTGCCCGCTTGGACCACGCTCGCTGCCGCGTAGCCATTGGCCCCTCTGCCCTCCACACCCACAGCCCTTCCATCAAGGCCCCGGAGGGGATGTGAAGCGACGCAGCGACACCTGGGCAGCTGTTGACCGCCGAGACACACCACTCGCTCGACTTCGACATCTCGTCGCTCACTACCGTCGCTCCTTGTTCTTGTCCTGAGCGCGCTGCTGCTTCTGTGCACTACATCTGGCGCCGCATGTCGCACGCGTAGCGGAAGCTTACTCTCACCACAGTTCTCCGCCCGCTGCTGGCCATCTGCCCGCCCACCGACCATCATTTCCTGTCTCCGACGACGCTCGTATCGGGGCCACCACCCCCATATTGTCCCTCGCATCCACCTTTAGGGCGCCGTGTCCTACCCCTTCCGCCATAGAGCAGACCCTCTCCCTCGCAGCGTCGCAGCAGAGGGCTTGAAGCAGCCAGATGGAGTCGCCCGGTGGCTATCCTGAGTCCCCGCTGGACCAGGACGACGTCGTGTATCCGTGCAAGGGATGCGGAGAGGTAAACCCGCACCGTCGTCTCCGTGTCCAATTCCCCAAGAGCTAACAGGCGCAATTCCAGATCCTCGAAGAAGGGAAGGCATTCGAGCTTGGTAAGCATTCTTCACTCAGACACTGCGTCCCTTGCATACCCTCTCGCCTCTCCCAGACCCCTCTCAACGCTTCTTCGAAGTGGCACTGACTGTCGAGCAGCTGGAAACCGATGGCACATCGATTGCTTCCGCTGCAACACTTGCGGCACCCTCCTCGACTCGGATGCGAACCTGCTCCTCCTCGGTGACGGCTCTTTAATATGCAATAACTGCACATACAGCTGCAACCACTGCGGCAACAAAATAGAGGATCTGGCCATCTTGACCGGCGATCAGGCTTTCTGTGCCAACTGCTTCCGCTGTCGGAACTGCAAGCGCAAGATAGAGAATCTGCGGTATGCCCGCACATCGCAGGGTATCTTCTGCATGTCCTGTCATGAATCCCTCATGGCTCGACGGCGGAAGAAGTCGAAGAAGCCCCCTCCGTCTGCTGGGGCACTTCCGAAGACGGACAAGTCTTTGCCCGCCTTGCCTCCCAGCGCTGTGACCTTCACACCAGATCTAGACACCCCGTTGTCGTCAGAACCGTTCTCTGACCCGCCCACGACTGACGTTTCCCCGCACCCACAGCATCCTCGAAGGCAGGACTCCTCGCCCGCAAACTTCAGGCGCGATGCTTCTCCTGCTTCCACGGAAGACAATCGCAAAGGTTCGTCACCCGCTCCAACCATTACGTACATCGCTGACGCTTGTTTGTTCCTTAGAAAACTTGACTCTGCCTGCGAGCACCTACAAGGAATCAAATCACTCGGAGACTTCTGACGCAGGGGAAGATGGCATCTTGCTTCCCTTTGCGCTCGACCCGAATCCTGCGCCCGGCCCGTCACCTCTTGGCAAGTCAAGGAAACTCAACGAGGGCATAATGGAAACACAACAGCACCGCAGTGCTGACGGAAAGCCTGGGCGTGACTATTTCAACAGGCCGACAGGGAATCACAGGGAGATATTGAAGGAGAATAGGTCACGGTCCTCTTCGACGGAACGCCAGCCAAAAGCCACCCCATCAAGCCCACATATTGCCTACCAAGAGAAGGGACGCCAAGCTTCGGACAGCTTAGCGGACACAATTCGCAAGCGAAAAGAGTCTGCACACGAATCTCCGTCAGTTGCCCACGACCGGTCACGAAGCCAGCATGCCAGCTCGCCCTCGACATCCCACTCGACAGATGCTTTCAGATTGCAAGATGTTCCAAAGTCGAAGAAGGCCGAGGCGAGGAGAGGTTCCAAGCCGGACTCCCGCTCACCTTCCCATGGCACTCCTCCTGTTGATATAGCCGGCCGCATGTTGAGTCCTCCGCTCGAGTCGGTTATCACGGCGTCACCGACTCCCCTGGATTCACAGTCTCCTCTGGAACACCGGGGCCGTGAAGATTCACCAGCAACCTCGGGATCTTCATACAGCTCCACACAGCGAGTAGAGCGTCCAACACGGGGAGATTCCTTGAATGCCTCTTCCCTCAAACCCTCTGTCACGAGGAAAGACATGCCTTCGACCTCCCCTACAACTCCGACCATTTCCAAACTGGAGCGAAAGCCGTCACTTTCTACCAGCCTGCCTCAAGTCAATGGCAATTATAACATCTCTAGTCCCATCGAATCGCCGCCTGTGAGGAGTATGCTCGATCCGCCAGCCCCGCCGCAACGCTCCGCCGGACGGCCTCCCCCACCTTCTTCCACGCAACCAAATGACACATTCACCTCTCCTCGAGCTCCCCCTCCCCCTCCACCACTGCCACAACTGCAGAGCCACAGGCCTACGGAATCCATGAGCACCGTTCAGAGCGAAAACTCCCAAAGTATGCTCTCCCCGGTCGGAGGCTTGCCTCGCTATAGCGCCCAAGTCGATTTTTCTATGGACGAGGATTTCGCACGACTGCTTTCGAATCAAGAGAACCAAGAGGGCCAAGGCTCCGTGCTCCGTAGGGTCTCAAATGCTATGTCGAAGCACGGACGCAGCTTCAGCGATCGAGGCTCGGCGTCGGCTCGGGGGCACAAGAAATGGCCCACTAACGGCTCTATCGACATTAGTAGCCCTACCGTTGCTTCACCAGACTCCAAAGAAGAGAGTGTGAACTTGAGGAATGAGCTGCGTAGAGCTCAACAGAGAATTGCTGAGCTCGAGGCCGAAAAGAATGGGTTGCAGGAGACGGTTAATAGCGCCGCCGACATCAAACAAGCAAACACAATGTTGAGAGAAAAACGAAACACTATGGCCGTTTTGGATACACAGCGGGAAATGGTGATCCGAGAATTGGAAATCATGACGGAGCACCTGAAACGCGCGAAGGAAGACAGTCGAGCCTTAGACATCAACCAGTTGAAATCGGATGTCCTGAAAGATTTTGCGAACTCGCTGCAAAAGCTTAAGGATCAACTTGGAGGGCAGATCGAAGATTTGATCGCGAAGCGCACCGAGCTCACCGATGAGATCTCAAACCTGATTCAGATGAAAGACAAGGGCTTCCAGGAATATGAGTCGCTCAGCGCTCAAAACACCAAGTTGTCAAACATGAATCGAGACCTCATTGAATCAATACAACGAACCCTCAAAGAAAACAAGCAGCACAATGGCAATCACTCCATTGATAACGGCCGATCTGCAAACGGCTTGGGGATTTCTAACGCTCATCACAAGGGGAAATCAGACATCTCAGTCGACATACAGGGAATGGCGCACGAGCCATCGTACTCTAACCTTCATGAAGCCGACAGCGAAGCCACCCTGGCTCAACCGCAGGTCGTCAATATCCGCAAGACTGGAAAACCTACCAAGTTCAACTGGAAGAAAGGCAGCCAGGCCACCATCAAGAACGTCACAAAGGGCTTCAAGGGTGCCTTCGCACCGTCCGAACCAAGGCGTGAGGAGGAATACAACATCAAAGTGATCGGCACGCCTTACGGATCCGTTCATTCCCAGCCGGACATTGCTTCTATGACGAGTTCTATGAGCATGAAGTCCAAGGAGGAGCCAGCGTCTCGAGGAGGCTGGTTTGGAGGGAAAGGAAACACGCACAGACCACAACAGGATCGATTCAAGGGATCACATAACAACAATAGTAGCACCAACTTAGCTGGCGAGGATAGTTCTGTGCTATTTGGTTCTGACCTGACTGCTAGGTGCGAATTTGAGAAGCGAGTAGTCCCAGCCATCGTCAGTCGATGCATTGAGGAAGTCGAGCTTCGAGGTCAGTTATTGCTAAATGACCTTTTCAGATTGCATTCATTAACGTAACTTCCAGGCATGGATATCGAGGGTATTTATCGCAAGAGCGGTGCTGCCTCCCAAGTCAACCAAGTTAAGAGTGGTTTTGAGAAGAGTAACGAATACGATATCTCAGACCCTGACTTGGATATTCATGCGGTTACCTCTGCTCTGAAAGGTTACTTGCGAAGACTGCCAATCCCACTGATTACTTTCGATGTCTATGACCAGTTCATTGAAGCAGGCCGTACGTGCATCCCTTTTGAGCATTCCGTTGATAGACATTCGCTGACCTAATGTTTAGAAATGGGAGGAGAGCAAGCGAAGGCGAAGGCCATGGTCGCTGCTGTCAACGAAATTCCCCGCGCTCATCGCGACTGTCTTCAGTTCTTGGTCTTCCATCTCTCACGCGTGATTCAACGTGCTGATGACAATTTGGTAAGAAACACTGCTCTTTGGGGACCTTTAAAGACTTTCTAACTCTCCTCTTAGATGACTCCTCTAAACCTCGCCGTTGTCTTCGCGCCAACAATTATGCGACCCATGGACATCCAACGCGAACTCACGGACACCATTCACCAACGCACGGCCGTCCAAACTCTCCTCGAGAACCACAAATTCATCTTCGGGAACGAAGAGTAGAAAACCAAAATTGCTCTGCTCCTCCTTATTTTACCCGGATCCTACCCGTCCGTTGTCTCTGCGCAACGTTTGAAATCCCATTACCATACGAACCTTGTAGTAGTGCCCCCCCCCCCCCCCCTTTTTTTTTTTTTTCCAAATTCGACTCTCCGTACATACTACATGTCTTCGGAAGCCGGACTTTCTCCCTCTGCTTCTTCCCCATTTTATCCAACTTCGATTGTAAATGCAATGCGCCCCTCTGCTCTGCGATGTCGAAAAGATCGATATACCCCTATTTTCGCACTACTCCACCCCCCTTGATACTTCTCCAGCGCAGATTTCCCAAATTACAACCCTTCTTCCCCCCAAAGCATTGGAATGGTTGACTAGCAACTAACGACTTTTTTTCTTCTTCTAACGATCATTTGAATGCCGGCGTTGTACGGCTGGTGGTTTTCCCGGCGTTTTTTTGTGCCGCTTGGAGTGGTTGGCATGAGATGGCGCTCTTTATGGATGCCCTAGCGTCGACTTACCTACCCACTCTGAAGGCTTCTTTTGTATGATACTACCTTTTTCTGGACGGTGTGAGGAGGAGGGAAGGAAGGATGGGTGAATAGTTTGAGGGATGGGTGGCGTCTGGGAGGTGGTGTTGGTAGTTTATACCCTTGAGGGTTTCTTTTGAGAATAGTTTGAATGAATGAATGGGGAATATGTGGCAGTCTTCTGGATCTGGATATTGTTCTCAGAGCTTGGTCGAAGTAGAATATGTGTTGTGATGCTGCGTGTGACATAGTGATGTCCTTGTAAGTGATTGTGACAGTGTGGCAAGTTTCTACTGCCTTGTGTGTACGAAGTAGCTGGAGTGCTCGGAGGAATATTCGAACGTCACCGTGAAGCGTACGTACAAGGCAATGGGATCCCCACTTAAGATATAGGTGAAAACCAAAGATATAAATTGGGGATGATATAAACCCTAACATTTTCTAAAATTTCCATCCATCTGAGTAGCATACGCCTGAAAGGCTCGTCGAACTAAATCTAGACATCTGCATTGTTTGTATTGGCATCAAGCTCTGTCACGAGATCTGCAATAACCCTGAATTCTTCGTCAATATGTGGCTGGAGAAATTTCGTATCATCCGCTAAAAGATCTTAGCTAACATCCTTGTAGGTGGGATTTCTATTACTCACTGTCGCAACCCCCATCAACTATATGGCATGGCACTATCAGATATTGTGCCGACAATTATGCTTCTCCGTACATAGTTGAGCAACATGTAGAATAATATATGGATCGGAAAAGAACGAAGCAAACTGGAGTGTTCAAAAGGTTGTTGCAAAGCTAAATTGTTAAAATATTGGCAAGGGCTAGGAAGGAAGAGGAAATTGATTTAGGGCATCATATTTAGTATGCAGGGCAATCTAAGCATGGCTTATATTGATCTAGCTCTGCATGTTACCACGCATGGAGAAGAAGATATATCTGAGGCTGCGTCCTCTCGGACTCATTGTCCTCTTGGAGGAACGCAAAATCATCGTCTTGCTTGTAGCCCGAATCTTCGAGAATGGGCAACGATAACCGTGCGACCTTTCACAACCCTAGCCGATGAGCATGTTTTCAATTTTAGATTATATAGGCCGGAAGTTCTGGGACGATTGGTGATGATTCTTCTGTGGCACGAAGCCGGGACTCAACGAAATGCAGGGAGTCTATTTCGGCATATCCCTCGCAAGTTCAAGGGTTTCACCCCACTTGCTGGTGGAGTCGACCTCACTCCACCATGCTTATATACGTCATGACATTGGTCTTATGGACTATTGTGCTAGAGCTAAAATCAGAACACCAGTAAACTGTGGTGTTGAAAGGACCGGAGTGGCAAGATGCCTCGTGTGTAATCCTATGAAACTGGGAACATGCAGGGGGGAGAGGAGTCAGACAGCCAAGATGGAGTGCGAAGTAGAAGCAAGGGTTGAGGTGCAATGGCCTGCGAGATGGATGGATCGATTGAAACAATGCTGTCGAAAATGTTGGCAAGATATTTTGAAAAGGCCATATTGGCGGACTCCTTCAACGACCGGCAGTTGACAGCGGTTACGCGAATGTGGTGACGCAGTAGGACGACAAGGACAAGGATCCCTAAATCTCTATGTATGAGTTTGGCAATAGCACTAGTGCTTATGACACATAATTAGGATAAGGGAAGTAGACGGCAACATCGTGCTGTTAAGCATCGCTGATTATTGTAAGAAATGCTGGTAATACGGCGCGAAAAAAGCTACTACACTACCTTTAGGCGATATTGAAACGACAGATAAGAAAATGGGAGGAGCCACCACAATCAATTGCTATTATTATTATTATAATATAACGGCACAGCCGAAGAGACTTGGAACTGGTGGAGGAGGGTTCAAACCCTTGCAGGTTGATGAGGTTTGCCAACTAGGGGCTGTTTCAGATTGTTCTCGGCCAGCAGTTGATAGCAACAGCGTGTTACGTGTGGTTTGTCAGAAGTTCGGGTTGTCCAGGTACAAGTCCGGGTGACATACAGACTTTAGGAAAACGCTCAAGTTCTATCTAGCCGGTTCGAATTCATTCAGTCCATTCGGATAAGCTTTTCCAATTCGGTAACAAACGGAAGATATATAGACTGGCTGAGCTTCAATTGCCCCCCGCGCACCCACACGAGCCATCTACAAACAAAATATCTGGTCTTAATCCCCGCATCTGAGATAGGAGCCACTCGGAATCTTAAGGGGGGTTATGCATTCGGCGAATTTGTATGGCCATGGTTTCTCCCTAAAAAATCCGATGTGAATCCATACACCGGTGTCATTGGCGCTATAATATTGGCTTCGATAGGCCAGTCGGGGTACCCGCAGGAAATCTAGGCAGCAGTGCTGATTCGGAAGTGCCGCAGTTCTCGCATTTCCGCAACCAGGGCCAAGCTAACTCCGATGTTGCTTCATCCCTTTGGGGAAGGCTATCAAGGGGTTCGTAGAGGATGGGAATTATGCCTAGAGGAAATTGGATCTTGATTGAGTGGTGTAGATGAGGCATAATAAAGGTGGCTAGGCACGTTATAGTGCAGAAATTAGAATCGAAAAGGTTGTTTTAGGTGGGATGATTTTCACAGATTCCACGTACTTAAAGGATATTATACAAAGAGCAACTTGAGGTGGACCAATGAGGGATATGCACGATAGCTGACATGAATATGGAAAATACGTCATGAAAAAAAGTGAAAATGCCTCGAGAGTTGACACGGATTCTGAGAGTTAAGGATTTTCATCTAATAAGCCAGTAGCATCGTTGGATACCAGCAGAGATACCTGAACTCAAAGGTCTCGTATTAGTTAATGGCTTGGCACCTATGCTATCTAGGGAAAGGGGTAGTGTGACATCTTACGTGTAGCGCTACCGCACCTTCCTAAGCTAATAGTATATGAATAGCTCATGATATTAAATGTACCATGTTGCTTTTATATGCACAGCCGACTTTTTTTCCTATCCCTAATGTTGATTTATGCATTGTTGGCTCGTTGCAATTTCAGTAAGCTAAACAAGTTAAAAGAAAAGGATGTGTGCAGGTCATCGTTTCAAGATTATGTACGCACCACAGAGACACGAACACCCAAGATGTGCGCTGTGAACAAGAAACAGTCTTATTCATTTATTCTCCTCAAAACAAGTCAAAGACTTTACGCATCTCAATAAAGACAGACGTATTTCCCACTATCTTCTTCCCCCCTCCACAATCCTGTCATCTGGACTAAGCTAGCAGGAGTGGGCTTGTTTCAGTTCAGTTCAGTTCCCCCCATTCTCCATCTTCCTCTCTTCAAACACCCTTAAAGCCTCCTCCGCAGCCTTAACCCCACTCAACGCCATAGCCCCAAAAGTCGGTCCCATCCTATTCGCGCCATCCACCTCACTCAACTCCATCCCACCCACGACCAATCCTCGAACCACCTCCCTTGTCCCCTTCACAATCGCATCTTCTGCGCTCTGCATATCCAGTCCGCGCATGCCACCTAATTTCTCAATCTGCTGCATACTGACGAGCCGCTTTACGCTGAATGCGCCGAACGGGCCGTCGTGGCCAGTGGTGGAGATGACGAGGGGGGCGTTGATGGTGTTGGGGTCCATGCAAGATTGGTCATCGTGGTGCATGCTGACGAGGGTCCAGTTTGTGACGACGCCGGCAATAGAGATGGCAGAGGGGTTGGTAGGAGTGGGGGAGGGACGGGTGATGAGGTCTTCGACGGTGGTGGCGTTGAAGAGCTTTACGTTGGGGTAGGAGAGAACTCTGGACAGGAGCGTGCTAGTGAAGAGCGCCTGTTGAAGGGAATGTGTTAGTATTTAAGTCTTCTAAAATCGTGGGAGATTTTAGGTACAATTGTAAGAGGAAGAAGAAAATGATAAGTATATCAGATCAGAGAGACTTGGAGAGATAGGACAAGACAGGATAGGACAAAACATACAGCATGCTTAACCACTACAAAGTCACCCTCATCTTCATACGGAACTCCCAGGTCAGCGAGAAACACATCGGCAGGCTTCCGCATCACCATTGCGCTGAAAAGCTGGCCTCCAAGCCACGCTCCGCCTCCAGGAGCCACCCCGGCTTCAATGATGGCAATCTTGAGGTCTGGGCGCTGCTTTCCGAGGATGTAGGCTGCGCTGAGGCCGCAGGAACCCGCACCCACGATGACGATGTCGGATTCGGCGTAGGTGTCCAGGTCGTTGAAGTAGCGACGAGCTGTCATTGACCGTCCATGTTAAAATTGTACGCATAGGAGTTAGGAGGGGGCATACTCATAGCACGGGAGACTTGAGACTCCCGAATAGGCGCGAAGGTAAATGACTCCCATTTATTCTCCATTTCAGCGAGCGTCTTAGCTTGGCCATTTATCATGGCCTTGACCGCGAGGTCTTTCTTTATTCCCATCAGACCATTGCCATTGGTGGTGGCTGGAACGACGGTTTCGTGGATCGCAGCTGGAGGAGACATTTTTCACGATTCAATTAACTCCTCGTTATTGGGATTTGAAGTCTAGAGAAGTCAGAGTGTCCAAGACGATCAGGAAGGATTGGGGAAGGCATGATTCCTTTCGCTGGTATTATCCAGAGTCAAGTTCAAACCGTATGATCTCAGCCTTCTCCCAACTACTCCACTCCCCCTCCTCTCCTCACCTATCTCATATATGTGTGGTATATGGAAGTAAGTGAGGTGGGGAGGAGAGAGCAGTAGTTGGAATCTAGCACCGGTTTCATGCTCAGTATACTTAACACTGATTGCGTTTGTACCTTGATGACTTTGAGATAATGCCCGCGCGTAGAATATGTCTTCGTGCATGGTAAATCACTGGCGGGTGGATTGTACATTTGAGGTTTGAGGTGTTTGATACCTAGTCGTGTTAGTAGTTCTTTTTCACTCAGCAACAAGAATCAGGGATACTGTACGAAGATTTGAGCACTCAGAAGTGTCCTAGTGACTGACGAGAACGAAAGCTGGCAAAGAGCGGTTTGAAGAGAAAGGTGGGTGCTTCTTAAGTTCTCCGACACAGAACCCCACGTCACGACCTCCGATACTCAGCGCAGGATATAGCGGGGCTTGATGTTCACATCATGCATTGGTTCCGGAAAATTGACAGGGGTTCGGAAGAGCTACCCCGCCTCAACAGCTTTAGAGGCCCATATCAGACGATGACACATTTGATTCGTAAGACTCGAAGCGAGTAACAAACACCTGAGCGACGATGAATGTGATCGGGTGATGAGAAGAAGAGATAAGATCTGGGGAAGCGAGGTGGTGGTGTCTTATTCCGGTAAGCCGAGATGGAGTGTCCCGGGAAGGATTGAAGTCTAGATACAGGTTTACGAAGAAAACAAAGTAACTCCGAAAACCGGAGCTTGCAAATAACCAAGGTTTAATGACAGGAGAACAGAAAAAAATGGTGAGAGACGCTATGCATGGATGCAGCCTAGGTAGCTACCGTACTTGTCCTTCGAGCTTGCGCTCCCAAGCAGCTAGCTCGATGTCTAGACTTGAACATTGTGCATCTCAGCGCCTTCATACGGCTGAGATCCCATATGGCTCATTTCCATCGGAACCGGGATATGGCTGTGGATGCTCATGCTCTTGCTATAAGGGCTTCGAGCACGAAGAGCAGGACCCCATTTATACAGGACAAACGGAACGGCGATGCAAGGGATGGAGATGAAGCCGAAAATGCTCAAAGCCCAGTTGCCCCCAAGATTCATGAATGCTGTAGGCGTTGTTAGTGAGGGGCCTTGTTATTAGAGGTGGGGGTCTTGGTTTTTTTTGGAGGTGAAGGTCGTTCGTACCTTGGATAATGACGAGAGGAATTATTCCAGCAACGGCGATGCGAGTGCATGCAGCGGCTGTGAGAGCGGAGAGTGTGCCCGCGGGAGGGTAGGCGTCGAAGAGATATGTGACGAGAGAGATCTGAAAGTCTTTGTTAGCTATACGGCTTACACAATAGGGAAATGTACTTACAAGAACGTGCAGCCCACCCCAGACAAAAATAGCAGTACCAAAGATAGGACTCAGATAGTTGATCGAGGGTTTAGCTGTCCACCCGACCCAGAAGATGGAGCTGGTGATAAGGACGCTACCATACATTGCTGGAATAAGTCGCTTTTCGATAGCCATAGTCGTCTTGCATGATCTGAAGATGGCTTGCTCAATCGCAATGGTACAGAGAGCTGCGAGAGAAGCTCCACCAATAGCGCCGCTAAAGGCAATCCCGGCCCTTTGGGGACTGAAACCGTATACGGTTTGAAGCACAACCGGAACCGTAATGAACCACTGGAACGTCACTGCCCAGTTCAGGGCCAGGCAGAAACTGATCATGATGACAATAGGCTCGAAGACCAGTTGCTTTAGAGGGTTTATGACTGTGATGGTAGCCATCTGGGCAATTGTGACGCCACTCTCTGCCAAAGGCTGACTGGGAGGAGCGAGGCTACGGACTTTGTTTCGTCGTCGAGGAATCTCGCGTCCGTAGGTCTCCGGCATGCCGATCGCGAAGGCGAATACGACTAGGATGAGCATTAATTCAGTGTATTCTGCCCATCGCCAGCCTCCTGCTTGGACGACGAAGTTGCCCACAATAGGACCTAGGGGAATATCCGTCAGTATTTGAAGATTTTGGGGGAAGGTGCAGTGTATATGTACCAGCAGCTGCGCCAAAGTATGAAGCAACTCCGAGGAAGGAGTAGTAAGTGTTCGTCGTCTCTGCAGACCAAATATCCGCAAAGGTACCTTCAATCAAAACGAGACAAGGTCCTCCTGCTAAACCGGCGAAAAAGCGACATGCAGCTAGGGCGGCGAATGACTGCGAAAAAGCAGCACCTAGGTGAAAGAGACCGCAGACGAAGAGGCAGATGAGGTATAGAATCGACCGGCCGTATCTTTCAGCAAGATGAGGGCTGTAGATGGGCGCAAAGAAGATGCCAAATAGATAGAGCGAGTAGCCTGAGATGGCTTTGGTCATGGAGATATTGAAGGTCGCCATAATATCCGTGAGTCCAGACGTGTATATCGTTATACCAAAAGCTCTACACCGTGTCAATGCTTCGCACTCTGAGAATGAGAATAGTCTTACACTGTGAACCCGCAAGCCCATGCTACAGCAGATGCGTACACACGTCGGTAGGTGGGCCAGTTCATTGGGTTATCTGGATCGTCGGCCCTGAGAGTGTGTGATAGCATCATGGAAGTCGTTGGCCCTGTGGGCATCTTGTGCATGTCGTCACTCTCCCTTGAAGGCATCATGGGATCGTGTTCAGCGTTGTGGTGAGTGTGGTCGTGCTGCCCCACATGGTTGGCCATTGAAAAGGAAACAGGAGTTGGGGGCTTTCGAAATGAAAAGAATGATATTATTCGATAGTGGAAGATGGAGAGAAGATATCAAAGATGGTTGTGACTGAGTTCTAGAAAATAAGAGTTCGTTAAAACTGAGACTCGTCGCCCTTATATGCGAGGAGGACAGAGCCTTGTGGACCAATGCTTCTGTAGACTTTCCATTGGTACGGACATGCTTCCACACAATGGAGACAGTCATGTCGAGTATAATCAGCACTGCCAGAAGTAGACAACGCTAGAGCGCAAGGTTGAGGTGGAATAAAATGAAGTTGAGGTTGACAAATACCCGCAAGCCAGGTAGCGGTACAGCATAATCTGTCGAGATAGTGTTTTGATGCCGGTGTTGATTCCGTATCCTACATCCCGGGGTGGACGCTCAATGATGTAAACCAGGGGAGGCTTTGGAATAGGGATGGAGGCTTAGGCTAGTGAAACAGGAATCAAAAGATGCAGCACGAACGAGAAGGATGGAAGGGGCGCAATTGGCTGAGGAAAGAGAAAGACGAGAAGACGGAGTTAGCCTGAGGTTAGTTGCTGCTGTGTGAGAGATGGTTTGATTCCGAATCAAATCTCACTGGGCGCCGTGGCGGTGCTATGACCTTCTGCGGCAGTCAGCAACTAGCAAGGCCACAAACCGAAGGCCAAGGCGAAGTGGACGGGGCTAAAGTTGAACAAACAGCAGTGTGTTTGAGGCTTGTGGCTGCAGGAAGGATTGATAGATGCTGGAAACACGGCGGAGTGAAAGCCGCAAACGGGTTGGTACGGAATGCGCGCACCCGCTCAGCAAGGTAAGTCTTGAATGGAGGGCACGTGATTCTTCATCTTCACTCTTTCAGTTATTTTATTTAATATTTTATTTTATTTTTTTTCAAATTCACCTCAAATGCAATGCCAGGTAATTATTACTGGGAGGTGATGAGTTTGCCAGGATGAGGTACAAATTGACGGGCCCACTCCTCGTATCACGGCAACAGGTGGGCCAAAACGCGCTAGCCCTGTTGGCCAGCTGCGGGCGTCTCCTCACGACAACACACACTCCACTGTTTATCCAGAGCCCTCATGTACCCCGCGTACTGTACCGAAGCTCAATAACATTTCCTAAACATGGAGGAGCAAGCCGCCGCCCTCCTCGCAGCGCTGAAGAAGCCTTCAACTGCCGTCGACACCAAGCTTACCCTGTTTAACAATCTCAAATCGGGCATCAAGCACAACCGCGTCTCAGAGAGCGCGCAGGCTCCCATCTTTGAGGCCATCAGGCTCGCCATCAGCGCCAACACTTCGGCGGCTCTCTGCTCGACTGGCTTCTCGACATTGAACCACCTCATCAAACGTCTGGTGCTGCAGAACCAAACCACTACCCTTGCCTCGCAGTCCCACAGGCTGCTCCCTATCTTGCTCGACCGATTGGGCGATGCACGTGAAAGCCACCGCAATGCCGCGTCGCAAATCCTCTCCGAGCTCTGGCCGCTCTCCCAGGTGGAGATCGAGGCCATGGTCAAGGAAAATGCCATGAAGGGCACTAATCCCCGCGCCAAGGAGATGTCGATGCAGTGGGTAGTGAAGATGAACAAGACCGAAGGCCTTCCCTTCCGCGGCTTCGTCCCACAGCTCGTTGCAAACCTCGAGGATGCCGACCCCGGGGTCCGCGAGACTGCGAAAGCTGCCGTCGTGGAGTTGTTCAGGTGCGGCTCCGATACGCTTGGACGGCCGTGGTGGATTGCTGACTTCCTGTAGAAACGCACCCGAGCACGCAAAGGTCGACTTGAAGAAGCAATTGGTCAAGTTCGACGTCCGCAAAACCATCGCGAACTACATCAACACCCACCTGAGCGAGTCTGTGTCTCCAGAGGCAGACATGCCGCCACCACCTGCGCGCCCAATCTCCACAGCGCGAGCAGAGTCTCTGCAGCCCGACACTGGGTTCGCCGACAGTCTCTTGTCGGAGGCACCTCCGCCTACCGAGGCGGTGCCCATGGACCCAATCCACCTGTACACACAGCGAGAGCTGGACGACATATTCCGGGACATGGCGCCCTGCTTTGAGGGCAAGGAGAATGAGCAAAACTGGCTGGCCCGGGACAAGAGCACCCTCAAGCTCCGCCGAATCACCAAGGGCAATGCACCTACCGAGTTCCATGTCGCCTTCGTCACGGGAATAAAGTCTTTGCTAGATGGCATATTGAAAGTGGCAAATACGCTGCGGACCACCATGTCATCAAATGGCTGCCAGCTCATCCAGGAACTCGCAAAGACGCTGGGCCCCGCCATGGATCCTTGGGTCGAGATTCTGCTCCAGAACTTTGTCAAGATGTGTGCCGCGACTAAGAACATCGCTGCTCAAAACGGCAACACCACGGTTGACACCATTCTCTCCAACGTATCGTACACGGGACGGCTGCTGCCGCACGTGTCCTTTGCATCGCAAGACAAGAATGTGCAGCCCCGCACCTTTTCGGCTGGCTGGGTGAAGACCCTGATAAAGAAACATAAATCCCCGATTGAGCACTCGGGAGGCCTTGAGATCCTAGACAAGATTATCAGGAAAGGGCTTGCTGATGCTAATCCCAAGGTTCGTGAGGCATACCGAAGCACCTACTTCACTTTTGCGTTGGTATGGCCTCAGAGAGCTGAAGCGTAAGTATCTTTTTAGATCATGTAAGCACATTCGCTAATTGTAGTCTAGCATGATGGCAACTCTCGAGAAGAGGGAGAAGACTGCGTTGGAAAAAGACCCTAACAACCCCAATGCATCTCTCACGTCATCACAGGCGAGCGCTTCTTCATTCTCCAAGTCTGTTGGCGCCGGCGGAGGAGCCGCCCGAGCTGCACTGAAAGAGAAGATTGCTGAACAAAGGAGGGCAAAGCTGGCTGCCTCCAAAGGTGGACTAGAACGCCCCAGCTCTGCTCAAGCAAGTTACTCACCCGCAAAATCACTCTCAGCGAAATCTTTTGGCTCGAGAACCGCGTCGAATTCGTCAACTGCGTCTTCGACTATCGTAAGACCGCCATCAGCAATGTCCGGCGGATCATCAAAACTGGCTTTGGCATCAACTGGAGCTGGTACTGGTTCGCTAATGGCGGGTACACTTCGACGGCCGATGCGTCCTCGACCGGAGTTGGTTCGGCCCGCAACAGCAGATCCATATGCCTCTCGTCGCGCAGGAAAGAATGTGACACCGTCAATGACGCCGGAGAAAACCCCCGCAGCGACAGCCAAGAAATCAGCTGTTCCTAAGAGCAGCATCCGTCCTCGTGCTCAGACCCAGCAAAGCCCCAATGTAAGTCCCATCCGAAGCAAGTCTAGATTGGGCGAGATTGCAATGCATCGCAAGACGCCTAGCGCGCCATCACAACATGGAAGCCCTGCTCTTAGCCCATCTAAGGACGAAGATTTGACACTGGTAAAACCTTTCGGTAGGTTCGCGAGCCATCAGGAGCCAGGCGTGACTCCTTTCCGGCACCGACCTGGAGTGGAAAAGACGATGTCTGTTGACAGTGGGATGATGGATGTAGGGATTGACGATAACTTCACAATGGTTATTCCAAATCTCACACAACCTACCGCACAGCTAGCCCAGCGGAGTCCACCCAAGCCAACTCCTTCTCCGGGCCGACTTGGAACCGCCAGCCCTCTCTCGACTATGCTCAGGAGCCCCAAGTCGATGGCTGATGTTTCTGGTATTCCCCTCGCGACGACACGAAGCCCACGTATGAGGTCACCAGACCGACCGAGCACGCGAGGCACTGATGTCCAAGAAGAGGTTCAGGTTTATGAGGATCCATTCGTGGGTGATGAACCAGGTGCTATCGTAGAGACTGAGAAGCCCGTGCTCGAGGAGCTTCCACTAAACATGAATGAAAAGAGCATCGAACGGCGTCAGAGCACCGACAGCACAAGTAGCAACACAATGATGGGCGATGGAACCGAAGAGCGAGTTCGAGGTCACCACAAGACCACTAGCACCGGAAGCGTCATGCTAGCGGATAATGACGCAGCGCGACCAGAAGTTCTCAAAAATAGGCAGCTACTTACCAGCGGCATCAACAAAATCCGCAGCCGAACAGTTGAAGCAGTCATGTTCCGTAAGCTGCAAGACATGATCAAATCCAATCAAGATATCTGGGGCATCGAAGACGAAAAGTTTGGAGAACTACTTCTTGCATCCTTGGACTATCTCGAAGCTCCTATTGAGACGCTAAAACAAACACCCATGAAGGCCGCAAATCTAAAGGTTCAGGCGCTTGCGACAATTCGTGCCATGCTCTCTCTATACCGCAAGGAGACGGCGAAGTATTTCGCACGCGTGCTCTGCACCGTTCTACAAACCAAATCCCAGTACGAGAACACCTCGCATATCGCAACAGACCTTGAAGCCACCGCCGACGAAATCATCAAATACGGCCAAACAACAGACTGCCTAGACGCCGTCCTCTCGCTCATCGAATCCACACCCCCATCCTCCCCATCTTCTTCCCCCGCCTCCAAATCAACCACCAGCTCCACCAACTCTACATCCCAATCAGCCGCCACGCGCACCACCACAATGGCCCTCGGCGCGCTCTCCAGCCTTATCCAGATCTCGGGGGCGAAGAACGTAACGCTGTCTCCGGAACAGACAGCGCGATTAGGCAAGCTAGCAGTTAAGTGTCTAGATGATACGGATGCAGATATACGTAAGGCGGACGTCGAGGTTTGCATTAGTCTGCATGAGAGGATTGGGGGGGAGAAAGAGGCTTTTTGGAAGGCCGTTGCCGGGGCGAGGGAACAGCATTTAAATCTGCTGACGTACTATCTGGCAAAGAGGGGGAAGGCGTGAGAAGCTATTCCTCGGGTTGTGGGATGGATGGGGTGAGTGAAGGACCACTAGAGTAGGGGAAGGCAGGTTTCAATCTGTCACGTTTGCATTGGCTGACACCCTGGGCTAACTGGTCTCTGTCCCTTTTGTTTTCACTGCCATTGGAATCAACGAGCAACTGACAACTATTCAGCTTTGGCACCATGCAGGCAAGGTCGCATTCTAGAGGAGTTGAAGGCATGACTTTGACTCAAGGGCGCAACCCGGCGTTCTGAAAAAAAAGTAGGCGTGTTGGCAGTCACTTCCTAGCCCCTCTTTCTCTCTCTCTCTGTGTGTGTGGGTGTGTGTGTTCCTTTGCCACTGCCATGGTAGTGTAATTTTGTACGGTTATCTCCTTGAATTGCTGCTACTTTTTTGCGGTTATCAGATAGTTAGGGATCAGCGTTCTGTAGTACTTGTTTAATAAATGCGTCTGTGAAATCCAGCAAGTGGAATGATAGGGTGAGGGCTGTATGCATGTGTTCTTCAGAGAGAAGGGTGAGTAGGCACTGAGAATTTAGCCTTGTAAACGATGTGATATGGTCTGGATACCCCTTGAGCATGATATAGCTAACTACCGTTACAAGTTTTCCGAGCCTGACTAGAGAGGTTGTATGCAGTAAAATGATATACACAAATGCAATCTAACCCAGTCGTGCCTGTCTTTGCTGTTCCTACTATAGCAAAGCGTAGCTGATTCCCTTTCAGCTCCTCCCTCCTCTCCCCTTCTCCGTTCATAGTTAATTAATTGATGCTAACTATATGCACGAGATGCAAATGAAGGAAATACAAACTGGGAAATCCAGACAGCCAATCGAAATCCGCAACGCTGCCTCTCCGAGAAATGGATAGGGAATGATACTGGACAGGAGAGACTAGATCTTCACGCAAACGACACTATGAATCTTCTCGTCGAACTCCTCACTCAGCGTCCGCAGTTTCGTTGACTCATCTTTGGATCCGAGGGATAGTTTTGGGCTGCTAGATGGACATCCATAGGTTCTAGAACACTCTCATGTTAGTATTACTTCACTCGTGCAACTAAACCCAGCTAGAGGAGAGGTTTAAAGCGGGCTAAAGGTGATGGGAGTGGGAAAGAGAGAGGTAGACTTACGTATAAAACTGACACTTATATCCCAGCTGAACAACAAGAGAGCGTACTCGACCATCCCAGTTCCCATAGATCATGGTCAGATCAGTGCACCAAGCGTTTCCCGGGATGGCGGTTTTGTCGGCAGGAACTGTTTCGCCGATCAGGTCTTGCTGTTTGAAGATGGTGGCCCCGCGGCCGTCATCGGGAATCGTACCCTGAAATTTATCAATCTATTGAATCTCAAAATCATGAGGATCGACAAATGCGTCTTATCACCGAATTCAAACATGATTAGGGTAGAATTCACCTGTTAAACCACCCTTAAGTAAGATAGAAGGTCAATAAGAGGCAAGTATTACGCGGAATTACCCTGATGAAGTTCAACGCTAAGTGACAAGATGCAATATTTCTGGTCGCTGTTTTACGTCTCTTCGCGATGCGGTTGAAGTGGACAGCAAGAAACAAAAATACAACATACCTCATCATCCCGTTCCTTAACCTCAACATTCCGAACATGCTTTGGAATATTTACGACAACAGTTCCAGCAGCCATAGTCGCATTCGGCGCGAAGTTCGTCGCATTTGGGCCGCATATGTACGCTTGAATCGCATCTTGCATCGCTCCCGGTAGAGTCGGGAGTCGGGCTGGACCTTGGACGACCATAGCGTGGGTGCCTGCGGGATTGATGCAAGCTTCCAGGGAGAAGAAGGCGCAGGGTTGGCGGGCGGTGATTTCGAGAGACATGATACATCGGTCGCTGGGGCATGTTAGATTGAGGTATTCAGTGAAGATGTGTATATTTGAGTTTGTATGCAGGGAGAAGGAATTTGATGGTTGAATAGCTGCTATGGATTTGGAAATGAGTTTTGGGTTGCATACAGTGGGAGTTCTTTGCTGACCGCAGTCACACACTCGTTTGGAGTCGTCATGGTCAAGGTAGTGCAGGTTTCTGCCAATCCAACTCCTGTGCATGCTCGACCAATGGGGATCTTGCCGCGACCAGCGTCCACGAACTCGCGCTCATTGGTAGGAAGGCTAGTCACGGCGGTGCCCAAGAAACCGAGTAGAAGAGAGATTCGCATCTTGAGTGATCGAGTCTGGATCGCTTGGAGAAGTTTGCCGAAGATCGTCGAAGTTTGATGCCGAAGTAAATTCGTACCAGGGTTGTGTGGAGAGGAAAGTCGAACGTAGGTGCAGCTTTAAGTTCCTGCTCTCTTCCGATTCAAATACCCAACGCTGTTTGCAAAATCTGCTCAAGGAGTGAAAGCGTGAGATCTTCTGACGTAGCCGTTCGACGTCTTGACATTATTTCTGTACTCCAGGTTCGTGACCATAGCGCGTCTAGATTGTTTTATATTAACGGCCACGTTGCCAAGGAACCTCACACTCCACCTTTAAGCAATTACCATAACCTATTACTCCAGGCGTGATCGGCACTTCGCCTTGTAAGTTTTTGATTTCTCCAGATTGACCCGGTGCCTGGCGCCTGGACCGCACGGTCGCAGGGCTCAGAGTAGATTCGTTGGGTTCTGATACCAGGAGAATGTGGTGACTACAATTATGATGATAGTCGGAGTGGACAAATGAAGCTATCAACGATCTAATTGGCTACACAGGGATATAGATCAGTTTTGAATTGATTAATAGGGATTAGTGACTGTGATGAAGAGCGGAACTTTTCAAAGACTCTTTTCAGAACCCTGTCCCATCTCCAACTGTAACCCCAGGTTCAATTCCAACACCAACTCTTTAAAGCTTGTTCACTTCTTCCATTTTCCTAATGGAGTATCTTGTCCCTGGATCTGTACTTTCGTGCCACCAAATCTATCAGGAGTAGCGAAAATTTCCAAAACTAGGACTCTTAAGTTCCACGACGCCTAAACTTGGAGAGAAGATTGAAGCAAAAAATTTTGACCACATGCGCACTGAAATAAGCCTCATCTACAAGAAAGAGCTTCCTTAGAGGCCAAGCTTGGCATTGCATGCTGCTGTGTCTGTTCTTGTCCACCGATGCTGCTGGTGTCATCTAATGTTGGTAAAACACACCGATTATTAGGTATATTTAAGGGTGCCACTCCTCGAAGAAGCAATCCTGGCCAGTCCTTTTCAGAGCACAGTTTCGCGCGAGTCCGACGCTTAACCTCTGATATTGGGAAACATAGCCTCCTCTGCAGAAACACCCTGTGCCATGATTGAAAGCGCTGTCTGCAGTTGAAAGCGTTTCGAATGTGTGGGGAGCTTGATGTTTTTGTCCGCAAAATGGCTTCGTCTGATTCAGATCGCGGGCCCTTCCTGGCAGCTCAGACAGAGGCACTGCTCCGAATGCAAATTAACTGGGATAGCTCCGACTTGCTCCGCTGGCCACACCATTGCAAGTCTCCACCCCGGCTCCCAACTCTCATTCTCCCATAGATCAACCACAATTCTTTTCGCCCATACGGTAAACCAAAAATTCGGTGCTCGATAAAGTGGAATGCACCAATGTGCTAGAAGGATCATAGCAAACGGCCGTCTCTCCTGGAGAAATGTAAAGAATTGGTTCGAAACTGACGTAAGCCATCTGAGGGACTTTGACCACGAGGGCGGCGAATCCGGTATGGAAGTAAAGAAGGATCTCAATGTACCCAATGCTTGTCGGTAGATTGCTTTGTGTGATTGACTATCCGTGGAAGATTCGTTGAGGCGTTCAAGAAAGCCAAGGATCTCGCGGCCTTTTATATGCATAGGACATGACTTTCCACCGTTCAAGCTCCGTCTAATGAGGGGGCCCAGTGGCCCTTGCTCGATGCCAGGAAGAACGATATCTAGAGCATGCCATGCCTGTCGGAGTGTTTGGAGAATGTCAGTGAATGTTGAAAATGGACTTGTTGACATTGGGAAGCCAGACAGTATTGGAAGTCCCAAAGAAAACACGACAACGAGAAAGGAGAATGCCGCAACTGCACTCCCATTCCCAGGAGTTATAGTATGAACTGAGGATCGAAAAAAAGCTACTGCTCGACTGTGGTGCCCGTGGGCTACATCGAAGTGCTTCAATCGCTCTGGAGATGGCGTGCGGGAAGATAAATGCAAGGCGGAGAGAGCAAGGAGACTATGCAGTAGATAAAGGTGTACCCTGGCCTCATTCGGAATGTTTACTTGCCAAATTGTCAAGTCTTCTGTAGATGAAAGGGAAATCGATGTTTGCGTTGCGTATTGGTAAAGTAGTGCTACGTCCCGAGTTTCCAGTGTGTACGACGGAGAGAGATAGGTAAGGGGGTATGAGTTCACCGGAAACGAACTGCGAAAAGGGTCAGTCCACAGAACTGTCGGTGTTTCTCAATAGAAAGTGTACCATAAATAAACCGGATGTGGTATCTGTGCGACCGTTGCACTCAATGCAGTATAGTCACATATTTTCCCCCAACGCTTACAGTTAGAGCATCGAGGTGGCTTTCCATCGCACTGTTTGGATTTCAGAGTGAGCCCATGGGAGCTGGGAGTAGGCAACTACTTTATGGAAGGCAAAGACCGCCAAAAAGCAGTAAGCCATCCCAAAAAGTTAGCGCGAAACGTACTTTTCTCCTTCGTTGTTTGCACTGCCCACATCCATTTCTGGATTTGCTGTGAAACTTCCTGGAACCTCCTGCCATCTTCGTGACAGCGACTTAGATATCTAAAGCTGATTCCGGAGTCTGAGGAAAGCAAGCTACTCTGCTATTGTGGGTGTGAATGTTGGCTGCCGATCCCCATTGTCTGAAAATTCTTCTCGAAGTCTCTAGATACTTGCTCTGTGCGCTGTTAAATTACTAATGGTCGATTCTAGACTGTAGTAGGAGGGAAATTGGGTGTTGATTGCTGGTTCATGTTCAGGATGATTGAGAGTCTTGAGTTCGCGTAGTCAGCTTCACCACAAGCGCACTTGACCAAGAAGGGAAAGGCGCAATTATTTTCACCCCTTAAACAATCTTTGAAGTCTTGGCTTCTGCCTTCTCAAACAGATCCCAGATATTCCCATTTAGATCCTCGTAGGCATGTTAGGATCCACTTTCCACTGTAGACTGGATTGAACACCAAAACGTGAGCTTTGAGACGGCACGTACGATCCTGGCGGCACCGCACCCTTCTGTAGATTGACTAGACCGCATCGTTCTCAAACGCTCGCCTCTGTATCGATTGCCTTTAGAGTCAAACATTTGAACATTCTCAGACCACCAATTGAAGGTTTCATGTTGGCAATTGCAACTAGATCTGCTTGCGAGGTGGCTGTTGCGCTCTTCCTAGATCGGGTAGTCGAAATTAACATAGTACCATACCTGCTCTCAGGTGATCCGGACCGTCCGTGTTGCTTTCTTCGGAGCTTGTCGGGTACAGAAACCAGTAGTGAATGATAGCAGGCATCCTCTGGTTGGGTATCAACAAATGTCCCGACGATATTGCACCAGTTGGGCCAGGACCGCTGGGTGCACAAGTTGCTTCTATGATAGTCGCCCATTCCAACGGTGTGACAATCACCTAATTGTAATAGATGTAATCCCCGGGCCTGTGGAAGCCCCATGGCCATGTGGGTGCTGTTTAATCCACAGGTCTTCTTTTGGTTCGAATGGTCGACTAGGGCAAGTCCTGGATTTGGAAATTTTTTCCATGAGCTTGCCAGGTAGTGATCTGATTGATCTTGGTTCCATTGCTTGGCCAAGTTAGAGAGGGCAGGAAGGATATCAGTAGGGCCTTCCGGCTTCGTGTTGTAAAGACTATTGATCCTTTTTCGCTTTTCGGCAGCAAACCAATAGGGCGGGCCGATGTCATACTGCTCTCGGTCTTGAGCTACGTATCCAAGTCATCAACATTATCCGATATTAGCAGCCACTGGCCTGCGCTTTCCTGACTTAGGTAGTGTTGCACAAGCTCCTTAACATCTTCTTTTTTACTCCTCAACCCTGGTATGCGTAGCTGCTGGGCGATCTCGAGGTACGCTTGTTGGACATTCTCCATTCTAGTTGCAGATATCCAAAAGACTGAGCAATCGGGACGTTTATCTCCCGTTCTGTAAGCTAGCTCAAGCACAATCTGGGTCTTGCCGACACCCCCAAGGCCGGTGACTGAACCTTGGAGGGGTGGTTCTCTCCAAAAAGGCTAGCCTCTAGTTGGTGGATTTGGGGACTGCGGCCGACGAAGTGGTTATTCCTTGTGAGCTGGACAAACCAGCAGGATTTACGTGGAATAGTTAGGAACGTTTCTTGTGCATGTTGCTGGAAAGGTTAACATAAGGAGCAGAGACTGTGAAGAAGTCTTACCCGAATCTCTTGAACTATCTCGCGATGGGTGATTGCATGCTCTGTTTGGATATTTGATTTTGTTTCTCTAATTACCTCACAGCGAGTATTGGCATGTTCGTCTTTAAATCTTAATACCATCTTACTGTGCAAAGTTCCCATCTGAGCAATCTGTATATCATGCACCACCTTACAGACATCCTGTTGTGCAACAATAGCATCATGTACTCTTTGCGTGGTCGAACCAAGATCTCTAAGGTGATCTGTATAAATTTCCTCAAGTTGCAAGACTTGCTCTCTATACCATATATGTAGTTAGCGCGGTTATCACCTAGTAATATGCCTACACACCTAAGATCCACGGTAACGTGCAAGTTGAGCTCTTCCCTAAACTTTGTTAGCCGTACTTCGAGCTCACGAATCTTCTCCTTGCTCCACACACTCTGCAAGGCCTTCCTAGTGCTTTTCCCTCTGCCTTGTTTCACTATAACTTTGACTTTTTTTTCAACGCTGTGAGTAGTTCGTCGGCAGTGGACTATCATGATTCGCAGAGCTTTTTGAGCGCACCATTGCTAATTGTAGCAGGAGCGGCGTCTTTGACCTTATTACTGTGAAGCATCAGATGATTTGTTGCCGTCTCGATATCGATGTTCTTGGCAAGCGCCCCTTCGCTGGACTGGTAGAGCTCCGTCGACTTCGCAATTAGCTTACCGCTTAAGTCAATAAACTGAACGACATTCCCAACGAGGGTGGTTATCGCAAGGGTCTCCATTATGATGTCATGGAGGTAGGAGGAAGAAGTGTCGCCGCGATTGAGACAATCAAAGGTGTGGCATGGTTCTTGTTTGCGACGACATGCTACATTCCAAAAGTAGGGAGACGCAAGGTTGAACTTTTGGCAGACTCGAGCGTGTGTTACCAAATCGCATGATGTTTGGAAGCGGGGAAAGTGGACACTAGTATAAATGCGGGACGGCCGGGCTATGTCAGCATGCTTATGATTGATAGTTAATACTAATATATATTTCCATTAAATAACACTGAGAACAAGCTTTCTGGATCTGGCACGCTAAATGCATAAAGTCAAACGCCTTAGAAAACGGAGGTCCTAAGCTAAAGTTTTTGCAGTGTTCGATTCGGGATCAATCTGGATACGTGTAAAGTGAATCAATCCAGATTCATTTTAAGACTGGCCGGTGAAAAACCGTAATTGAATGTTGAAAAGTGTTCGGTAGGACAGGCGAAGCGATCTCTTCTTTGAAAAGTACCAGACTCTGCGTCGTGGTGCGAATCGTAGGAGAGTTCGGGTCTTGAAGGCCCTAACAATGATTCAGGTAGACATAACGACCAATACCATTTGATCCAACTAATTGGAGTATTGATCCGAGGATGTCTCTCTGCCGCCGTGAAGCCACGCCATGGTTTCTAATAAGTTAAGAGTCTTCGGCTGTGAGATGGAGTGGTACGAACTGCTACTCTCAGAGAAGAAGGGGAACTTACGAGAAGTCATTTCCATAACTCTACTTCTCAACCCTTCAGCTGGACACTCCAGAATATCCAGCGTAGAGAACAGAATATAGCATCTCTGAAACAATATCTCTCCTTCTCAACTCGGCCTCAGTCGCACATTTCACAATAGCTTGCACATTTTGAAAGGAGATAAGACAGTTTTCGTCTGCATAGTGCAATATTTGCTTCGGGGAAAATCTCGTCGAGCTTTAGACCGGGTTTTGAGGGACAGAAACATTTGTCGAGGAAGCGAAGAGGGCTGGGAGCTGGGGAAAAATTGGCCATGTTTCCCTTAGTTAGGGGGACTTGCTTGTGTTGTAACTAGAGAAAGAAAGATCAACAGAAAGTCAGCGGGGAAAGACGGTGGACTGACATGCCTAAATACCAAGATCACGTAAAGTAGGCTGCGGTACATAACTAGGGTGGGATTGAATCGCTATTAGACCTATGGCTAGGATTCAAAGGGTTACTTGGAGGATGCTAATTTCTACCCTCAATTAGGTCCTTGCCGTATTTCATTATAAGACCTAGCATGTAGTAGAGGAAGAAAGCGCATTAGGCTTACGAAGCCAAAATGAGTAGTCACATTTTTCTCCAGACATAATGCAACTTCGTTCTTAGATTTTCATGAGTGATAGATTTACGGACACTGTCAACCGAGCTTTCCAAACTAAACCTAAAGACATGGAGTTTTTCCAACAATAGGTATCTACCCAAAACGCCCGGGACCACCACGCTAGCTATGCAACAAGCATCCTTCTAAAAAGAAAAAAGAAAAAAAAGAAAGTGGGGCCATTCCAATACAAACCCGTGGGTATAAACATCCTACCACGGCGGTGGTATTATGCATAAAATAAAATAGGATGCAAAGGCATAGTATTTACAGCGCATCTGCCTGCTCTTCTTTGTCTGGCTGGACGTCAAGCCCTCGCAATCTTCTCGCCAGCAGTCCTGCACCAGGCGAAGCTGCCGGACCACCAATGCTACAGAACGCATTGCCACCATATCCTATGTCACCCTTGCTCAGCTTGTCGAAAGTCTCAGTGTGGATGTTCATGGGAGTGCTAAGGCTTGCTCTGGATGGGGATGGGTTCGTGCCGCTACTCGTGTGGGTCCGGAAAGGACTGTCTTGATTTAGATCTAAAGGATCTTGTGAGACAGACTGCGAGTCCATAGAACTAACACGGGGTAGATTAAATGGAATTGGCTCTACCGCAGACATTGGCGAACCGAAGTCGTGGGAAGGGAAGCCATTTCCGCCGCAGAACCGGTAGGTAGGCGAGGGTAGCGGCGGCTGGGAGCTGAGCCCGTCCATATGATCGTAGCTATGTTGCGAAAGCGAAAAGGCTAGGCTCCGGCGTCTGTAGGCTTTTTCAGCTGTCAACTGCGCCGCAGTTGAAGAGCTTGACTGCTGGGCCAATGAATCGCGCGTGGGTTTGTAAGTGCTATACCGAGGCTCAGGTAGTTGAATCTCATTCCTGAGTTTCTCCTTGCCATCCGGCACCCGATTGGCAAAAACGACGCGAATACTTTTGTACAAGAAATATCGCCCTTTCGATGGACTACATATGTGCAAGTGTATTAGGTATCGCAAGACAGGCCGGTCGTTGGGATCGTCGGAATTGCTTAGTGCAGCTTCCGGTCTATCCGTGCCGAAGTTCTTTCGTGATGATAACGGCATATCGATAATGGGCCCGGCCGAGTAACTTCGCTGACGGATAAATGTCTTTTGCCCTGGTTCCATGTCGGAAAGATCGTACGGAACGAGGAACAGCTTGACAGCGGTCTTGTTTGGGTTCTTGAGCACAATCTGCAATTGTCCTTGTTGTGGAATGCGATAGCTTCCACCTGGAGGTGCTTTTGGTGATGTTGATCGCCTCTTCATCTTCTCCCTCCGCCGAATGTCTCCTTTAGAGAGGCGAGAATGGTGGTCGTCTCTCGGACTTGGTTGGAAGTCAAGTTCATCTTGGGCCGGAGTTGGAATGGTGTGACGCCGTTTCCGCCTGGATGATTCAGAACTTTCTTCTGGTGGTGAAAGTGAGTTTTCGAGATCTACAAGCCCAACATATGGACTAGGGGAGTTGTCCGCAATCCGACCATTCCCACTATTATAGCTGTAGAATACCGCCGGAAATGGAACAGTTACGTGAGGTGGACACCGCAAATTTGGCTTGCATTGGCCTTTCCCGAGGACTCCAATCTGTGCGACAAAATCCAGGGGGCGCGAGGGCGTCGTAGACATCCTCCCACGCAATATTGATTCCTCGTACGAGCCCACCATAGGAGCGTGGTGTAAAGGAGATGCATCTGAGGAACAGGCTGGTCTCTGCGGGTGCATGAACGGGGTCTGGGGACTTGAATGGGGCTGAAACTGGTGAAATGAGGTCATAGATCGCCTTGGTTGATGGGCCTGATACGGGAAGGTTCCTTCTCTTCTCAGATGCCGCGCCCCAGGTGTTCCAAAAACAGGTTTGGCCATGTGAGCAGACTTGAAGGTTTGGAAAGAATGAGGCGAATAGGTATGTCGCCGGTTATTCCTTTCCGGACTTCGGGATGACTGTCTCGAGGCTGGTCGTGAAGAAAAGTCCAGATCAGTGTTGTTTGATTGCTGGACAAGCGGGCTAGTAGGAGGCATGAATACAAAAGATGAGGAGAATGATGACTGCGACGCCGTCCGCGACCGGATGGTTGGACGAGAGTCGTAGTTCAGTGCATCAGCGAAGGGAAGCACAGACTGACCCCGGCTTGAGGGATATGCAGCGGCTGGGAACGAACTGTGCCACGGAGGGACGGGAGAAGTTGCCAATGGGATATTTGAAGAGCCATTATCAAATTTTGGGTCTTCTTTCTTCTCTCTAAAATCTCCCGAGTGCAACGCCGATCGAGGGCGTTCGATCTCGAATCCTGCAGAAGCATGATCACGAAGCGGGTCGGGCGTAGTAGTACGGGACGGTTTAAGCTCAGCGGGGGGGAGTAAGGGAGTGCTTGGTCGGTCTCGAGATGTCGGCCGGCTTTCTTTCGCGTCGGAGTGCTTTCCATTCTGCGATAAAGAGTCAGATGCCGTTGCATCATTCTCTGCTTCCTTCTTCCGGTTCGACCGGCAATTGCCTAGAAGGCTTACATTTTGAAGCTGTGGCCACGAAGGACTGTTCCCTCTCTTGATTCTCTCAATCAGCTCGACTCGGTTGAGCACCGAGGGTTTGCGGTGGGTGTTGAAGGGCGTCGAGTCTATGTTAAAGCGAGAATTTGATTCCGTGCAGCTTCCTGGGTCCACTCCGTCTCGCAACGTGGCCTCAGAGCTACATTGTGGGTATCCTGCTCTTTCAAGCTGGTCCGGGGCGGATTCCTGGGCGACGGACTTTCGGGGCGGACTGTCGAAATGATCATGGAAGATGGGCATGATCAAGACGAAGTGCCTCCTCTGAAGTCATGAATACAAAGGGCTGGGGGAGTTTGGGGGTAGTGAGCTGCGTTGGGCAGTGGGAGTCGTGAGGTGGAGCACGGCTTTGGGCGATGGTGGCGGGGATGATGTATCACACGGCGGCGGTTGGAGCACCAGATGGCCCGGCGAATAGCGCGCAGAGGAGTTTCTACTTAATCAACGAGTGTGCTGGCTCCACTGGCTCGCTCTGCGTCACGCTGCCCTGTTCTGAGACGAAGGACAGCGAAGGAGACTAGCAAGAAGGTGCGGAGCTGTAACTGAAGAGTGATGACGCGCCGTTCGCCATGGACGATGAACAGGCGAGCGCGGAGCTCCTCAACGCTGATCCAGACCGTCTTGATCAGCCGGTTGGCGCTCCTAGGTCACACGATGCCGAAAATAAGGAAAAGAGTCATTTAACTGCCCTGCATGTCGCCGCTGGCCGGAGTGGTTCGCGTCCAGATGCAATTGTGCATAGGTAGGGGAATGTCGGTCTTGCCATGAAGTGACTGGCCGAAGTTCATCCCGCCCGCTATCCCACCAGCCATCCCACCTCAGCCTTTCATTCTCTTCCACTCATCGCCACCGAGCCCACGACAACTCCGGCAACGCCCGCCTTTCGACCTTGATATGGCCCTAAAGCGGCCGCGCCCCGGCGATAATGACGGCCCGTCAAAGAAACAGAAGAAGGGTTTCTCTGTCGGACCTGCCAATTTGCCCGATGGCACCTACCGGCGGAAAGGTGAGCCTGCAATGCTTTCTTTTTTGCGATTAGCCCTTTGCCTCTCCGATAGCGCGCGCTGTCTTCGCAATGGCGGATTCTGACGTGCTGGATAGTGCAAAAAATCAAGAAGGACCTCATCCACAAGGCGAAGCTCAAGAAGGAGTACGCAAAGGTAAAGGCGCGAGAGCAACCTAGTGCAACCCACAAGTCTGTCTACGATCGGGACGACGAGGGCAGAGTGCACAACGATTCTGCCGAGCCCGCTCCAGGACCAACCCTAGATCCGCATCCCGACCGGCTCAAGCTATGGGAGCAAGCGTCCCCGGAGCCATCGCTAGCTCATGACCTGCCAGACCGAAGGAAAAGGCGACCACGCCCGCAGCCCTACAGGGATGAGACGGAGGTCGCCCGCAAGCGAAAAGAAGACGCAGATGCAAGACGTAGGGCACGCGAGGAAGCAGAGAAGGAGCGCCAAAAGAGGCTGGCAGAGAGAGAACGCTTCCGGAAGACGATGGCAAAGGCTCGAGGTGGTGGTCCTCATGGCCAGAGAAAGCTGGGCCGGGAGAGCACAGTCTTGTTGGAGAAAGTGAGGAGGTTGGTCGGCAGCGCTTGAATGCTAAATTTGATACCCCAAGGGCGGCGATAACGCATGCCCTGAGCTCCTGCTAGTTTTACGTATTTTCTTGCAAAGTGTGCGATTTCGTGGAACGTCATCCAATCTTCACCGAGTGAGCTCCCACGGAAGCCTGCCCATGATTCTGCAAGTAGTTCTTTGTCTGACACGTTCACGGCGAGCCACGTGCAAATTTGAACAGTTATACGACCAGAGCGCGCTGAACGCCCGTCTCACACTCCAAGTTCGGGTGTCGGATCGTTTTGCGGCGAACAGCTTACCAGTGGAAGATTTATAATAGGCCTAACCACCATTGAGGGCGGGTCAACGGACGGATGAATTCCCTCTGAGATTAGTAGAGGTTCTGCGAACGAGGGCAATGGGCTGGACGAATCATACTCAAACTCACCTCCATAGTAACACCTCAACAAGGGCGAGGCCAAGCGTGCTTAGGAATGTTCTAATCATCATCTCGCCGTTCATCAAACGTTCCTGAATGACGTGATATCAATCAGGCTTCTCATGGACAATCTCTAGCCCAATCTCGGGCCGGTCCGCAGAGCCAATGACCAACCTTGCTTCTTTGTTCATATCCCACCTTGTCAGCTGGAACACCTTGACCAACGTGAAGCCCTAAATCAACAGACCGGAAAACTGATATCCCATGCATTTCGCGCAATTGTCCCTCTCCTAAGACGGAGATCATAAGCCCGAAGCCCGAGCTTAACTTGTAGTAGCGATCGTTGTCGTTATCAAAAAAGAAGAAAACCTACATACGGTTCGCATGGGATCAATCGTGATATCGATCCGTCTGACTGAAGCGGGTGAACGAGATCGACAGCTCACCTCTTCTCAGCGCTTTAAGGGGTACACTTCCCCAAGACAGTTTGCTCCGAAACTTAGTTCTACGATATGTATACGCGCGTTCATTCGGTCTTCCGGCCAACATCAATTGGCCATGGTTGATATTGTAATTTTCTGCCCCACTGGGCAATGGCCCTTATCACGGTCTCTCTTGTTCTGTTACACTACGCTCGAATATCGGACCATCTCGCAAGAGGCGGTGGGGTCCCTGCATCTAGATTCCTGTGGCCATGTGTCATGATGAGGAGCCATCTTCTCGCTCACCTATTCCCTATCAGCACTCTCAAATGAACGAAAGGGTGATGGCGGCAGTTGGCACATAGACTAGGGCATGCTTGGACAGGCCACGCTCGCCATTTCCGAACACAACGTCCTTCCTCCGGCCGGCAGGACGCCAAGGAAGTGACCGCCAGCCCTGATATCCTGACCTGCAACCTCTCACACAGATCTCCTCCCACGTCACTCTTGTCACCCGTGTCCCAACCACAAGGTTCAACGTTGATTCCCCGTCTCCCCATTTTCAGCCTCATGATAAGCCAGCCAACCGAGGTATTGGCTCGACTTATTTTTGTCTACGAGGCCTCGCGAAACTCCCGTTCCTCGCCGGGCATCCTCCACTGCCACATCTCGCGGCTAGCTGAATCGCTCCACAGTCGTCCAAAATACATTTCGAGCTAGATGTCTCCAAACTAATATATGCTGCTGACGACTCCTTTCTTCAGCACCTCGTGAAGATGTTCGCCATGGAAACAATGCGTTCTCTCTTCGTCTTGGCTCGTTGCTCGATGAACCCGGCTCCTGAGATATCCTGAGGTTTCCCGACGAGCTGAATTGCACACCTTTTTCTTCCACCCGCGTTCACGTTGCATCCCAGCTGTCCAACCCAAGGCTTGTTCAGCCAGTCTAGGTCTGAGCCACAACTTCCTGTCTCCGTTCTGGATAAATCCCATTTGACGGTATCCAAACCCTCTCTCAATGATCCAAAAGGCAGCCCATGCTCAAGTGCCACTAACACCCCTCAGACCGACCTTTGTCGTGCACCTGTTCCCCGGAATGTCCACCAAGCCTCTTGGTCGCCAAACCGTTACTCCAACGTACGATCCGCCTTCGGGCGGTATCGCTTCGGGGTAGTTACCACCAGGCTAGCTGAAAGAATTGTGTGTGGAGCAATAAGCTTATGTATTCATAGTACAGGGCTTCTCATAGGCTTAGCCGACAGCGGGGCGGTGAATGGCCTGCGGCCTACCATGCAGCCCTACCTAAGACAGACGGACCGTGCCATGGACTTGCCTTTTCAAGTAGCCAGAGTGGGTGATTGTGCTACACAGGAGTCTGCTTTGCGAATCGATTGGATTTATTCCACCGCTTTTCAACCTAAAAGCTTCCATGCAGGCGCTCAGTCCACATCGCATTGCTCGGAGCACCTGCGTCGGTATGAGTGTCCTGGTCGACAAGCGAAGAATGATGGTTTCTATGAAACATTCTCCCTTGGGTCTTCGTACTCAGGGCACATGCGGCCACTTCACCGTTGCCTGTAAGGTGTGAGTCCTACAGTAATAATTAAACTACATGTTTTTTTTGGCTTAGCTTTAAAGCTTCTTCAGAATGTTTCTCTTCACTCTCGCCTTTCTCCTTTCATCAGCATATCTGTAAACCGCTCTTATACCCTGTGAAGATCCGCACACTATCGCTAGCCTCCAGCCTTCCAAACTCTCTTCTTCCCCTTACACTTATTCAGTTCACACTTCACCCTCTGCCAATGCTGTCAATGGGCAAAACCACCGCACGCCTCCCCCGCAAATGGACGATAGCGGAAGATCAGAAGCTTCGCGAAGAAGTCGAGGCTCAAAGTATGTTCGTAACGTATACGATTCACGCATGCCTCCTCCACACTTTGCTTATTTAGCTAGAGTCTTGTGCAAATGGCTAACAATAATTTCACAGTGAGCGAAGGTGAAGTAAAAGACTGGTGTCGCATTGCAGCAAAGTTGCCTGGGCGTACAAACAAAGACTGCCGGAAGAGGTGGCATAATTCGGTCGCTGGTGGATTGAAGAAGGGACAGTGGGCAAAGACCGAGGATGTACAACTCTCCAGAGGAGTGCAAAAGTTTGGTCAAAGGTAGCCACTGACATCTTCTACGTTTTGCAACTCTTAACGCTTTGCATACTGACAGAATCTCACAGGTGGACGTTAGTGGCTGATGTTGTGGGGAGTAGAAGTGCTGATCGTGAGTTCATCTCCTGCAAAGGATCTACTTCATGGCAATACTGACAGTATGCAGAGTGTGCGAAACGCTGGCAACAATCTCTCAATCCTGAGCTCGACCGCAGCGAGTGGAGGGACTACGAAGTAAGATTCCGGTCAAGCCAATGATGAGGCAAACATTGCCTTCTCCCATACAAACCGGCTGACCCGAGGTCGGTAGGACAAGGTTCTCATCACAGCTGTTCAAAAGCTCGGCCGTCATTGGAAGGATATCCAACATCAGCATTTCCCAGGGAGGTCAAAGAATTGCATTAAAAATCGGTTCGTATTACATTTTTCTTCCAGCGCCAAGGGACTTTGTTGACTTATCCTCGTTGGCCCTTATAGTTACACAGTCCTGCTTCGAAGGTACCAGAACCAGGGTATCCCATTGCCCGAGGGCGCCGAACTTCTAGAACCTCACACCCCCAGTAACAGAACGAGCCCCTTCTCTGGAACTGATGATGACAGCATGTCCTTCACCCCGAGCATGTACGATGATTCGCTGTGCAGCCAAACACAAGTCTCCACGCCCGATACCCACACCTCGTGGTCCCTCGATGACGAACCATTCACTGGTTGGTCTCCCCAATCATCCTTCAATATCACTTCCAGTCCCTCGGTCTTCGGGAACCTTCAACAGCATGACCCCCACTCAGCTGTCTCAAATCCTTCACCCTGGAATTGGACCGAGCCACCGATGTCAGGGCCTCCTGCAACGACATCTATAGGTTCACCTACAATAATGAGTTTAGAATCGCCAAGAGCACATCCTGCCAAAACGAGTGAGTATTACGGTCTCACTCCGCCGGCACTATCATCCTACGGCCCGTACGCCACCGCACAAGCCATGCTAGCCCCAACTTCGGCCCCGACAAATAGACCCGAGAACCGTGCCAGTTTTCCGGGGACACCTGTCAGAAGTTCCCCTGTGAGCTCGGGCTCCCTGCCATATTACGATCCAGAAGCTGTGGCCAGGTTCTACAAATATGGAATGCAGAGTGGGCCTCCCTTTCGAATGATATGATGTCATAATGTCGATAATACAGGGCATATTAGATTCATTACATGGAGTTTTTGGTATGGGCTGGATTTCCTTTTTATCTTTCGGTCTTTTGGGACCGCAGGCACTTGTACAAAAGGGAATTGTCCCCGGGGCTTGGGATATCGGATTTCTTAATTGGGGCATCAAACGGCGCTTTCTGGGTATAACATGTCTCTCTCCGGGGTTTTATCCTATTGAGTTGTCCGTTTCTTGTACGTGCACTGTATTTCTTTAATATTATTTTTATCTTGTTCTCTCACGACACGGCAATGTGGTGGAACCGCTTATTCGCTGCAGGGGTGGTGCCAACATTTACCTGCAGATTAGGATTCAACTCCAGAACGAAGGACACTGCATACTTTTTCATATGCGACACCTTTCAGCCTTATACTGATCGCTTGCAACTCTGGGCGGGAATCTCAGAGAGCCAGCAGCATATGCTGCAACGCAAAAGATTTTAAGATGTAGCTTGCCGGGCTCAGCTGGCGTCTGTAGGCGCTCACTTTTTGCTGACAAAGATTGGGTGCAGTGAACAGGGTCAGGGTGTTTGCTCGGCTGATTTCTGGATTGGGAATATTCTTGTATCAATGTGAATGTAAATACGGAGGGATGGAATTACCGACAAATGCCACAATGTGATGTCATGCTACATTGCAGATATACGTCGGGAAGCTGAAGGGATGTTTCATTACTGGGTTAGAGGATTGGGATGAGGTCGGGTATTGAGTTGATAGGGATGGGATGGGATGGGATGGGAATTGTTTTGGTGATTCAATAAATATACTCTAGACGTGCTACTCTAGAGGAAAATATTGCGTCTTGAGTTCTAAGAGCCTTACGTAGCCCCTCTGTTATGCTAGGAGTCGCGGGCAAATTACTGAGAGCGAATTGGGAGAGCGGCATAACATGTTTGCGTGGAGCTGGATTGGGCTGGACTGCGGTTTGAAGAAGTCTAATGGGGGAGATTATGGTGCCATATTCACTTTAATTACCGGCCTGGTATCGTGTGCGAGTGGGACAAGGCCTTGAAAAATAACTGTTGTTGGGGTTCTTATGATATTTGATATTTGATGTCTGTGGAGCACAACATTTGACTGTGACTTAGCAGAAACTAGAAGAGGGTGGTGGGAAATAAACGTAATGGGTTTTGTGCTCTGAGATGGGAGAATGGATCTACTGCATCTTAGCAAGCACAAAGATAGATCTAGGGCGCGATATCCAACAGCATAGTTTCCCCTGCCAGGCTTCGGTATTAGAATCTGTCAAAATCACCCTCGGAGATCTAAAGTCTAGTACGGCGTGCATTTGAAATGAGTATTTCCTAGATCGCTCTCCAAATATGTCGAATATTTCTCTACAGGTAGCCATTGGATCCAGGGGAGAAGTGGCATTGTTGAGATAGAAGGGGATGTTGAGGTTGATGAAGAGGAAGAGAGTCAAGGGAGTCTAGACTGGCTTCGACCGTACAGGGATGTACATATTTCCGCCTCTTCGTGCTTTAGTGTGGAGATCTTCATGGCTTTGGTCGCTGTCATGTAGATCCTGGGGGTCAGAGGGAGACGCGTCCTGTGCTTTGGAACTCTCCGCTCCGCTTTCGCTTTCAACCTTCTCCACTCCATCTGCTGTCTCTTCTTTCTCTATTTCTTGCCCCTTCAAACTCTTCTGATACTCTTCCCACAGCTCCTCAACGCCCTTCCCACAACACTTCCCCCAGAACTCCCCTTCCTCATACCTACACTCTCTCAACCCCTCATTAATCCTCCTCACAATATCCACCCCATGTCCACTCTCCAGCCACTCCAAAAAGTACCCCGTCTTCTCATACCCCGCATCCCACTCCCCACTAGTCATCCTCTTCCAATGCGGCGGCGCAAACCCAGCCTTTAACCGCACCCAATCTGCAATCCCTTCAATTAAGCCTCCCGGTGCGCTACCTAGCGCATTATGCTGCCAGCAATGCACCATTTCATGCACAATAACGCCTTGCATTTCCTCTTTTTGGCGGTGTTCGGGTACCCCATTTATGTAGTCCGTGCTGAAGTGGATTTCTTTGTGGTCGTCATCAATGTCTAGGCCCGTTGTGTATGCAACACCACCCATGGAACGTAGGACAAGTGTGATGGAGCGGGTGGGTGGGATGCAGTGCACTGGGAGACCAGTGTAGAGGTGCGAGAGGACGCTAGCTACAGCGTCTTCTAGGGTTGTTGAAGCGTGGAGCAGGCGGAGGAAGGCGCGGGAACCGGAGGAAGAAAGATCGCGGAGCTCAAGGCGGAGTAAGGGCTTGCGGTGGGGTTTGGGGGTTTCATGGCTGCTGGACGTAGGGGTTGTGTTGGAGGGTGGGAGGGCGGAGGGTTGAGGGGCGGCGGGCATTGTTTGGAAGTAGACTGGGGTTGAGGATGAGGACATAGAGGTCAATTGTTAATAGTATTTGGTCAGGGGATTGAAGGGGGGAAGTTGGCCACGTGCTAGGGTAGAAAAGGAGCTCCAAGCTTGGTTCACAATCTCAGCATATTTGTCGATGCTGTGCCAAGAAATATAGGGCTGGGGTAGATGTCCCCGCCACCAGCGAGGCCATTCTAAGGCAAAACGTATTCATGTCTATCCTCTTTCCGCTAGGCTGCGTTTAGTATGTTCTATACATAGTGTTTATAAAATTTCCCAGAAATAATAAAAAATCTCCACAGCTCTTGAAGGTCAACCCGTTGCTCTAGCTGGTATGAGGTACTGGATAATTTTAAAGGCCGTGTGAAGCAGGAGTGCTGTAGAGAAATAAAGGCACCCCTACTGCTTCTCTGTGGCTGTGCTCTTGAAGAATTGGGGGAAGATAGCTCGCAGCTCTTGGAGACTTTTGATTTGATACTTGCCGGCTTGGTGAGCCGGATCCGGGTCAGATTCGTCAAGAAGATGAGCAGCTGTCCAACCTCGTGCATGCGCGGCTTTGACATTGATGTAGGAGTCGTCTAGAGAGGGGATTACTACTGAAGATTTCTGATGAAGGTGTGTTTAAATTGGAATGATAAGGAGCGTCATGATCCTGAGGCTAATCACTTACCAACAAAGTAGCAATTCTTATTCAGCATTACTCCAGCTTCCTGCATAGCCTTATCGAACATTTCTACATGTGGCTTACAGTAGAACTTCTCTGACCCATAATCACAGTAGGTGATACCCTCAAACAGATCGTCGAGTTCGAGCAGCTTCACCACTCGCTTCCCATGCGTGATATAGGCGTTTGTGAAAAGCCAAAGGCGCACTTTACTGGTATCGATATCCTCGATCAGTTGTCGCAGGGCGGGATTCGGCTTGATGATATCCTCTAAGGGGAGTGCGTCGTCCACTTTCCGGTTGTAGTCGAGTGCGTCAACTTTATGATGGCGGACAAGACCTTCAATGGCTAGACCATATTCACGGTAGTACCTGAAGTGCAGCGCGTTTGCGTCCTTCTGCGATAGGGATAGATGGGTTTCGAAGTATTGGTCTGCGATTATGAGCCATTCCAAAGGAAAATAGTAAGAGACAAAGGAGCAGGAGAACAAGTGCAAGGAGATACCATAGGCCTACCAATTAGGTCAGACATCATATGGGCTACCTTTGTGCCTATCCATATATGAGTCAGTGACGTACATTTGCTCTGTACCGGAGCATTACATACTCTTGGGATAAAGCTAGGAATATAATGAGCACATTTAAAATAGAATTAGCAGGTTAATGCTTACGCAGTTGTCAATATCGAAGAAAAGAATGGGTTTCTCGTCTTGTCCCGCCATGTTGCCTTCCTGCTTGCCTTGGTTTGAGAAGTTGCTGGTCCAAAGAGTAAGTGCCACTATATAATGAAAGTCTGAAAGATGAGCTGGTTATGAAGTCCGTGGTAGTGTCCCCGTCTTCACACCCAAGGAGGTTGCAGAGACCGGGCCATGGGGGAATCGCTAGGCGTGGGTTGGCCTGGAGGTAGTGAATGACTCGATGCCCTTTTCGGGCTAGGGTCTTGGCGCCTGCGGGACGAATTTGAGGAGGGCGCTCAACTTCGTGGTCATCACGCTGCTCTCTTGATCTCTTCCCAGCCCCTTCTTTTCATCAACCCAACCATCACCCGCAGCATGCTCTGCGCCTGTATTTGTATTTGTTCTGTTTTCTGATCGGCAAGGTCTCCTTGTCTGCTTTAACATTGAGCACAGCGTCGTAGGACATCGCCCGGTCAAACTTATTGACCACCATGTCCTCGGCACTTGCAGCATCGCCGCATCTGCACGGCAACGGTGTCGTGCTTCCTGACACGCCTCGCGAAGTCGAATTTCTCGACAAGCTTCTGCAGATTCGCGATGAAGTGCTTGGTAGCAAACACGCCCGTATCCATCTCCCCCCAAAAGTGCTAGAACAGGTCGCACCACGTCCCGCCCAGCAAACTCCTCCCTTCCCCAGCAGGCCCACGACCAATGGTACTCCAAACGGGAGCCATTCCTCACACCCTTTCCCGCCGCGACCAGAGAGCTCCCTCCAGCACTATCTCCCTGTCAGTGGCTATAGTTCCCCAGCTCAACCTGCGCAGCGGCCCTACACCTCCAAATCCGCATCCTCTGGCATCGATCCAGTCTTACTTACCAAATCTGATCATCTCATCAGGGCTGAGCTACAGCTTAAGCGACAGCAAATAGAAAGGGGGCTGAAAGATCAATTCGACAAAAAGGGCCGCGAAAAGGATAACGCGATAGAGGAGGCCCAGCTTGACGTCGAGGGTGTTCTAGCTAAGGCAACCGAGCTGGTGAAGCCGTTATCTGGGTTGCAGATTGCTGCTAATCACAGCGAGTCGAGTGAATCGTTCGATGAAAACTCATACTACTCTAGCCAGGCCTACAGTTGGTCGTCAGAGGAGGTAGATCCCAATCGGCACGGCATTGGTGCTGATACAACTGTACCGCTTACTCAACAGGCGAAACACTCTGCTACTGAAGCGCAACTGACAACAGCCAAAGCTGCCTCTCGTGTTGAACCGAAGCCGCGACAGGCTGATACTGCGCTGATCGATCTTGATGAAGAGCCATACGAGCCTGCGGATGATATAGAGATCTATGAACCCGAGCTTGCCCAGGCCCGCGATGAGCGTGAGGAGTCAGAGTATTCACCACCTCCAGCAGATGTCACCACGTTGGGACCTAACAGGGGACGTGGACAAGACCGAGGACAGAACAACCATGGCGGTATCAACGGGTATGGCATTACTTCTTTTCATTCATCTCCTTATCTCCTCGATACTTCTAAGTCTCTCGTCATATCTTCTCCGTTACCCATTCATACGCCTTCGTTTTCTTTCTTCAAGGTCTCTCACTCGAACGCAATCTCTCAGAATCTGGATCGAAGCACTTCCACATCAACATCAACATCATCACCGAATGAAGTCTCAAGCATAATCTTTCACACTGATTCTCGAAAAAGGTCATCGAGGCGGCACAGCCCCGCGGGACATCCAGCCCCCATTCACAACACACGAAAGCGGAGGAGGGAGGAGAGGCATCAGGAGAAGCAGAAGGAGAGGCAGCAAGAGAAGCGAGAGGAAAAGCGCCGTCAGCAAGCCAACAATCGTGTTGTACGGTCCCCTGAACCTATCATTAAAGAAGAGCCTCAATCACCTCCCCCTTTTGCGACCTATCCTGATTCACAGCCCAATAAGCGAAGAGCACTGCAACCACTTGAGGGCGAGGCTGAGGTAGTATCTCCTCGGGACAGTAGGCAGCAGCCAGTTTACTACAGAGAACAGGAGCCCTCTTCCCGACTATCTCGCCAGTACGAAGAGCCCTTATCGCCAACTGTAATTCGGGTCCCTCAACGACGGCTCGAGCGGGATGAACAAGACTTACGACGAGTTGCGAGCCTCCAGTATGCACGACGGCCGATCTCCCCTGTTGGGGCCGAACCACTCGCATACGCACCCGCTGAAACCCGCCAGGTGCGTGCAGCATCCCATGCCTTTGTGGATCGCCCACTGGAGCCCGTCTATCGCGAAGTTCCAGCTCGCGCTTCAGTAGCACCTAGATACATCCGCGATCGTTCGCGATCCCCAGCCCACGAGTATGTTTCTCGAAACCAGTCACCTGTAATGATGGCTCCTCCTCCACGTCGCATTGTTGTGGACCAATATGGTAACAAGTACTATGCATCTCCTGCTGATGTGAGAGAATCCGTCGCGCCGCCCAGCAGACGGATGGAGGCCGAACCATACTATGAGCGCGCTGTCACCCGGGAACCAACTATTCGTGCCCCAGCTCGCCCCGACTTGTACGAAGAAGGAGATGCTCAGAGAATGCCACCGCCCCCCCGACGCTATATCGATCCTTCGGATGCCGAAGTTGTAGAAGCCCGACCCTACCGACAGAGGGAACTATCCCATCGCCCAGTTGATCTCGAATATGCTCCACGCGAGGTAGTCGAACGGAGGCCTGTAATCCAGTATGAAGAGATGGGTCCGCCACGCGAGTATGTCCCATCGCGAGCATACAGCGTCCGCCCAGAGGTTGTCCGACGTGAAGTACCAGCAGAGTATGCTCCAGTTCGCCATGAGAGTATTGCGCCTGGAGGTTATGTAAGGGTTGCTGCACCGCGTTACCGCGAGCTCAGCGTCATCCAAGATGCTGCATACGACGATCGTCGGTATACGTTTGCGAGTCAGCCACAACCTAGGCGATACATGGAGGAGGGATCAGGGGCAGAGAGGCCAGTTGAAGTACCACAGGAGCCGTTCGTCGGAGAACCGCGTAGAGTGAGTTATCGCTATTGAACCAAGTATAGTGTTTTGTGAAAGAGTTGGATAGTTCTATTGCTGCTGCATAGGCGTCCGGTAGGGCGACAAATACTGTCCTGGATACATGTTAGGATGAGTTCACATTAGCATGAGCAGGAGTAATTGGTAAAGTAGTTGTCTGGATGGGTTGTGTTTCATGGACTAGCTTTGTGGACGATTGGTTAGCACTGTGCAAGTAGTGGCCATTCACTACCACTTCAAGTTAATACCTTGGAATAGCCAGGCAATAGCAGAGAATTATCTGAACAGTTGTAAGCGATGCATGCATTTCTGTAGTCTACTCGGCAATCCCTTCATTTTCTTTTCCACAAATCACACGCTGTGTTGTCTGGCCGGGGGGTGTTTTTTTTTTTTTTTGGCTTTGTGGTGTGTGTTTAGCTTGTGTTCATCGATCCGCTGGACCAACGGATCGGACTTAGGCAAGATTGTTGAGTGCCCAATTGCTCAGGTGCTGGGAGTGTGTGGTTGGTTGGTGACACCGTTGATGACGAATGTGGGCATGCAAGCGATTTTCATGGATGCGTGCGGCTGCGGAAATGGGGTTGTCAACTTCAACGCTTTCAATGCTTCGGGTTGTTATGAGAGTTGGATTGGAGGGTTTTACGGGTGAGTTTTAGAGTGAGTGTGCGGAGGTATTGGGGGCATGATGGGTAGATTGTTTGAGGGATTTGGATTTAGATTTAGCGGGGATGGTTTGAGAGGGTTTGAGAGGGTTTGGGTGGCAGGTGATTGTGCAGAGGGAACTGGCGTTGGCGGCTCTGGTGATTGAACAGTTCACGGACTGGTGATATGGATGGTAGTTTAGGGGGGGGGGGGGGGGTTTGGATTCACGGAGATTTGGATTCGGTGGGAGTTTGAAGGGTTTTGGGTGGCAAGTGATAGGGAAATTGGTGCCGGTGGGGGGCGGCTCTGCTGGTTTGAGAGATCGATTCACGCAGAGAATCGTGTTTCATCCATGCTTGCCAGCCATGCAGTGCGGAGTAAACGAAGAGGAGAGATTAGTTAGTCCAGTCTATTGTTTAGAGTCTACAGAATGCAGGGCTGCCATAAAGAGGAATGGATGGAGAGGGTGCGGAGTCCCTTCTTTTTCTTGCACAGCCCACTTTGGTCATCCCTCCCCTTGATGAACTCGTCAACCGTGGGGCTTTGGCTTCGGACTTTGCGAAAAAGTGAAATGCAGACGTCAGCATCTAATAACCTTAATTAGCGCCGCTGCCGGATGCTCACTGCTCACAGGGCTTTAGGTTCAGCACAGGACGTGATAGGAGAAAGAAGAGAAAAGGATAGGGGGAGCAGGCAGAGGGAGGCAGTGAATCGAATGCAGGGCCTGCGGAAGTGACACTTGTGATGTTGTGGCCAGGGACGGAAATATTGGAGGTGAGACTTATTGGCACGCGCTGTGGGTTTGTGGTTTGTTTACAGTGGGCTTGGCTTTCTTTCTTTGGAAGTTGATGGGTCAAACAGGTACAGTTGCAGGCAGACGGCGCTCGAAACTTTTCGCGGATGATGGCCGGTTTGCGTGCGCAAGGTGAAACTGCGCTGCGGATTGGGTCGAGATTGGAATGAGATGGACATGCACTTCTGAATCATCACCTGGATCTGGGAGTGGTTGCGGATGCGGATGCGGATGCGGCGGGGCACGAGGGATGGTTTGCCTGGATGGCAATATCGATGCCTTCACTGCTGAGCGACCATCGCCGGGCAGTCTGGCACAAGCAACCTGGAAGCGCACCATGGGCTGCGCTTTGGAAGCAGCGAGCTGGGCCATTCAGAGCGCAGCGATCGGGCAACTCGCCTCTGCAGACACCCCAACAAGCGCACCGAGCCCGACCTGGCGGCTGCAGCTGGCGATACACCCCGCGGGGGCAGGCACAGCGGCCACCATCTGCTACGAAAGCCGCTCAGAGTCCTTGAGCCTCGCACGCGCCCGTGAGTAAGACCCGAGACACAAAGTCAGTGAACGGCTGTTGGCGGCGGGCTCGAGGTGGTAGTGGTCGTGGTCGTGGTCGTAGTGGTGGTGAGGACCAGGCCACCAGACCAGGCCAAGTCTGTGCTCCCTCTCGCGCAGCCGCTGAATGGCCGGAAAGAGCCACTGGGCTCGCTCTCACTAAGCCCTGCACCTCGCAACCTTGAACACGGGCACGGCTTGGCCAGTCCTGTCCAGTCCTGCGTCGTGCGTCGGTGTCGTCCTTCGCCTACCTCAACCTCCGACCTGCTCTCACCTTTCTCTTCTTCTCTTCTTTCCCACCCTCTTCGCCCTCATCAGCCCGCCGCCCGCCACTTCCCCCGGGCGCTCCTTCCCTTCCATCATGCACAAAATATCAACCTTCACGGGCTCGGCCCGCCACGGCTGGGAAAAAATGACGCCGTCCACTGGCTTTCCCTTCTCGAGGTCGAATCACGATATGCCCGTCACAACCCCGATAAAGCGACCATCGACAGCATCGTCCGCGCCGCCCACCATCCCCCCCGGCACCCAGGTCAATCTGTCCTTCAACGTGCCCTTCTCGTCAAATCTCGCCGGCCCCGATGTCGACGACATCATGTACGCCAGTCCCGGGGCAAAAGCCCGCTGGACCCATCCGGAAGGCACGGCTGAGGGCACCCCACCACACAAGCTGCCCGTTCATGCCCAGAATGTCGAGAACCTGCGGGCTATCTGTCGGGACATCACAGAGACGAGCAATGGACAGGTCTCCGCCACGGTCGTGTCTGCCGAGTCCAAGCCGCTTCCGGGTCTGCAGCGGGGCCCGTTGCGGGCTCTGGTCACTAATGTCTGTCTGTCTGGCGAGCATGAGCTGGTCAATAATGTGCGGTGCAAGATCCTCAACAACACCCCCATCTCATTGGTACGTCATCCACAGCGATTGGGTCTATCATCAGGAATCCATCTAATAATGGCGCAGAGGTCCTCGTTTGTCGACATCGACTCTGATCTGATCATCGACCGCCCTACGCAGCATCTGAAGAGCCCTGTGCTCAACCAGCTTGACCTGATTGCCAAGACCACCAAGGCTGACATCTTCGTGCTCATGCCGAAGCAACCCGACATCGAGTCTGCAAGCTTCAACGGTAACTTGGACACTGGGCTGGACTCCCGGCTGCGATGTGCCATCTATGGTGACATGGAGACGATGGAGCACGCAAAGACCCGCGTGCTGATCATGATAGATCAGATTGTGGGTGTTTGATATCTCGCAGCTGACTAACGCACAACGCTAATTTCGTCGCAGCTCAAACGATACGTTGATACAATGAAGCTTGAGCTTACTATGCATACATTAATATGTGGACGGGGACGCAAGAACATCAAGTTGATTGAGTCCGCCACGGGCACGGCCATCTACTTCCCGCCCCCCTTCCCTCGGATATTCGGCTATACTCCTGCAGGCGCGCAACGGAGACCGGACGACATGATTTACATCACGGGAGAGAGCCAAGAAAGCATCTTACGCGCTAAGCAGCGGCTCCATGATCTTGTCATGTCCACTAAAGTCTTCGTCAAGCCAGTTATGGTGACAGACTCGAAGCTGGACTCGCTCTTGTTGGAGCGGCTCGACAAGGTTCGCAAAATTATCGAGAACAACGGATCCTATATTCTTCTGCCACCGCTTGGACTGCAGCGTGGTGTCGTTCGAGTTCAAGGCACGGACGTGTTGCACGTCGAGCGGACCGTGCGCGAATTAATGGCCCTCGTAAGTTAATCTGACCATTATTGATGAAAACACGTGCTGACAGGTACCAGGCTGGCCAGTTCTACAGTGCGTCATGGTTCATTACCCATCCAGATCCTACGCAGCGTCCGCCCACTCAGCAGGATGTACGCGCTATGCTGTCGGACATTTGCATCAACTCTGGCGCAGAGATTAGTTTTGAGAAGCTCAACTTCCACATCTTCGGATCCGATGATGCCGTCAAGGCTGCTATGATGGTCATTAACAATATCCCGTTCGTGAAGAAATCGCAGTACAATATGAGCGTCAAGATCGAGCTTGCGAACGAGCACAAGGAGTTCGTCAGCGGTAAGAAGAATGGCAAGATTAACAAAATCATGAGCCACAGCAGCGTCCAAATTGTCTTTGATGGATTCAACGAGTATAATTTCTACATTGTGGTCCGCGGCGCCCAATACGATACAACCAAGAGTGGTCTTGATCTTGTCGAGCAGGAGATGCCTGCTGCCATTTCGTTCCACGTCCCTGACCAGTACCACAAGCGCATCATCGGCATCGGCGGCCAGCACATTCAACGCATCATGAAGAAGTATTCCGTCTTCGTTAAGTTCTCGAACGCTATGGACCGTGGTGGCTTCGGCAAGGAGGAAGATGACATCAAGGTCGACAACGTCATTTGTCGTACCCCTGCTCGTAACGCCCAGAATCTAGATCTAGTCAAGCAAGAGATTATGGATATGGTCGAGAAAGCTGATGCTGAGTTTGTCTCTGAGACAATCAACATCAATCGACTCTATCATCGCGAGCTCCTTGCGCGCATGGACAAGATTGACGAGTTGGAGAAGAAGTTCAACTGCAAGATCACTTTCCCAAGCACTGAGGAAGCGAGTGACATCGTCACTGTATCTGGCCCTGAGTATCAGGTGCCCCTCGCTGTGGATGAGTTCTTGGTACGTACTTTGGCCATTATCAAATAGGTCAAGACTAATAATCCTAGGGTATGGTTCCCGAGGCCCATGAACTATCGTTCCCTGTTTCTACAGAGCTTGGGGAGCACATGCGGTCCCCTGAGTTCAAGGCTGATATCCTTGACAAGTTGAAAGATCAACATGTTGTCGAAGGTCATCTGAAGGAGCCGCAGACTGAGACCATTGATGGCAAAGAGCAGCGCATCGAGACCGTGCATCTCAGTTTCACGAGGAACAACGCAGGCGGTCTCAAGGATGCCCTTGACTTTCTGATCAACCACTTAGTCATGCACGGCTTGGACACGAACACTATTCGTGGCGCCCTTCCGCGCCCAAAGTCAGATTCCTTCGAGGATTCTCTGCCATTCTTCGAGTCCAAGCTGCTTCAGCGGGCTGAACCACCAGTTGATAGCACTGATTCCCCAACTCGCTCCCACTTCGGTGATGATGAGCGCCCAGGCATGTTAGATCGCCTTCGCAAGCCAGGTAGTATGTCTTCATTCACTTCCATCTTCAACGGTCGTAAGAACGGCTCCAACTCTCCTGGATCCCTCTTCAAGCATGCATCCTCGAATGCATCGAAGGCGTCCCTCGCCAGCCTTGAGTCCCAAGGCAGCGGCTACCGCAACCCTTGGAACGACAGTGGCATTAACCTCGCGGACGACGAACACCACACCAACGGTTGGCCGATGCCAACCCCGCGATTTGAGAATAAGTTTCCTTTTGGTTCCACTTCAGCGGCGCCTGGAGATGTGACTCCCAGGTACGATCCGCGGGCTTCCGTTGATAGCGGTCGCCCTAGTACTTCTCATTCTGCATCAGGATACCCGGCCCCTATTGGGCCTCCCCGTTAAACGATACACCATTTCTCTCTCAAAACTGTTATGCCGGCCACTTTTGATGACGAAACCAAATACCCCCAAACTCTGTGGCACGGTGCTACATGCGACGACAATTACCCCAAAAGAATTATACCCCTGCTTGGCGAATAAAAGCCTTTGGCTGGTCTTCTGAGTGTTTCATTGTGTTCAAACTTTTTTTTTCTTCGATTGGTTTTGGTGCGCTTGTTTCTGGTTAAAGTTTTTTTTTTTCCCCGCTATGGGTTTCTTTTTTTTATTATGAGGCGTTCAGGTGAGAAGATGATTCCCCCGGCGCAAAAAGAAATATACCAATTTGCTGCTTTTTGTGATTTGCGTCATTCTCCTCTTTGACTATGGGGGATCTATGAGTGGGGCGTTCTGTGTGGTGAATGGATTGATGGTGGTGGGTGTCCTCCGTGGTGAGACGGATGGATGCATGGCTGGATGGATGGGATATGGGTTTTTGGTGGGTTCTGGATGGATGCATGGCTGGATGGCATGGCATGGCATGGATGGGACTCAGCAGTTGGCGGATGAGGAGAAGCCTTAGACAGCTCGTACTTTCCTCTCTCTCTCTCTTCGAAGAATCTTCCTCTTCACGACTTTTCCATGACGGACCAGAATGGGGAAGCGCTTCGAAAAGGTCAGTGGGTGGGGATGGAAGTTTGCGTGTGCTTGTGTCATGATATGGATACGTTTTGAAAATGGACAGCAGATGAACAATAGACGAATGCAATTATACCAATTAAATGGCTGAACCAACAAGGAAACCTTCTCACCCGACGTGTGACATACCCAGGGTAGAGCCTATCTTTTGAACCTCGTACTAGGATCAAGAAGAGTGCTGGGAAGACGCAAATTTATGTCCAAATTAACCTTGTCCTGTTCCACGTTCGTGACAAGTTGCATGTGTTGGTCCTGGGAGATCTAGGACTTAAAGCAGGTCTTGACATTGATACCTTCCACATGTTAGCTCTTTAAACAGAACACAAGGATGTGGTTAGCGACAGAGGCTTTAATCGTCTCAAAATCTTCCTTAATCCCAGTGAGAGGTCTAAGAGATCAACTCTTCCTAAGGAGCCAGTACCGGGGCTCTTGGCACGCACGTGTGATCGCAAAGTGACGTCGGCGACTTACATTGAGCAAGTGCCGAAGAGATGACTGAACCCCAAACAAAACTTACCCTCACAAACTCGACGCTCCTTCACCCCCCCTCCCCACCTAATCCATCCTACAATTGCTCTCGTAGATACCTAAGTTCTTAAACCTTTCGATCCTTGTCTCCCTTCGACATGGCATCAAAACGCGCGTTCCAAGTCTTACCCCTCCGCACCTCATCCACAGTCCTCCGCTCACGATGCTCAATCTCGAGACAAATATTCAAACAACCTAGAGCGACCTACAACTACGTTGAAAGTGCACAGGTACGAATTGCAGGCGTGCAGCAGCGATGGCATTCAGCAGGGATTCCAGAGGACAAGAAGAGTAGGATGTATGAGTTTGAGGACGTTCGTATTCCCTTCTGACACATTGAGGGAGAAGGGATTAGTCATACTAATTGTCTAACGCGGGAATATAGATTGTTGCGATAGTAGAGAATCCAAAGGATACTGCTGTGCTGATCGGTTTGTTGCCCCGCTCTGCCTTCCCCTTCTACTTCCCACGTCCTCGAATCCTCGTCCCACCCTTATCCAAATCCCAAAATAACATCAAATGTATAATTCAGATGTCCGCGAGCCCTCAGAATACCTCTCAAACGCCATCCCAACCTCCCTCAACATTCCAATAACATCCCAACCCGATGCACTCCTCTTGCCATCCGACGAATTCGAAGATCGCTTCGGGTTTCAGAAACCTTCGGTTACTAAGGAGGTAGTGTTTTATTGCAAAGCTGGGGTGAGGAGTGCGGCCGCGGCACAGATTGCAAAACAGGCGGGCTATGAGAAGGTGGGGGAGTATAGGGGGAGTTGGTTGGATTGGGAGAGGAAGGGGGGCGTGGGGACGAGGGAGGGGCCGAAGGAGACGGGGTAGCTAGGCGAAGGGGGTGGGAGTGGGGGGTTATGAGTGGCATGAGTGTAGGTGGTGGAGATGTTGAGGGGTTCATCTAGAAGAAGAGGCGGAAGAGACGAGACCGATAGCTTGCGGGTATGCACGCATGCAGAACTGCGCAATGCGAACGGCTAGGCGCTAAAGTGGATGGGCATAAATCTATGCTGTAAATACAAGGAACACAATCAGGTCTTTAGACTGAAGAAATCTTTACCATGTCAGAGATGCACAGAGATTTGCACACGTAACATCTTCGTTCGCCTCCGTACTTAACATACAGAGCAGCAACACAAACCAAGTCCGAATAGTTTATACATATCATACACATCTAGATCGAGCCTAGACAAGTGAATCGCAAGGTATCTTAATTATCCCCTTTATGCAACCAATGTAAAGTAGTGCCTTGCACACAAGCGCAGACTTCTCTGAAGTAGTGAAGAATTTATAAGACTCGAGGGGATATCTAGTACCAAGGGTATCTACGCTCGTATATTTATCTATTTACTAGAAACGTGTCCTAGATAGAGAGAGTGAAACGAAAGATTAGAGAGGATTGCAAGGGAAGATATAGAGTACATAGTTGTAAAACGGATCCATTTTCTTTACTAGAAGAAAGTCGGAGAGGATATTACATAGATGGGGAACAAGCCGAAATACGCAGATCTGAAGAAGGTGAGAGTTTAGTTGAAAAGGAGATGATGAAGTTCGGATGGGTTCTGGTTCGGAGTAGCTCGACTTTGCTACCTCCAAACGTCTATGGGATGCTCCAATGTGCCGATCAGTGATCAGCGATCCAGAGCTTGAGCTTGACACTGCGCACTTGTTAGCAACTTGATGCAACCCAGCCTTCCCAAATCAACCTCCACATGAAGAATTTCGTACTCACCATCTGCCAATAAACGCCCCTCTTCCTCAAAAGCGTCTGATGATCCCCCTCCTCAAGCACCTTCCCACTCCCCAACACAAAAATCACATCCGCCTTCTGAATCGTCGCAAGGCGATGCGCGACAGCAATCACGGTTCTCCCCTGCCCATCTCCATCTCCATTACCATCCCTCCCTTCCGCGGCCCGTTCAATTGCCTTCTGCACCAACTTTTCGCTCTCAGAGTCAAGGCTACTTGTTGCTTCATCTAACAACAAAAGCCGAGGTTTCCTCAGTAGCGCGCGTGCAAGAGAAAGACGCTGTTTCTGGCCGCCAGAAAGACTCATACCCTTTGGTCCTAGACGCGTGTTATACCCTTCTGGAAGACTCGTTATAAACTCATGGATCTGCGCATTAATGCAGGCGCATTCAATATCCTCATCTGTCACTTTCCCTTCATCCACCGACAAACTCACATTATCCCTTATACTCCCTTCATACAACGTAGGCTCCTGACTCACAAGCGCGATCTGCGCACGATATTCCTTTGGATCCAAACTCGTGATATCCTGCCCGTTATACAATATCATGCCGGAATCAACATCATAGAAGCGCTCGAGGAGGGATATGGTGGTGGATTTCCCGCACCCGGAGGCTCCGACTAGTGCGGCGAACTTGCCGGCAGGGATGTGAAGGTTAAGGTTAGAGAGGACGGGGACTTCGCGCGATTTGTAGGAAAAGTAGACGTTTTGGAAGGAGATGCTAACGGCGGAGGTGGGGTCGTTGATGGGGTTGTAGGAGGGAGGGAGGGTGGTGGAGGGGGTGCGCATACTTAGAATGCGATTTGCAGCGCCGGTGGCTTGGGCCATGTCTGGGGTTGTTTAGTTAGCGGTATGGACAGGATGAGAAGGAGTTTGGTTGAGATCTTACTGGGTGCAAACGAGAACCACATTCCCGCTGCGACAGCACCTTGCACGACGGCCATGTAGATGACGAAAAAGTCCTGAAGCCCATATTCGTGGGATGCGAGGAGAGTGCCACCGTACCTGATACATATACATCAGCGTTGTTTCTGTCGATTTGGCGGAGAGATAGGGGAATGATAAGAGTTACTTACCAGAAAGCTAAAGCTGTACAAGCTAGTTCAACACTGTCACTAGCTGCAAAGACGATAGTCCCAAACTTCGCGCTGCTAAAGGCCTGTTTAACATGGCCTCGAAGGAGAGTTTGATAACGATCGCCAATCATATCCTCCATAATCAACGACAAAACCGTGCGGAATGCGCCAACTGCTTCTGTGGCAAATTGCGAGCTGTCTTTGAAAACCGCAGCATTCATCTGCTCGAATTGCATCTCCAGACGGAAACGCAGGTATCCTGCGGCGAGGATAGGGGGAAGCGCGCAGAAGAGTCCGACGAGCGAGAGCTTCCAGCCGTAGACGAAGGCGATGATGGTTGAACCGAGGAGGTTGACACACGCAATTAACGCGAGCGACATCTCGGTGCTCATAAGCTGCTGAAGTTGCTCTGTGTCGGCGCTGAGTCTAGAGGTGAGAGATCCGGCAGAGTGGCCTTCGTCGTCGAAGAATGGGATACGCTTACGCATCATGTTGATGAGGTATTCCTGTCGATAGGTGCGAGTGATAGCGACCGAGATTAGATGGGATGAGAAGCCCAATACAAAGTAGGATACTCCGACTCCAGCGGCTTCGACGCCAAACATTCCGGACCAGAAGTTCCCTCGGTCAACGAATTTCTGGCCGGTGAAGGTGAAGACTTCGACAATGTTTGCGAAGATGAACGCCTGGAGGGGATATACAGCTCCTGCACCAAAAACCCCGAGAACCGCAATAATGTATAGGAGCCAGTGGTGTCGTTGCTCAAAGATGAGCCGTCCAAAACTCATCAAGAGGCCTTGCTCCTTGTAAGTGGGATCCTCCATCGACGTGGCTTTTTTGCCCTTCCCGTGCCCGGGTTCAGAGTGCTCCGTAATAGCCGTCTTTGTCTTCTGAAGTGCGACTTCTTCTTCCTCTTCTTCCTCGGCTTCCATTGCAAGCTCTTGTGCGTGGACTAGACCGTAGTAGACGCCGTTTTCGTCCTCGAGAAGCTCCTCGTGACTGCCTTCTTCCACAAGTTTACCGTGTCTCAATACCACAATCTTATCCGCTCGCTTGATAGTCGAAAGACGGTGGGCGATGACGATAGTTGTCCTGTTCTTCGAGACACGGTCGAGAGCCTCTTGTACGATTCGTTCAGTTCGAACATCAATCGCGCTTGTAGCTTCGTCCAGGATAAGAATACGCGGCTTCTTAATGATACTTCGAGCGATGGCTATTCGTTGCCGCTGACCACCAGAGAGCTTGATTCCACTCTCGCCAACGAGCGTGTTGTAGCCTTGTGGGAGTTGGGCGATGAACTCGTCCGCGTACGCTTCTTTACATGCATCCTCTACCATCTGCATCTTTTCTTCGTTGGTGATGTCTTGAAACTGCGTTCCGCAGAGGCCATGTGCTACGTTGTTGAAGAGAGTATCGTTGAAGAGGAATGGTTCCTGCTGAACAAGTCCGATTTGGGACCGCCACCACTTGAGATCGACGCTGCGAAGGTCATTGTCCCCGATCTCAATAGCCCCAGTGCAAGTATTCGGGGACAGTTCTTCCTCATCATCTTTTTGGCCGGGTTTAGTGGAAACTTTCTTCTTCTTCGACACTTCCTTCTTGCTAGTAGTATCCTCCATTTTATCCGTCGTTGGTTCCACAGCAATAGTACCCAACAAGTCATACCAACGCTGTAAAAGAGCCACAACCGTACTTTTGCCAGACCCCGATGGCCCAACAATAGCGGTAACTTTCCCAGCGCTAAACCGAAGGTCAAGTCCACTGAGGATTTGTACGTTAGGTCTACTCGGGTAGGAGAACGCAACGTTTTTGAAGAATACATCGGCATCGGCGGAGATGTCCGGGTCTTTGAGGCCGGATGTGTCAGGGACATTTGCATCGATTGTGATGAAAAGCTCGGTTGCAGCAGACGCGGCTTTTGCGATGGCGATGATGGGGGAGGCGAGTCTGCCTATACTCATGACGGCCATCATGACTGAGAAGAGCACACTGGGGAAGTTAGCGTGTGTGCACAAAGCATCGCATGTTGCGCATATCTAGTAATATTGGGGTTGGTAAATGAGGCATCAGAGAGAATAGACTTCGCAGTCTTTTCGATCTAGTAGCTGAATCAAAGGGTTGATTCTCCCCTCAAGTGTTGTGCAGTCTTTAGTAGCAAAGAAAAATAGGGAAAACTCACACAATAATAACACCAATATCATGAATGTGCCCACGAGTATACTGCCTAATCCCGAACCAGAAAGTGAGGCCAAATGTTCCATACATCGCCATCATTGAGGGAGACATCATCAAACCCATCAAGGGAGCAGTCCTCCTCCCATTCTTTGCCGCTTTATCTAACAGCGCCGCGTGCTGTCTTGCGAGCTTAGCCTCGGCGCCGAAAGCAACGATAATCCGGATAGACGAGAACATCTCAAATGCCAATGCTGATGCCTCTTCATGGTAGTTTTCGGTAATCTTGTGTATGGTGATGAAAGGAGGGACAAGGGAACCGTACACAATGAGAATGAACGGAAGCGAAATGCTGGCTACAAATGTGAGCAGCCAGTTCTTGACGAATGCCACAATGTAGAGACCCAAAGTGAAGGCTAATGCCTGAATCGCCATGGCAAAGTGTTGTGAGATTGCCAATTGAATCGTGTTCGATGATGTTGTGATGCGAGTCGAGACTTTTCCTGGAGATATGGTGTCAATGACGCTGACAGGCTGGTGGAAGAGGGCACGGAGGTAGGCTAATCGAAGGGCAGCCGAGATTCTGAGTCCACTAAGTCGTACGCAAAGCTGTTCCAAAAAGTGAGCATAGGAAGGGTGAAAGTTTTGCGGCGAGAGCACTAACCATAGAGATGTATGAAAGTGCGAATTTCCCAATGAACAAATAAGTGATGTAGAGCCTAGAAATCCAAGTGTCAGAGATATTGGGTTTGCTCATTCATATAAAGGAGCTTTTTATAAGATAATCTAAGCGCTTTGGTGTGTGGAAGGATGTTCGAAGGAAGAATTTGATCGTAATAAAGGAAGCATCTTGTGGGTACCCCTTTGAATGCCGGAAACGAATCCGAAGAATCAAGTCATGTGCTTTCAATGTTCTATAGCATGACCCTATGCCCAGGGAAGTAGTAACGAGAGTATAGTTTAACGTACGCGTTCTTGTTGACAGCGCTCTGGAACTGATGTTTCGTGACGCTAGATCCGGGGATGAAGTATCCCGTGAAGTCTCCGACGAGATTTCCTTTCCAATGTCAGTTAGGTATTTCAACTAAGCATAGAGAACATACCAAAGACAACGTTCATTAACGGCATGGCCTGAGGATAATATGAGCAAGAATACATTTCTGCTTGATTGTCAAACCTACAATGCCAGCCCCGATAGATGTGAGCATGCTCGCCACCATGAGAGCCCAATCCAGCGGCGTCCCATATGAGAGAACTCGCTGGGAAGAATCAGCACTTTGTTCGCAGCTGTTTAAGCTGCCGAATGCTTACAAAGTAGTTCCCCAAACTAGCCTGAGGCTTTTTCTCTTTTTTATCCTTCCCCTCGATCTTCTCATTCTTCTCTGAGGAACTAGAAACATCATCTTTGGTACTTGTCGTTGCTTCGACGACCTGGATGTTTTGTTCAACAACATCTGTTGCGACAGAGGCCGAAGCAGGCGGCGGTTTTCCTTTTTTGAAGATAGCCATGATGAATGCTGACGGATAGAGTTATCGAAAACGACGACAGTTTCAAGAAGAGTGAGAAACTGAGTGATTATAGACTATTCTGGAGATGATCGGACATGTTTTCTCAATAACAAAGGCACAAAATATTGATGCCTAAAAGGACAGCGTAGTTCTGATGGAGTCTGCACGGTCAATTACACGACGCCAAGAGGGAGCGCATTAAGGGAAGGAGATTGAAGTAAGCGCCATCAACTTAATGGAAAGTGGATGTTCTGTGCAGTGCTCGTTGGATGCAGCAAAGGGGCAGCCTTGCGTCTGAAGAGTCTTGTCGCAATCGTTGCCTAACTAAATGCGAGGAATAAACGAATACGAAATGACGCTTGCACAGTTATTTCCTACCTGGGCGATCTGATCGGGAAGAGACGGCTCCGGGCTGCGACTGTTTCATCAGATCTTGAACAAGCTCCACTCAAAGGGTCATCTTGATAGTTCACGAGTAACATGTAACTACTGCATCTCGTCAGCTTCTCTTGCAGTGAGGGTAGGCTGAAGAAAGGGGGGGTAAAGGACGGCTAAGCGAGAAAGGCTGGCCAAGTCACGTGATTGATAATCGGCAAACCGGGGGGATTTGTCGGCTCCTGGAGACTCCGTGGGCCGCTTCTTGCGTTTCCCTCGAACAAGGCTGCTCTTCAGCCTCCCAAACTCTGCTTGCTCCCTCGGCCCGGCTAGAACAGAGCATTTCAAGCTCTGAGAGGGCCAAATCTTCAACCTTCGAACTATGTTGTCTTTGCAAAGGCTTATTCTACCAACAACATTCCAACTTTCACTTAGCATTAGAGGGACATTTGTTAAGAAATGCTCTCCAGTCCTTCTGTATGTTGACCCGCTCTTCTGTCCAGGTTTGCTACGTATGCGGCAACGTTTGACGACTTCCTGCGTCGGCACTCGCTTGCCTGTGATAGTTTGTGATTATGGCCTCGCCAGACCCTACTTCATGGTAGGTTCATGAATAGTCTTATTTTTCTTTACTTCACAGTCATTATTCAGCCAATTCTGTTGTCCTTGAATTGTTCCCATACTCCTGTCACCGACAGCATGTGTTTCAATTTCTCCTCAACCTCCAAGGCGGCGACTTCTCCTACCACTAATCGCATGGGTTCTAATTCGTCATTAATCTCTAGCCTAATAACCTTCCCTACTGCTAGCGATACAGCTCCCAACTCTGCCTCAAGTTTCAGGATTCTGACTTTCCCTGCCACTAGAGGCGCGACCTCTAGATCCCCCTCAAGCTCTGAGACGGCGATTCTCATTGTCACCAGTGACATGGATTCTAAGGCCTCTCCAAGTTTGAATGCGGAGAGTCTCCCAGGCCTTTCCACGTAGCTCCTCCTCCAGGTTACCGAAGATCTTCCCGCTAGCACGGTAACTGTGTCCATTCTTACGTCCAAGAAGATTCTTAATACCTTAGGAGGCAGAATCTTAGTCACAGCTTAAAGCGGAAACAAATTTGACCGGGGAACTCTCCTGAGATCCCTCAAGCGAGGCTATCCTAAATGACAAGTTGCGAGCTATGATATCTCCTCCATATCACTCTACCTACGTCAAGAACCCATACCATCAATATCTAGAGTGTAACGGCTTCTATGCACTCTATGATCAATTCGGATATGCCATCGATTGGCCTCACGCCGCTCTAGTTCTCAAGAATCGCGTCCTTTGTAACAGCCGTAAAATCTTGCTCAACAAGTTCATATATGAAGAAACCCGACGTATAGCTAATACCGAAATAGGAGGCAAGCTAATCCGCGCTCCGTTATCACAGGAGACTTTCGATTTACTGCTAACGCTCGGATTGTAGGCGATCTCCTCCTGGTCAAATGAAGCTACATAATTCAATACACTATCAAGGAGCGTCTGGTTCTATATCGTCCCAAAGACTTGTGTCTCAATTTACGCCATCACGCCAGCAAAACATATCGAGGAGAGGCGTAGCTCAGTAATTACCTTACAGATATCACGAAAGGGCAACAGCTACACTTATGATTAAAACGGCGACGTTGTTCGTATGATTCATTAGACGACGAGATCCTAGACAGAACTACGACAAAATATTGAGACCTAGAGCTCTAGGAGTACCGACCTTCCGTTAGTGTGAATTCTGCATAAGAGAGTACCAAGTTCAGATTCAAGACCACACCATCACCGTCACTGCCCGGGACAAGCTAGGGAATAGGAGGCCCGCGGGCAGTCCAGACTGGGACCCTCAATACACGGGGAGGAAGACATTTGCGGGTACAAAGAAGTATAGCTGCCAAGTCCATTTCTTTCCCATTGGTAGCGTGAAGGCCGTCTTTGAGGCGAACGACACGTCGTAATTGCACAACATCCAGACTCCAAGTTAGTATCTGTTGTACACGAAGCATAAACTAAGAACTAAATGCCTAGAAAATATGCATACGTACGGACTGGATACTATCTATTGTTCTAGAATCATTAGCTACGAGATCTTAGACCACCCTGGCTGGTAGCTGGAGTACTCGACGATGTCAATTAATACGCTCTTCTACGCCAACCGTCCTATTTTTTGTTCCCGTCTAGTGTGAATAAGCAGTGCAGGAAGAGTTATGTGCCCTATTCTACATGCATTGAAGCAAAGCAGTCTAAGCACAGCCATAAGCTTGCGCTTTAGAATGAATTCGGGTACTTCTACGGATCCGTAGTTCATGGGCTCCTATCTTCTATTTTCTCCGTTCCTGCGATAATAGCCTAGGAATCAGGGTCATCCGGGGAGGTCTAATCAACTCCAGTATCTCGCAGTCCCCAGAGGCAAGCCAGTGCATAGGGCGGTGCGGCAAAGCAAACGCAAGAATTGTGGCGCATGTGGCCAGTGCAGACCAGTGCTTAGCCGTTTGCGCGTCGCAATTCACCCACACCTCTGCCCCACCAAACTCACTCAGCTCAGCCGCAATCGCAACCATGTCGAGCGTCGGGCATGACCGCCCCTTGAACGCACATGCCGATAAAGTGGCGCGTTCTCATTCCGCTGACAGAGCGCCATTGTGTCACTTAAAAGACGCGTGTGATCCCTCAAAGTACCTGCCCTTTGGCTAACCAACCGCTGCCCCTCCCCCGCCTCCCTCGAAGCGACCGTCAGCAGACTGCGCTTGCACCCAGCATCTTTCTATTTCTCTTCCAACCGCTGTATCTTTCGTTCACAATCCTATTCTCGTGAACACGCTTTAGAACTTAGAACATGTCTGGAAACGAGTACTACGGCGGAGGCGGCTATAACCAGCCGCCGCCGCAACAAGGTTACGGTCAACAGCACTATCCTCCGCAACAACCTCCGTACGGCCAGGAGCAGTACAATCAAGGACACAGCCCTTATCCTCCGAACCACCAGGTGAGCCCAAACGTTTAGCGTCCATATAGGCGACTTCACTATCGATGAACAACGGCTAACAGCAACAAAGACTCCTTATCCTCCCCCCTCACATTCTCCCTACCAGTCTCCGCCCCCACAGCAAGGATACGGCCCCCCTCCTCCGGGAGAGTACGATCCGAATCGCGGAAATTCTCCCTATCCTCCACAGCAACAGCAACACTATGGTGGGCCACCTGCCCACGATCAATATGGCGCTCCACCACACCAGCAAGGCTATGGCGACCAAGGTTATGGACAACACGGCCAGCCCGGCGCCCCCGGAGGCCCAGGTGGCCCCGCTGAAGGAGACCGCGGGCTCGGCTCTACGTTGATAGGCAGTGCTGGAGGCGCGTTCATTGGACACAAGCTCGGTGGTGGACCGTTAGGCACCGTTGGAGGTCTGGTAGCTGGTGCTATCGGCGCGAATATCTTGGATAGCAAGCACGACAAGTGAGTGGAACCCCCGCACATTAGTTCTATAGTAGGTCACTAATACATTGTTATAGGAAGAAAGAAAAGAAGCACAAGAAGCACAAGCACGGCAGCAGCTCTCATAGCGGATCCTATGCCGGTTCTGCGGCTGGTCTTGGTGGCCTTTATGCTGGAAGCCATAGCAGCCACAGTGGTGGTCATAAGAAACATAAGCACCACAGGTCTAAGAGCCGCGGTGGAGGCAGTAGTTCTTCTTCCAGCAGCGACTCGGATTAGGCTTCGAAGTGGCTGGTCTTGCAGGCTGCCTTGATAGTGAATGGACGTGTCTTCATCTTGTTTTACTTGTTTTACTTGGTTTGAATTGTGGCGAGGAGATAACTGCACCCAGAGGACTATCAAGTGTCCTTGAGGAAACTTTGTACCCCATTAGTCTATTCTCTCGAATCATAATTCCTATTTCACTGACTGCGCTTGACGTCATCAAATCTAAGAACTTAACAGTGTTACCTAAGACATCAATAGGTAAGAGTCTTTACGATAATACTTTGTTCATGCCTTGGCAAGGATGAGAAGGTAATACCTGAAGTCTTTGGTGGAGCAACCAAAAAAGGCTTAGCGGCATGCCTAAAATTCTCCACCACAAATGAATAATTCATGACATACTGCTGCAAAATCCCAACACGCGCCGGCAATACTACTTGTTCAGATTACTGTCATGGGAGACGTCTTCATTCCCTTTATCCGGAGCTCTCTTCCTGATGAGCTTGCCTCAGTACTTCACGACCAACTTCAGAAATTGGAGAATGGAGATTTCTTGGCAATCTTTCAACATCCAGACGTACAAGTGCTCCTCGGACACCGGGATGACACGGGAGATATCAACCTGAAGGATCCAACAGTCGGAGATCTTGCATTGACAGATTTCGTGCTTTGGAGTGATTACGTATTCCACCGTCTAGGCTTTGTTCTATCGAGAAGAAGGGAAAATGAGGGGACGCCTCCGCAAGAAACCGCCGCCTATCGCCAACACCTCTATTTCATCGTGGCCGTTGCTTCGCTTTATGCATTCTTACAGTCTACTGTTACTGGTCCTCCACTTAGCTTTGACTCTGCGGAAGTACTCCTCCCTAAGGCTTACACGTCGAGTAAACAGGCTCTTTCCTCGTACAGAGGAGAGCTCATTTCATCTCTCACCGTAGATGGAGTCGCAGCGTATAAACTCACACCAAACATTGAACTTTTTTGTCTAGCGGAGACAATCTTGATATGTCCTCCTATTCAGAAAAACATTGAAGCGTCCACCTGGGCCAGATTAAGAGTCAATTTTCTCCATCAACGGCTTCTCTCAGAAATCGCACCTTCATTGCAAACATCTATATACGATGACCTAGATGCTCTTGGAAGTGTCGTGTTGGGACCAGAACTAAAGCATAACATCGACAATCTGCGCGCTAATTTCCTGCTTGAGCGAGCGGCCATCCATATGCATCATGGATTCGACAAAAGGGCGAGAGCGGATCTTGACCAAGCAGCTACCGAAAGGAAATTCGAGTTTGCGTTAACTGGCTTAATGGGTAAGCGTACCAGGTTTCAAGAAAAGGAGACAAGTCAATTGCTAGTCCTTGCTCGGAGTGCCAGTTCAGAGACAAATGGTGCTTCCGCTGGGATTTTGAAACCCAGGAACCTGGATCTCAATGATGATACCCTGCTTGAATCGATTTCATTCACCGAAAAACCATCGTCCACCGAGATCAATGACGAGTCTTCTCTTCCTCCTAGTCTCGCTTCTTTAGATCCCTCTAATCAGCCGCTTCTGGATCCCTTGGATTCTGTCATACTGCTATCTCTTGCCTCTTCGATTACTAACACCAATCCTGCTGATGGTCTGACAAGAGAAGAGACTGTTCCTTATGCCAATCGTGTTTTGGATGGCGGGAGCTCAAATTGGCAAGTATACACGCAAGCGCTACTGGTCCGCAGTCGAACCGAGGGCTATCGATCAAGAACCATGGAGCGCGGCCTCTTGCAGCTTCAAGCCTTAGTTGACCAGGTCATTGCAGAGACTACCAACTCTCCAACCGCAGCAAATGGAGAGTCGAATCAACAAGTAACTTCATTCCTGCCAAAAGCTAAAGATGGGGAATCCGCCCCGGTTGAAGAGCGTCTCCGCTACATCTTCGCTCTCTGCTCGCCATCACGTTGGGAACTCGAGGCCGAACTTGCCGCTCGTTGGGTTCATGTCGGAGGCCTTCGCTCCGCACTTGAAATCTACGAGAGACTTGAAATGTGGGCTGAGGCTGCCTTATGTTGGGCAGCAACAGATAAAGAAGATAGAGCAAGGAAAGTTGTTAGAAGGCAACTCTTCCATGCGACGAATAGCGACGATAGCATGGCCGATCTAGAGGAAGAGAAATGGGAAGGTGCGGCGAGAAACCCACCGCCGGAAGAGGCACCAAGACTGTATTGCATCCTAGGAGACATCGACAAAGATATGGAAATGTACGAAAAGGCATGGGAGATTTCCCACAAGCGATATGCTCGTGCACAGCGTTCTCTTGGTCGACAATACTTTTCCCAACAGGACTACACCAAGGCGGCAGAAGCCTACTCGATGTCTCTCAAGATCAATGCTTTGAACCATTCCTCATGGTTTACTCTTGGGTGCGCATATCTCGAACTGCAGCAATTCATGAAGGCAGTAGAAGCATTTTCTCGCTGTGTCCAGCTCGAGGATGAGGATGCGGAAGCGTGGAGTAATCTAGCCGCAGCACTGCTTCATCTCCGTCCTAAGCCAAAAGACGACTTTGATGCAGGTAACACTACAGAAAGAGTCACCAATCATCCCAGACAAGACGCACTGAAAGCCTTCAAACGCGCCGCGGCCCTCAAACACGACAACTCGCGCATCTGGTCTAACGTCCTCACTGTCGCAGCATCCACTAACCCGCCATCATACACCGACATCGTAAACGCCCAGCGCCGCATATGCGAACTCCGTGGATCCACTGATGGCGAAAAATGCGTGGACGAAGATATTCTAGACCTCCTAGTCCGCCACATCGTCCAGGAAGAAGAAAGCTCAAGTTTCGATGTCTCCCGACCAGGCCTACCAAGACTAGCAAATGAGCTTATCGAAAAACACATCAAACCCCTCATCACTATGTCTCCCAAACTCTGGATCATCCTCTCCACCCTCTACATCCACACCAACCGCCCGTCTTCCGCGCTCGAAGCACATGAGAAAGCTTGGCGCGCGGCTACTTCGCAGCCGAAGTGGGAGAGCGGGACGGAGGCACAGTGGAATAGCGTTGTGAATCAGACGATTGATCTCGTGGATGCGTATGAGAGTTTAGGTCCGAGGGAAAGGACGGAAGGACTTTCGGAGGGGAGTGGAGCGCTAGTGGCTAAAGATTGGAGGTTTAAGGCAAGGAGCGCAGTGAGGAGCGTGTTGGGGAAGGGGAGGGATGTTTGGGAGGGCGGGGACGGGTGGGAGAGGTTGAGTGGGAGGTTAGAGGGGTTGAAAGGGAGGGAGTGAGTGGGAATTTGGAAAAGTATAGGAGTTGGGTAGAGGGATGCTGTGTATCTAAGGTAAAAGTTCGAGCTTTGAGGAAAATAAGAGAACAGGTATGTACAAAGGGCGAAAGGCTCAGCTCCTAGAAAGACAAAATGAATTGCATGTTGTCATATTACGTAGAACACGACCAGAGTGAAGTCTTTCTATTATACCTCTTGCTGGAATCAGAGAGAATGTCAACAGGTCGCGAGTTTCTGCTTTAGATTACAGGATACGCCACCCCTATCATGCCCCAAGTTACAGTATTAGTCTTCACCCTCTAAGCAGGAATTGACGTAATATTCACCCTCACATTCTCAACTACACACCCCTCTCCCCCACCCGCTCCAATGCCCTTCCCCTCCCATTCGCAATCTCAGCAATATGACCCCCTTCCCTGCAACGCCTATCTACCAACGCATCGTTATCTTACATGTGGATAGACTCGCCACGAATAGCTTTGTACGAAAACATCGGCATTTGGGGGATTCCGTGATACCCCATAGACCCATTTGCGTTGAAAATGAACTGGATGATAGGAGCTTGGAGATCCGCACGACTGTTGATGAGATAGTCGTAAATGTTGTGGTTAGTGAAGGCGGTGAAAACTTTGGCAGCGTCAAGATGCCGGGATGAGAGGAGGAAACTCGCCTTGGAGGGGCCAGAGGGTTTCAAAGCCGGATACGAGATATCCATAAGCGACTGGGTCCTGGGAGTTGGAGCCAAGCAGCGCAGACGGAATCAGTCCTGCAAAGGGACTCGCGGTGATGTCCAGCGGTTCCGACGAAGCGTAGTACTGTACTATTGGGGGATTTTAATGCGTGTACGGGTGAGATTTTGTGTACGTTCGTACAGCAAGGAGGATGAGAGGCAGATCTACGTATCGTAATTGTTACGGCTCATGTGATCTGTATAAGTAGTACAATTCCATTAAAGTACGGCGTACTCTAGTCAAAACAGCTAGGATTATAGGTCTCTAGAGGTGGATTACCTTGCCCTATTACAATTAATCTTCAGCCACAGACAGCATACTATCGCGGGATGAGACAGGAGATGTAGCGTAGAGGGCGCTCAACTTCTGCAACCTACAAGACTACGCAAAATGGACAACGGCGGTATCTGATCAAGTAGATGAGGCCTGTAAGGCGCGTAGATGGATAACTCTGCAGTAAAAAATAGTCAGTAATAAACACTTTTAAGATAACGGATTGGGGATAGATAGATCAAAACACTCAGAAAGAGATTTAAGCGTCCTTACAAGCCTTTCAGCTAATCGGGGTCCTAGAAGATCTCCTCAACGCTCCCCGCAGGCCTACTGCTCTCCAGAGCCTCCTTCTCCTCTAGAATTGTTATATAAACTTCCTAAAAGGGTAATACAATACGTACTACGTACCGTATCTAGGGCATCATTAAACGTACGGCACGGCTCACTGTTTACGGACCGTAGTATGCCCCGTTGGAGCCCTGATGATATTTTCCAGGGTGTTTGTCAAATTTGGTACCAACTCGCCTAATACTGTGCCGAAAAATTGCATTTCGGGTGCGTATTGGGGTTGTAGTCCACGGCCCATTCGCTGGCTAGAGAACCGCCGGAGTATCCTCACATAGCGGTTTTGGTGCTGCTGGAGGATGGGATGAGATTGGACGATAAGACCGTACATATTAAGTTGAGGGTTGCGTCACCAGCCTAGATCCCGAGCCCGAACCTTGCCAGGGGGCCTTCATAGCCCGGGGCTTTGACTTACCACCCGTTTCCGAGCGCCTCAGATATGTTGTCGCTTTTGGGAGGATACTTAGTACTAAGGTGGTCGTGTAGAGCGCGTAGCTGGGACTGGAGTGTACATCGACAGAATTGTAGCGCAATTGGATGGATAAGAGAGCAGAAGTTGACGCATGAGAAGTTGTGTTAGAAAATGAGACAAAAGGCGACCAGGGCCCATGATGGCTGGAAGTGTGAATCGTTGGCTTGGTAAAGGATATGGTAAGATGCGGAACTGTTAATGATTATGGCTGTGATGTTACCGGTGGCGCGGCGGAAACGGAGAATTGTGCCAGGTGCCTGGGACTGGAAGTTTGGAGACGTGGGGTAGAATGGGACCTGGATTGGTGGTAGTAATTTAGATGACATGAGACGACTATGTTCATTAGGAATGTTCATCTCGGTGGGAAATGGGAGTGGGGGTGATAAAACGAAGCAAAGAAAGGGAGCCATAAGAGGATAGAGGTGTAAAAACGGTCCAATTAGCTACTAGGCCAATTTGTACAGGCCTTACCCCCTTCTTATATCGTTAACAAACTCCAATAGAGTATAAATCGTCATTAAATTAGAAACTAAGGAGGCTCAAAGTTCCTCCGAACCGACATGATGTTGGAAAATCGATCCTGCTCCTTGTGGTCATGTGACGTAAGGAGAGTGGTAGTCAGTTCAGGGGGCTCGGTCTAGCTTCAACAAGCAATGCTTTAGGTTGGAATCGTATAGTTGGGGATATAGTTGTAGCTCCGATATGACGGTGAAATGAATGATCCGCGAGCCCGTCGGAGTTAGCTATATTGATGACCGATATCCAGTGCTTGATTAGTATGCTAACCGGAAAACGGCTATTTCAGGGACTGCGTCTCTTCTCCAGAGCCTGTCGCTTATCAATGATGCGCTTGCACCAGTCAGCAATAGTACTTCTTCACCCTGCCCGATAATGCACGCACAGATTCTCCAACTTAACCGTACAGCCGGGTCAAGGATCTCGAGGACTCGTTACAGATTGAGTACCCACAGAAATGAGGGGAACTTGGAACACCAATAGTATATACCTCCAGCCCCCAACAAGCAATCATGTGTCATTTCTCGTTCCAGGGATACTGTGCAAAAGCTACTCAATTCCACTCATTCAAAATGCTCAGGGGTTTTTCCATCTCCGTCTACGCGCTAGTGGTGCTTTTCGCGTCATTATATCAACTATTGCTGAACAAAGTCCTCTTCGTCTCGTTTGGTATTGGCCGACTTATACAGCCAATCGAGGACTTCCCATATTCATGCGGGCGCATTGAGTATGAAAAACTCAAAACCTGCGAGGATCTATGACTGGACGGTGGTGACCGAGTGCTATATGCGGCGTGTGTAGGGACGAAACAAAGGTTAGCATGAAATCTAACTTGAGTCAAGCAATCAGAAGTGTTCGAGCTATTATCTTAGTGAGCGAGGAAGAACTAACCTCATCAGAATGGGAGCACCTAACGTATCCGGAAGGAGACCGGGAGGTTCTGAACTAATTGCTCTTTCTATCAACTCTCCTAGGAAAGGCGGCTTCTTTGAAATGATATGCATTTAAGTAGAAGGATACACCGGTGCAGCTGATATAACTTTGGATTTCCTGGGCTTTGACGCTTAGGTCATTAATCTATCAACAATCTATTCCTATTTCGTCAACTAGCGCTCTTCTGTGGATACTAACAGGAAATATGTTGATGCTACTAAGGTCGGGCAAACGCCACGATCAACATCTTTGGGCTCAAGAGGGGTGGAAGTAAGATGAACCATGTCTAGATAGTTGCGTCTCTAGAGATTTAGTTTTAAAACCGGCTGGCGATCCTCGTGGATAGGCCTTCTTTGTGTCCAACAATCAGGACTAGTGGCTTTACACTAAGATCTTAAGATTAGTATCTGTAGTTTTTATTAGCTAAGTTTTTAGTTTAAAGATGTTACAAGCAGGTTTAACCTCGACTAGATGCGTCCTTGTAGGACTAGAGTGGACAAAGAATGATTCGCTGGAAACAACCAGGCTTACGCTTGAACGGATACGTCCATACTAAACTTGAAGGGACAAAGAATAGACAGCTAGATGCAGCAAAGCATAGGACAAAGAAGTATTATGGATATAACGGTAGCAAAACTGTATCTAGAGGGGTAGCAATTTGTTTAAGGTTAAGGGGATCTTAATCTTAGAGTCTAGATTCGTACAATCAATTCCCTTACTAAAGAACAAGTTCAGCTAGTCTTCTTGTAACGATTCTCATGAATCGTTCCATCTCGGGTCGCCCGGAACCTATCCGAAGGGTCTCCGTATCGGCTCCGACCCTGGCTCGACCCTGACTCGACTCTGCCCGGCCCCCTGCTGTTACCCCTATTCCCTCATGTATTTAGTCGCACCTCGCCCCCGTAGCTAGCTCGGTAGTTTTCTGATATCCTACGTACAAGGCCTATAGGTGTCATTGGTATTCCCAGGTCTCTGAGTCCCCACGCACTCCCATATGCCTCTGAGTGGATTCATACCGCATTCGGACCCATTGTCTTGCCTGCGCCGTTACACTTCTAGTGTATTGCACAATTTAATTTAACAAAAGATTAAATCTATGTATAAGCTACTCTAAGCTAATTTTAGAGTTAATATATCTATTTTCTAAGAATGAATAATGCTATCCAGGGGATAAGTACGTAGTCTAGTTGCTTTAGTAAATTAAAGCTAGCTAGATTATATAAGAGGTAACGTTAGCAGTAACTATTGTCTGCTTAACACCTGCGCCTCTATAGTCTTGTATGTTGTCCTATAGAGACTTTACAGAACTGAGCATCCTTAGCGTAACCTCTGTCTGGTCTATATCGTAGCAATTTTCTAGCAGGATAGCAGCATGCTATATTGCGCTTCTAATCACCTTAAAATTGATATGTGATCTTAATTCTTCTTATAATATTTCTAGTTTATTAACCTAACTCCCCTTGCTTTAAGTTCTAGATAGTGTTTCTTAAAGGCTTAAGCCTAGTTCCTTTTAAAGGCGTTATAAGGTCATCTGATGTCGTAGATCTCTAGCGATCAAGGGCGAAGGCTAACAAAGGTATATACTTTATGCAGACAGGCTGCCTAAGATTGGACATTTGCAACGAAAACATGAAAAGACCTTCTCTTCCTCTTGTGTAAGGTATTGCTGACATATACGCATTGTAGATTTGGCTTCAACTGCAAGAGGTCTAACTGTGAAGATATGCACCCCAAGCCATTGAAACGCGACAAGCAAGGAGATCAAGGTCATGGTGGATAAAAAGGTGGAGGCTAAAGCAGACTTCAAGGAAAGGATCACGGCGAAGGCCTGGGCCTGAAACTCAAGAAGCTTTGCAAGTATGGCAAGTAATGTATGCGCTTTGATTTCCATTTCGGCCCCCAGAACAGAACTGTCAGGATCAGAACGGTCAGTGAGGAACTAGTGAAGAACACAATTGGCGGGAGATAGCATGGATGGGGATATAACGGTCGAGTGCAAGGGCAATATGGACCTCTGTGTGTTTCCAACATAGATAAGGGTCCCAAAGATAAAAGTCAAGGCCGAGGGTGAGGTGGAGTTCGAACCGGTTTTCCGCTGCCGTCACCGAAGAAGAAATAAATTGTTTATAGTTCAGATGAGAGTGTGTAGGGGAAGAGATTGGAGTAGGTTTGCAGTGCATTAAACGGTATTCTATTGATATTGAGTTACGTTAGCGAATTTCTGTTTCCACAGCCCAGAACCCGAGTCCTCCCTAATAGGCAGTAGCGGAGTCGCGGATTGTCCCTTGATCTGTTTGCCCTCCCTATTATGCCCTGAAGTTTAATTAACCTACTATTAGTTTCTCTTTAATCAATTCTAAACCATAGCAAATAGCAAATTAAATCTTAATCACGGGCTAATTTTATTATAGCAAGGAATCCGACATCGTATGTCCTCCCTAGGGTACCTAGCGAAATGATGTGGAGACTGCTGCTCTCCAAGGCCCTAATCACAAGCTCCAACTGTTTCACTGCTCTACCTCGAGCACAGCGCCCTTAGTGTACACCTCAATGACCTTTCTCTCGACACTGCTGCCGGGCTTTCCAGCTTCATTCACACCCCCACTTACTTTCTCAGATCCATTCTCTCCCATATGTCCATCCTTGCTATCATCCCCGTTTATACCAACACTACCATTTACCACAGAGAACTGTGGAGAAATACTGGCCAGATTCGATCCACATGCGTAGCTGTACTTACCCGTATACCACAAAATTTCAACAAGGGAGAACTTCTGAATTGGAGAAATCCTAGCGCCGGGGACCCATTGGTGTGTAGTCTTTGTAACACTATTCCAATTACGTTAGCATCCAAATTTCCAACGAAGAGAGTGGATTTGCGTAAGCGAGTATGGAGAGAGAGGTGCCTTACCCGTTCTCGGTAACGACCTCGAAGTACATTCCATTCGGCTCGACTTCTGCGTACGATTCGGGGCTAGCTTGTAGCTGAGGAGATGATCGGTTGGAAGTAGGTTCGGGGGTTGCGACAGGGGATGGCGAAGGAGTAGGGATTAGGACTGGTGAGAGTTCGTGCATTGAGCGGGGTTTGAGAATACGGTATCGGTTTGATGCACCCTGGTTGGGTGTGGCGGCTTGGTGGGCTCCCTGGAGGGCTCCTTGGGAAGGCCCTGGAGTAGGAGAAGTGGGGCCGACAATAGGGCTACAGCCAGCGATACCTCCATTGCCCACGACATCGACTTTAGTGTTCTTGTCAGAGAGGTTGACTCCCGCCTTCATCGGCGTGAGTTTCTTAGCTGGTTGAAATTCAGCGAACTTGACACGCTTAGCAGATTTGCCAAGATTACTATTTTTCTTTGGGGAAGCGCTATCGCTATTAGCTTCTGAGAAAATATGTTGGAGCTCGAGGTACTTACGCTGTAGCGCTGGCCTTGTTCTTCCCGACCGTTGTGATTTCTTCGGTAGGTGAAGCCTTAGCGGGCCCAACGACCGGAGCGACACGCTTACGCTTTGTCCTTGGGAAGGCGCTGGAATTTTCAGTTTTTAAAGAGGCATTGTAGGATTGGAAGCACTTGCACCTTAGCGACGTTGCCAGCCAGGGGCACCATCTTTGCAGTAGGTTTACGAGCCCGAGTAGACCTGCGAGGTGAGAACTCGTTACCAGCCATAGCTGTCAGCGAAGCTGAAGTAGGTGGCATTGCGGGATGAAGATGAAGATGAGGTTTGAAGAATGAGACGAAAGAGATACGTAGAAGAGATGAGAAGAGGCTCGTTGAAGATGAATGTTAAGGATGAATATAGAAGAGATTGAGGTTTTTAGACTGAGTGCTTGGGGGAATAGATACTGGTGGTATATTTCTCCGAAAAGGGTCTTGGCGGCACAGTGAACCCTGGTGTGAAAGGGTGAAAGGTGAGAGTTTTTGTTTGGGCGGAGGTGATGCGGAAGTGTTTTTGGTTGTGATGATATCAAGCAGATAGCAAATGTGCGCCCTGGTTAGCTCAAACACTACGAGAATTTGAGGTACCTTTACATCCTGTTATCTCGTCCTCTGCACTATGATGCCATTTTTTGTGAAAGGTATTCTTATAGAGGTGTTTGCCAAGTAGAGGTGTTAAGGTGAACACATAGAGGTATTAGGTATGGTAACGCATTCTTTCCTTTAGCCTATTAATGCTGCTCAGTCTAGAATTGCTTGAGCAATTCCGAGTGATACCGTTATACACACGTCATACTCATTCATTGAAAATGTATCTTCAGCTCAACCGTCATGTTCAAATTCTCCATTATCGTCTACATGATGAGTATTTTCCTGCCCAACAATCCCTACATACCCACTCTTCACAATGAGTGCTCCCTTAATCGCCTCGCTACGTTCTCTTGGATCCGCACCCCTTCAGAATTCTTCATTAAGCTCCACAGCGTTGATTGAGATGGGGAAGTCGTTGGTCAATTGAGGGAACCTCAAATACTTCGTCCATTTACCGGAGACATAGGAGAAGACTTGCTTCGGGTAGACCATTGCTCGCACCGCGGGGCGCACGTTGTCATACCTCTATCTGTCTCCGCAAACATGGCCGACGAGGACACCTTTTTGCATGATGTCCTGGCGGTCGAACTCCTTGGTATAATGGATCTGGCTATGGTCGTGAGGACTTGAGGTTGCGTTTGCTGGTAGTACGAGATTGAGAGCTACGGCTTGTCCTTGGTGGATGACACCGAAGGAAGAGCTGCCTACCACTGGGGACGGCGCATATATCGTCTCCGCGGGTGTGAGAGGCCAGTCAGCTCCAACTTTATCACGAGTAATTGGGAATGCGGGATCCATCCTAGCGTTGGGCTGGGCTTGTTTTCATTCTCGTCAGCAAACAGCCAATCTCAACAGATTGAACTTACGCGTATTGGAAAGAAACCAAAGTCAGGCTGAGCAGACTTCTGCTTGAAATTGGCGTAGAGATGCATGCTGTCACCTTGGGCATACTTCGGATTAAGATATGTACCCATATTCCAGAAAGATGGATAGATCATGCCTGCACAGGTGCCTTCTTTCAAATGTATGTGGATGCTGAATAAGTGCAATCCTTTGAGCGTACTTCATAGAAAGCCTTCTCCAGATCCTAGGTTCTACATAGCTGTTAGCGTATGCCTTGGCCTTCTGGTACACCAAACTCTCGCAGGAGGATGGATGGAGGCGCTATTGTGACTGTCTTTCGTGTTTTTGAATTCGGGTTAGGTGGTACAAAGATGGATTGATTTGCTGGTGAGTACCCGTTTTGTATCCTACGATGGTGCACTGATGGCACGGAAACACGTGATCCTCTGTTTACACCGTTTGTCGGGCTACTAGTCTTATGAAAGAGTTTCTCATGCGATCTTTGGGTAGCGCCACCGCACTTACACTAACTTTTTGTTATGCCCCGAAGATTGAAAGAAGAGCCTGGCTCCTCTAGCGGGAAAGAATTTGAAAACATGTGCTCAGAATGGTTAACTTAATGTTGACAGTTGTATGACCGCTGCCTGCATTTTTCACAATTCTACTAAGTACATCTCCACACCTAGAGTTTGACTCGCCAACTGTAAAGAGACTTCCAAGAATTGTGACCGATCGTTTCCTCAGCAGTGGGTCCTTCTTCATACTTCACTGAAGCGACATAACATGTCAGACTAGAAACACATTTTGATGTATAGCGGCACTGTTGCTCAGCCCTCTAACTCTCATTTGCACGCCCCCCTCTGCATGATCTCACATGTAGACGGCATTCTCCACATGCCTGTCCCTTACTCAGAGGAACGATAGAAGGATGGTAGTACCTGCATCTCAAATTGCCCAACCTGCACCGGGAGCAAGGTCTGGCTGCGTTCATGCCATAAGAACCAGCTATGAGCCTGGCATGCGCAATGATTCGACGGTAGCTGAATGGGAGCGTATCGAACGTCTGATGATATCCGTATTGTCCAAGGGGAGCGCAGTGTTCTATTGCTGAATCCAATTCAATCCGAAATTGCTGTTCATTCAGCGAAGGTACAATGGCTGCTGGAACAGGCCTACGGTGAGGCAGCCCTGGGGTATCTCAAAGGAGAATATCCTGACTCTGTCCTCGGTATATTTCATCCGCTGTGGGTCGAGGAGGGGGTGCCATCAACCCGACAGAACAATTTGGTTCGTTCGTTCGGACAAAGCCGTTAGGCTGGTTGGCGCCTACCGGAGTGTTTGGCTGATTATCCTGAGTTAGTCGTGATATCACACTTATTTCTTACTATGCTTACATCCTGAGGTACTGGACGACTCTCAACTATGATGACATCGTTATCGTTCTCATTCTTTAGGAAGTGTGCCACGAGTAGGAGATTGTTGTTCTGTAGCCTTGAAGGATGTAGGTATGCACCCTTGTTCCACACGGTCTTATTTATATTTGCTTCACAATTTTCCGAATTTTCCAGATGAAAGTGAAGACTATACTCATACTCGGGCTTCGAGAAGAAGATACGAGCCCATTCTTCGAGATCCTACGATGCTAAGTACTGTGCCTCTTGCGAAGCCCAAGATGGGTGTGACTTACTGCGTAGTTCTCAGCTTGTTCACTTAGCAGGCATTGACTGTTTCCATCGACCTTGTGCTCTCGAACGTGCAACATTGGCGGCGTCATGGTACGCAAGTGGTCGAGAGAGGTGATTTTAAAGACAGAAGAAACTTCTCGATGCCCTCAAAGAAGGGAGTGGCGAGGGTTCTGGACTGTAGAGCGTGATCTGAAATTTTCTCGCAGAGGTGAGGTGAAAGAAACAGCCCGATTCACAACAAATAAAACCGGCAGTCGCGTTGCTAAGCCACTAGCGACTCCAGGCAGCAGTTGGTTGGTTGATTCAAGCTACTAGTGTCTCTCTCACACTGTTGATTGGCCGAGAGGGGGCTTGGCCATTCACCGCTTAACGTTTAATTCCACCTCGATCTAGAGCAGCCATCCTCATCCACATCAATATCCAATTCCTCCAAAGAAATAAATATCCCTTGGATGCGTATCATCTTGCCGGCTTAAACCTCTGGTCCCCATAGTCCCAATCAGCCTGATCACTCTCTTCATACACGCCCTTAACCACCGTCTTCCTCTCTGACCTTCTCACAAATCTGTCTTCTATCTCTGCCTCAACTCCAGAGCCATTATCCATAGTTTTATTTGGAGCCTTGGATCCCGTCCTCTATTTCTTCTCCTGTCTATTTCGTTCAGGTGTAGGTGGGGATGAAGACGTGCTGGAGTCTTCTAGCGCAGCAGAGCTTGAGGACCGTTTACGAATGTGTTGAAGTGAGTGTTATGGCCCCTTGACGCATGTAGGCTAGACTCTATTTGCTTGTGAGCTTTTTCTCTTAGTCTAGCTGATTGGGTCGGTTAGGTTGGTTGAGTTAGAAAATTGCAGACATAGGAGATATGACTAGTGGTAAGCGCTTTCTCCTCCCAAGCCGTGTTTCGCGCACTGAGATTACGCTATCGCCATCTGATCCGCTAGATCGTATTTGTGAATGAGGGACCTCTTTCATCTGCCTCGGCTGCTTGGGTGAAGTGCTGTGGTCTTGCAAATTAATCAATTCCTTCCTTAAACTTGTTTACACACTATTTGTTGCCCGCTTCGGCCGCGCTAGGGGTTTGTTAAACCATCCAACTGGAGACGGGGATTCGCCCCCCAATATGGTGGATTGGGATCATGAGCTAGAGCCGTCCTTCATTGACCCAAATCAGATAGGTGCAAGTTTGTAGTCGACGATGTCGATGGAACCGGAGAGCTCAAGCTCCTCACCTGCATCTCCCGAATGGGCGACCTGTTGTGGGGTTGCAGTCATTCAATTAATTCCTTAATTCTGCTGTCACTCTATTTGTTGTTCATTTCGTCAGTACACCATAATCCACCTAGAAGGGTTGATGCAGAAACCCTGTCCCCATTCGGGGAGGCTTGGAGAACCAGACTCTTCTAGAGAAGGATACAGGGCTCATGTAGGTCCATTCTTGATTTACGTCAGCAGCAGTCTCGACATGAGCCGCTGCTCTCTTCATCTAACGTTTCTGGCGCAGACATGCTGTGCGACGACGAACAGAGTTCTCTCTACTCTTTTCGCGGCTTGCGATTTTGAGGTACTAGACTTGTCACAGGAGGAGGGGCATGGACTATTTGGATGCATCTGTCCGGCACTATTCGTGGCATCGAGACCTAGGAGTATCGGACGACGCCGTAGGCGTCACTCGAGAAATGTTACTATTCCAAAGTAAGCCTTAGTCTCCTCATTAAGAACACCATACAGCCCTCCCGCCCATGGCCCCTCTCTCCCTGGATACTTCTACCACCCACCTCTTCCCTTGCGCTCGCCCCATTATACTCCCTTGATCTTGGGGTTGCTCCTTTCCCAGCCCCTAAGTAATGCTATGTCAACGTAAGCATTAGCCCACATATCAGGCATGCCACGCATACCTTCTGTCCGTGGCCCCTCTCACGCTGTGGAGTTCCACAGCCCCCTATACCTCCCTTCTTCCCCCAAAAGTGCACCCAAACCCTCACAGCATCCCATCCCTCCACCCTCCCTCGATACTCCCCCAATACCCTATACCTCCCCGCAGGTACTCTCACTACAACCTTCTCCCTCTCTTCCATTACTAAAATTCACATGTACATCTTACAGCAACACCCCTTAATTAAGCGCTTCAAGAGCTCGCGAAGGCATGATATTGTAAGACTTAGATTTTGAAAGCAGGTGACAGTATTCGAATTTTCCTGGTTCGAAATGATAGATGAGGATTTGGACGGAGGCTGGTGGATTGCAGGTAGGGAGAGAATAGGTAGATAGGTGTGCTAGAATGGGGCTTGTAGTAGAGATAGACAAATACGGCGGTATATTATATGAGTGCGGTAGGAAATAGGATGATAAAAAGACCGTTGTTTGCCCGGCCTGTTGTGGCTTCCCACAGTAAGGACCTTGGAAGTGACAAAGGCTAGAAGCTGAAGGCCATGGCCCGTGGAAACTACTGGTGATGAGACTAGAGGTGATCAGATGTGCTCTTTCCTATTATGTGTGATAGGATTCGCTGGCCACGCACCGGCCTGTACCAACATGGCTTTCGGCCTTGATCACCGCGATCTCTTCAAGTTTCAACCACACCACCAAGACGAGGGCAAGGGGCGGAATACAAAGAGAATTCAGGTACAGCTGACAGAAGCTTTCCCGCCGTTACTAATACTATGACAGCGCTTGCATTGTAGACAAAATCTAAGCACTCTTAACTCTCAACTCAGCTGCAGCCTCTCTCAAGGCTTGAAACCAGACTGTTCCATCAGCAGCAGTCACAGATACATGGATATGACGTCCCCGGGCATGCTCCGTAGCAGTTGGCGCAATAGTGCCGTGAGTGAATACCTTGTTCTGATCCTCCTGTATTCGGCGAAGCGCTATTGTGGAGCAAAGATGTTTGGGAATTGGCGTCAGTAACGAGTGTTACTAAGGAATCTTGCCGTGGCGGGATTCGCACTCTGGGAGACACTAGGAACTGGCGTTGGGATTCCGCAGCAGTTCTAAGAGGCTGCATTGGTATCCCTCGGCTTCCTTCAGGATTGTTTCCCCCAGTGTTCGCATCCATACTCCAACTGTCGAAACCAGGGCGACGGGGAAGCCGATGAGATCTCACCTTTATCCACGAAGCCCAGCTTTTACAGTTCACTATTTGGTTCCCATCACCCCGGTTATTTGCACCATTGGCTCTCTTCGCCGCAGTGCTTCGAGGCATCACCTCAAGCCGCGCCTTCGTAATTGTATCCTTTTGAACCTTTACCCATTCAAACGTTCTCATTTTGCTGTTGTGAGATGGCTTTTGTCCAAGGTGTGGAAGACTAGTTCTGGGGCTTAGAGGTTGAAGTTGATTGTTTTGGTTGATTGCGCTAGGATACGGGAAAATAATCCTTGATTCTAAGGCCGGTTCAGTTGTAGGGCTGATATGCTGGATATCAAAGCCCCGGTTGTTCCCCCAGGCCTCTTGAATCTTCGTTCCAGTACTTTGAATTCCCGTATCAGGCTGCGTCTTCACCCTGGCTTGGGTCCTATTCTGCCTGTGAGACCTATGCCATGTACGAATACCCAAACATTCCGGACCACCGCCTCTAAGAGCCGCTACGTTGGACCGCGCTTGAATTTGTTGATCGACTCCTTGAGTCCCCGCGGAAGTTTGCTGTGGGTCGGCGTGCTGGGGTTGTGTACCTGTTGATAGAGGAAGATGTTGCTCTGCACTTTGGGGTGACTGTGGAATCTGTATGTCGACACTATGAGTTCCCCCATTCGAAAGTTGTTGTGGATCGGTGTGCTGGGGAGATTGTTGTCCATCATATTGGGGTCGCCCTCGACTCTGGAACCCGATAATTTGAGTTCCCACAATGGGAGTTTGTTGTGAACTGATGCCCTGAGGTGGCTCTCCTCCGTCTTGACTCCGTACACTAGTTCCCTGAGTCCCCACCATCGAAGCCTGTTGACTGTCGGCCCCCCGAGACTGGTCAGCCATGTGTTGGCGCTCCTCTTGTCGCCTCTTCCGCTTCTGTAGGTAACGTATCCAGAGATTTTTCGGCAACCATAAGATAGACAAGCAACACCATTGAAACGGGATCCCGAGACAGGAAGTCAAAGATGCACAAGTGTTATACTCTTCGCTGAACTCTTTCCAATCTCTTTCGCTACCACAGCAGCACCACGGAGGCCAGCACCTTTCTTGATTCCATTCCGACCACTCGTCGATACCGTTAGGCTTGTTTGCGGCGTTATTGGCGTTGGCGGCTTCTCGGGCCCTGGCTTCAGCTTGTTCGGCAGCTCGTTTCTCCTGCAGTTCTTTGATTTTGACTGGATCGCCTTTGGGATGTGGGATCGTTTGACTGTGCGCAGGAAGGCTATCCCAAGGGAGTTGGACTTGACTTGGGGGCTTCGGTGAATTCGTACTGCTGGATGCCTTCGCCTCGTTGACGTCATAAACGAAGGACAAGTCATACGGAGATATAGGGTGTTTTGGATTATGGACTCGTAAACTCTCGGACTTGTGATCGCGGTTAGCCTTGCCTTCTTTATCATCACCGTTGCTGGGGAAGCACTCACGTCAGAGTACCTATTGTAGTCCCCTTTCAGGACTGGTGTTTGCCGACTTTTCCGATTAGCATACTGAGGGTTCAAAGCTGAGATACAAGGGATTATTGGCTTACGGGAAGATGGAAGATATGCTAGGCTGAGGGGTAAGAGGAGCAATCGGTGTCTGTTGACCTATTTCTACCAGTGAAACTGGAACCGGTCTGTTCAATGAATTCTGCCCCGGCTTTCGCGCTTCATCTTTCGCTTGCAGAGTGTCCGAAGTGTCATTCCTGACCATCGGCGGAGCTGGAACTGGCCTCTCTAGAGGATGCAGTCCTGGATCTCGCAACTCAGCCTTCGTTCTCAAAACGTCGGACTCCTCATCCCTGACCAACGTCAAATTTCCCTGCGGACGTTTCGGATCGCCCCAATTCGGACTTTCCACCTTTTCAATCATGACCGCTGCTGCCACTCCAATCTCAGGGCCGTTATCCTCAGTGTTACCCAGGCGCCCTGGAATTGTGGAAAGATCTAGGTTGCGGCGTGGGCCGATACGGACTTCTCTCACTGCTAATGCCATGGGGTGTTGCTCTACCAATGTAGCTGCGTCGATATCTCTCAAGTTTTCCATTGAGTTATCTGTGGTAGAAGCAACATGCTGATCTGTGTCTGATAAAACATCTATAGTAATCACCATTAGCCACAATCTCATACCACAGGTTTCGTAAGCCACTCATACTCATCTCAACATCCTCACGGCTGGACTCTTGGGCCATTTGAGTGAGAGAAACAAGGCCGAGTGTAAGTATACGAAAGAGTGATAACCGGGATGATAATAGCGTAAGATAGCTCCGAGCGAAAGTAAAACTGGAGACCGGTAATAATGTCGTGTAAGAGGAGAGTGGGGAAGAAGAAAAGTGTGTTGGAGAAGATATCACCCAGGCATCTATGGATGGCGTACGTCACGCTGCGGCTTGAAGGGAAAGAGCGACAGGAACGGGGTAGGAGGCCATCGAATGAGAAACCGCTACCTTTGAAGGGATTTTCGCAGGAGAGCAGAATGCCCCAAAAATGAAGCAGGAGAGGCGAAGGCATGAAAACACAACAAAAGAAAAGAAATCACCAACCCTTCAAGCAATAACTGGCATTCTCAATGTACACTCTGAAGAAGTTTAACCACCAAGGAGCAGCCATGCAATGCCATTCATTCCATTCCGTTCCCATCCATCCCTCCATTCTAGAAAAGCCAAAGTAGCCCTCTCACTCAAGAAACAGGTCGATGAAACTTAAGCCTAGGCATAAGTCAAGCCTCCGCTATCTAGCTGCCGTTCCGATGCTGTGGCTGGCCACTTCCCGTCCGTAAACGCCATTTCCCGTCCGCGAAGAGAAGATTTAACCCCACCGATAGCATAAAACCATTACTCATTAAGCAAACCAAACCAAACCAAAGCAGACTCCACTCCTCACGCATGCAGGACTTTACTCGGAGAGCGTTTATGCCAGGTAGCCGAGCTCGTCACCCTCTAGGCGCTCTAGATATTCCTTCTCAAGGAGGATGTCGATGCACTTCTTGATATCTGGGACTCTAGGCATGAAGCGATTCTTGATCTGTTGGATGGTTTCCGAGACGAGTTGCTGGTGCTTCATCTTCTTGCGGGACTTCATGATACGTACTATGGCAGACTGGAAACAAGGTTAGCGAATGGTTGACAGATGCGCGGGTTGATGTTCGGTTAATACACACCTGCATGAGCAGCTTTCGGTCCTCCTCAATAGTCTTGTGCGTATCTTCGACTTCCTGCTTTTGCTCGCTCTTGATGCCAATGTTGAGATTCACCTTGATCTTCTTGGTCTTAAAGCCGAGATTGAGCTTGTATGAGGTTCCGGACTCGGGCTTCGCGCCTTCTGGCTGAGCGAGAAGGACTTTGGCTTTGATAAACACACCAATGCTAGGATCTAAAGTCTCCTTCCCAAGCTTGGTGCCCTCCACCATTTCGTCATACTCGACCGTGTCGCTGTCATTGAACAGCAACAGAACTGCCATCTGGTAGGTCGAGACTTGGAAGGTTGGCGATACCTTGGACCCTGAAACTTTGCAGTAGTTGGCCTTCATCTCTCCCTTGCAGAGTTGCCACAGCCACGATAACTTGCGGCCCTGATGCTTGTTGTTATAGAACATTGCGAACCGCTCGTAGGTTTTTACTATAACCTGGGGTGGAGTAAATGGTGTCGTGGGAGCGTTCAGCGGCCAGAAACCTGTTCCAAGAATGTGGTAAGTCGAATCAATCATGCCCTTGAGATCATCATCGCCGATATTCGTCTGACACCATTCTTTGTAAGATGTGTTCAGATCCTTGGAAATCTGCATATCCTGGAACATTCGCTGGAGCTTATTCGTGTATTCGAAACCGCAAGCTTCCTTGAGCTTAGAGATCATGCTGGTTTCAGCGTCATCTGAGGCCGAGGTGGTCTGTACAAGACGCTTGGCCAGCATGCGTGAATAGAACTTCTGGAAGACATCCTTGTCCTCGATGTACTTGAACACTGTCATAATCTGGGTAAGGAGCTTCTCCATATCGTCCTCCTCGGTCATCTTGGCCGTCGACTTCTTGAGGAGAGTATCTGTGTACTTGGCAAGAAGCTCTGGGGACTTGTTGGAGCCTGACTTGCAGATCTTGTTTCGGTTGACAAATTCACGGCAGGCGTTGTCAAGTGATCGGACGAACTCCGACTCGCCATTGAAAGCGCGGTTGACTAGATCCTGGTATTGCGTATGAACTTCCAGAAGCGCCTCGACATAAACCTTCGGCTCAATGGTGTCACCCTCTTGGGCAACCTTCTCGACAGCCGCCAGACCAGCCTTGCGGACATGCGTCTCAAATCGGTTTCGTAGAGGATCCAGGCCCTCGGGAATGCGAGCGAGGAGCTTGTACATTCGGCCAAGATCCTCCTGCTTGTCGTGGTCAAGCAGTATCTGGAATTCCTCACGGAGCGCTTGTGAATGGGCGGTGATAAGAGCCTCTTCGCAGCACCGCATTAATGGCGACATGATCTCGTTAAGAAGGTAGAGTGGGACGCGCTCCTTCTCTTCATCCAACCGAGCCTCAGCCTTCTTCATGTACTCAACAACGCTGTTCTCCGCGAGGAACTGCTTCGACTCGTTGTTGTAGTATTCTCCGGTGGCTGCTAGGAATGGCTTCTCGAAAAACTCTTTGTAGACGTCTAGGGTAGACTTTGAGCTGTCCGATTCGTCGAGGCCGAGAGACACGAACGAATCCACAACGCTCTTGATGTGCGACTGCTCAATCGTCTCGCCGTTGCGCTGCTTCTCGACGAGCTTGAGGACGGACCGCATAACGCTCTCCTGAGTCCCCGTGAACATGTCCTCTTTCCATCGCACCAAGTGGAGAGTATAGATATCATAGATGTTCTTCTTGCCTTCATCCATCTCCCGCTTCACCCAATGGCGGTTCAGATATCGGAACAAGTGGTTGTTGTACTGCCCGGCAGTCGTGTAGCGATTCCATTCCTTGATATAGAAGATGAGGAGAGCTTCATCAACATGATCTTTCGATCGGGCCTGCACGCCTTGAAGATGGGCCTTAAGATATTCAATTAGATGCTGGTACAAGTCTTCACCGAGAAGGTGCGCTGCAATAGGCATTAGCTTCGTCACCCTAGTGGGAGGGCCGAGTTACTTACCGCCGCCGCGGTTATTGTGACTTGAAAACGACGTCCCAGCGACTGCTTTCTGTGCAGTACAGAAGTTATGAATGGCCGTGTACAATCCCATGTATGTCTTCATGTCCATGCCGCCTCGCAGGTCAGTCATAATCTTCTCCACACCAGCCTCGAGGTAAGTCCATCTGAAGGAGTCAGCATGTCGGCCACGAGATCTGGTAGAAGAGATGAAAAGACAGCAGAAACATGGAGTTGGGCCTCCATATTGAGATCGAAGTATGGAGTGCTTTGAGTAGCCCCGCAAGCCGGACCTGATCCTTCGGACAAGACCCCAGGCACGAGCACACAGCAGAAAGAACAAAAACGAAAGGGAAACACCTACGTTGCCTTGACATCGTCCTTTGCAGGAACCGGGGGCATTCCAGAGCTCATGGTGGGGGGAAGGGATGTCGCGTGCACTGAGGCACCTTTCGAGGGCGACTTCTTGCGCTTGAAGAGCTGAATCGTGTCGGTTGGGCGTTGGAACCAACGGAGGGAGCTTTCGGGGCTCCGGCAGAAGACGGCGGGGAGTGGTGGACAGAGGTCGGAGGTGGCAAGAGCGTGAGGCGTGGGTGGGACGGACGAGGGCGAACCTTGGGGCTGGCTTATAAAATCGGGCCTAGGGCGTGCTTGATTGACTGGCTCGGGGAGCGGCGTGAAGCGGAGCAACGCAGTGAATGTCTAGGACATTGATGGTGCAGAGGAGAAGGGAGGAGCGTCAGTGAGGGAGTGGAGAGGCAGCGAGGTTTTGTCGTGAAGCACGGTGAAGGTTCATCAGGCTGCCAGCAGCTCAAGGCAGCGTCGCGGAATTTGCCGCTTGAGTCAGCCGTGCCTGGTGAGGGTCGCAGCCAGGGCAGTGAATTACTCCACAACGAACATGGAAATCACTACACATTGACGAATTCACGCAAAGGTCAGAACGTTCGAGTGTTCTGCAAGCCGAGCTGAACTTCAATGCTTAATCACACATCGATATTGTGTTTATGTTATCCTGAAAGACATTAATCACTCTTCCTCACCCTGCACCCTTTTTAAAGTAGCTCAAAGGGAACTGCATGTCATAGCACTATTGTTCCTCAAATGAGTATTCCCAACACCCTTAAATTAGACTCCTTATTTGGTAGAGCCTTTTGTGCGTTTTGACCAAGCCTTGATACACCCAGAACTCCACACCCTGAGTATTGTGCAACCGAAGTTAAAATCCAAGGGGTGGTTTATCAGCATATCAACGTTATGTTGATACTCGCGTAACACAGCTCAACTAAACAACCCCTTAAAGCCCCAGCAGACACCCTTTTTAAAGCTAAAAAGAATGCATATTCTGCCGCGTTTGAGTTACATGAAAGCATTCCTTATTCAGAACACGCGATCCTGGAATTCCTAGCCATCATGAAATCAACCTGCCCTCAGCATTCAATTCCCCATCAACCACAACCTAACATCTATCAAAGGGATCTCAGTAGTAGTTTACTTGAACACTGAGACAGATCAGGAAGGGTTCGCAGATTACTCTTTCCGAAACTTACAATGATGTCTTCACAAATACAGTCACCACCAATCCATTGTTCCCCAGTATTTCCCTTCCAGCAACCTAACCCAGCGGAAACCAACCAAAACATCCACTTCCCCCACTTCCCGATAGTAACTGCCCCAAGTTCTCTCTTCTTAAAATATATTCACACGCACGCGCGCCTACCGATGTCCTCCATCGCTCCCCTCACCCCCCTTCCCAGCCTCCGTATCTCCACCCATCACATCCCTTCACACTCCCTCCTCCCAAACTGCCCGGCCCCCTCCCACCCCCTGTATATCTACCACAACGCCTACCCACCCACCACCTCTCCCTCAGCCCTCGAATCCCACCTCAGTGCCATTAGCGTCTGTATCCCGTAATGGCGCTACACCATGTACAGCACCACACATTACCACTCCACCGCGCACGAACTCCTCCTAGTCTACTGCGGAAGAGTTCGGCTTTGTTTCGGAGGCGAGGGGAATCCGGGGCGGGTAGAGATGGTGGTGAAGGCTGGGGATGCTATAGTAATTCCAGCAGGAGTTGGACATCGGCTATGGGAGGATTTGGAGGGGGGTTTTCAGATGGTGGGTGCATACCCGAAAGGGCGTGATTGGGACATGTGTTATGGGAAGGAGGGGGAGGGGGAGGGGGAGAAGGCGAAGGCTGTGAAAGATGTGGAGTGGTTCAAGAGGGATCCATTGTATTGGGATGAGGGTTTTGTTGTTTGGAAGGTTAGAGAGGGCAGTATGGATGCCACGAACATTTCCACTTGACAGGACAAGGCAAAAAAAAAAAAAAAAAATTTCCCGCTTCCAGCGAGCGAGTAACAATTTATTTACCTGTTACTACGACTCCAGGCTATCCTGCCCTATCCCATCCGAACTCAACCCTTTCAACCACCGTCCCAAACTAGCTAGCTAATAACAGTATCCAAAGAGAGGTATCAGTGTACAGTAACAAAGTCACGTCAAAAGCTGGCGCCAGCATCCACCCAAGTCTCAAATCCAAAGAACGCTGCTGGAATCTCTGCGTGCACATGTATGCATCCATGAATGCTAGCCATGCCTCATACCCGAACGCCCCGATAACATCCAACCACATATATCAAAATGTGTAACCAAAGGAAAGTGCAACGCCATGCTGAGACAGGTAAGTCAGGTGTATATGCAGACAGCAACCGAAGGAAAATATGGAAAAGGGAATCTTGGAGACAACAGTAGTAGTACAAAACGGATTATTTATCGGGCAACTCTCTCAATCAGTCTAAATAATCGTCAGCAACATAAAGCTATGAAACAGGAGGGTGGACAAACCTGAGGGTGCTAATAGCGAACGTCATCAACCATGCCACGAGTGCCACCAGAAGCGTAGCCGTCAGCGCTTTTTGTCTCGCGCAGATATCCCTGCTAAACGGACAGCTATTCACCTGATCGTTGGCACTATCCTGACATGCCCATCGCTCGTCCGTCAAGGCCTGGAATGCGAGGCTCAAATTGGCCGAGTCAAAGACGATGAACAAGAGATCGAGGAAAATAAGCCTCATCTTCGCGGTATGTGAGCGTAGACCCAGCGGCTTAGACGTATATTCGTCGTAAGTGATGTAAGCGGTATAGAGAATAGCAACGACATCGACAATCAGCGCCAACCAGGTTGATGAGTTGTTGATGCAGCCATGGGTATCGGATTTGTGGAATATGGAGCCTGCAAGGCCGAGGGCGAGGCAAGAGAAAGTAAGGACTGTAAGGCGAACCGCGAGAGGGACCATGGGGTGGTTCATGACGGTCCGGTGTATCCGTTTTAGTCGACGACGACGACTGCTGGCACTGAGGAGCCAAAACCCATCATCATTTTCCACCTCCTCTTTGTCCACGGGATTCCACGGCTGCTCGAGATCTGGCAGGTTCTCTTTAATCCAATCATCATCTACGACCTCCCCGCGCGAGGATGGCGGGGGGACGAAGGTTGAGGCTTTGGCAAATTGTTGCCATTGCGAAGCGTGCTCGCTGATGGGAGATGTTATGGTAACGGGCGTCCCTTCTCTTGCATGATCGAATTGGCGTCCGGGTACGGCGCTGGCTTTGGGTGTGGGCATGTGGTTGTGGGAGGGGGGCCGAGTGGAAGTGGGCGTTCTGGGTAGGAGGAATGCTGTAGGGTCGGCATTGTCGTCTTCGTCAGGCGACTGCACCCAGGCTATGGCAACATATCAGCTTGCGTCGCTCACATTCTACTCATTGTGAGGCTTACGAGGCAATGTTCGAACAGCGCGCCGCTGCTTATCCCTGCTCTCAGCCGCCTGGCTGCCCTTGGACGACGCCAGAGTGTGCGGGTTCGACGAGATAGAATACGACTGCGACTTCCTCACTCCCGCACCATCGAATTGGCCGTCCAGGCTCCTCTCGTTGTTGTTCGACGACGCGGCGGAGAGTCTGGAGAGGGGACGCTGGAGGGCTAGCGACGAGGAGGACTCGGGTGGAGGAATGGGCGAGGGGAGGAGACGGGCTGGTGAGCGCGACGTGAGGGCGCCATTGTTGTGGTCCACCGAGGATGCGGTGGTCATTCCTGTCGTCTGACTCTGGGGACGCTGGCCCACGGTCAACGGTCGGAGAGTGAACGTCTGACGGCGGACGGGGTGGCTTTGATGAAAGGCTTGTGGCCGGGCGCGCTTTGCTGAGACGGGCGCCGCCTTAGCAGACGTAAGCGACAATTACGTGGGAGACGGCGGCACGATTCGCCGCATGGTCTAGTGATTAGCGACTCTGGGAGCGATTGAGGACGTGGGAAGCGGGGAATTGTCGTGCGAAAGTTAACAGGACCGGAGGCTGGTGGAATGGAGAGGAGGAGGAGGAGTAGGAGGAGGAGGTTGGTGGTGGTGGCGGTGGTGCAGGCGCAGGTTGACCGGGAAATTTGGCCCTGCGGATCAGGCACATGGATCCTGGTCCAGCTCTCGCCAGCGTGAGGTCATCGCGGCCCTAGCTCCAGCAGGACGTGCACTTTCGCAAAACGTGACCATCGCGACAAGTCCAGGATATGTTTCAACTCGCGAAGACTATCTGAGAGCTGAAAAGCTTCTTTCCACCAGCGCGCCAATGAGGGTGTAGTTGACACTCAGACCAAGCCCTCTCCCTCCCCCCTTCCATCCGACATGCGCCTCTTCTTACTGCCCATCTCCGCCCGCCGGTCGCTCTTGTACTGCGAGAAGCTGCACGAGAAGGCCGCCAGCGAGCGAACACTCCTAGACAAAGTCACCATCAAGGCGAACCAGACCTGGGCAGCGTGGGAAAAGGACGAGAAGGCACCGTGGAACTGGAAGAAAAAGATCACCATCTACGGCAACCATGCACTCAAGCGGATACCCTATGAGGAGTGGGGACTCAAGACCATCCCCGCGCTGACGGCGAGGCGGAAGAAAGCTATCGTCGAAGGGAGGGAGAAGTATCACGTTGTATTTCCCGGCCTGTATCTCCATCGGGACAAGGTGCCGGAGATACTGAAGAAGTTGGCCTTGGAGCGCCAGGCCATGCACCGGAGCAAGATGATTTGGAGCATTGTCGGCATGCCGTTGAGCGCACCCTTCATGCTGATTCCTATGTGGGTGGACTCCTTGCGCGCACTGGACACCGCTTAATTGTCTCCAGTATACCCAATCTTCCCTTCTTCTACCTTGTCTTTAGGGCTTATTCGCACTGGAAAGGTACCGTACCCCTCTCGACTAATCCCCACCAAAACACAGACCCACCTGACTCGCACAGCATTAACTGGTTCCAAACACCTCGAGTTCCTTCTCCGGCACAACCTCCCCACCCTCAACCCCTCGGCCGAACTCGACGAAGTCTACACCGCAGGCCTCATGTACCCGACCCGTGCCATCTCTCGTGCCGCGCCCCGGCCCACGCGCCAACAGGCACAAGAAGTGGCGCGGGTAGTCGAACAACAAACTAATGACGGCACCGAGGACGTCATGGTACTGCAGCGCTGGAACGGGAAGCTCATTGCCGAGCAATTCAAACTCCCAGACATGGAGGTCGAGATAGAAAGAGCGGTAGAACAGGTCGAGAATGCGATCAAAGGGAAAGAGGAGTTGATGGAGGAGAAGATGGAGTTGGAAAGAGCCACGGCAAAACCGGGGCAGACGGCTAAGGATGCACTGCCGAAGGAAATCCTTAAGTCGGAAAAGGAAAAAGAGAAAGAGATTCATAAGAAAGCCGAGGATATCGCAGAGGAAAACAATAATCGTGGCCAAAATGAGGGCGTTGAGAAGAAGTAATGTGATAATGTCATTTCGAATTTCACGGCTCGCCATGAATACGGGGAGATATTACGATTTCACTCTATGGAGCACCTCAAGGGGAGCGGAGTCTCGGTACCGGCGGTTTGCACTTCTTGCATATAGATATCTCCTCTGAATTTGTCGCTTGTACAGTACCGGTATGTACTACGAACCCCGTCCCACTCCAGACATAGCAACAAACGCGACGTCTCCTCTGTACAACACAATTTCATTCCTTTTAAACTGAACGAAAGAGTCTCTACTCTCTCTATTCAAGCCCAGACTGCTTTTTCTACCTGGTCGCGATCTGCTCTGCGTGCCAGATATTACCCCAATCCCCCTTCCATCTGTCCTCCCTCGCTGCATAATTACATTGACCCATACCCCCCATCCACCGGAAGCCCGATCCCCGTAATCCAACTCGAATCCTCACTCGCTAAAAACAGCGCCGCGCGCGCTATATCCTCTGGTTCTCCTAGCCCGCGGAACGGATGCATGGCCTCTATCTGAGATTTGACGTCGGGCTGGTCAAAGATTGTTTTGGTCATCGATGACGCGGTATCTATGAATGCTGTGAGCTGAGATTCAGGCCTAGGTTGAAAAGGGTGTGGATGGGTGCCTGGGGTTGCGGTTTGAAACTTACATCCCGGGCAGATAGCGTTGACGTGGATACGATGGGGGGCGCAGTCCCAAGCCGCACTTTTTGTAAGACCCATTACGCCGTGCTTGGAACTGGTGTATCCCGCTGAAAATAACATTAGTGTGGGTATCTATATAACCTTGCGACTGTCCCCTCCGCCCCTACTTCTCTTCACCTTCCCAAACAAACAACAGCTGAGCAAGGGGTTCTGAACATACCACTCTTCGGCGTTCCACCCAAACCCAGCACACTCGCTAAATTGATAATCCATCCCCGATCTCCATTCGGCCCCGGATCCTGACCCATCATTTGCTTGCTCGCATATTTGCAGCCCAGGAAGACGCCTTTCAAATTCACGGCAAGAGTTTTGTCGAACCAGTCTTCGGGGTAATCCCATACTGGAGAGGGGTTTTGGGGTTCGAGTGCTATTCCAGCGTTGTTGACGATGCTGGATAGGGGTGTTAGTGTGTGGGACGTAGGTGAGACATAGAGACGCTATGCCTATCAGATGCAAATCCGGCTGGCAAGCTGAGAGTCAACCCGCCTCCTTTTCCGCACCCAAAATCTCAGATCACGCCCGGCCCAAAGACTGGACAACCTCTCCTCTACTCTCCTCTCCTTCCCAACCAGAGAAAAACGATGAATGGGAGAAGGGTAGACAAAACATACATATCCAGCCTCCCAAACTCCCTCACAGTCCTGCCAACTAGCTCTTGCACCTCATTAGCATTCGAAGTGTCGCACGTGATGAAAATCGCTCTTGCCCCCATTTTCGAGAGCTCTTCCATCGTGGTCAGAGATGAGGCTTCTGGCATCTCCCCGCGGGGCTGCTCGCGCAGGTCAGAGCATACGATATTGGCGCCGTGGCGTGCAAAGAGGAGGGCGATAGCTCTGCCGAGGCCGGAGGAACTGCCGGTTATGATGGCGGTTTTGGACTGCAGGCGTGACATGGGGGCACGGTGGGGCGTGGGATTGTGGGGAGAAGGAGAGTAGTCAAGAAGGAGGGATTGAATAATGATAGAGAGAAGGTCCAAAGAACAGAGGGCGGAGTAGATGTCAATAAAGCTCACGAACCAAGTCAAATAGGATGGCGAGCGAGCAGGAATATGAATGCTTTCTCTCTCTTTCTGTATGCAAGCAGGAGACAATTTCCACTGAATACATGGATAAGTTCAGAGAGGAACTCCACTCCCTTATATATTGTTGATTTCTCATCTGGCTGACTGACAAACCGGAAAGGGGGACGACCGGTACCTAACTGAGGGGTAACACGATTCCATTCCACTCGGCTCACTTTCTTCGAGTAAGCCCAACACAACATAACCCACAGCACGGCATCGCGAGACTGGATTACCCTCGCCTCCACCAATCCAATGAATTAATTGTTCTCACAATTGAATAGGCGATGGCTCACACTCATATATTTTACAAAAGTGGTAGTTATCTTCAGTTCACATTCGATTCGGCTGGCTAGATAGATGAGGTGCTCTGGTTTCACCTGCTCTGAATTAGGTAAAGGGGATGGTTACGGAGATTCGGTTTGGTGATGTGAAGTTCTTGGTTGTTGGGTACAGTTTCTCACCTTACAATGTGCTTAGAAGGGCTCCACATTGATTTGCAGATTCTGACACCAACATGACCTCTGTCGCCTATTTTGGGAAAGAAGGATAGCTGGACCATCAGGTTTGAGGGGTTCGCCCGGTGTGCAGCTCCTGAAGTTATCGGGGACCTAGAGTGAAGGAATCATTTTGAAATGTAGTTGGAGATGAATAGGTGGGTAAGAGGTGGAGGTTAGGTGGCTCTCCGCTAGCCGGTTTAGGTCTAACGAAATTGTTGAGAAGGAAGGTTTGCCGACAGTTTCCAACGTCATGTTCACGATGCTTCAACTTCATCATCTAGACTCATGGATCTCTGAATTCGATTTCCAATAAAAAGCATCAGGAACCGCGATCCTCTTCTCGGTATTGCTTTATATCACCTGACCTATCTTGCTCTCCGGCGCGCATCAATCCCAAGTTTATTCCCACGAACCGAAAATGGCAGACGACATCAATAATGAACCTTTCCCATGGCATCTCGGCGTATTCGACGCACACTGTCATCCTACCGATACCATGTCCAGCATCCCCTCCATCCCATCCATGAAAACCCGAGCTCTCACTGTTATGGCTACTCGCGCTCAAGACCAGGACCTCGTAGCAGATATCGCGTCCAAAAACGGCATCAGATCTAGAAACATCGAGCAGTGGGACCCACAAGAATGCATCATCCCTTGTTTTGGGTGGCATCCGTGGTTCTCACACATAATGTACATTTCCGAAAACAGCGATGATAAGAAAGAGCTTGGGATATTGGAAGCTGAGGACAAGATTCAACATTATTCAACAGTCCTACAGCGAAGAAGCAATGATAAACTCAGCGAAGAAGATAAGAAAAGCTTCTTAGCTTTCCCAGATCCCATGTCTTTCTTCAATTTCTTGTCACAGACTCGAAGCTACCTCCAGAAATATCCACTCGCGTTGGTAGGAGAAATCGGCCTCGACCGCGCATTCCGCGTTCCGGAACCTTGGAAGCCTGGGAATGAGCAAGGCCGCGATAGCGACCTAACTCCCGGCGGCCGAGAAGGCAGGGAGTTGAGTCCGTGGAAAGTCGATGTGAAGCATCAGAAGAGGATCTTTAAGATGCAGTTACAGCTAGCCGCAGAAATGGGGAGAGCGGTATCGATACACGGAGTTTCGGCTGTCGGAATTCTTTTCGAAACATTGAAAGAATTATATGAGGGGTATGAAAAGAAAGTACTGAGCAGAAGGGAGAGGAAGAAATTGGACCATGAAAAACATGTCACTGAGTGGCAACCTGAAAATGAAGAGAAGCTGGATGGAGATCACAAGAAACCATATCCTCCCAGAGTATGTCTGCATTCCTACACCGGCTCAGCGGCGCACTTCAAGCAGTACCTTGCTCCCACTATTCCAGTCGAGGTCTTTGCGTCATTCTCTACTGCAATCAATCTGTCAGACGATTTGGAAGGCGAGACGAAGAAGGAGTTTGCGGATGTGGTGATGGCTGTGCCAGACCATCTGTTGCTTGTAGAGAGTGACTTGCATACCGCAGGGGAGGACATGGATAGGAGGATGGAGGACGTGGTTAGGAGAGTTTGTAAGATTAAGAAATGGGGTTTGGAAGACGGAGTGAAGAGGTTAGCGGAAAACTGGAGTCGGTTTGTTTTCGGGGGAGAGGGATAAGGTAAATGTTGAAAGACCAACGATTGTGGAAATAATGACTTCGAATTTCGGCATCCCAATAAATCCGCCAAAGTGGGTTTTGATAACTTAGCAAGAAGAATAAGAAACTGAGGCTTGGAGTTATCTTGGCGTCGCTAATAACGATAAACATACTGTACGTTCTTTATTCTCCTCTCCTCTTTCACGTTAAACCTCGCGAATGCTAACCTAGATAGAAAGGATCCCTGGACCTAACACTAAATTTGCTTACAGGGCTTCGGTGCAATACAAATGTTTAGCGGAATAGAAGAAATTTGGAGGCTGTTCGAGTCTACAGTGTAAGATGAGCAAAAGATTGCTTGGCCTGTGAAGCTGTTGGCTACACAGCAGCGTGCGGCAGGCCCCTTCAGAGATCGTAACTGTTCTGCAATCCTAACGGAACATGCATTGGTGAAAAAATAAGCCCAAGTACGCACACCACGAGCATGGCTTATTTCTAAGGTAGATTAAGACACATTTAGAAATATCCTAAAATAGATAACTACAAATAGCAAGACGGCTTAAACGAGAACTCATCCGCTTGAAAATCCGGTCTAGAATGCATTTGAGATCGAAGGAAAAGAAAAGGAAATCTCTGTGAGCTCTCGCCGTCTTATACATGCCTGCCGACTGCCAGAATCTTCACTCCACCCTTGCCTGCCAGCTCAAGAGCCATGACCACCACATGATAGAAACCGCTAACAACTCGAACCTTAGCTAAGTTTTGCATCCTCGGATCCACTCTTCGGTGCCAGCAAGCTCGCGAAAGATGGTGTTGGAATGTTGTTCTATCGTTGACGTGACCGCGTAGGCGGCGCTGAATAGAACATAACAACTCCGTATCATATCCTCCCTCTTTATTCTCAATCATGTCATTCCAAGTCTCACTCCTTGCTTTACAACGTAATGTGATTCTATCGTTAACCTGACCGCATACACGGGCACGGGCACGGGCGCGGGCACAGAATACACATCCTCGTGCCTTGCTCTTAGTGCTTTATGCAGTTCAGATTCACCCTCTTTCACATCGCCCTCATTCTCGTGGTTCTTTGCTGGAGGTTGGAAGTAGGGCGTTGTTTCATCATTTATTTCACCATATACACCGTACCTAATAGAGTGCAATACTTACAGTATGCCTTCGCCTTCGTTCCTGTCGTTCTCATGCCAGCCTTTTATGATTAGATGAAATACTGTCGTTGATCTGACTACATGAGTGACGTTGGATAGAGCACAAGATTTCATTCTACTCACCCCATCCTTGGTTCCTTACGTAGTGTGGTTTCGTCATTCTCCTTTTCACGCTTAGATGTGGCTTAGTGGGGAACGCAGCTGAGTAAGAGGATGTTGGTCCAGAATCTCAACTAGAATATGAGCAATCCGTGGATTTAGGACTTGGGGTGAGTGACTTACAGGTGGTGTGAAAGCTTGTATTGAATGTTGAGTCCTGAAGGAGGAATGATTGCAGGGCATGACGTACGCAACGCGGCGTCAAACTTTCGTTGGGAATCTAGAGTGGTGAGTGAGTAATCCAGGAAGTAAGGCTTTTGGTAGAGCGACTTAGAGTAGGTCCGAGAGTTTGTGCTGAACCTAGCGGGGAAGGAGGACGAAGACCATTTTATTAGCCGAGAGGAGGTGATGTGCAAAGACTATGTATGACAAGCCACCCGAGCTTTGTATGGTTCGAAATCTGGTAGAGGGCAGAGCGGTGAACGCCTGGATGATCTTACTATTGATACAAGATCGCCACAGTGAGCAGCGGGCACAGCAGTCGATTTGGTTTAAGAATAGAAGGAAAGAGGTTATAGACCTTTGAGGATGGGACCTACTGTAGATAGTAGAATGCGTCCAGATATTCGAAAGAATGTCTAAATGGATCCCGAAGTGGGCATCAATCTCCACTCTTGCAAGATGAAGCTTTTGGCCTTTGGAAATAGGACAAGAGATGACTTCCAACCAAACTCTTACACTCTAGAAAACAGCACCTTTTTGCGATGCATCCAACCTCGTCCAATTGATTGTTGATGGTAATGAGGATCTCAAGGATGAGGTGCCGTTGAAAAAAGAAGAGTGGGTCCAACGCATGTTCGATAAGTAACCGCAGTTGGAAGGCACAGAAAATTGTAGCACAATCATGCGGCGCAAGCTGGATGTTAAATCGTCGAATTGAAGAGGGCTAGAAATTCACTCCATCTTACCATCTGACCCGGCGCAGAACGTGGGTATTCAGATCCAAATATTCCGTGATAGGCTCTAAGGATTCAGTAGGAGCGGACACAGAAAGTAACTCCTTTGGAATTGACAGGGAAACGCCGCCATATGCTACTCGGCCCTGCAAGTAGAATTCCAGGGACACAGCGTCAACTGTTATACACACTTTCAATATATTTTCACCGTCACTACAAGCTCCGAATCAATCGAACACAATATCTATACATCCATCCTTCTTGATCATAACCTTTTTCTCCCAGCCTCCAAAGGCAACCTTAGCATCATCAGTCGATGGCCACAGCGGCCACGCTTTCGCAAGCACCGTAATAGGCATAATAACCGGCGGCCCCCACCTGAGATTGTCCAGATAAAGCTCCGGCCGGGAACGCATCTGTAAGAACAGTGCTGGCGGGTCATCGATAAGTAAGGCCACATTTAGCAGGTCGAGACGCTCAAGGCTCGGCATCCAACTGACCACCTCAAGAATCTCTAACTTGTCGCAGACCACCATATTCGCGATGGTCAGGTGTCGCAAGACCGGCAAGGTGGCTCGGCACCTTTGCAGATTGAAGTGATGGGGGAGGGATATAGTCTCCCGCATGGAATAGTGGAACTGGGCGCTAGGGTGGTAATAAAAGGCGAGGTCAATGGTTAAGTATTCGAGCGTATGTCGAGCCGTACATGCTATGTGAAGCCAGGTCCAGATACCGAGTTGTTGATTGATGTCGACAGAGCGTCCCCAGGCGGCGTGTTTGGATGGGCTGGTAAATGAAAGCTTCTGGACGTTACGCAATCTATAGGGAAACCACCGAGGAGGAATTAGGTTTTCGGGAGCAAGTGGCCCGAGGTAGGCAAATCCCTTAGACCCAATGAATTCCACCTTCATGAGCTTCGTCGAACCCTTGAGATTGCCCTGAATGCACTCCATGCAGGCCCTCATTGCCAAAGTAGAGGCCACGGCCGAAGAATCGTGCAGTTGGCTGTATTGTGGATCGATCATTGTCAACAAGGCGCCTACGTCGAAAACGGGATCTCCGATGACGATATGCTCCACTGCCGGTAGTTTGCACAGAGCGGAGGTGAGGGAACGCGAGATGCTTTCATGCAACGGAGGAGCATCGACCCGGAAAGGCATAGGCGCATAAGATGTCGCAGGGTTTTGTCGAAACCGACGAGAAGGTTCGAGATATGACATGAGCTCTACAGAAGCTTTTCCGACTACCAGATCGCTGTTGTTAACCGTTCCAATCCAAGCTTTCATCAAGTTGCGGCGTTCCACCATCGCCTTTCTAGACCTTCCATACTCGGTATTGAGATCCCAGCATTCCGCGCTGGAATGTGATGTCGGCGTGAAGGCGTCCAGGCAGATATTGACCCGTTCCACATATGGGGCCAACTGGCTGTGGTTCGCAATATTTTGAAGCTTCTGCAGCCCCTGCGGCGTACAGGAGATGCTGGTTTTTGTAAAGCAGTGTTTTCTGAACTGAACCCAACATGAACTTTTTAATTTTTGAGAAACTGACCTAAAGGCAGCAAGGTCGGTATGGCGCCGAGGTACGAGTCCTCCAGATGGACATTCAATGCTCTGTGAAGGAGGGAGGCGGTCAGCCACCATAGCCCAGAGCTCCGGCGGCATTCGGTCGATAGCGCGCATCATGCTGGTTGTTGTGTAGGCAGCCGTGGTGAGGGAGAGGGCGAAGTAGGAACGTAAAGGTTTGTTCTTAGTGTGAAAGTGCGGTCGAGTGAAAATAGCTGTTAGAGAACAATGCTTACCTCTCCTGCAGCTTTCCAGGATAAATCTAAGTCACCCGAGAGTTGTGGTTGTAGTCAATAATCATGAAAATGTGTAAAATGATTGCTACAAACACTCTTTGCAAAATAACTTCACTGTACTGAAAGCGATACTAGCGAAGCCACGTCATTACAATTTTTCCAAACCACCATTAATCACACTCCCGTGAGACTCCATACTAGTTTCCGTTGACTCTGTCGTTCCGTCTTCCGATCCCTCATGTTCTCCTGTCTGTCCGGAAATTCCGGGATGCAGGAGCTCATGAGCAAAATAGGGAATCGGATTGACCACATCTTCGTCATCCCCGATATCCTCTGGGTCGTATAGTAGGTCCTCAGGAAAGCTGATAAACATGCCAGTCTCCCCAAGCTCAACAGGTTCTAAATCGAGGTCACTGTCTTCACGCTGCGTCGCAATCTTGTCCCAGTCCACAAGCTCGATTTCACTGCGAGTGAAACCTTGGAAGGATTCATCGGAAAGTGAAAACACTTCTTGCTTGTCCCACACTCTTCGAAACACCAGCTTCTCCACATATGTCTTTTCTCGGATTGCCGTGAATATATTCCTCCACAATCCATTGCGAAGTTTGAAGTCGGCTATCTCTAGTGACCGGAGTGTATCCCGATGGCGAAGGATGAAGTTCATCATTTCGTTCTCACGACAGTTGAAGCCACATATTCTCAGCGACTTCAAATTCTTGATGACGGCCTTCCCAAGGATCTGGTTCAGCGGGGTTCGATACCAGATCTCGCTGGCAAAGTATATCGAGACGTTTTGGAGCTGGGGCATGCCGGCAATATACCGAGCAATCGTTCCACGGGTAAGGTTCTGGTGGATCTCCGAGTCTACGGTCGATTCGTTTAGGAAGTCGAGCTTGAGGCACCGAAGAGATTCCATGTTTTTCATATGCGCATCCTGAAGTTCGGGATCGGGCAAGGCTAGGGCGGAGGGCTTGTTTGTGTACACCCGGAGCCTGGCTGGCTGCACCTCAGAGTGAAGGAGGGCATTTCGAACGATGTGGATGACTTTGATCTCATCTTGACAATCCCTTGATCTTTGCGAGCATTTAAGAGAGAACAATATTGACCTCAGCTTTGGCTGCAGCTTTGCAAGTGCTTTGGACAACAGCTCCAGTGCTTCCCCCTGGTTATCCAGCTCGCGGTCGAACTTGACGGTGCTGATTCGGAGCGTATGAATGTGGCGCACATATTCTGGAAGTTCCGAGATAGCGGCAAGATCCAACAAGCTCTTTCGAGATAGTGATACCCATCTGACTTGGAAGAAGGTCTCACCAAAGAGGTTGGCGGCGGCGTGGCGAAACGCTTTGCAGACAAGACGGACAGATCGTATATTGATGAGCAGATTATCCTTGGATTTAGTTTTTGGGTGTGTAAGTCGGGGTCCTCGGCCTGTTGCATCTGGAGAGTCTTCCCAGAGCTCTTCTACAATCATAGATAAGAGTTCTAATGGGAGATCATCCATATCAAGACTAAGCCCAACCGTATCGAGAAAGAGATAGGGGAGTAAGTGACCCTAGCGGATAATGATCGGTCCGTAGAGATAGGGAATCAGGTGTTAGTATTGAAGCATGTGGGTATGTGCTTCCTTATCATGAGGCTTTACTAACACCGAGTTGCCCTCTCGGGCCCGAGGAGTGGACGCCCGATTCGGGCATTCTGGCATTCCATGTGACCTGTAGCTAGTATACTAGAGGTTAATTCTTAGATTGCGGAGACATACAGTAGATAGCTCTCGCGAATCTCAAAGATGCGATGAAACTTTGGGTTCGGTATCCCTAAGGGCCGAAACAGGCTAGCGTGGTGTCATGTCTCCCGTGCATCGCTGTCCGAACCTGCGACCTCGCGTCGAGACAATAACCATCGCTATTGAAGTAGAGGGAGTGATGGTAAAAGAAACGTGAGAATGGAGTGTAAAAAACGGTCGCTCCTTTCTCAACATTAATGCGCAGTTCCGGCACTCTAGCCGGTGAGTCGGGTCATCATTTTCGCGTCTTATCGAACCTCACCGGTTCTCCATCTCTTCCATCGGGTTTCATCAGGGGTTTGCAGTGGTGGTGCCAGTAGGGCTGAACCGATTTGAATGCAACAAGAGCTGGGTTTTTGCAGGATTCTCAAGTGTATTTCTCAGTCCCTAAAAGATGGCTTTCCCTCTCCTTTTCTAAAGAAGTTCCTAGCTGGGCGAAACTGAAGCATCGCACTCCACGCATTTATGCCCGTTAACGGCACAGGAGGAGTCTAAGTACGCTGCGTGCAAGACCTACCTGACCCGTTTAAGGGATCCGGTAATAAGTTCTCGAGAGCTGTTGACCAGGAAATAACGATGAGGTCGGCTTGCCGGTGTACCGAAGTTTGCAGTCTATTCATAGTACCTAAACGCTTCAACGTTCCGCCGGTTTTGCAGCCAAAACACAGAGGCTGACCGTGCAATCGAATCAAGCTTCAACCAACACGAGATTCTCATGAGCTTCTCCGACATGCTAAGGGGCGAGAAAAGCTTGACGCTCCACAGTCACACGTCCCTTGCAACATCGCGAGCAATGCGAAAATGGTTATTGGATGATTTGCGCATTTAATGTTTGGCAGGGTAATACTAACACGTGACGCAGTTGAAAAGAGAAGGGATCGCGACAACGGAATCGTATTGAGGCTTGAACCAGCTGAAAGATTGTTGACACTCATACGAACGTTCACCATGCATTCATTTCCTGGATCACGATGCAAGACGAGTGAAGCGCTAATTTGTTTCAGTACGTTCATTCAGGAGGGCAAGTATAAAGATACGGAATTTCTTTCGCAGAGAGTTCTCTTCACTCAAGAACATCCTCACCAAGTCACTCTTTGACGTTCGAACGTTAACAGTCATTCCTTACATTCACTCTTTACGTTCACTTCATCCTACATACCCTTTAAATATCCAAGATGCATTTCACAAGCACCATCCTCCTTGCTCTACCCTTCCTCGCCGCAGCCGCCCTCCGGCCCGCTAAATTCTATGGCAATCTTGTGGCTCGCGACGACTACTCTGATGCTCTTCACTCTATGTGCGCAGTCGGCGATGGGGCACCCAAGGACTGTGGAATGGGCTACTGCTGTTATTACTACGAAGAGTGCAGGGACGGCACGGACGGCCAGGCCTATCCCTTCTGCATGGACATCAGCGAAACGTCTACTGGTGGTGAGTGGTGAATCTTCCGTTCATTTGAAAGTATATTCTCTAACCTTTTCAACAGGTGAACCATTCTCCGTGGTTGCACTGCAATTCGCCACAACCGGCATTCCCTCCAACCATGCCTCTCCCACCGCTCACCCCTCCTCGAATGCACCAACTACTCACTCCGCCGGTCCGACTGCAACTACCGGCACCGCAGCTGCTGCAAGCACTACGGGCGCTGCATCGAACAACAAAGTCGGTGCTGTCTTCGGACTCGGCATGCTCGCAGGGTTCGCAGGAATGCTTGCCTGATCTTCTAGAAGGCAAGATATAAACGTGGTAGACGCCACTAATAGGAGGATCTTATAGGGAGACGAGAAGGCAGGAAGAGGAACAGCAGCATTGGAAGAGAGATTCTTGTGACTATTTTAAGGGATTATAATGTAGAAAATATCTATTAAATTTGCTCGCAAAGAGCTCATACCAACATTTGTGTTAGTTTGGTACCAGCAGGATATAGTGGATTATGAGTGAATAGAGGCAACACCCGAGCGTTAAGCATGTTTTACATAACGTATAATAAAAGGCGAGTTTCTATCTGTTGTCTTGTATAGAATCTTCTTTTCTATTGGACACTACCTTAGAAGTCAGGATCCCGTAATGTCGTCATGTGATCGACCCACCCCTCTCCAAGTGTCTCTTGTCGCTTTTCGCTTTTCGCATGTCGCATCTAGAATGATCGGAGAGTTGGAATCGGATATACCGAGTGTGAAAGAATGGTAAGATCGTTTATTCATGTAACGCAAAACTTCGGACAGCGAACATCTCCCAAACCGCGAGCCACTAGGTCGACACCAAGACCCACACGACCGCGACACGCCGCAATTCTGCACACAACACCCAACACGAACAAACTTCTCAACAGCAGGCTGTTTAAATCCAGCAAATGGGTCGTCGCTGGGCGATCATCCGGCGTCCCGAACCGTCTTACTTCTTCCCCTGGTTCTCGACAAGGCCTCTAAACAAACTGCCTGCTGTCTTCATCAGCACTGCCGGGTCCCCAACCTCCGCAATCCGTCCTGCATCCATGACCACCACACGGTCGAAACTGAGGATTGTATCGAGGCGGTGAGCGATGGCAATGATGGTACGGTTAGCGAAGGCGGTGCAGAGTATGCTCTGCATTAAGGCGTCTGTTTCGGCGTCCACACTGTGCAATACTGTGTGAACTAGATATAGAAAGAATTCCGGGAGAGGGAAGAGTTACCTGCTGGTTGGCTCGTCGAGCACTACAATCTTCCCAGGCATTAGGATCGCCCTTGCGAGACAAAACAGTTGTCTCTCCCCTTGACTCAACAAGCTCTCCACGTTATCCAGGCTGACATCCAGTGCTGATACCTCCCCACCCTCCATTCCTGTGCTTAACTTTTCCCAGAGTTGAACCTGTTCCAAGGCGTCCTGCATCTGGGCATCGGACACCGAAGGCATTTTAGCTTCTGGAATCCATGGTGCGAGGTTGTGTCGTACAGTACCACGCAAGAAGAATGGATCTTGAGGCATTGCAATGATCTTCGACCGGAGAACCGACAGGGAGACGTCGACCGTACGTATGTTGTCGATGAGAATCTCCCCATCCTGTTCGTGCAAAAGTCCGAACAACGTGGCAAGGAGGCTGGATTTCCCGCTGCCGGTACGACCGCAAAGTCCGATTTTCTCACCGGGTTCAATGCTCAAGTCGATGCGGTTCAGAGTCGGTTTACCGTCGACTGAATAACTCGCTACAAGGTTCTTGAACTGAACTGAGCCTTTCATGGGCCAGGAGTCTGGTGGATCAGGTTGCGATGTCTCTTGAATTTCGGACGGTGTTTTGGAGAATTGGCTAATTAGAACAGTTAGAGTTTATCTTAACCATCAAATCAATGTCTTACCGAATGCGCGTTACTGCGCTAAGAGAGGTTTCGAATTCGGCCCACGCTATGATGATGATGCGGAAGTTGAATCCAAGGTCCATCTATACACAGTTAGTCTAAAGATGAGATGTGAAGTCGTCGACTCACAGCAGCTACTAAACCTAATCCAAGGTATCCAGGATCGACCTTCGATCTCAGTACCACAGCCAACCCAACAATAACAGTAATAAGCCCACAGACCATAAGCTCAAGCACCAGATTCAGCCAGTTCTGAATTGCGAAAAGGAGATAGAAGGGGATTTGAGACTGGTCAAGATACTTGTTGTTTTTATCACGGTAGGAATTTGCCCATCCGAAAGATCGGATCGTAACAATCCCAGCGAGGCTTTCAAGAAAATGTGTGCAAAGAGGTGCTTTGGCTTCGAGATCCATCAATCGCACTTGCCTAGATGTCCGTAGGTACACTCGTTGAATAAGGTACCCTGCAGCCGCAAGCAGAGGGATTATAGCAGCTACCGGGGGAGTTGCCACTACAAGGATCGAAATCCCTGATATTATAGTGAGTAGTTCTAGAGAAAGAGAAGTTAGTTCCATGTTACGCCCAGTGCTGCTCATCAAAGGTAGAATACCTGAAGTCACATTTATGAATGAATATTGGAGTGAGTTGTCTACCTAAAGCCGGGGGTATAAAGTCAGCGGAATTCTTTAAAGTAAAATTATTAGCACTACTACCGCCTATCTATGCAGCGCCTTTGAAATGATACTTACAAGCACGATATCCTGCGAAAACCGATTTGTGATCGTTCCAATATCTGTTGATACTAGGTACGAGAACTTGGCTCTATCTGGCTGTAAGCAAGAGGGTAGCTAAAAGGAGCAGTGGAGATAGGAGATGCTGCATCTAGTCGTCACCTAACGTAGAGCACGACAGGGTAATTTAGGACAGAAATGCGCATCTTGGTGATGCTCTGCCTAATCTTAGCAATACTTTTATCGGATAGAACCTACCTTAGTCGTGTCCTACGTTATGTGGTAACATGGAATAGTCGTGTTCCAAAAGATTGAAGGTTGTGATTAACATACCGCATAAGGGCGTTCAACTGCCGAGCGTGAAGTGCCAAGCTTGATCTAGGAATGAACCACAGCGCAAAGTGGCCTAGCCAGAGAAAATATAGGAAGATATTGACTGCAGTAATGGTTACGAACAAGTATAGATTCCTCATAGTCGCCGATTTGCTTGAGCTGGCGGATTGCGCCCACCATTTCAGCCATAAGAATTGAATCGTGGTTGCTGCCGTGGTCAGGGTGAGTAGGCTAAAATAGACACTACAGTGCAGTGTCCCAACGGCGGAAATGAAAAAGAGCAGACTTCGCCTGTCTCCGGATCGCCGTGCTACATCTTCCTCCTCATCTTCTTCCAATTGTGGCTCCGGGTTTGGTGAGATTGCTGTTTCTGAAGCTTCCGAGTCGATATCATCCAGCAGATCATCATATAGATTTTCATGGCTATAATCCCCGCTGATTTCGTGTAGATTCACATTTCTGGTTATTAATTCCTGATACGTTCCCTGCTCAATAATATGGCCATCAGCTAGGACAATAATTCTATCTGCGTGGCGTGCAAAATAGGTTGCATGAGTGGCCAGGATGACCATCGCCCCGGATTTCCTAAGAAGACCGTTTCGGCCAAAGACACGATCAAAAACAAGCTTCTCGGTGGCGCTGTCTAAGCCAGAAAAGATGTCATCGGCGACAAGAATAGGTTTTCGCGCGTAGAGAGCACGTGCGAGGGAAATTCGATTCTTCTGTCCCCCGGACAACGAGATTCCTTTGGAGCCGATGAGAGTCATGTCTCCTTTCTTCATTTCAGTCAGATCTTGGACGAGCCCACAACTCCAGACAACCGAGTTGTACCAAGGTTCCTCGAAGGTATCCTCTGCAATGATGTTCTCCCGCACAGTTGCGTTTCGAAGCCAAACTGTCTGATCACAGAACGCTGTACCAGACGACGGAGCCTGAAAGGAACCACAGAGAAGTTTCGTCTCCCCTATCAGGGAGCGCAGTAGGAGTGATTTACCAGACCCAACCTTACCCACGACCATGTTAAGCGATTGAGGCGGGAGTTCCAATTGGATGTTGAAGAGAAGTGACTTAGTATCATCAATTGCAAAAGTTGCATTTTCCATGGATACAATAAAAGACGGCGTCTGGCGTTTAAATGATTCTCGAGTCTGTATAGGATCAAGTTCGATCCTGTCAATGCCAGTACTCCCAGGTAAGCCATCTCCTGCATAGTGGGATATCGAATCGCCATGAAGAAAGGATTGGATCCGTTCTAAGGACGCCCAACTAGCCATAATTTGTGGGATCTGCTGTAAAACTAAGATCATAGGTGATGTGACGAGCTTTAGAGCAGAGAGAGACCCATATAAAACTTTAAAGTCGAGTGAAGGACCGTCGCGCCTAGTGACCGCAATGACGACAAACGTGACATACGTAGCGAGTGTCGTCATCTGGAACATAACATTCGAGATCAGAAGTATCCAGACGAGCAACTTTCGAACGAAGTTGTGAGCAGCTACTTCCGCTTCGCGGAGCCCTGTTAGCATTCGGAGAACTGTTTCTGTGAGACCAAGCATTCGAACACCCTTTATACAGCCGATCGAATAACTAATCGACGTGACTCTAGCTTGGGTAGTAGCGACCCAATCCATTTGGCGAGCTTTCATGTACTTGCCAATCCATGTGCAAATTCCCGTCGCAACTAGGGTCGTGAGAAAGGGTGCTATGAGGGCGACCCCGAGATGTGTGTAGAGGATGTAGAGCGCAACGCCGGTGCTTATGACCATAGCCCAAACCTCATGCATATTTTTAACACCATTGAGTATCTTTTCAACGTCTACGTTCATCAAAACGGTTGCCGATCCTAGATTTACGTCTTTGGATGTGATCCGAAGGGTTTGTTCGTATAGAGATGATATTAGGCAGCTTCTCAACTTGGTCGAGAACCGAGCCACGCTTTGGGCATACCAGCTTGAGGAAATAGCTAGGAGAGAGTAGTTGAGTCCAAATGCTCCAATAAGTCCATACCCGACGTTCACACTAGGTTCATCTTTCGATTGCACGAAATTGATCATCGCGGTGATTAGAAAGGGCTGGCTCAGGCTCGTGGCTATTTGGAGTAACCTGTATGGCATAGTCAACGCTCATGTACTGCATATTGACGCTAACGGCGAACATGATAGGAGCTTAGATTCTTTTGATTTTCTCCCTAAATCTAGTAAGATTTAACATATGGACTCTGCCCCAATTATGCTCCACGTTAGGTAAGAAAATGTAGTAGAGTACATTATCACATAATGTGGAACATAACTAGGGTAAAGTTAGCCTGCTAATACTCTTGCTGGAATTAACGAGAATGTCAATACGAAACAAAAATTTGCCATGAAATACCCCCTTACCATGTTCTACGTTCGGGGAATAAGATTCCTGGGAAGACCTTACCTTGGAATCACTGGCAGAATTAAGTCAACCCAAAGCACCCTAATGATGGTACGAGCCAATGGGGCATTTTTGTTTGTTTTCTGACGGCGGAAGACATCCTCAAAAGCAATGTTTCGTTGTTTCGATGCAAGATCTGCATCAACGCTGAATAAGTCACCAGGCTTAAGTATCTTCTGATAACCTTCTTTGAAGAGGCCATTAAGATACCAAAATAGCCTCTTGCCAAACAGGCCTACGGTCTCTTCAGGAGGCAAGGTGCGGTCTTCGTCCGAATAGAATAACTCCCTTTTGTCAAGAGACTCCAACAATAGTAGTAGCCCGGTCAAGAATGTGTGGATTGACGCAGAGGTGACCAGAACTGACGGATAGTCAACTAAGAAAAGGGTCCGCAGCCGGACGGCGTCACACAGCAGCAGGACCAGCAAGAAAAATTGAAGCAGATGGCTTGGCCTCACTGCCCTCGTATGTTCGAGCCGAGACAGAGTCACAAGGACAAGGGACCCAAGGAATTCCAACGAGGCTGATAAAATGGATAGCTTCGTCTTGTAAGATTCGATTTTTGCCCAGATGACGAGGAGGAGAATAGATGAGATGGCATAACAACCAGTCGCAACCTTTGCAGGAATTAGCCTCTCGATTTGCAATAAGCAAAAGCATCATCACGCGAACCAGCTTTAAAACCCCCAAATGGGAGTTTTTGGCGACCTTATGCCGCCGCCTTCGGAGAGTGGCCAATCGGATGGGTGCGAATAGCAAGAAGGCTGCCTGTGGCAACAGCCCAAGCACGCTGTCCTCAAAGACCAACGTGAAATCGAAGCCCCCACGACATGACCCAATTCCAGGACCGAAGGACGAATCGGTTTGACACACTCGCGACATCGTGGTTTATCCAGTGGCTCAAAATAGACGACAGTTTGCACGACTGAAGGACAAAAAGTGAGGTTAAGATAAGGCTAGAATGCCTGCCTCCGAAGGCTCCCACTAACGTCACCGGAGATCTGTCGTCGTGGGCGATTCGTACGTTTCCACGCACGAAGCGAGGTGTGATTGAAGAGCAGGAGTCATCCCATCCCTTAACAAGACAATGACAAAAAATGCCGGCGCCTGGATGAACGGTCGTAATTGAAGAGATATCAATAAGGATCATTAACGAATCACCGGCTGAGGTCAACATCTTCCAATTGTTGTAACAAATTGTGTAAGAATGCTAGCGACTTTTGGAACAGGAGTTAGTACCTTCTTCTTTCGAATCTTGGCAGCTGAACAGTGTTTCCTCATCACATGATACCAATTTCATCAATATTTCAGCTATCCACATCTTCACTCCGTTCCAGAGTTTTCGCAAAAGCATGAAGGCTACCTTCGGCTTACGATTGCTTACACGGCGTAAACGCTTTACACGAGCAGCATGGCGCCCCTTCGTGCCGCCGACCCCAGCGCCCCCGCAAAGCATTCACCGCTTGACGATCCGAGCCCAATCGCAACCCCAGGAATCACCGTTGCTTTTGCAGCCTCGTACGCGTCTCATGCGTGCACGCCTTCATAAAATTACTGTGCCTCGCTTCCTGCGAACACATCCCACGGCCAAAGAGTGTCTGGATGGCAGCACGTGTTGTGAATCGCTGCGTTTCTCGTTACCGACCAGTGTGTTGGTGTGATCCTGCAGCAGGAGTGCAGCAAGAAGCAACAACAGGTTTGTCACATCCACCGGAACCGGTGGAAGGCGGCAAGCGCCGGTTTTTTCCTCCAAATTTTATATCTCTACTAGTGTGTGTTCTCTGCGAGTCCATATCTAGGAGTTGTTTGATCTTTGAACCTCGGAAGAACGTCTCCTACATATTCTCGTGAATTCTTCCTAAGGGCTCACCGACGTCCACTGGACCGAGCTTAGCATCAACCCCTAAAAGCAGCCCCTCTCCACACCTCTGATATCTTCCCAGGCCGTCCATCTCTTCCCTTCTTTTCCTTCCTCTACCTTTGTACTAATATCTCAATCTCCACTCCACCACGTCAAATTGCGCCAATTCACCTTGCCAAGCCCACAGATCTCCACCCAAGAGCTCTCAAACGTCAACACTGCAACACCCACTGAGCAGCCCCAATATTCCAAAACGCATCATCATTCATAAAGGTCTTAGTCTGTACAACGACTGTAGAACACCAAGACCTTGATTTTCATCTCACGACGACTCGCCAAGCAGTGTTGAAGCCAACGGCTACCCTGCATTTAAAAGACGTCTATTTTCCAAGCTTCTTGGAGCATCACTTTCACACACTAGTTGCCACGTAAACGACTTTAAGCAATTACGCAGTCTGTCTAAGGGTGCATTCCCGAACGTGCCGGCGATCTCTTACCAGACTCGAGAAACACCGCCAAACACGAGCATTTGGCAGCTGCGACACCCTGCGCCACGACTTCCGGATCCGCAGTATATTGGCAAGCCCGATTCTTATGCTCATCTGAATTGAGATCGCCCAAGTGTTGACAGGAAGAATCAACATTGTGTTGAGAGGGTCACTTGACACACCCACTAGCCTGCTTTCATAGAGAGAGTACCACGGGACCACGGGGGGCTTGGCCTGGAACGCACTACATCATCCACGTAAATATTTTGAGGGAAGGTATATAACCCTGTTCTTCTGCTCGACACTTCCTCTACCTCACCGAACTCAACCAACACGCACAACTACACCGACACAAACAGCCTCCGACACGAAGATACCAGCTCACCACCAACACCACCTCAAACTAAGCACCACATCTACAACCACCTGAGAAACATCCACTTGTCGTCAACAAGTCCGAGTTCAAATCCAAATCTAGTGCCAACCGACCAAGCCTCCAACCACCCCCACCAAACTATCACCACCACCAAAATGTCCACCTCCGCTCCCCGCTTCCACATTCCCTTCCCGAAGACGTTCCTCTCTCTGAACGCGAAGCCCACGAAGCTCCCTAGCGTGAATACAATCATGTCTCCAGAGCCCGAGGTCCCGACGCACAGTTTCCTCTCCAACCGACCCAACGCCTCGCGCCACTTCTCCATCTCCTCTAGCACCAGCTCCGGCAGTGTCACCATCAGCGAGCCCGCCTCCCCTACTGTCCAGGCCGCTGATGCCGCCAATATGAACGGAATGCCTGCGTTCCAGACATGGCTGCCTCTGAATGCGAAGTTCAACCCACCGCCTAAGTCCGCAGGCGAGATGACTGTGGGCGGGGGTGTCAAGAGCCCTTTCCTTTCCAACAGGGGCTAAACATTGCACCCTACGAATGAGGACGATTGAGGGTGAATGTGCAGAAAAGAAGGATACCATGAACGAACGAACGAACGGTCAAGGGAACAAGAAAGTACGGATATCACAACATGAAATTGGACTTACGACCTTACGACGACCTTCACAACCATCTTTCCTTCCCCTGCCCATGTCTTTCTTTCATCAAAAATTCGATTCAGAAATGATATAACTACAAAACCCATGCAGTCAGGATTAGCGATCACGGGAGGAGTTCTTATGTTCTGAAGGCTGAGTAGGCTTTGGGACTTTGTTTTCTTTATTGTTTCACTTCTTATGTATAGCAATCAAAAGCCCAATTACCATACTGAATGGTTCGATTTAGTATTATTGCAGTTGTGTGAATTGGTCAAAGTTCGTCTCCAGGTCGACGAATCGAAACTGTCCACCTGCTCCAATCGCTGATTAATAATGGGATTTCGCACACGCAGCAGCCCCCAAAATGTACCCGCATTCCAGATCCCAGGAGGAAGCCGATTTAAATTACTGCCTTAAATTAACTCGCAGCATACCTACTCTCTTGTCTAGCGTATCCTAAAAGAATTCTTAACACAGCAAAGCCTGTAGAACACTCATTTTCCCACGTAATAATCACAAGGCAAACTGCTGCCTCCCTCCAAACCCACCCTCCTCTCACTCTGCTGATGTCTATTTGGGGCCAAAAGTTTGCAGTGTACGACAACAGAAATTTCACTGACCTGCCCACCTCGATCCCACCTACTCCTGCACCTACGCCACATCTCCTGACACATGTTCCCAAATCCACACACTTACATCTCTAATCTTGATCTCCGACTCCGACTCCGACCTCCCTATCTCACCCGCCTGCCTATCAATTCCCCAATTAATCCACCCGCATTTCACTCACTCACCACTGTAAGCTGGCTTACTTCGGCTCTCCCCTCTCAATCTGACACCCCAACCAACTCCGCATCGTATCCGTAAGTCCTGCACACACAGACATTATCTGCCCGCATCTGCCTGCATATCGGTGACCGACGCACATGGCAAAACGGTCGCTCAATCACGCATGCGCCAAATCACCCCTCCCCCATGTAGAAAATAGGAGTTTGCGCAATCCGCTTCTGTCGTTGAACCCCGAACAGTTCCAGGGTCCGAGATTTCGGGACCTGGTACGGGAGGGTTCGGCAACGGGAGCGCACGTGGCTTGAGGGTGTGGTGCGGTGGCGGGAGGAAGGCAAGGGAGAAAGGGGGGAGAAGGGGTTGAAACATTGTGATTCATGACATGAACATCCGACTGTTTGAAGATCGAAGATCTGATGTTTAAGGTTCTGCAGATGTGTCTTGAACAGGCAAGCCTGGAAATTCGACACGACACACAACACGAAGGGGTGAGAGGACAGATTCTGGTTATCTTTCTTGACCGCAGAAGTAGACATAAATCTGTATCCTGTCAACACCTTGGAGAATGATGGAGGCTGGCTGGGTTCATAGCGTAGATCACTCTGTTTTGTGTAGTACAACTTGACATGCTGTACCTGTGGATGGTGATTCTCGTACGATCCACCGCTTTGCACACACAGGCGAGCAGAATCTGACTCTCTCTCTCTCTCTCTCTGAGCTGAGCTCTACTTAATAAAGCGCAAGCTCTTTGAGCCAGACACGCAAAAGGGTTGTCTGCTTAGTCAGCTTCACTTCTTCATGACAAGCACCGAAAACTTGGAATGCGAAACTGTAATTCTCCTATCATAATCACCACACTATCTTCCCTTCCACTCTCTACTCTCCCATCTCTCCATCTCACCCCTCGCTCGAGCTCTCTCCCATTCTGACAGGTCTCCACGCCATCGCTATGATGCTTCTATCCACCCAACCCTCGAACTCCCCCCACCTTCGCCATCCTCTCTCCAGAATATCGCAAAAGCCCTAAGACCGTATAAAACCGAGGCCACCCATCCGATCCCAACAATATAAAAAAGATGTGTAATATGGAATTCAAAAAGAAGCCGGCTCTCGGCTACTACAGTGCTATGCTGTCCAAGAAACGAAAATTTCCAAACCGAGTGCAGGAGTGACAAAACTGCCGCTAAGCAACTGATTTAAGGTTCTAGTCCTTCCACTCGTCCTCAAGTGAGTGTGCGACCGGTAGGAATCGAATCGAAGGAGCGCATGGATGTGTGTTTCGTGCGTGCACGGTATGTCGTAGATTCGGTAGATAAATGTCGGATTGAAGGAGACAGTGCGGGACGATGTGGGTGCGCGGTCGCGGTTTCCAAAATGAACTATGACTCTTTCACTCCACCCACCGCCAACCACAGAAAGCAAAAACACAAAAAGGAACACCAGCGAAGACTGACTCAGCAGAGAGAGACTGAGTTTAACGTACAGTGCACCCACCACCAACAAAGCGCACCACCAGAACAAAAAACACAGCTCGAGGTCGAGGCCAAGGCAACCTAAGTTGGTATTAGGAAACAGTCGAAGCCAGGTATGTGAGGCAAGCAATCGCAATCCGATCCGACCCAAAACTTTTTCCAGAGAGCGCAAGCAAAGGCCTTCGAAACCACCTGCTCTCAAACCCACAGAAGAGAGGAAAATGGGTGACTTGACAAGGAAAAGTGAAATTGGTATGTAAAATCCCAAGAAATATGACTCCAATAAACGCCAATGCTGCGCTCGCCATGAGAAATACGAGGCAATGATGTTGTGGCCCAAACCCAATTCATGAAACCCAAGGATATGTCGAATGACACGGTAATGGATACTTTCGTGATAACTCGTGTCTGATATGGTTGCGGTATTAGGTGGTGTAAGCAGAGAGGCGGAAAGAGGCTATGCACAGGCGACGTGTGTCCTCGTCGGTAGTCGAGCAGGCGTAGGGGTGGCGTGTATAGCTTCAGAAATCATTCGTCAGCTCGTCTCAGCTACCTGAAGCCGGGGTGTGAGTGTGTCGAAGTTATAGAATGCCTGAGTCTTTCAATGCGTTCTGTAATATGGTTTCCTTCACTGCCGCGAATACAAGTCGGATGTTTGATGTGTCGGTAGCTTGTGTTAGACTTGCATGTATTAGCTCAGTGGACGCAATTCACACCACCAGAACTTACTGAGGGTACAGATTTAGGTGCGCCCGATTCACTTGATTGAATCTCCACAGTAGGTATTTGGCCGCACGATTCACGTCGTTGCCTCCAGAGTAGTCAGGGAAGTAATTCCCTAGAGGTGATCTCGAGAGTTTTGCCTTGAATAGATCAACCTTATTTAAGAACAGGATTATACTCGTCCGCATAAACCATCGGCTGTTGACTACAGAGTCAAACAGTACTAGGCTTTCCATCATTCGGTTCTAATTACACATGTCAGTAGTAGCATCTAAGAAGACCCTTGTCGGAGACCGTACCTGGGATGATTCCTCCAGTAGAACCTGGTCGTATTCGCTCAGGGCCACGCAAAATATGATTGATGTGACGTTTTCGAAACAATGTATCCATTTCTTGCGCTCGCTCCGTTGACCGCCAACGTCGAACATGCTGTAGTTTCAAATTAGCCGAAGCAACCGGGTAGGATCCAAGTGGGTCCACGTACTGTATACTCAATTGTCCCATTGTAAAACGAGTTTCGTATATACCAGTCGTCTTCGTACGCGCTCGCAGCACATCGGATTCTATGGGGATGTAGTTGGGGTCCGATATCCGGTTTACTTCGTCGAAGAAACTAGGAGACACTTAGTGGGCAGCAAGGCTGCAGAATAGAAGGAGACATACTATGGCGCCGAGTCCATAAGATAGAACTCGCTCGAGTGCTCAAGCACTTTGGGTATGCAGGGGTCTCGCCAGACCGCCGTGACTGCTTGTCCGACCCGCACTTCCAGCGGCTTCTCGGGGTCTGGGTCCACCGTGTATTCGAGCAGATATTTACAGTGCTCGTCATTTCCAGGATCTTCGGTCTCGATATCGAACTGTCGCATGGCTCCTATCAGAGCTTTTGCGCAGTCGATGACGTTCTTGTATATGGTGAGACGGTACATGGCGAGTTCTTCCTGCGTGTACCCGTTCTGGTGGATGATCTTCATCTGCTTGACAATGGTGGACTTGCCGCTCTCGCCCGACCCTGGAGTGAGTCGTGTTAGTATGCCTCAGGCTGGTCGGATAGGTGTCAGCTGCTTACCCAGGAGCAGGATTTTGCATTCTCGTCGTAGCCGGCGCGAGTCTTCCTCGAGCTTGCGATCGATGGCCTGGCTCCGTTTCTTCTGCTCGGCATCCTCGTTATTGGTGCTCATGCAGATGCCCATTGTGCCTGGCGTTGGCTGCGGCTCGCGGCCGCGGGAAGGAGGGAGAGGTCGGGCGGGGACAAAGATGGAGCGCTCGGCTCAGCACCGCGACAGGGGAATATGGTCGTCGGATCGATGATGGAGAGAGACAGCGGTCTCACGGGGGGATGCCGGGCGACGGCGCAGCGATGTGGGCGGCGCGCGGGCGTGGATGTGTGGTGTGGACGTGGTTGAGGTCGGCGAGCAGGCGTCTTCAGCCTCGAGGGAGGGGGGCGGAGACAGAGCTGCTGTTTGGGTTGTGCTGGTGCAGTAGCTGCGGGCGTCCGCTGGAGTCGCGATAGAGGCCCGCTCGGTGGTGGGTAGGTGGAGGGGACCGGTGCGTTCTGGGTATTGAAAGGTTGAGGCGAGCCCTGTGTCTGGAGGTGGACACAGGTGGCCGGGGCTGATGGATGATCCGTGCGCGGGCACCAGCTCACTCTTCACGGCGGGATATCAGCGCAACGGGTCGAGCGCAACGGCCATCCGCGAGCGTGGGGATGCGTGGTCGTGGGCGGCGAGGGCGATGACCGAAGACAGCACGACGCACGACGATGCTACTTCGATGCTCGGAGGGTACAGTCGCAGTCGCTGCAGTTGCTGCTCCTGGGAGGGCAGCCGCTCGCGGGCTCACTGGCTCAGCCTCCTTTGCTCAAGGCTCAATTTCTGTCAACCAACCAACGAGGGCTGCATCGACGGTTTGCTGCGCGGGCACAGCTGCTGGCAGAGCGAGGCACGCGTGGCAGGCTGCGGTGAACAGAGTGTCAGAGTTCGAGTGTGAAGAGAGAGTGAATGTCGATGATGAGCAGGAGCGGCGTGTTGTGGCAGACTGCATCCCCTCTCAGCCGTGTGCCCGTTGCGATTGGAGCTGGTGCGTCCACAGCTCGTCCAGGCCAGAGTCCCACGACTAGGCCTTTGTGCATTGCAACTCGAACTGCTGCTGGACTGCCTCATCTCAACCCGCAATTCAACTGCCTCGGGCATTCATGCACCCCAGAGACTGTTGTTTCGCCCGCCGGTACTCGTCTGTACCTGTTCCATTTACCCTCCCTCCACCTCGTGCAGACCAGAATCCGGGTGAACAGCTCCAGACATGTGCTGCGCTCCAGCCCGTCCGGCATCTCGCTGAGGTGATAGCCATGCCCCGGCGCGAAAGCTCTTTACTACTTACTTCTCACGCCGTCTAGCTGCAATCGGTGACGACGGCCCTTTGCCGTCCAAACCATTTTCTAAATTAAGGAGCGCACCTTCCACGATGCTGAGATTGCCCTTTAATCGTCCCCCACCGACAGCCCGGCCCCCACCGTCCGTCCAGATGTGCCACCACCACCGCCCCAAGAACATCTAACATCTCTGTGCGACGGTATAAGGCTTACCTTCAGCGACAATAATTTACCTCGCATTTACTTACGGGCAGACGCAACTCGTGCTTACCAAATTCTCCGTCCAGACCAGCGGGCCATGCCATTCCCACCTACCGGATAGTGGCATCAGCTCCAGTCCCCTTCATTCATGCGAAGCTTAGCTGCAAATCATCCAAAAGCGTGAACGTCGCCATTGCCCTCCCACAGAAATAGCGACCGCCATCCCTTGGTCCGATACCTGTGGCCACCAAACTGCACAGCGAGCCACAACCGCCAGTGACAGGAACTGTCATGTGTTTGAGATGGACGAGCACCGCGGCGTCCGGCGCGACGGGTTCCGATGTGAACGTGCTGCAGGAGGATTGCCATGTGACGGCCAGCTCCTCTCGAACCCACTTACGGATTACACGCAGGCTCACAGCAAACGCTTCAGGCTGCCTCGTGGTTGTGACACAGCTTAAGCCTGGTGGAGGATCTTTGCAAAGGCATTGCCGCATTGCTTGCCTTTACATTGCGTGCATGGCTCGGAGCCGCAGTCCAATCAGTGGGCGGTTTTGTTTCTTCTGCGGAGGACGGTATGTGGGCGCCTCCTGCGGAAAATTGACAGAGAGGATTCGAACTGTCAATCTTCTTTGCTAGAATTAGCCCGAGTGGTAAGAGGATGCTGAGTTTTTGTCTAAAAATCAAATCCCTGTCGTGCTCTGCCTGTTGTGCCAGTAGGGTGCTAACACGCTGTGTGAAGCTGGGTTTGGCCTCTGCCCCGCAGCCGAGCCCAGCCTCGCTGCCGACGAGGTTGGCTGGCACTGCTGGCTGGTTTGGCGTTTGTGTTCGACTTGCGCAATCCATTATACATAGAAAAACAAAGTGAGTGTGCCCCAAGACTTTCCTGAATAACAGTCAAGGCCTCGAGGCAGACGTACTTGCAAATGTCCCTGTCGCCACCCAGTGTGCGGGAGAGACCGCCCTATTTGGGCGCACGGGGCATTCCATGGCATGAAAAATTCCGGTTCTTGAAAAGCGTTCGGCAAGCCACTTTGTGGCCTTTCCCATATGGCAATCAGGCTATGACGTAGGTTCTTCTGCAGTGGCATTCAGGTTTTACCATCACGAAGTGTGAGACGTAGTACCCCTCTTGAAGACGATCTCTCTTTGCATTCACTCTGCCCTCCTCCCTTCCACCCATATAAATACCTTCATCTTATCTCGCTTTGGCAGTGATCTTCACCATCCACCCGCCACAGTCCCGTCACTCGTCGTCCCCTTCACTTCGCGTGCTCCGCTGTCCCCAGGTCAAAGAAGCCGCCCCATCCCATACTGGAGCTCTACGGTGTCAGCGTCCACCGTGTCTGTCGCCCGCAAAGTCGTGCGCTAGACGTGTCATTCGCCTTAGAACCGTCTTTCTTCTAGTCTGCAGCCAGCCTCCCCAGGTCTCGCTGCTGCACCACTCCCAATTCCTGTAGATTGAGCTAGCGGCGCGCGCAAACCGGCTTGCTCCAAGAGGCGAGAAGAACCTGAACAGGGCCGCCCACAATAGTCGCGACACCTCTACCCGCCGCACACCGCGCCCCTGGCTTCCATCACCCCCTATCGCACACTCAACGCGCTCAACCTCCACTATGGCTGAATTCGTGCGTGCCCAGATCTTTGGCACGACATTCGAGATAACGAGCAGGTGCGGAGCATGCCTCACTGTCCCTCTGGGGTGGAGCTGACCATTTGTGAAGGTACACCGATCTGCAGCCTGTGGGCATGGGCGCCTTCGGACTCGTCTGGTATGTCTGCATCTGACAATGGCGATACACCGCGATTCTAACATACCCGCAGTTCGGCCAAGGATCAACTCACCAGCCAAGCCGTGGCCATCAAGAAGATCATGAAACCCTTCAGCACTCCGGTCCTCTCCAAGCGAACCTACCGCGAACTCAAACTCCTGAAGCATCTGAGACACGAGAATGTGCGCATTTTGGAAACTACCTCCGCGAAACCCGATACTAACAGGACCCCAGGTCATTAGTTTAAGCGATATCTTCATCTCACCCTTAGAGGATATGTACGTGCCCACATCTACATCCCCATGACGTGCGCTGACTAGATTAGCTACTTCGTCACTGAGCTCCTTGGAACTGACCTTCACCGTCTTCTCACCTCGAGGCCCCTAGAAAAGCAGTTTATCCAATACTTCCTTTATCAAATTCTGGTGCGTGGAGAACGCCGGACGAAATGAGCAAGGCACTAATTTGAGAAGCGCGGGCTGAAATACGTCCACTCCGCTGGAGTCGTCCACCGTGACCTGAAACCGAGCAACATCCTTGTGAACGAGAACTGTGATCTGAAGATCTGCGATTTCGGACTGGCACGTATACAGGATCCCCAGATGACGGGCTACGTTTCCACGAGATACTACCGAGCACCGGAGATCATGTTGACATGGCAAAAGTACGATGTTGAGGTGGACATCTGGAGTGCAGGTTGCATTTTTGCAGAGATGCTCGAGGGGAAGCCACTGTTTCCTGGAAAGGACCACGTGAACCAGTTCTCAATCATCACTGAACTCCTCGGCACACCCCCAGACGACGTCATTCAGACAATTTGCAGCGAGAATGTGAGTAGTCCTAGCTCTATATTTTTGAGTTTACACATTGACCATTGCATAGACTCTACGGTTTGTGCAGTCACTTCCCAAGCGCGAGCGACAGCCATTAGCGAACAAGTTCAAGAATGCAGACCCAGCTGGTATGGTAATTGCAGACTCAGCTATCCGATTTACTGATATCTTTTTCTAGCTATCGATCTCCTTGAGAACATGTTGGTGTTCGACCCCAAGAAGCGAGTTCGAGCTGAGAGTGCACTTGCTCACCCCTACCTCGCGCCCTACCACGACCCTACCGATGAACCAGTAGCGGAAGAGAAGTTCGACTGGTCTTTCAATGACGCAGACCTCCCTGTTGATACATGGAAAATCATGATGTGCGTCCCCAATCAAGCCCATTAACACTAGCTTGACTGATAATATATCAGGTACTCCGAAATCCTTGACTACCACAATGTCGATGCTCAGGCTGTTAACGAAGAAAATGGAAATCAGTAGTCGAAGTAATCGAGGATATTGAAACGGGATGCTATGCATGATGGACCGAAACTCTTCCCAAAGGCATAAAGGTCTGTCCCTGAGTTTGGCGCATGACGCTCCCAGTGCAGGCTGGACTGATATCCCTCGATCAAGGCCCATTGCGCGTAGGGAGATGGGTTGTATTTTTGGCTTTAATTCATTCGGAGGTATTTATGGGCATGATCGGCGAAGTGTGTTTACGGAGATAACTCCCCGGTAAAGGCGACAGATTCCGGAAATAGGGGGGAACTTTTTCTTCGTTGGCCTACACCATGAATACTGCATCGCCCTGATCCTTTGTTCCCATCTATGTTCCAATCTTTCTTCGTTGGCAGAAGAAATAATGACACGAAACCTTTGCACGCCCACGTGAATACTCGCTTGGCACTTTCCAAGGTGAGCTGCGGATGCTGTATCACTGCAGAATATCCCATGACATCTACCCACAAGGATAGCCAGGCCAGTTCAGCAGACCCAGGACCGTGAGGATTTCGGATCTTTGCGGTGAAGCGTGGTGATGTGTTGCCAGGATTACGAAAGCGGCTTAGCGGCATCTGGGCAGTAGGGCTGAAGATGAGCTTTCAACATCCACGACAGCCGAGTCTAACCTTAATCTCCCCGTCTCCATGGACCCCCTCTTCCCTCACACCCCTCTCCGACGATAGCACCATTTTCTAGAGTAGACATGGCGCCTTTTACTCCAATTGTCTGCATCGTGGATTTCCACCACGCGAGGTCAGTTGAAGCGGTGAAGTGGCTGCCGACCTGGCCCTTTTTTGGTAGAGGGGCTAATAAATGTATGCAGGGGCCCGGAAGTGGAAACTTGGCTGGGTGTGGAAGAAGGGACTGATCCCGCGACCGATAATGAGTGGCCTTTGCTGCCGTTCATGGCGTTGAGCGACGGTGCGCACACGTATGTCTGCATCTCCCATTACCCCTTTAGGCCACGCCTGCCTCTAGCCATGCGCGGGCCTCTTCATCTGCATAGATGTAACTATGGCTAACTCTGAGACAAATAGCTCCACCGAGGATTTCTCGTACTTCACGTTAAGACACGAAGAAACGGACACTCACCCTGCGACGAGCCTGTTCGGAATCTCGTGCACCCGCCAATTAGACGCGAACCAGTTGATAAATAGACCACCGGATGTCACAAGGAGTACGGTGCAGAAAGCTGTTGTAGTTATTAGCGATAGTCCGCAACATTTTGGCGCTGTCAAGGCGAAACTTGGGGCCGTGACGGGAGCGTGGTTTGCGCAGAGGTAGGTTGGGTGTACACCGCTTGGGGGTTTTCCATTTGAGACTTGGTTGAAAGAAGGTCAAACGACTGACCGGTTTATAGGGATTTCACAGATTTGGAGATTATGCAGCGGTTTCAGGAGAGTCTGTCGACACTACTAAAGAATCAGGAGGGGGAGATGGACCATTACTTCGGTATATATCATAGAGAATAATCAAGATGAGGCTAACTGGTCCAGGGATATCGCTACGGGAACTGATCCACGAGTTCAAGTGGCAAACGCTCGTTCTTTTCAAATGTGCTTTACTTCAACCCAAGGTACATAAACCCCACCGTTTGATTCATATCACAAGCTAATGAGAAGGCAGATGCTCTTTTTCGGTTCACATTGTGAGAGATTATGCATGATGCAATTCGCTCTTATTTCTCTGATACCCGGCCTTATCCGCCACCTTCAAGATTCCGCTGACCCTAAGTTCAATTCTTACGAGGAGACCCTCGTGCAGCCTACGTCGCTTAAAACTTCTGAACGAGCCTCATGCAAGTATATGACTATACTAGAAGGCTAGCCATGTTAACGGTTCTTAGTGCTCGCTTACATGGGCCTTCCACTTCAATTGTTCGGAAGTGGCTCATTATTTGGCCCTTATACACCGCTCCAGCAACTCGACATGCTTGCCGACCACGGAACAAAGTCATATATTGTGGGCTCAACCAACTCGCTACTCCTTCAACAGAAGGATCGGTATAGTGATATACTTATAAACCTCGACGAACACACCATAGGCATTACTTCACCCTCACTTCGCAGCGCGCTCGCCCTATCAACCCCAGACAGGAGATTCATAGACTTCCTCACACAAACCGTCAACGATACCTGGGACGAGACAAATCCTGGCCGCCCAAAAGACCACGGCTATGCCGGCAGCGAAGAGTTTATCCGCATGCAATTTGAAGAATACCTCCTCGCTATGCTAAGCGCCGTAAAATATAAACTCTACATGGAGAAAAACAAAGAAAACGAAAACTTCATCTCAGACTTCGAAGGCGATCCCTCAACCGAGTTCTCACATGAATGGGTCGATGCATGGATGCGAACCGAGAACTTCCGCGTCTGGAATAAATTCACCGACTCCCACCTCTTCGACATAGTAGACCCTAAGCATCCGTTTTCAGGAGGCTTGACAATCGACGATGTGCAAAGACGTCTAGCGCAGTACGCCTCCCTCTTTTCCCTTCTATCCCCATGATCTTTCCCATTCCCATTCAACTAAGCAATCAATTCAGTCTTTTCTCCGATTCCACGTTTCACATTATTACCTTTAGCGTCTGTGTACTGATCGTCGCGTGGCGCTATGCAGGCAGGTAGCAGAAATGCACCTCGACGAGCGGTTGCAAAACTCACGCGAGGCGATTGGGAAACAGCTCGCCGTCGGCCAGAAAAAAGTCTCGTCGGCTTTTAATAATCTATGGGCGGAGATGGAGGCCATGCGTGAGGCGCAGAGGAAGAAGGCGGAGGAGGCTAGAGCGGCGAAGGGTAGTGAACCACCGAGTCCAAGTACGGAGAAGTATGGGCGATGTGAGTGCTTTCTATTACCCACATTGTGCTAGATGTGAATTTAATTGCGAATGCCTAGTCCCAAAAGCGCCCGACCTTTCTCACGCCCAAGCAAATATCCAGGCAGCATCCACGCGCGCTGGCGCCTATCTCTCCTCTTGGGGCGTCTGGGCGAGCGAAAAAAAGAAGGGGTGGGGGAAAAGCGCGAATTCGACACCACTATCTTCTCCACCAGCTACAGATCCAACGCCTGGGGATTTGAAGCGCGCGGAGGAGTTCCGGAGGGAGAAGGCTGGGCTCGGCGGTGGTGCACCGCTTTCGAGTGCAAAGACAGCACCTCCGGATGTTGAGGTGGGGGAGATGAAGAGGGAAAGTGTGTTCTTTGATGCCGAGAAGGGGAATGAGAGGAAGGCTAAGGAGGCTCTGTAGAGGAATGGCAGGCCGGGTGAGATTTGCACGCGGACTTTGAGACTTTGTGAGATATGGTGTTGGTTTAATGAATGATGACTAGATGCTATGTCGATGCCCTCTTGATGGAACGTTGGTGGTAATTTAGGGAATCTCTAGAGCTGGGCTTGGAGAGGGGAGCGTGGTGCATAGCGTTGGAAATGAACTGAATTGTAAGGAGGAATTTATGCTATTCATGGCTTTGGGTAGTCTGAATCCTCTTATGTGGCGTCCCTATATTCCCTTCACCCTTAGAAGCAAGTAAAATGAAGACTCTGGTAAGTATCAACTCCATTATCTCAGCAAGCTCAGACAGGATGGGGAGAGAAGTGGCAAGCCCCTGCTAGTCAACGCGAACCCTAGCTAGTAGCCTTAGAAGCGTAAGCCCTATCTCTCTAGCTAATAAAAGTGTAAGAAAGGCTTTTTTTCTCTAGCTATTTAAAACCCTTTTAACGTACCTCACAGGTGTGCCGGCCACTCTGCTAAGACCCTACTAAATCCACACCCTATTCTAGCCTGTAATAGCACTATTTAGTCCTGTAAGGCGTAGTATTGCGTTCTATACTATTTGTAACGAGGTTGTAATGAGGTAGGCACCCTGCCTCATTACAAAAAGGTGCGAATAATCAATTAACAGTTAATTCTTCGCATAGAATAGTATATATACCTGTCGAGCGTAAGGACTATCTCAGCCTTATATTTGTAGTTTTAGAGACTCAATAGATTGCTAAAGCAGCTTAAATGCTTATAATTTAGCCTTTTTAGACTACTAGAAGTATTTAACCTTTCTTATTAGTGTTAAAGGCTAATTAGTAGATACATTGTTAAGTACAAGAAGCAGAAATTTTGTTAGAATAGACTGTTCGCTTGTGTGGACCGCTCGCTTGTGAAATACGTTACTTTAAGTTGCTTTATAGTTTTTGCTGAAATAGAGGATAAAGCAACCTTGTCTTTGTTACTAGCGTACTCTGTGCATGCAGCTAAGACAGAGGACAAGACAAATTATAAGTCTATGTTGTGATAGGCTTCATAGCCGAGATCGTCATTCATCCTATATGGGTTCGCTCATCCAATAGGAGGGTTCTTCAGCGTCCGGGGTTCCTATCGAATCGTCATTCGTAACAAGGCTCAACTATCGATGTCCGAACAGTCCCATTTCGGGTAGACTGAGGTGCAATCCATTTCATGCAACTTCCTAGTAGACTTGAAAAATTATGCTCTTCACCCCACCTGCGCTCATTGGCATACCTTGTACTCTCTCCGAATCCGCTTGGGACGGGATTTTAAGGGGCGGTCTGCTCTAGGCTGGTTGGATAGCCCGCGCGTCTGAGTTATCCCCACTCGTCGTGTTACATCCTGATAGCGGAACCTATTAGCTCGAGCGAGACAGGTGTCGGAATTGAAAACCTACCGATCTAGAGGGATTAGGTCCGGTAGACGCATTCTGTTGTTGATAACAGACTTTGCCGCGTTGTATAGGGCCAGCTGAGCCTTTATGAGTTCACGCTCGCTCCTAACTACTTGCAGCACATAGTAGCTACTATTGATGGCATGTGTTAGGTGTAAAAGATATGCTAAGATAGTAGTAGGTTCTAGTGTTTTTAGAGTGTTTTGAATGGTGTTGGGGAACTAGGTGATGAGTTGAACGACGTTGATTGCATGTGGTTTAACTAAAAGGTTAAGGTTCGCTGATTTGATCTTAGAAGTTGGAACGCCCGCTTTAAGCAAGATGGAACAGAGTCGGGCATGGGAATATTGAAGGTAAGGACTAGTATCTCCTTCGAAGGACGTCATCGTGTCGATGTTGAAACAGTAGTTGTTGATTCTAGACCACATTAGACATACTGACTGCTTCAATGGATTTTTGAGACAGTGGCGCGAAATGAATGAATCATACCGTTTTCCACTCATATCCTGGGCCATGACACTGCTGATACCTGAGCATATTTGGTCTTGTTCCTTCTCACTACTTTATGCATCTTTTCGCCAACATCCCTTAACACATTATCTAAGAACATGACTGTTCCCTTACAGGTACTCATTCCTAGTACTAGACTGAAATTGACGTGGGTAATCTAAGAGCGCAGGTCCTTGTTGCTAGTTAACTTAATAAGTTTAAACAGTTGCTTAAGGTGCAGCTCCTAATTGGTGGTGACGACATATATTGTCTAATTAAATTTGTAGTAGTTATTTTGTTTAAATAATGCGCTAACATTGTGGGTAAGATAAAGGCTTGTGCTGTCTGTTTTGCGTATAAGGGCTTTACTAAGAGCTTTGCCTGCCTTGTTAGAAACATGTTTAGAGAAGTCTATAATTGCAGCTTTTTGCAACTCTTCTACTAGTCCCTTACTCTCTAATTGCTTCTGTGCAATTTTTATGCTCTCTTCTTAGACAAAGCTCTTACTTGCGTACTTATTAAAATAGATGTTTAGTCGAGTATACGACTCTTTATATCTCTGTATGCTAAGTTCCTGGAACTTCTTCTACATGCTAATAGCCTCTGGATTATTGTCACACATGGCTTTAAAATATTTTTAGGCTTGCTTATCTAGTCCTTTATTTCTGAGTTTTGAGGCATCCTTGTTGTCTTTCTCTAATTGTTTAATCTCTTTTTGTTTATTAGCAAGCAGCAAGTTAATCTTGACGTATATCTAGTATAGATAATAGATTAGATCTTCTTTTAGTGGCTTATTGTCCCTAAACAATTTAAAACCTAACGCTAACAACCTATATTGTTTACCCTAATCTTTAAGATAGTTCAAGCGCACAACATTTTACCTAGCACCTTTATAGAGGTTGGCGAGAAAGCCTCCAATGATTGTACTTTGTAGATGAACTTGGTGGAAGGGTTTTGCGATGTTGGGTGAAGAGAACTCTAACGATGCGTTTCTGGCCTTTAAGGCGTTATTGGCATCCTTCAACCCGAGCAGAGGATTGTTGCCCCACTCAGTTCGATTTTGAAGAACAGGAGGATTTTTCCTGATGATATCCTAGCTTTTATCTGCGCAGCTTACTATTAGAATACGTTAGTTAACTAGTCAAGGGCTCCTACGGGCTGACTAACGAGGGGGATGGATCGGCTAAATGTATTTCCGCTGCAGAAGCGCAAGGCTTACACCACAGCCAAGAGACTCAACCAGCGTCAACTTCAACCTTGTTTGATAATTTCTACCTTGTCAAGCTGGTGGTGGACTCGATCCCTCTACGTTGTCGGCATAGAGCTGCACTAATATTTTCCCTATGCTCCCACTATTTCCTGAGAAGTCTACATGTTAGTACATGTATGCTGCCATACCTAAGGCGTCAAGACGAACCACGGGGCTGTACTATGATGGCCGAAGCGCTAGCCGCCGTCGGCATCGCCTCCAACATCATTCAACTGGTCGACTTTGGTACCCAGGTTCTGAAACGGCTTAACCAATATCAGTCTACAATCAAGGAGATCCCGGAAGCTTTCTGTCATATCAAGTCTGAATTGCCCGTTTTATTAGATGCCCTCCGCTAAACGAAGGCCGCGATTAATACAAGATTGTTGTAAGATAAAAGCAAAATGGCCCTTCTCCTAGCAGTAGATAGATGTAGCGTGCGGATAAAGGAACTTAGCAAAGCAATTAAGAAAGTACCACCTGCATTAAGTAATTCCTAGGCCAGAAGAGGTAGTAAGGCATTGTGGAGCCATTGCTATAACGCTAAGGTATGGAACATAATAGCAGTAACCCAGGGGTATGTTTAGACGCTAACATACTATGCCGCTGCTTTATTAAAAAATTTCGCAGGTGCAACTCTTCTATGTACTAAGTACCTTAAATTAAATCTGACCGTCTGTTCTCAGGCTGCATTCTACCGCCTCCTATCCCCTCCTCTACCGTTCCATTCCAGCGGGATCCACACTTCGTAGACTGCCAGATCCTCATAGAAATAGATCGCAAGAGCTAGCAGCCTACGTCTAGAGTAGCATTAGTTAGTCTTAGTAGCGTGGGGTATGCCTACCTTACCGTTTTGCCAAAGACGTAAGATAACAAAGTCAGCAGAAAGTCGCAGCTTGCTGTTAAGTACTTGTACTAGATCTAAAAAAGGTTACCTACTACCTAGGTATTCTAGGTGCATAGAGGCAGCACAGCAAAGTTTGTTAAAAGCTTTCAAAATATTGCTGAACAGGCTAAAGTTCCTGGTTAGGACTGGCCAAATGTAGACATTCTAAAGCTTGTCTACAACTAGCTGTGCAATAAGGCAAACGGTCGCTAGCTCATAATTATTGACAATGCTGACAATCTAAGCGTTTTTGCTTAGAAGGAGAATAGGCGTGAAGGTGTTAGAGAAGGTGTTGCAAGCAGCAAATCTGCTGCTCTGCTAGACTTCCTACCTTAGTTGCTAAATAGGGCTATTCTTGTCACATCGCAGAGCAGGGAGGCGGCCTTCCAACTGACAGGGAACTATGCGGATATTATTCAAATCCCTCTAATAGACAAAGCACATGCCTTAGCCCTACTCTAAAACAAGCTAGAGGGCAGCTTTAAACAAGACAATAGAGCAGCACTAGTTAAAGCGCTTAACTATGTGCCTCTTGCCATTTCTCAAGCCGCCGCTTATATTAGCCAGAGCGCGCCCCATGCCACTGTACTAAATTATCTGCTTAATATTCGTAAAGGCGACAGAGACAGGGCGAGGCTGTTAGACATAGGTATTACGGGCTCTCGCAGAGACAGCACAGCGTCAAACTCCGCCATGGCTACTTGGCAGATCTCATTTAAGCACATCTGCAGAGTAAGATCTTTGGCAACGCAACTGCTAGCGCTGGTGAATCTTTTTAATCAGCAGGGGATTCTAGGGTTCCTCTTAAAAGGCTGCTATTAAGATAGCGACAATACAAGCTCAGACTTTAAGGACAACTTAAATACACCAATAGGCTTTTCCATAGTTGCAGCAAATGTAGGTGGGAGCTAGTTTGAAATGCATCAGCTAGTGCAGTTCTCTACAAGAAAGTGGCTAGAACCAAACAAGGAGTTAGAGCAGTAGAAAGAGATGTACGTAACGCTCATAGACAACTGTTACCATGTAGGACAGTACAAGAACTAGACCGTGTGCCAAGCGCTATTCCCACACGCCCAAGCTGTAGCGGACTGCCAGCTAAAGGAGACAAAAGCACTAGAAGTATAGGCGTCAGTTCTTTTTAAGGTAGCTTAGTATGTAAGTAAGATAGGACAGTATAGTAAGGCAAGCAAGATAGGTTCCGCCACTATCTAGGTTAAGGAGGCTATCTTAGGAGTGGAACACCTAGATACGCTTAACAGCCTTAATAGCTTTAGGCTAGTCTTAAGCTAGCAAGGCCAGTATAGCAAGGCAGAGGTAATGCATTAACAAGCGCTAGAAGTGAAGAAGCGGGTACTTAGGGCAGACCATCCTAATACGCTGACCAGCATGGCCAGCTTAGCATTAACATACTAGAATTAAGGACAATAAGACGCTGCCCAAGAGTTAGAGGTGCAAGTGATAGAGATAAGCAAGAAGAAACTCAGGGGCCATCCTAACACGCTAACCAGCATGGCCAACCTAGCATCAACGTACTAGAATTAAGGACAATGGGACGCTGCTGAAGAGCTAGAGGTGCAAGCAATAGAGGCTCACAAGAAGAAGTTTAGGGAAGATCATCCTAACACACTAGCCAGCATGGCCAACCTGGCATCAACATTCAGGAATTAAGGACAATGGGACGCTGCCAAAGAGCTAGAGGCGCAAGTAATAGGGGCGAGCAAGAAGAAACTCAGGGAGGACCATCCTAACACGATGACCAGCATGGCCAGCCTGGCATCAACATATAGGAATAAAGGACAATAGGACGCTGCCAAAGAGCTAGAGGTGCAAGTGATGGAGACAAGCAAGAAGAAACTCGGGGAAGATCATCCCGACACGCTCACCGGCATGAACAATCTTGCCTTCACATGAAAAGAACAGGGTCGTACAGCAGAAGCGATACATCTCATAAGAGAATATGTACAACTATGCCACAGCATTTTAGGCATTGGTCATCCCCATTACATCTCTTCCTCTAAAGCGCTCGCCAAATGGGAGGCCAAGCAAGGGAGGGTTGAGATTCCGACTCTCAATGGTTAATAGTGGCCAGATTAGTTAGACGGAATAGAATTATTCGCAAAGAAAAAATACTTGTGAAATCTCTTCAATTATGCCCAATTACCAGCTTAAAACTCTCTTTACTTGATTATTGATGATTAGTTTAAACTCTAGCATAGCACCTCACACGACAATAGGGTAAAGAGATTGTGCTGCAAACGGTGAAGATAGTATTGCAACCTGTAGTGCAGAAAATATACTTGGAGAGAATGTAACATGTATTCAGACTATCAGCGCGCCAGTGTGTGCAGGAGGTGGCACAATGCCATCACTAATACGTGGGACTGCCGACCCGCTCCGGCCACACCCTTTGATGGGGCATGGCAAAGGTTGGCCTTCTTGCGAAGACTCCGCACAGCCACAGGCTTAACAGCTATTCTAGATAAATTAACATGCAATGATTAATTATGTGAAGCGGGGTTCTGCCTGGCCTGGACTAGTAATCGCTTTGATTAGAGGTACAGGCTTGCGTAACAACCTTGCATGAATTTGCATGTTATAGCAGTCACAAGGCTGATAAGAATATCCCAGTATTTTAGTACTGGTGTAAGGCTTAGATAAGACATTTTTATAAGTATTGTAGGTAGCAAGAGCAGGTGCGAAGACGACAATACGAAAATAAATTTGGATAGGTAGGGTCCTAGATGTTTAGGAGTAGCTACATCACACGATTTATAAAGAAGTATGGTAAGCATTAACGTGTGCGCAGGTCTTGATTGCTTGAAGTCAAAGTACCCCACATATTTCTCCATGCGGTGGAGGGACGTTAGCCGAGTTGAGGCTACGATGCACAAGACGTCGAAATCGTATATACTACTCATAGTCTTCGAATACCTCGACACTGCACGAGCCGAGCATCCCTTCTCTCTCAAATTGCAAGCCCATCGAAATTACGCTCAAGTCAAAGCACCCATCCAATGATACTGTTGCCTCTCCCTAACCATCCTCTCCACAACAAACCCCAGTTTCTCCTCCTCACCCCTACTCCCCTTCCCCATCCAATTGGCCTCAACCCTCATTTGTAAACCCTCCCTAACTACGGTCCTTAAAGGCTCAAAAACAAATCTCTCCCCGCACCCACATACCTGGGCCCAAATTACCGTATACGGCCTGTTGAGACTAAAACCAGTGGTGTGCGCTGGAAAAGCTACCCAGTTCAGACTGATCCTCAATTCCCTCAAACCGCTCAAGGAGGTGAGTGCTTCACACATAGCGCCCCAGGTACTCGGTTGGAGTTTTTCAAATTTAACGTTTTTGAAGTGTGCGTTTTCAACAGTGAAGGGTAAGCATTGAGCGGAAAGGGCGGATTTGTGGGCTTTGCGGATAGGAACCGGAAGGTGATCTAGAGTGTGCACGAATGATGGGTGCGTTCGCGCGGAACCGGCATAAGAGTGAGTTCGGGAGTCGAAGTGAATTTTTGTTAGACTTTGGGAATGAGATTGTGGGATGGAGTGGGAGAAGACAAGCAGGGTTTCTGGCCGGTGGAACACGAATGTTGAGGTTCTGTACACATAATCCAAGATATCCGTATACCTGTATCGGAATTCAGCACAACCTGCTCTTAACATGCAACTAGGGAGTATTTTGTAATCAGAACGTACATAGGCCGGCAAGTGAGAAGGAGCGGTAGCGCCCTTATCCCTTGTTTCGGATACTCAGTCTCGTTTCCATCCGCGTGGAGGACTACCCACGTTGCTTCCTGGCACGCACACGTTTTCACCCAGCCTTCATCCTCTTTAACAGGGTCTTCGCAACGCATTGCAATAATTCGCCTTTCTCGAACCTCGATATGAATCCTCATCTCGCCGTCAAACACCAGTCCCCAAATCATCTGCCTGATTTCCGTTGGCAGTCTCAACAATCCCGGAACGAAGCCACCCCCCCTAGCCCTCGCTTTCCTCTTCCCCAATTTGAAACCCATATAACTTAGCTGTGGTGGTGATGAAGAAATCGATCTTCTCCTCCCCCTCCCTTTCGTCATCACATTCGGAAACTCCCTCCTTCTCTTCCAAAGCTGCCACCTCTGCGAATGTACAATTCTGTCTTTCACCTTTTTATATCCCGGAACTATACTCCTGTCGTAAGCCAACAGTGCAACGCCGATAGAGAACCAGACCGGGAAGCAGGCAACAAGTGTGATAGCTTCCAAGACACTGCGGCGGCGACGAGGTTTTGAGCACTGCCGCATTGTGCTAAAGGAGGGGGATGATGTGGTTGATAACAAAGGGAAATGGGAAGAAGGGAGCGGGTTTTCCAGTTCGGCTGTTAAGTTAGTTGTAGTATTCTTAGAGTGAGATGTGGTGGGGGTTTAGGCATCAGGAGAAATGCGAGTCTGAAATTGGAAGTAGACTAACCAGATTCGTCGACAAGGTCTTGGATATCCCTCTAGATAGACCATTAATCTTGAAATACGACTCTTGGGTTTGGGAACTGGAAATCTTACTAATTTTATAATGAAGAAAACAAACGTCGCATCGTTCGCAGTATGCTGATCCGTACCGCAAAAACTGACAGGGGCAATCCATCACACGTTGTTCTGTGTTTACCATGCTATTAGATAGAACCACGGCCTTTCGATCCCCGATTCTTTCTAGTGCGGCCGATATTTTCATTATAGAACGCGGGGAGGTGGTAAAAACACCTGGCGAGGCATCTCAAGCTCGACGGTCTTCTCACACTAGCAAGGAGCTTGCCTAGTAACTCAACCAGGTTTAGTAACTAGGCTCAGAGGAGCAGGCACCGAAGCATTTTGTTGTGGAGACAACGACAGGGTAGTTAAGGAGTCTCCGAAGCCGTTCATTGATGAAGACTCTGGGTTCGATTCGACTAACATCTGTTAGACGAAACATAGTTCTATCCACGATCAACCAACTACCTTACAATCTATTCTCATTCCCAGATACACAAGGCAACAAGCCATCACATCCAGTGTTATACACAACCACCGGTCCAAATTATTACCCAACTGCGGCTCGCTATAAACGACATAGCTAACCGTACAAACCAAATCCACAATGCGTTGTCCGCGATAAAATACTTCGCCTTCTTCACCCTCTTGCACTTAAGGCTCAAAGCCGCCTTCTTCTTCTTCTGCGTCTGCCGCTGCAGAGCATCAACCTTGAAATTGAAATCCTGTTGGCTTTCGAGGAGGGTGGCTATCAGGGCTTCCAACCGTACGTACTACGACTCAGAAAAGTGAATAGTTACGGTCACGTGAGCCGTACAAACGTAAGAGGATTGTCAATCGTAACGTACGACTGAGAAAGGTCCCCTTACGGTCCGTAATACGTCTCAGAAAGTCAATTTTTCCTAGTAATATAGGACCTAATTAGACATCCATGGGCAAGCGTCGGGAGGGCGTTTGAGGGGGCGTTTTTGAGTAACAATCAGTGAAAACTCTGTTGTGTGCTACAAGCAAGAACGCGTTAGAGAGGGAGGGAGGGGAGAGGGGGGGGGGGCTAGGGTATTAGATCTTATGCAAACAGTTAACTTTTTGCCCTTAATATTGTCCTTAAGTTATAATTTGCTATTCTCTCTTACTAGCAATTGCTTATACAAAAGGCATTAGAAAACCTTAGAGTTGCAGCAATATTATAACTCTTATTAGAAGGACTTTGCCATAGCTAAGGATAACAGCCCCTTGTTCGCAGATCCTCTCACATGGTGGACAAAAGTAGGACGTTTCTCCTACCCCACGCTCTTCAAAATCGCCCTTGATTTCCTCTCTATCCCGTGTACATCCTATGACTGCGAGTAGGAGAAGGACTTGCCACCTTGACAGGAACCGCCTCTCTATTGCAGAAGAACTAGCTCCGCTAGAGGGCAATTCACTAAGCTCTTAGCTCTCTCAGATCATATTTGTTCCAGTGTTACGTCGTAACTTCTGCCAAGTTGTTAAGCCGTACAAGGATTCTTAATTGTTACAGTTAAGACTCGTAAGTGGTCCTCATGTCAATTGTATAGTAGAAACGTACTAAGAAAGTCAGACGTAACGTGCCAGATTTGGTCGAGTCGAATCGTATTACGTACGGTTGGAAGCGCTGGTGGCTATGTCGAGTATGGAGAAGGCTGCACAGTTGCAGGGGGTATTGGATGGCACGCCTGGGGAGATCGCATAGCCTGCGTTGTGGACGAGCGACATCCTGTTCCAGGAGATCTCGTAGATTGGGATCAGCGTTGCCGCAACGAGGGGGATGCCTTCGGCATTGTAGAACTATACGGCAAGTGTTAGTTAGGCATAGGGAGAGGGCTGGATGATCAATGAGCATTGGGGGTTGAGGTGCGTACACTTGAATTGCTCGAGGGAATACCACTTTTCCATGCTTGACTCCAGGCGAGGGCCAGATTGGGGACCAGGTAGGTGACCATCTGTAGGAGCGGCAGAAGCAAGAGCCAGGAATATGGCGGCGACGGGACCGTTCTTAGCTGTCGTTACTCTAGTATATGCACTGGGAAATATGGTGGTTGAGTATAATCGGAAAGCTGATATACTAATTCCGAAATACAAGCGAGAGGCTGCAAAGAATATTTCCGACGAGCGAGTGGACCGCCAGTTGATGGTGGGGGGTGTAAGCCAAAGGATGGCTGATTTATATGCTTCTTTAACATCCTAGATTCCATTATTCGTTGTTCCCCGCGGGAAGACCTGACCCCTCAAAGTACCCTCTAAGTGGTCCATGCAAGCCCGAGCATCTCACTCTTAAGAGTTGAAGCTGGGCACAGCATTCCGTCTCGAGCAATTCGACTTCACCGCCCGCCAAAATTCCAAATACCTGACACGGTACATTATTGCCTCATTCTTCCATTAGACAATTGCCAGAAGGTCATCTGCGACCTATATGAGCCACTCGTAAACATTTGAGAGGGGTTTATTGTTTTTAGCGGACGGGGTAAAGTTTATGGCCCTCGTATTGATCCGTAGGGACGTATTCGCAGGGTAACCCTGAGAGCCTGACTATTGTAAGCTGAGATGTTCCTGCATTCGCTGGAGTCAAACTTCGTTGAGCAAGTTACGGTAATACTGATGTCGTACCAGAAAAGATATATTAGGAACTCGCATGATTGATACATCAGTGAGCTATTCGAAAAGGCACAGTCCGCACAAAACTAGATGACTCGGGAAGGTATGATCGTTCAGAAATAATCATGAAGAGACTTCAAGGAAAGGACTTTACCGCAATGCAGGGCAACCTTCAGCCATTCCTGCAACACTCTTTCAGACTTTACCAATTGAATTCGCTCGAGAATCGATGCAGTCAGAATGCTTTGATGAGCCTTCGTGAAGCCCACAAAGAGGCCATGGGAGGATCGAAGTATCTCGTAAAGGTCTCCACCAAGCCCGAGGTTTTGTTGCTCCGGTCTACAAGGCGTTAAGCTGTTCTTGAAGGTTCTGAATTCGAACACAACTGTCTAAGATATCAATGCCAGGTAAGCGCCTGGACGTCATTCATCGTGGCCGCCTCATCATAGTGGCAGACTAGCATCTGAGACCTCTCCGCTGGCAGGAAAGCGGTCGGTTTGGACTCGTTCCAGCCCGGACAGCCCTTCATCAGCGCGTGAACCGACTCGTCTCGAAGCATGTTGACGATACTTTGACCTCTCAGTTGTTCGTTGTAGTCTCAAAACTCTAGCCCCCCGTATTTGTTGAGGAAGAATGTCTTGCGGCGTCCGCCGATCCCTCCCTACCACGGCTACCATTTCATTAGCGGGTCCCAATCGGGCAAGGATCGAGAAAGCAAGTTTACTTACAAGACAGCTGCATCGAAAGCAGGGAAATCGACAGTAATCAACACTCTTTGTGAATGAACTACTTTTCGGGGTAATATTCAAGGGCGTTGTGTAACTAGATGTGTCATGTTGACGCTGGTGGAGGAGAGTCGAAGCAGGCTAGCACTATAAGCAGGGAAACCTGCGCCGATCAACACATGTATGAGACCTGTGTGAAAAGCTGCCTTTACGGGTAGCTTTGTGGCACCAGCCGATCACCATGATTATCCAAAACATCAACAGATCACGTAGATAATATCAGCGCTTCCAACAGTCCGTAGTACGTAACCGTAGTACGTGAACGTAACTGTCACGTGAGCAGTAAGTACGTATTTGCTTTTTAAGCCGTAACTTACGGCTCACATCTCTGCCCCTACGTACCGTAGTACGTCTCAAAAAGTCAATATTTCCTAGCAATATAGATCCTGATTAGACATGTCTGGGGGCGCGTCAGCAGCGTGTTTAAGGTCGCGTGTAACAATCAGGTGAAACCTCTAAAGGTTGTAGGACGTTAAGGGATGGAGATGTGGGATCTTATGCAAATAGTTAACTTTTTGCCTAGTTTATTGTCCTAAGTCCATACTTGCTAATACTCTTGCCCATCATGAGCTAACAGATGTCCCAGTTCCTCCATTGTGGCAGGCGTACAGCCTCATCCCAGGGATCCTCCCAAGCCATGGTTGCAACTCCTACCCTACGCTATTCAAAATCGCTGTCGATTTCCTCGCTATCCCCTCCACCAGCTGCGACTGTGAGAGAGCCTTTAGTGGGGGCAGCCGCACAGTCACAATCAACAGGAACAGTCTAGGGGTTGATACAATTAAGGCTCTGCAGCTTTAAAAGAACTGGCTACGTCATTGCGCAGTGGAGAGTGAATTAACAGATCTAGCAGACTATATTAGGAGGAAAACTCCAGCAGTTACGGCGTAACTTCTCGCGAGAAGTACAGCCGTAGGAGGATTGTAAGCCGTTACAGTTACGCTACGTAAGAGGCTATTAATTCACTTGTAACATACGTACGTACTAACAAACTGAGAAGTTACGGTCTAAAAAAAGCTCAATCGTAACGTATTACGTACTGTTGGAAGCGCTGGATAATATACAGTAAGCATCACAAGAAGGCTCGGGACTGTATCAAACCAAGAAATCTCACATCATCCGACACGTCTTTGAAACATCTCGAAGAGATTAATCTAAATGGCAACCAGTGCAACGTCCCTGCGTCACGAAATACGGCATATTATTGCACAATATAGAACATTTAAGCTAGGCAAGTTCCTCTTAGACATTTGGAGCCTCTTAACATTCTCTCTGATTTTCTCTTCAAGTAGATCTTTATGATTTCCCGCTGTAAGTATCGAAGTGCAGTTGAAAAGAGAGGAATGGAGCAGGGTGCAAGCCATCGAAAGTAGGGTGGTCCGCAACATTCGCCGCCAACGCAGTTATCTCGAAAGCGCCGCTCAACCACCTCGAAACCATCACCCACTTAACGTCTGTACCTCACACAGAATTACTTTAGGACATAGCTACCAAGGCGCTGCTAGCAAGTTCTCCCAGAACCTTTCCAGCATCTAATTAACCTACTGCTTATTTCTCTTTAAAGAGCTCTAATGCGGAATGAACAGTAAAGGAAATTCTAAGTATAGACGGATTATACAGTAACAAGGGTTCATAGGTTCGCGTGTTCTTCTCCATGTCTATTAGACTACCTCTTATCTACCAACCCACTCTAAACCGTCTCACCACTAAATTAACCTACCCCTAATTCCCCTTCCATCCTGAGATCACATATTTTCCATTCCAGGAGTGACTACCTCTTATCTATTAATCGTCCCTAATCTAGCCGAATATCTAATGAACTTTGGAATAACTGATCTTTGATAGTGTCTCAGTTTCATTTGATGTTGAAGTGGATATTTATTGAGCACAGACTAATTGACTAACAACAAGGAGTCTTGGGTAGCGAGTTAGCAAGGAGGCATTCCGTCACCATTGCCTCTTCTTCAAGGAATACTCATCAAATTTGTGCATATGAATACAAAAACATAAACATTGTTCACCTAAGCATTGCGGCACCAGTCACCCAATCCGATAGTCACTCTTCAATTCACCAAGCAATGCAACCACTCTGGGCATTTTGTAAATATGTATTAACACCGCCCACGACATTTGCCAGCCTACGTGCTACGTTGTGCTTTTTTCTCTCTTCACTCTACGGCCTCTCTCTTTTCGAGTTTCAGCACCTCCACCATCAATAACAGACCGATTGAAAATGCCATCCGATATGCAAACGCCACGGAAACTACAATGAAAGAGAGAGAACTACAGATCCGAACATCGAAGTTCTTGAAGTAGAATGACGAAGCAGGGGGAGAGAGGAAAACAAATCCCCAGCTCCATATCTCCATCGCCATCTCCATCATACGTCATACGTGCCAGCCAATCATACAAACCACCATTTCCCCACCTCCCTGCGCCCGCCCCTCTTATTCTCTCACCCCAACCCTTCCTTCCTCATCACATTATATCAAAATCCTTTTTCAGCTGGAGAATCAACTTCCACTCATCTTGAGAGACATCATTCCTAAAGAACTCTTTTAGCGTATCGATACTCTTTCTCGAAATCGCGGAATACAGGGTATCGTCTTCTTCAAGATGGCGGCCATAGAGTGGTTGATTTGCACCTTCGATTTTGACGGCGACTGACGGTTGTCCCTTTTTACAGATGTTGATTTGTTTGTGATCGCGTTCGATGGATGTGCTTTCATTATGTCAGTATGAGTGTGTGCTATAAGGCATAGGAAGCGGGAAGGGAAAGGGAAGGGGAAGAGAGGGCACATACACTCTACCAAGTTGCAAAATCTCCTTAACGCCAGTAACCGGATTCCGTTTAATCGCCGCAATCGGCGTCAAGAGTCTTAGGTTCCCTTCCACCACATCCACACCCACGACAATTGGGTCTTTTTTGTTGAACACGGCGACGGGTCTCAGAACGCAAGGGAACACAGCTAGCATCTTGGAGTCTTCTTTCCTTTGCTCCTCGAGCGCTTTCATATGCGCTGTGAACTTGTCGAAGAGATGGTAGATGATATCGGCTTCGAAGATCTTGACGCCAATCTCCTCGGCGTAATTTTTGGCATCTTTGTCGACTTTCACGTCGAAGCAGAGCATTACCGCGTACTCCTTGGCTTTTTCCAGCATGACACCAGCGCGGAGCACGTCTTTCTTGTACACTGGACCAATGGAGATGGTGGCAACGGGGATCTTCGAGACACGCAGAAATTCGAGTAAAGCTTCGAGCGAACCGAGGGTGGAGGCCTGGACTGAGACACCGCGACCCGTCTTTGACACTCTGCTCAGAAGATGCGCTAGATCACCCATGACTTCGTCCATGAGGTCTTCCTCATCATCATCCTTGCCAACGACGAGAAGACGGGAGCCAGCAATCGCTGTATCGAGACCATCGGCAGCAATCTTGATACCCATGGCAGCCTTGACCTCTTTGTTGTGCACATACTGGGATTTGACTCTCAGTTCCTTCATCTCTGCTGGCGTCAAGAGCGCGCGGATATTGGTAACAATCGGTTCTGGATTACCACAAAGCACAATGCGGTCACCTTCGTGGAGAACACCGTTTGAAAGGACTACGTCGATAGTCGTTCCGAGACCCTCAATAACCTTAACTTCTAAAACCGTACACTCGACTTCGGAAAGATACATGAGGTTATTTGTCATACGTTCTTGCGTTAGCTTTACGATTAGCTTTAACATGTCTGGAATGCCTTCTCCTGTGTGAGCGGAAGTGGGTACAACTGAAACATATCGTGCCATGTTCTTGTTCTGGTAGAAGAGTTCCGAATTGAAGCCTTGCTCCTGGAGCTGGGTGTGGACGAAATCCCATCGATCTCTGAACTCTGTTTGAACTGACTTCTTTTGGAGGGCAAGGCTGTCTTCGAATCCGTTATTATCAATTCTCGACCAGCCGAAGAGGCGATCGATTTTGTTGAGCGCAACGATGAATGGCGTCTTCCTCTCCCGGAGCAGCCTCATAGACTCCAAAGTTTGCGGTTCCAGTCCGTGCATAATATCGATGACCAAGATGGCAATGTTGCAGAGTGAAGAACCTCGAGACCGCAGATTCGTGAAAGACTCGTGACCAGGAGTATCGATAACCAGTAGACCTGGGACATTGAACGTGAAGCTATTATCCTTGTTTACCACGGCGACCTTCTTTTGTAAGGCTTCCACGGGAAAGTACGTAGCACCAATCTGCTGCGTGATACCGCCTGCCTCACCTTCTTGAACATTGGTTTGTCGGATCTTGTCTAGCAATTTCGTCTTACCAGTGTCGACGTGGCCAAGAATGCAGCAGATGGGGGATCGGAGGTTGTCTTTCGACCTTGCAGCGAGTGCTTCTTCATGTTGCTTCTGACGTCGCTCGGCGGCAGCCGCCTTTCGAGCAGCCTCGGCCCGTTGTGTCGCTGTTTGTTCTTCGTCCTCTGATGACTCTTCCTCGCTCTCAGACTCAGATTCCGAAATTTCTGCAGCAGTTTTTGAGGAAGACGCCTTCGTGTCTTGTTTCACTGCGGCTTTTCCATTTGTTGCCGCCTTGGGCTTCTCTTCCTCTTCCTCAGAGGGGGCATCCCAGCTATCCTTAACACCGTCCATCTCATCTGCCTGGGCTTCCCAGTCCTCTCCAGAGTCGCTCACTTCGCCCTTCTTAGCTTCTGCCTCTTTCGCCTTCCTAGCTTCGGCCTCTGCTAATGCAGCTTGTTCCTCTGCAATCCTGAGCTCCTCTAGTTTTCTCGCAGCCTCTTCGGCTTCCTTATCAGCCTGCGCCTGCTCTTCCGCCTTGGTCTTCTTCTTTTTCTTTCGATAATCATCGGCCGACTTTTTCTTCTTCTTCTCGGTCTCGTCAGCCTCATCGGCAGGCGCCTCCAACCCAGCAACCTTGGCGCCTCCGCTCTCGAGCATCTGCTTCATCCGGAGTTCTTGTCGCGCCTTGGCTTCTTTCTGTGCCTTTGTCAAGAATTTGCCTTCCTTCTTGAGCTGCTCGATCTTCTCTTTCTCTTTCTGTTTCTTCAGAGCCTTGGCTTCCTCCTTCTTCCGCGCCTCTTCGGCGGCTTCACGCTCGAGCTTCTCAATCCTGGCTTTCTCTTCCTCCAGCAATCGTGCTTGTTCCTCTTCCTTTCGCCGTCGCTCTTCTTGTTGCTTCTGGATCGCGGCGAGGGCTGGGTTGAGTTTCTTCTTCTTGCCACCAGCCGTAGTGGCGGGTTCTGGGGCGGATGTAGGAGCGGAAGGTGTGGGAGCGGCTTTTGTCTCGGTGGCCTTCGCAAGTTCAGTCTTCGCGGGGGCATTCGCTTTCTTCTTCGCAGCCTGGAGCAATATACATTAGCATCAAGTTTGATATGCCATACCAGAAATGCAGCATCAAGGAGATATGGGAGCAACATACCAATTCCTTCTTCCGCTGCTTTTCCTTCTCCTTCTTCTCCTTCTCCTTCTCGGCCTTCGTCTTCACCCTAGGCGCCTCATCCGTCTTCTCCTCCTCTACCCCGACTTCCTTGCCCTTCCCCTTCTTCTTATTCGCATTCCCCGCAAACACATCGTCCTCATCGAAATTCGCCTCTGCGGGTGCCTTGCTCCCTAGATCTGCGGCCGCGCCATCAGTCGTGGGATCCTCACCCTGCACGAAATCCTGGTCGCCGCCTTTCTTATTCTTCTTCTTCCCTCGGCGCTGTATCGCAGCCATCAGCCCACCTCCAAAGGCATCGTCTTCGGGCGCAGCCTCCTCGGGCCTCGTCTCAGTGGCAGCTGCATCCTGAGGCGCAATGGTCTCACCCAGATCGGCCTCCCAATTGTCGTTGGCCTTCTTATTACTCTTCTTCTTCGGCGGCATCGTGACTATTCCAAACTATCTCGAGTGCGAGGTGAAAGGGTGGTAGCGGGGGTTCAAATGCCGTACCGGTGGCGGGGATGCGACTTGAGTCAAGTGTGGGCTGTTGCTGCCTGTGGAAATAAGAAACTAACTCCGCAAAGAGTGGCAGAGTGCAGGCTCCTGGCAAGGAAATAATTAGAGACTAAGGCCAGAAGAGAGGGACTGAGAAATGCAGGCTGAGAGTGAAATCCCACAAAGCGGCGTCAAAATTTTGAATCATTTGTTTGCCAACAGATATGTGGTGGGGTTCGCGCGGCCAATCTCGGCCCTTATGTCAGCGGGCGCCAAGATTTCGGGCAGACATCGCGAATTTTATCAGCACGTGATCGGATATAGAGCTTGGAAGGGAACTTGGACGAAGTGGGAGCATGCCTGCAGTTGGAGGACAGCGCACTGAACAGAATCCCATAATGTGCGACCTTGAATTTGGCAACAGGTTTAAGGAATTTCGTGTTATGCAAATGCATGAATATCTACAACAACTAGAAAGCACGAGAATTTGAGGTATATCACTTAATTACTACTACTCAGAACGATTCATCTGTTCCCTCGCCATTCCACCCAGAAATCTCATTAGAGTTCCCCATCGATTATTCTACCCTTCATTTTCCAGACAATGCAAGATGTGTGGGCCAAGGCTCCGAAATGCAGAGATCGCCAGTATGAAAATAAAATAAAACCACAATGTCCTAAAGGTGACACTGGAAACGCCGTCCCCATCGTATTCCCAACGAAAATGAGTGCATTTTGCCATCGAAGGCCATGATTAAGTAGGATACTTTATAAACAATCTTTCCCATGCCAGAGGAAAAGGGTAGGGGCGAGAAGTATTGGGAAAAAAAAAAAAAAGCGAAAGAGATTCCGACTAATTTTGGGTGTGAAGGCGTACATTCGTCAAGTCTAGCATCCTTCAAATTATGCCATTAAAGGGCATACGAGTATGGTGGGAAGGGACGACTATTGCATACCGCCAGCGAGAATCGATTCGACTGCGTTGCCAATGAACTGTTTCTTGAGAGTAAGGTCCATTCCAAATCTAAAAAGACGTTAGTATGTCGGTTAACGCGTGTACGTGAAATCGACTCACCTCCTCTCTAATTCTCCCTTGACACTCTTCTTGGTCACAGTCATCAGATCAGCTACGCTAAGAATATCCCTTATCTCTGCCAACAGAGCGTCGTCGGTTGGAAGATTTAAGTTCGCCATCTCCATGTTTTCGTAACCATACCCGCTCGGCGCAAGGCTCATTCTGGAGGTGTTGCCGAAACGAGGAAGGTCGAGGTGGGACATTGGTCGCGACGGTGGAATAGCTCCATAATCAGAACCCGCAACCGACGCACTGCCCATTGGGAAGCGCTTGGTGCCGTAGGAGATTCCGGAAACTTCCGATCGATCGTCCCTTGAGGTGTGTGCCTCCCACATCTCATGTTGCCATTCATCCCACTTCTTCTTTGGAATGCTGGCGGGGTCAAATTTGCCTTCGTCTGAAACAACGATCTTCTGACCCTTTTCGCCAGTAACAATACGAGTATTGCCCCAGGAGAAATCGTCCATATGCCAGAAAGCATACAGCGGCAAGCCAAAGGAAAAGACGGGAGTCGCGAGCACATAGATAATCATCCAGCCGATCATCTCCCACTTACGGCGGAGAATGAAGATGATAGCTTGAAGACCGTAGATAGCTCCGAGAAGAATAAAAGCAGTGATTGGAATGATGCTCGGGCTACTGATTAGGAGATAGACCAGATAGACAAGGTATCCGACAATAACGGGCTGGACGATAGTTGAGAGCAAATCTAGGAAGACGACGAAGCGCATACTAAAGCAGCAGAAACCACAAAGTTGCTGCAGCGGAATCAGCTCCATTAGGTTGTGCACCGTTGAATTGATCCATCGACGACGTTGAGACATGAAAACCGTCCAACTATCAGGGGCAACTGTCCAGGCGTGAGCTCGATAAAGATACTTCGTCTTGTACTTAGAGTGGTGTTTGAGGAGCAAGGTAGTCAGGAACCGGTCCTCGCCTAAGTGCAATAGGTTCTTCATGTGGAGGGTATCCACACGGATCTCAGAATAGGCTGCAACTACCTCTTTGCTAACGAATAGAGGCTTTCCAGTTTCCGCCGCCCGGATACGATACATACTGAAACAACCAGGCAGACAGGTGACCGAGCCGAACAAACTTTCGAAAGCCTTGGTCAGATTATGAGAGATGTAGTATTCATACACCTGCATCATGGTGATAAACGAAGACTTGGCATTGGTAAGAGAAGTTTCGCCGCAAATACCGATCAGACGGGTATCGTGAAGGAATGCCGCGACGAATCGGGTAGCCGAATCAGGAGCAACTACTGTGTCTGCATCGATCTGTAGGAGGAATTCGTAGAAGGTTGGGTTGACGCCGATGATGTTCCGAATCTGGTGATGCATCTCGAGCTCAAGGGGAGTCATAGGAAGGTTGTAGTGCACACGATTCAAGAACCTCATGAGAATGGTCTGAGAATCACGCTTTCCACGGTTACCTGGCCTATAAAGCGATTAGTAGAAAGAAGCTACAGGGAGAACGGTGGAAAGTAACTTACTTGGAAACTTCGGATGGCTTACCAACCTTGACAACAACCAGGAAGGGTACAATATGACCCTGGACCTCATACAAGCCAGAATAACACTTGCCCATATTATGCTGCCTTTGCCCCTCTCCCAAACTCTCGAAGCTGAGCGGTTCCGGATCCGTATTTTCGGGTACTCCAAGAATATCGAGGACGATGCGAGGAGTAGGCTTGTCGTTTCCTTGTCCAATAATCATGCCGTCACAGATGATGAACAGAAGTTTGCGTTTGTCATCATACTTCATCCTTGCGGCGGAATCGATGGCACGCCGAAGAGAGTCTTCATCCTCAGTATACGCTGGGACAGTGCAAATAATGAACTTATCGATGTTCTCTGGAACGCTCTTCTTGCTGAACTGAAGAGCAGCGAAGAACTTGAAACCGATAACGCTAACCAAGAGGATCGATATCGCGAGGAGAAGGTATTTAGCGAAAAGACATTTCGCTGAATTTCGAGTGTCAAGATCTCCGACATAGAACAAATTGTCCAAGCACACTTTCATACGCTGTTTAGTATCTGCAGGAAGGGTCAGTCCCTCCCAATATTTGCTCACATCAGATCCAGCTTGGACTCGGAAGATGTCGACTACGGAACCATCCATGAAGTTTGTGTTTGGCTGCTCATTTGGCCTCTCTGAGTTGTTGGGGGCATACTCGACCCGTCGACCACCGGTGATGTACTGGGAAAGATCGTATACGCGATTATACATATACGCAATTGAGGTACCCTTGCCAGCCAGTGTCTTAAGGTAGTTAGGGCTGTATCCGATTCGTCCTTTCATGTAATTGGCTTTCAAAAAGACTTGTTGCTCAAACCACCAGTCAAGACGGGAGTCGTTGGTGGCCCATCGGAAATCATGGAAACGGGCATTTGTGTCGGTAGTACTGACTAAGTTACTCTGGCTTGTGTAGTTCGAGGTCTTGTAATTCAGCTGTACTCCTGGGTGAACGGATCCGTCGACACCATCGCAAAGAGCGGAAACTTGAACCGGGAATAGGTTGGTAGCATCCAAGCCAGCGTATTTCTTCAAAGATGCCTGTGGGATGATTGAGGGATAATGGTGAGGCATGAACTTTCCAAGGTCATAGACAACACCTCGCATCGCAATATAGGACGAGTGGCCGTTTTTCCCGTTAAAGGATGAAAGTTCAGCGCTGGAGTAGACATGTTGCTTGGGGCAAATTAGCTCCGGGAAGCCAACTATGAGGTGTTAGCGAAAGTACTGGGAAAAGAGCTTCCATGTCTTACCCATGAGGAACACGACGAGGGCACAGCTCAACCAGATGAGCATGTTAATTGCTAGCTTTTCACGCCATGCAATTCGAACATCCTTACGCTTCATCTTCCCTATCCATTTGATCAAGATATCGGGAATCCACCACGTTAGAAAGTAGACAATGAAGAGCCACCTCTTGCGGCTTCCTGACACCGGGGCAATGTCAATCTCTTGTAGCTCCTTCGCAGGAAGCTTTTCATCGATGCGCTCCGGCGCCTCGAGGCCATGGAACATATCACCGTTCGTGATACCTGATGGTGCTTCGGAGCGAGCATCGACATCTCGGCTGCCAAAATAACTTCCGTGCTTGTCGTCGTGATAAAAGCCACCGGGTGACGGCGAGAGTAAGCCTACCCTTGAGTCACCGAAAGTTCGTGCTGCGTCTGGCGTGAGACTGTCGTCTTCAGCAGACAATCCTCGTGGTAGAGGGGTGATGTCTGCGACATTTGCAATTTCCAGCCAGCACCTCTCGCTGAGGAAAACACCTGTTGCACCAACACGCACTTCATTCTCTCGCCAAGGCTTGCTGTCTAATACCGTCTCGGCTCTCTCCCTCTCACTTCCAACCACGGCTGTATCGATTTCTGCCAAACCAAGGAATTCAGCAAAAGGTAAGAATATACTGAAATCAGCGATGCGTAGGCGTTGACTAATTTCTGCGATACCTAAGGCTTGAACTTGGGTACGCACACACTTGCTGTCGAACTGATTCGCAATTCGCCGATCATTTGGCTTTAAACAGAAGACGAAATAAGGGTTCGCTTTTCGTAAGGAAGACTCGATTGTCTTAAGCGAGCTCAGAAATTGGCCAGAGGCACCCGTCTGTTTTTTAGTTGGGTCATGTTTCTTTCCGCCAGAAGTCGCACTCTCTGTGTCGCTTCCAGCATCCTCGTCGAAAGTGCTCAAGGGCCTGCCAAATCTACCAGGCCTGTCCTTGCGCCGCGCCATACTTGGCATCCTCATCGGTTTTGAGCTGACGGATGCTTGTAAAATTGCAGTCCTCTCTTTAGGGTGAGTAACCTTGTTAAGTGCATCCTGACCGAAAAGCTCTTGCACGAAAGGACTCTGGGCAGACTTGAGAAGGTTCATCATGTCACCCGAAATCAGTTCAGCGTTTTCTTCAATGAGTCCTTCGACAGCATAGTCCACATCACCAGCAAAATGGCGGACTGTGAAGGATGCTGCGGTATTGTGCGTCGGGAAATTGCTACCTGGTTGAACCACTGTAAGGCTACCAGGCAGAATAGCGGTATTCTTGCCATCAAAGCGTTTGCGGAGTGCATCCAAGAATTGCATGTCGTTCTTACCACGGCGCATCTGATCATCGAGTATGCTCAAGAGCCCATTGCCAGATTTCAAGAGACCAGTTTTTGCCTCGGAGTTGTCGTAATATTCCATTCGAGGAATGCTGACGTCTTCGGCCTCCATTTCTTGCATCTGCCGGCCGAAAAAGCTGTGCTGGCAAAAGTTGACGAGGGCTTCATTGGCAGCGTTGTTCAGGAGCTGGTCAAGAGCGGAGCCAGTAGCGGAGGCCGGCGAGAAGCCGGGGAAGTCAACGATTGATACCGTGTTGGCAACCTGGTCTGGAAGCACACACAATTTGGAATTGATGTCCTCCATAATGTAAGCCACGAGTAGCGAATAAAGAGTGCGGGCAAGCTCGTCAGCATTTGCACGTGCGCCTTTCGGATCAAGCATTACTGTCACCCGTTCCCGATAGAGAGTTCGTGTCTTGTATCTCAGACTCTGCTCCAGGTCAGAGACACTGACACCTAGGAAGGACGCAATAGGTTCCAAGGCTTCCTTATTCCTGACCGTGGTAACTTGTTCACCGCCTTCGTGTGAATAACCACCGCTGTCATCAGCAGCAGGCGTGGTGGCTTGCCCGGTCACGAACTCTAGTTGACCGATGTGGAGAATGGTGGCCATGACTTCACAGATGCCAGCAATGGCATGCTTGGGGAACTCGAGTTTCCGAAGAGCTGTCTTGAAGTCTTGGAAGCCCTTGGCGTCATCAATGCCAACTTTGAGTTGCGTTGGGTGTCCAAGATAGCGCCATCGCTTCTGTCCAGTCAATGAAGCTCGGGCGCCTGGCGCATTAGACGTGGTTCCAACGAGATCGAGACCCAGGTGCTTCCTCTCGGCTGGGCTAGTTCCAGCCAAGAGGTAATAGAGGCAGTGATAGTTTCGCTCGCCCGTGGGCACAGCAGCGATTCTGCTCCTCTCTAGTCGGTGGGCTAGGAGTTGTGCGCCGAGCAGGGTGGCGTGGGAGGTGGAGGTGTTGTACTGAAGCTCCAACAAGAGCCCAGCTTTGGAGGCGACAGGGGTCGTCAGGGACTTGGTAGTCGTGAAGGCATCAAAAACGAAATTGGCAAGCTCAATTTTTTTGGAAAGGGGAGTGGATGAATAGGAAAGAAGGGATCTCAGAACGTGGCCGCGGATGGTAGTTTTACCGGCACCGGATTCTCCCCTGAACAGTCCGGTTAGCACGAATTGAACAAAAATTCAAAGGCAGAGAGATCATACAGAAACACGATTGCCTGGTCCTCCGATCGCTGCCCGAGGCGCATGTACGCTCTCTGGGCGAGGTCTTCGGCGGCCTGGTGCGCGCTGCCATCCTTGCCGCCGTCCGGTCCTCGACTGGCGTCGGTGTATGTGTTTAGTGAGATAATAGCATGCGACGAGAGGGTTGCGGTCGGCAAGTGCGCATGGAATCGGCTCGCAAGATGTGCGGTTAACTGAGTGTCGGACTGGAGATGCTGCGGCAGCGATGGCAGCGATGGTTGGGCGTACTGAGGAACGTTGCCCGGGAACGAGTTGGAGGCCATGGTCGGCGGACGCGTCCCCACGGGAGCGCTGAGCGAGTGGAGGCTTCCAGGGGGCTCACAGGGCTTCTACGGATGGTGAGCAGATGTTGCAGAGGCCTATCTAGATGGATGCACGCAGTTGGGGTGGTGTGTTTGGGTGTGAAATGGAGGACGGAAAAGAGCACAACACTACGAGGAATGGCGGCCGCTGGAGGTTGGAGGAGGGTGCAGATAACAAAATTACAGGCAGCGAGCGTAGTGAAAGGGTGGGCAAACGAAGGAAAAGAGATGCAAAAGCCGTCACTGTAGGGAGGAACGAGGGCGTGGGGATGATGCAGCGACGGGTGGAGAGGAGTCTTCAGTCCTCAAAATCATGGGGCTGCATGGGTTCTGGCTTGGAAGAACAGACCCTAGCAACCTCGCCTCTCTGGGACCGTGCCCAATGAAGTGCTGGTGGACAGACAAAAAGGGGGCGCAAAAATAGATACAATACGCTGTAACTTAAAACACCTCCGCTTAGGCGTGGCTCCACTTGTGTGCTTATTGAGGTGGATGCCATGTTGCTTCTGGCAGCAGTCTGGAGACAGGAGAGGCCGTCAGCGCATCCTATGTCTCTCTCACCATACTGCAACTTGCAAAGACACAGAAACAAAGGCAGACCATCACCACGACAACACAAGTCGTCCTGAGGTGCTTCCTAAGGACACATCCCGCCTCGGTAAAGAGCCAACCAGTTGAGTCAAGGACAGGAACGGGATTCTGGGGAAGATCGCTGCAGGTAGCGCAATCATCCATGCATTGTTTCGTAATCGATCAACAGCTTCAAGAACATGGGAGCATGGGTTTCATGAAAAGTTCGTTGGGCTGCTTCCTATACGACAGTTGACAGCTTGCGATACGGACAGCGCCGAGCAGCTGGGCTACCGTTGTCGCTGTGGGATGGAGCATGAGACGTGCTGGCGAGAGGCTGAGTGGGACAAGCACGCCTGAACAGGACAGCGAGCAACGAAAGGTGGCACGGAAGAACAGCTAACAAGGGCTGGATGGATGGTGAGCTGCGCTCCATCAGGCGTTGAGACCATCGATTTTCATGTGCAGCAATTTCTCCGCCCTGCCACCCGCTACGGGCATCTTTCCGGAGTCCGCGAGGAGGGTGCATGCTTCTCCTGCTCGGCGCCGAGAGAGTTACCAAGGCGTGTTTCCAAAAGCGATGGAGAACAGACAACAAACTCACACCCAGTCGCTCAGAGCAAGCAAACCTTTTCAGTCGAAGTAAACAAAAGAAGCCTAAAAATAGGGGTTATGCAGGAATCTCGACCATTCACGCCATGGACCTGCGCAAACTGATCAATCAGACGAAGGTGGCATCGGGTGGCGGGCGAAAACAAGCGTGAATGCATCGAGGGGCTTCGCCACAGCGACGGAGCTCCTTTGGTAAATTACCAATTCGATACCGCTACGCTAGGCCAGAAGCACTTCCTCACCCGGGCACCCTCAGGAATGGAGAAAGTCGCCCTCTGCCAACAAGCATCGTCACTCCTCTCTCCCCATCTCCTCTGCCCGTGTCTGTTTTTCGGTTTCCTTCTCACGATCGCTTAATTAATTTTCCCTTCGTTTGCTCTTTTTGTCGAAGTTGCAGTTGAGGAGCATCTGCTATACGGTTACCAGCCCCGTCGCCGTGTCAACCAGTTCCCCAGCTCAACAGTCGAAGGGACGACGCTCGCTCACAACTTTACACCCATCAGTCGCTCCGCCCACCCGTGACACTGCATACTAGAGGAACATCTAGACACACTACTGGCCTCACATCGAACAACACCACACGCTTCGTGATCGGGGCTCCAGGCCTCACCCGCCGCCCACAATGAGTTTCGTCAACAACTCTCGCATGTCCATCTACTCGACGACGTCGGCTGCGGGGCCACGTCCGGGTAACGCGTCCGCCCAAGTTTCTACGTCGACCCTGCTCAACGCCCTGCACACGACGTATGGCATGAGCCAGCCCTACCATCTCGAGGCCAGCACCAGCCTGGTCGTAAACACTTGGATCAATGCAAGGACCATGATCAACGACCGCATTGGTGGTACCGTCGACCTGCAGCTGGGCCGAAAGGCCTGGGAGCATGCTCGACGTAGGGCAGAGGACGGCTGCATCGTGCTGGGGTGGGTTCTGTCTTAATCCACACCTGAAGTTATCATCTGCTTACTTTCCAGATCCTTGCACGAGTCGTGCCCCTCCTTGTTCTCCCCCTTCATTTCGGGGCTTCCGCTACAGGTTCCTGGCAGCTTCTACACAGCGCTCGAGGCCATCAAAGCCTTCACCCACTGTGTCACACCACAGAACCCCTCTTTTCCTCGACACTCGGCTCTCGCCGCCGTCTTCACCATCAACCTCCAAGGCAACCTGGTTGGAGCCGAGATCAAGCTGTCCACGTCTGGCCTTGACACCCGCCAAGGATTGCTTGAGATCCCTTCTCACGCCGGATTTCGAGCCTTCGATGTTTTCTACTACTTAAACTCGAGCAATGCCAGTAGGGCCGAGAAAGAGTACCTGAACATCAGGCCTCTCGAGGAATACACCTTCCTGAACCGGTCGGGGACGTATCACCCTCCTTCCTATCTCCCAGATGCCGACGATGCCGCAGCTGCAGAGGATTGGCGCGCCAACCTCAAGGCCATCGGCATCAAAGGCAAGAAACTCCAGCGCCTCATTGGCAGCCTCACGGCACTCCTCAAGTTGGGTGACACTCTCGGTTACTTCGTCGATGGTGACGCCCTGGAGTCAATTTGTGGGGAATGCGCAGGTCTTCTAGAAATCGATGCCGATGTCCTCCAGCGAAGATTGAGCTCCAGTGACCGTGAAATTGCTATTGCTGGTATCTATGAAGCCATCGTCGACTATGTCGTTGAACACGCGAACGCTACTATTAAAGATGAAATCCGAAGTGGCAGGGCCGCCTTCCCATCCAGTGGGAGTGATAGCGATCACCCCGGCATCATGACTCCTCCCTCCGAGGAAGATGGCGCGGACATCGTCAATATCACCGTCTTGGAGGTGCCAAGCAAGGCACTCGGCAAAGCCATATCCCTTCGTACCGTTTTTGATGACACGGATGGAATCAATCGGGAGATGAGAGAGGATGGGGTTCAATTCGCCACTGCTGGAAACTCGGTCCTTGAGAATATGAGAGAGGCGGTCCAAAACTGTGAAGCTGACCTCGGTGTGGATGGGCCTGCGCTTCGCCAGCGTCAAACTGATTTCGAAAAACGCGAAGTTGTTTTGGAAAAAATTGCCCTAGATATTCAGGAAGAGGATAATTTTGTTCGAGGAATTCTCCTGCCGGAGGAAGGCAAAGGGGTTGTTCTCGGAACACAGGGCCGCTTTGATCTAGCGATGACCGTCGCCAGCAGTAGAGTCTGGTTTCACCTCGGGCTTCATCCAACAGACAACTCCCCATCCTCACTCACTCAAGACCTGAACGCATCCTGGTCGGCTGGAACAATCTCTAGGCAGCTCCGGGATTGGAGGCTACCCGAATGGGCCAACCGTCGCAACAAGCACCTTGATTTCACAGCCGATTTTGACCATCACGAATTTTATTCCCGTTATATGCAGCTGGGTTGTACTGATGGTAAAGATGGCATTCAAAACTGGATTCTCGAACGAGGCTGGAGCAATGGAGAAGTCGTCATCGGCGAACAGAGAGTATGGATCCGAGAGGGGTCCTGGTGGGAGGCAGAGTCGCAGATTGATCTCAAGGCACAAGAGATTGAATCCAACAACATGCTTGGGAATATGGTCGGGGCTGGTGGTCTCGAGAGCGGTTATTCAACGCAAAGCCCCGGCATGGGAAGTGGATTTTTCCCTCCTCTTCCAGAAGCTGCCCCTGTAGACAGCCAAACCAACCTTTTGCAGAGGCATCAGAGCTCCGCGACTATGGGCGCTCGCAGCGCTCTTGGTGCTCGATCCATTGCTCCCACCAGCGCGCCAACCTTGCTGATGCGCCCTGGGGATTATGGCCTCGGAGTTAAGGGCGATGAGAATAAGGGAGTCACCTACTATGACGAGGAAACAGGTGGAAACAAGGTCGTCACCGAGCATCCCACTACAGCCACTAGAAGAATCTGGGTCGCCTTCGTCTGGGCTCTGACATTTTGGATTCCCTCTCCTCTTCTCAGCTTACTTGGCCGCATGAAGCGACCCGACGTCCGCATGGCTTGGAGGGAGAAGCTCGTCCTTGTCATGATCATTATTCTCATGAACGCCTTCATCGTCTTTTACTTTGTCTGGTTTGGTAAGCTTTTATGCCCGAACTGGGACAAAGCTTGGAACAACAAAGAGGTCTCTTACCATCAAGGCGATAACGATTATTGGGTCAGTCATCATGGTAGTGTCTATGATCTTTCGAAGTTTTGGAAGAGGCAGCACAGCGACACTTCTATCAAGACAACCACCGAAAACATGCAACCATTCGCTGGCACCAACATGGACGAGTATATCGTTCCTCCGATCTACATTGCCTGTCCGAACCTGGTTGATAATCCTACTCTCCAGCTGCGACCGAATAACACCATTACAAATTCTAATGCTCAGCACATCTCCGGCAATCTCACGACGCAACCCACAAGTAAATTGCATAATTCACGCTGGTATCCTGATGTCTTCCTTCCGAAGATGGACGAGTTCAGGAAGGGTGATCTCGTCTGGGACGCAGGGAAGATCAAGAGTGAGGGCCAAAACCAAAATCATATGTGGTTTACCTTGCACGACAAGGTTTATGATCTCACTGACTACTTTCACACGCTGGACGAAATGAACAACCTCGCTACGTACCGGTTTCTAGATTCAGAGTTGGAGAAGATGGTCACAAACTATGCTGGCACGGACTTGAGTTCGAATTTCGAAAACTCATTAAACGAGACCGCGCAGCAATATAACCGACAATGCCTCGATAATTTATTTTACATTGGAAAGACGGACTTCCGCAAAACTCCTAAGTGCCAGGTCAACAACTACATCCTGCTTGCATTCAGTATCATACTGTGCACAGTCATTCTCGTCAAATTTCTGGCTGCCCTTCAACTTGGATCCAAACGACGCCCGGCGAACCAGGACAAATTCGTCATCTGCCAGGTGCCTGCCTATACAGAAGGAGAGGACCAGCTAAGAAAGGGTCTCGATTCACTCACTGCTCTCGCCTATGACAACAAGCGAAAGCTCATCTGCGTCATTTGTGATGGTATGATTGTCGGTGGTGGTAATGATAGGCCGACACCAAAGATTGTCCTTGACATCCTCGGTGTTGATCCCAAGGTTGATCCCCCGGCCCTTCCCTTCAAGTCCGTTGGGCAAGGTAGCGAACAGCTCAATTATGGAAAAGTCTACTCTGGTCTCTACGAATTTGAAGGCAATGTCGTTCCATATATTGTTGTGGTTAAGATGGGCAAAGAGTCTGAGCAGAGCAAGGCTAAACCCGGTAACCGTGGCAAGCGAGACTCGCAGATCCTGCTCATGAGCTTCCTCAACCGTGTCCACAATCGCTCAGCTATGAACCCTCTAGAGCTAGAAATGTTCCACCAAATCAACAACATCATCGGTGTGGATCCCGAGCTTTACGAGTATTTGCTCATGGTCGACGCTGATACCATGGTTCGTCCTGATGCTCTCAATCGCCTAGTGGCAAGCTGCGCAAACGATTCGAAAATTGCCGGTATTTGTGGCGAGACAAGTTTGGAAAATGAAGAGAGGTCTTGGTGGACTATGATTCAAGTCTACGAATACTACATTTCCCATCACTTGGCGAAGGCCTTCGAGAGTTTGTTTGGTAGTGTTACTTGTTTACCTGGATGGTAAGTTGACCACATCTACTCCCGTTGTCGAGACTAACTGGTATAGTTTCTGTATGTACCGTCTTCGAACTGCCGACAAGGGCAAACCCCTCATCATTTCCGACAAAGTCATCAAGGATTACGCCGACTGCAACGTGGATACTCTGCACAAGAAGAATCTCCTCTCTTTGGGTGAAGATCGTTATCTGACAACTCTGATGACGAAGCACTTCCCGAACATGTCGTACAAATTTGTCCCGGACGCATACGCTCTTACAGCTGCGCCCGAAACTTGGAGCATTCTTCTCTCCCAGAGACGTCGTTGGATCAACTCAACCATTCACAACTTGGCTGAGCTCGTCTTCCTCAAAGATATGTGCGGTTTCTGCTGTTTCAGTATGCGCTTCATTGTCTTCATTGACCTGTTTGGTACCCTTATTCTTCCCTCTATCTGCGCTTACCTCGGTTATCTCATCTACACGATAACATCCAAAACGAGCCAATTCCCGATGTTCTCAATCATCATACTTGCTGCCGTGTATGGTCTCCAAGCTGTCATCTTCATCATCAAGCGACAATGGCAGCACGTTGGATGGATGATCATCTACATTTTGGCCTTCCCGATCTACTCATTCGTTCTGCCACTTTACTCATTCTGGAAGCAAGATGATTTCTCTTGGGGTAACACACGTGTTGTTATTGGAGAGAAGGGCGTCAAGCAAGTGGTTACTCAAGATGACGAGGGATTCGATCCTAAGAGTATTCCCCTCCAGCGGTGGGACGAGTATGCCTCTGCGAACGGCCTTCCAGGCCGCCGCGGTCTCGTTGGCCAGAACTCAGAGAAGGGTGCACAAAGCGCATATGACGATGATGGCTATGAAATGAACGACATGCAATCCGTCTACTCCTCCGTTAAGCCAGCTTCGACTATCATGTCCAACATGCACCACATCTCTCATATGCCACCACAATCCCCTGGCCCGTATCAGGGAATGCACGCACGACAATCTCAATACTCGAACTTTACTCGGTATCAAGATAGTCCGCAGGACAACGGTCGTTTGATGTCGATGGGGGGCATGAGCGATAATATTAACAACACTCCCTACGCTCAGCGAGGCAGTGTAGCCGGATTTCAGAGCTCCGATAACCTCATGGCCTCAACACCCCCTCTCAATCGCGGACGAAGCCCGCTCGGGTTCTCGGCCTCCCGGCCAGGCAGCACAGTCAACTTCCAGAACATGATGAACGGACCCAGCGATGCTACCATTATCGAAGTTGTTCAGGAATTGCTCCGGGGAGCTGACTTGGACCGGGTAACCAAGAAACAGCTCGTGGCTCTCTCCGAACAGCGATTGCAAACCCAACTTACGCACGAGAGGAAAATCTTCCTCAGCCAGCAGATCGACCTCGAGCTTGCGAATATGCTATAAACCACAAAAAGTAGCATTTGTTTTGCACCAGCAGTGTTGATTCCCTCTTTCACGTCCCCCACGACGGAGACTTTTTCAGGGTTAAAATGGATCGAATGCCATCGTCATTCCTTGGGCTGCATCGGCGTATGTAGCAGCTTTTTGGGAGTTTTGCTAAAATGGGGATGGTTATTGTTTTTTTTTTTGTCTTGGCCTTTTTGAGGCTGTCGCACGCATTTCTGTTTTTGTTATTTCTGTGCTAATGATAATAGGGTGGATGCAAGGTATATAGTTGAGAATGACAAATAGCTTAATACAGACATTAGAAACGAGTGTAAGATTTTTGCTGAGGTGGTAGTGATACTCAATCTTTGATGCAAGCAACTTTATAAAACACGTGCCGGACAGGGATGTCCGCGGGTCTCGCCTGAGCCAGGAGCTATGTGACGACAGCTCCGGTCGCACCGCAGCCTTCACCTTCAAACCCACCACAACCTTGAACCCAACCCCCCTCTCACAGCTCTCTCACAGTTCTCTTACAACACAATGCCTCCCCGCCGCATAGAACAAGACGAAATCGAAAAGTACTGGGAAATCTTCAGCTCGCTGTCTAACGGCTCAACACATCTCGATGGTGCGCAGGCAGCTCCAGTCCTCAAGAACAGCCACCTGAGAGATGATCAGTTAGAGAGGGTCTGGGATCTAGCAGATGTGGATGGCGACGGCAAGTTGGACTTTGAGGAGTTTTGTGTGGCCATGCGGTTGATTTTTGACCTGATAAATGGGGTATGGATAGCTAGCCTCCCGAACTTTCCCGACTTCCCCTCCTTCCCCACCTACCCTCCCAATGTACATATCGTTGCAGGAAATATTGGTGTTGATGGGATACGTTCGTAGGAATCCTCCGACGTCCCCGCCTCCCTCCCCGACTGGCTGGTCCCCGAATCCAAAGCCCATTTGGTGCAGGCCAATCGCGCCCTCAGCGGAAGCCAACCCCAGTTCGAGCAAATCGAAGACGAAGACGATACGCCCGGCCTCCGTGACGGCTTCGACTGGTACATGTCCCCCGGCGACAAAAACAAATACGAAGAAATCTACACAGCGAACCGCGACGGCCACGGCAATATCTCGTTCAACGCTCTGGACGGGCTCTTCGTTTCCCTCGACAACGTCCCCGACTCCGATATCCGCTTCGCATGGAACCTCGTGAACCCAAAGGCTGGCGAATCAGTCGGTAAGGATGCTTGTCTCGCCTTCCTACACATCCTCAACCAGCGAAGCGAGGGGTTTCGCGTCCCAAGAAGCGTGCCCCCTAGTTTGCGCGCTACCTTCGAGAAAGCGCATATCGACTACGATGTCGAGCGCACGGGTAGCCGATGGGCCGAACGCGGAGATGAAAACACGGCAACAGGTCGGAAGGCGAAATTTGGGGATGCATATCTCACGCGTCTGGGCGTGGGGGACCGAGCGGCGAATTACGGAACCAGGACCAAAGGCACGGATTTTGGCGGCCGCACGACAGAGGATTGGGAGGAGGTGCGGTTGAAGAAACAACTTAAGGAGTTGGAGGAGAAGATTGAGCGCGTGGAGAAGGAGGCGGAGGGTAGGAGGCATGGAAGGAGGGTGGATGCGAAACCGGCGCTTGTGAAGAGGGAGTTGGAGATGCTGCTAGATTATAAGAGGAGGATGTTGCGGGATATCGAGAGTGGGGATGGGGGTGCGGTGAAGGGCTTAGGCGGGATTCGGGACGAGATTGAGACGGTTAAAGAGCAGGTTGAGGGCTTGCGGGGACATTTGGATCGGAGGCAGGAGGTTTTGGCGGATTTGAGAAGGGCAATTGATGAAGAGAAGGTTGGGAGGTGAGGTAAGGTGAGGGGTCTGGGTTTGGGGAGCAGGCGCTGGCCTTTGTGTGCCAATAGAGGACAATTGATTCATGTGAAAATATTTCAGCAAGGCTTTTTCTTGGGGCTGCTAACGCTCACTTTCCTGCATCTGCGAAGCTATTTTACATGACATATCACACAGCGTTTTCAGTGGGTCCTGAAAATGGTCAGACTCCTGCTTCCCGTTGTTGGTCGAGCTGATTCTAGCAATAGGATCAAGGATTCGAAGTCCACCCGACGATGCTGCGGTAGGGGCGAAGTGCCTAACTGAGAGGTACGAAGATAGGTCGCCAAATGACCTCTCTCTTCAGCCTATTTAGGGGTATGCCTTATACAGTTGTGTGTAGTATGTCGAGGGCCTTGGTTTAAACGGATGCTATGCAATAGAGTCGTGCACATCTATTGCTGATAATGAAGGGAAGATTAAGAGGATCCAAATTTCCCGGCTTATTCAGGTTGAGTATGTTCTGTTATACTAGAGCCTAAGACGCAACACAGCAATGGACGACTCACTTCAACCTTCATTTTTTCAGCTTTCTCTCGCCACCTCACATTCACTTCATCAGCTTAATGTATTATTTACCACTATGACATGTCGCTTCTTCAGTCCTTCCAGTCGACGTCCTGCTCATCATTCTTAAACAAATTCCGGTATGACATAAATTATCTGCTCAATATCTTCCGAATTTTGCATCAATTCAATCGGCTCCTAGCGCCCCTTCTGTTTAAGTATATAGGAAGCTTGAGACGAACAAAGCGTCTCGGGTTGGAGAGGGTCATTGAAGCAAGACTTGAGTTGAGAGCACATGTTTAGACTGCCCCCTCAGAGAATATACCCTCAACCCCATGACACCTAAAGTGGACTTCCCGAATCTGCAATATCTGAGCTTAGAGTACAAGGGGTATTGACTTCTACAAATGTCAAAACTATCCTCAACGCAGTGAAGAGAATAACAATCGGCTCTTTGGCCAGTTCTCCGCTCTTCCTGTCGACCTGTCCAAGATCCGTTCGGTAGATCTGCACGCCATAATCATTGTAGACTTGTACTCAACCTTCATTGTTAAATTACTACCCTGGCTTCCTTAGATCACGCGTCTTCTAACTAACAAACTTGCTTCTCTTGGCAAGCCCTAGATCCTTGAGACCGCAATTCAAGAAAAGTCAGCAATCGCCGCACTCCAGTTACATGGGACCTATTTCTAGAGCTTCGAGCCGTCTCACATGCAGGGTCTTCTATCATCTTGGCCTTGCCTTCTCGAAATCGAGTGCTTTATCCCAGTCACAGTGCACACTACATCTCCACAATTTAGATGCTCGCACCTTGTTGCTCGGTCCAGCGTTTCCAACAGGAAGTAGTACGATTGATACTTTTGCTCCACCTACGATCACGTGAGGCAAACAAACGTAACTACATTTTTAACTGTTACAATTCAATTAATAAGGCTTAAAAGTGAGAAGTATACAATTAAGGTAGACTTTTTTAAGGTTGCAGTCTCTGACGCGTGTGAGGGCTGGGGGAGCGTGTTTGTGCCACTATTTACGTGTTAGTGTAGCCTTAGAGCTTGCCCTGTACTACAACAACCTTAGACGACCTTATCATAGCAAAAGATAACAGTCCCTTGTATGGGGAGATGGCACAGAGCCTTCAGCGGGGGGAAAAGGACAGTTACTTGTGACTGTAATCATCTCTCAGGCTCTACAATTAAAGCTTTGCAACTCTAGAAGAACTGGCTACGTCATAAGGTTATTTTTAGTGAATTAAATAACCTCGCGTGCCATATTAAGAGTAAGGGGGACCCTGCTACTCTAAAAGCTTTAACAGTTACGTTGTAACTTTTAGTGAAAAGTTAAGAAGTACGAGCAGCTTCAATCAAACCGTAACTCAATTGTATTGACCCCTGCTGTCAGGTGAAGCAAACAAAAGTATATGATAAGTGAGACGTAACTTGTCTAGAAAGCCTGAGTCGAATCGTACTACTTCCTGATGGAAACGCTGGCTCGGTCTGTCTCTCCATCTGCGTTTGAGAGCATACTTGGGTCTATTCGGAATACACTGCGACGCCTTGATTTTTTTTGATTAGCGAGACGATATCATATATGATGCGACTCTTATGGGCTTTAGCAGCTTTCCCCAACTTGAAGAACTAACTGTCAGCTCGTGCTGTGTACTACCTCCCGGAGACCCAGGTGTTGAGCGAGAAAATTTGTAGAAGCGACTCCCACCAATATTAGTGATGTAAAAGGTACGTCCTAGGTTCCCTTACCAAGAGAAGAAAAAGTAACATCTACCACGATAATATAGCACAAGTTCCCTGGTGAATCCGGATTCCGGAATCTTCTACTCTTGGAATGAAGTCTTCAGCACCGACGCCAATAGCGACACGCCCAACTTCTCAAGCACACTTTTCAAAACACGGAAAGAGCATGATTGCAATATTCCCTTAGAGCGATGCACTTGACTTCTTCAATTTACGATCCACAAGCCCACACATTTCCCCTCCCTTGAGAAAGTCACAATGCCCAATCCTACCGAGGACAAAAGTGGTTTTAAATGGCGCGGAATCGAGGATTACAGCGTTCCCCTGGAATGAGGAAATATCTTTGAAGACTTAGGTAGTGAAATGGACATTATAGTAAGCACTCCACTGGAAGAGGAAGGGCACTTAAAAGAAGGGCACTAGGGAGGCTGTTTGGAGAATACGGGATAGTCCAGGTTAGCGGGTTTCTTTGCCCGTGGGAGGTTAGTGAGGCTTGGAGATATGAGGGGGTCGTGGTTAGGAGGTTTGAACTTCGGGTTGAGCTGGAGGGGAAAGGAGTGAGGGTGATGACCAGTAAAGTTTCTCGATTGTTGGCACAAGCCATACACCTTGTTCCTAAAACATACTAAGAAACCTGACAAAGCATAAAATCATCTTTCAAATCTCTTGCTAGAACTAGAGAGAATGTTAAGAAAATGGCGATTCCTGTCTCCGACTTCACTCAACCTCTACCACCCCGTCCCCTACAAATCCCTCCTTAAATCCATCAAACAGGTAACTTCAACCCCAAACACCCCTCCAGAACCCTCAGCACACCATCCACGCTCGCATCCACCCTTGCACTACTAACCCCACACCTCTGCACTGGCTGATACGTTTTGATATGCGGCTCCAAGATCTGAGGCCAAGTACTATTACTCTCCGGCCCAATCCCAGGCTCCACGCTCAAGAAGTAGTTACCCCAAAGCGGGCCCGCCGCCCAGTACGTCCAGCCGATGAATTGCGGGTTCTGTTCTATCCATTTCAAGGTGTTGTTGAGAGTCTCAAAACAGGTGGGATTGGAACCCGCGCCGAATTCAGAAAGGAAGGCGGTGTAGTTGTTTTGGGCGAGCCAGCTAGTTACCGGGAGGAGATTTGCGGGGGCTGCGGTTGTGCATTCGTTGTGCGTGCCTAGTGGAGATATCGTATTTAGTAGAGTGTATTATGGAGCGTGGAATTTTTATTACCTGAGGTGTCATTATCGAAATACAAGTGCATATCGAATGCAAAATTGTTCATTGGATCTTTGATAGCAGTCAAAACATCCGAATTCGGTTTACACCCGGAACATGTCGAATTCAGCCAGCGTTGCGCGCCAGTGAATCCGTTGCCAGGCACGAGGATGAGTTGCTGCGCTCCGGATTTTCGGATCGCGTTGATGGACGCTTGGTCGTTAGCGAGTACGAGTTCGGTAGGCATGTCGTGTGGCTCATTCATTACTCCGAAAATTACATTGGGGTTTGATTTAAAGCGGTTGGAGAGCTCGGCCCAGAATGACGCTAGTTGCTCTGTAGTGGCTGCTTTAGGGTCTGATGAGTTGCCGATGATGGAGCCGGAATTCGGTTGCATTGAAGGGTCGTTGTAGCCTTGGAGAAGTCAGGAGGGAAAATTAAGTGGAGGTATTAGAGAAGAGCATACGCATGTAGTTGTGAGCGTCGAGGATGGCGTAGCCACCAGCCATTGTGATGAAGTTTACAGCATTTTGAAAGTTGGTAAAGTATGTCTCGTTGAATTTGTTCCCGAGACCAGTCTCTAATGGGCACATACGCTCCTAGACAGCCACTTGTCAGTCTCCCAAAAAATACATACACGCTAGAATGAATACATACCAGAAGGAACGTAACTCGAATGACGTTAACGCCTGAATTCAGGAAGAAGTTAATGGCGCTCTCGTTGATAAACTGGTAGTCAGTCCCAAAAGCCCCCGGAAGATTTTGAGTTGCGAACTCGCCGCCCGCTACATTATGTCATTTCCACGCCTTCAAGCTGCAATTTATGGAGCTTACCAGAATTAACACCCGCATATATAATCTTCGCGGCACTCTGTGCTGATAAAAGCAAACCAGTGAGACCAAAGCTCACGACCCGCGAAAGGAGCGTCATGATGAAAAAGAAAAGATTAAAGAATGAATGTAGAAAGGCACTGTGGAGGGCGAACGATGGTCAACAGCACTGGAAAGCCAAACCTCCTTGCATGTAGGGACCGAGAAAACCCGTTCTAAGTATCAAAGGGGTCCGGCATTCGACAGCCGAACCGCTGAAGCCGTAAGGCATCTGCATATCATTGCATGTGGCTTCTCTGACAAGCTACGTTCATGCGAAAGGGATATCCTGATCGGAAGCCTCAGTGATGGATGAGGCAGTTCAGATTCCACGTTCTCTAGGGTGATTGGCTTGCAATGTGGTGGTGCATGATGTGTAGCCTTATGAGACTATCCATCGCCCTGTCGGCCATTTCGATTTTTGGTGAAGCCTGGAGATCTATTTAGCCTATGGATGTGCGAAGAGATCAGTGGCGTGAAGCTTGTGGTGCATTGATGCAAGCTCCGTGCATGAAGGATTCTGAAACGCGGGGTCGGAAGAGTGCGGGCAAAGCTAGATAGAGATGAAGCAATGTTGTACGTCATTTTCAGGCCCTCGATGAAATGTTTGGGTCTTAGATTTTTAAATGAGAGTGAACAAACAATTGCGACTCTGAGAAATGAGGGTCAGCACTAGTGGCTTGACGTCTTACGGCACCCGAAAACTTCTAATTTGAGACAGAAGTCAGATGTTTCTTGATACTTCACTGATATTGGCAACATGTTTAGCAGGTCAAGATCTCGCGATTGACATTCTGCGACAGGTGAGAATCCCTGTTCTAGGCTTTCGATATCTCGAGAATATGTTGCTCTCGGATCAAATGTACTCATAGTCACTTGCGTGCAGGAGTTGCTCTGATAACAGTACATTATGTAGTCCATAATCAATAATAGGGGAACAAGAAACAGATTTAGGAAGCTGGGATTTTCATACGGATCAAGCCAGGGACGGTTTGCGTGACACGTGAAAGGTATTTCACGTGCCAATTCCACGACAATCCCTCCAGTCTTAACACTGATGTAGAAAAAGAATTTCTTTCTTTCTTGAAGCTTCATTTTACGCACTGCTAACTTGCACGCGCAATGTTGGCAATATAAGAGACTGGAGGAAGTATGAAAAATAAGAACACTTTGGCAGCTTACAGATTCATCAAGAATAGTCGTGTAGCCGACAGAAGAGTCACCAGACCCGCTTTAAGTCAAGTAGTCATACCTGGAGGCATCACTAGCATATCCGAATATAATCATCACCCATCGATCTATCCATTTAGAACCTTCAATTTTTCCACGATTCCTTTGATCAAAACTGGGTGCCTCGTCGTTGCAAATATCCAGGTCTTCGTGCGATAGTTTGGCGACTCAACGTTTTCATTCAGGTACGCAAACGATGCTTCTTAAACTAGCGACTTTATTGGAAATATTATTAGCGATATCCAGAGCTTATCTGGACAAGTATATCAAGAGGATTAGGTTTGGTATGAGAGCTCGCGAGAGCTGGAGGTATGTGCTTACATCGCGCCTTCCATTCGACGCTGATCATGGCAGGTCTCATTCAGACACTATCCTAGACCTAGACCCTGAATTCTGCCACAATGTCTTGGGATCCTGTAGAAGTAGCAAAGAGGAGAGTTATGCATACAAGTTGGGCTATGACCCTGTTATCTGCTTTGCAAAAGCCTTCCCTAATCTTGTCAAGGTGCGATAGAAGGGCGCAACGTATCTCACCGAAGAATCTTTGGTTGATTTCTTTATGCAATATCCGCATATTCACTACATCTAGTACATAGTGTGTCCGGAATACAATCGCAAAACCCAGTGCTTGGTAGAAGCTGCGATTGATCTACTGCAAGAGAGGTCCGACTTGCAAAAGACTAAACGAGTTGGATTTGGCAAATCAAGAGTCTCAAACTACTGTCAAACACAGGCTGTTGAAGAAAGCTCGAGGCCAAACTTGACACATCCTAAAAGGATCTTCATGATATTTTCACCTGGCGCAGTGGCAAGGAGTCTTACTGTAAATCCCTATACCCAAGTCATCTTATCGGTATTCTTGTTAATGTTAGAGCCCGCTAGCAAGAGAAATAGGTGCTTGACTGTTGGTAAAGCTTGCTAGTCGTCTGGCTCAGATATACCTTTCATGGCTTTAGGGCAGGTGACCTCATGTGAACTAGGTCTTGCATGATAAAGCCTTCGGGGGGTATCTCAAACTTCACCCTGATAGTAAGAGCGCGAATATTGCGTATTAAACAGAAAGGGGTCTAAGAGGATCTAGTGGCTAACCGCTATCAGTCAGACAGAGTACTATAAAATACCACAATCCTAGAGTAAAGAGATTCTGCAGGGGTCGGTCTAGCCGCAATCCAGAAGATTGGCCAGATTCCGCAAACCCGTCAGGGCTATGGTTACCAAGGCAATACCGCAGCTGTCTAGTAAGTATGAGCTGATCTAGTCTCCTAAAAAGCTAAAGGGCTGAGCTGTCAAGGTAGTGTTTGTGTTAAAAACGCTGTGACTTTCACTAGTTCTGTAGCTCAGATTCATGCGAGCACTCATTCATGAAGGTCCGAACTATATCGTTAAATGGGGAGACCACATAGCGCAGGCTTGATACAAACCCCAACAGGACTCTAAAGTGGCGATAAGATGGTATAAGGAGGCCCGTCCAGCATAGACTTTCCAAAGTGATGTTAGGACTAGATATCTAGATAGAGAACCAAGCCTATACGCACCCATAATTCAAAGTACTTACTTCGCACACCACCGGCCAAGGCTGCCTAACATATGGTAGCTCAGTATCCACGATCTAATATCTATTCCTCTGAGTAGCCTGACAATGGTGTTGCTCCTCTTTCAAGGCTGAAACCCTACCTTTGAAAAATGGCATTCAGTTGCTTCGCAACCCGATTGTTACCCCAGATCTTACCACGCGGTCGTGCGACTACACCAAACGTCCTTAGCATGTCTCTAAGGGTCGGCCGCAACAAACTGCGGGAGCTAGAATCTGGGCTCAAAGACAATTCTCAACAAGCTCCTAAATCACGGAACCGCCTGGGAAACCCAGGCGACAATCACGCAAGGCAACTGTCGAGACCCCAATGACAAAACACGACGTTGAATTGAAACCTGATTTAGGCCCGTCAAGTGCACTAGGGGGCACTGCCAGATCTCTGCTATTAGCCAGAAACCTGACGTCCGTAGTTCCTGAAACGGCATCGAATTAGCAGGCACTACAGACACCTCAGGCAACCGCTAATCAACAAGAAACCTAAGCCACCGACAGTTCCGCAACCGACAGTTCACCAAGGGCATTCTGGGTGGATTGGATGGGAGGTGGAAGTCAATCATGGTTCTTTCTTTCCACTCCCCTTTCCTTCACACTACTACACTTCCTGTTCTCCTAAGCGATTCAATGTCATGGAAAGCTTCCTACACTAAACACTGTTCTGCAGGGGGGATTTGCTAGAACTAGTCACAAATGGCATAGGCTTATTCTATATACTGGATAAGAGATAGGAAACGTGTCGGAACGTATTTGCTCTCATATAATTATCATTATATATGTTGCTTGTGTATTTGGTGGTAGAAGTTGATTATGGAAAAGTGGTGTGGGGAAAAGTATATGAATGCCGAAGCCTTATTCCTCTAGGCTTGGTGGAAGCTAGGAGCAGGTAAAACGGCTCTCGACTAAGGTTTCATTGTGGGGGCCATAGCATTCGGTGCCTTTCTATATTGCAGTTCATCGAAACCTCAAAGCTCGTGGAACTTCAAACCTTGAATGGCAACAAATCATGGTTATTGACCTTAGATACCGAGGAAGACAATTGAAATTCGAATAAGTCCATACACATGATATGCGGCGCGTAACTATTTATCCAGAAATTGAGGCCCATCGCTACCACCCGTCATTAAGCAACCTAACTCTCCAAGACGCCTGCATCTCTCAACAGTTGAATCGCATCAGCAGTCCATTCCTGGCAGCGTCGGAGTGGTATACTTGGATCGATGCGCGTCGGTCCATTGAATTGTTTCGGTGGAGGTGGGAGTGTCTCGACTATAGACTGAATTCTATCAAAATTGGCTTCGGTAACCGTACCAATTTCCTGCTGGCCAATACATGTCTCTGATTCTTCAAATTTTTTGGCCCACTTGTGGTCGAATGCCATTCCTTGTTGGATGTTCCCGGTAACCTGGAAGACGTATCCGGCTCCGTCTGACTCCGTTTGGACGAAGATGACGTGGTGGTTTCGCGCTGCGCCAATATTTTCCCTTAGGTACACAGTGTACGACATGATGAAGGCAATAACAAAGCCAAGAATGTGATATTGAAGCTGGAGCATGTTAGTATTTGAGGATGTGCAAGAACAGTTAGGACGCTTTACGAGTTAGGCAGGCTGCGGTGATAAAGGTAGAGGTTTTACGTATGATGTTTCGAGAAGTATGGCTTTGATTTTGTTCTATGTCGGACACATTGAAATGCTATTATATTAGTTCTTAGACTATCGTAGTAGAGAGTTACGCTGGTAACATTGTATTAACCGCCAGGATGTGATATTTCTAGACATATGAAACTGCTGTTAGAGGTGTATACTAAATTTCATCAGCTGACGCACGGTCTCGCCTAGCGCACGCACACACTAGATTTTGCTAATTGTTAACATTTTAGCAACTCTACTAATATAGACTATATTAAGGACGCGCTTACAGATTTAAAATTGCTAAAAACTAAAAAAAAAAAAGAATAAATATTACTATAATAACTAGAACTTTTACACAAGCTAAATTGCAAAGGTAGAGCTATTAGGCTTCCTATACGCTTCCGCAACTAGATAGTAGCTTTAAATTAATTGCTGTTATTAACTTCCTAATCTACTAAATATTTAGACCTAGATTTAGTTTATATGCAGCTCTAGAGCTTCAAGTTGTGGTGCTGCTGCACGGCAATTTCCGTGCGTCAAGGCAGACCATGCATTGGCTGATGAAATCATCAAATAATACACTATCTCTACCGCCAAGCCCTCTCTCCTATTGGTCTGGATATAAGCCGGTTATTGATCTGATTGGTAGAAAATCAAATAACTAAAAAGCTTTGTTGTTCTACGTTTTTAAGCTTCAAGTAATCATTCTGCTCTGCTACATGCTTAATCTAGCCTTCTTTTTTCCCTATCGTGATTGAAGACAACGCGGTCGGGGGTGTTAAAATCACTTCTGCTGCGTGGTTTTTCCCTCCAAATATGATTGGCGCTGCCAAGACCTTCCAAGCAAAGCCCGTTATCCTTCCTAATCGGGACTAGCCACTTTCTTCCTGGAAAGGAAGGATAATCTGCTCGTCTAGTATGTTCATGGCCAGCCAAAGGGTTCAGTAACGATGCGAGTGTTGCTGCCGCAGCAACATGTTGGATTTGCCGCTATGATGTGCCATTTCTGTCAGTATAGGGCTCGTGGATAAGCTTTGTGCTTCGTGCCGTTGTCAATCAGATGGTGGGTTGTGGCGTGGTTGGCTTGTCATGCCGCAGCAACAGTGCTTCATCGCGCGTGCCAAATTTATGTTCCGTGCCAGTTCCGGATAGGAGCAATCAGATCCAATAAAAGGGGAAGGCACAACGAAGGAGGTAGCGAAGTCGCTATGACTTTAGACTTCAGCAGGCCTGGACGACATAGGAAGACACCGCTAAAGCCAAGGTTACCAAACTGAAAGACACTTCCTGTGATTTAGACCTTCAGGAGCGGAGCAATTGAGTAATAAGCTTATGATAGGTTCCTCTCTCTAAGGCGTCTGTCTAGCGTAAAGGAGTATGTGAAAGTGAAAGAGGGTCGGATTACGGCTGTGGAGACGATTGGCCTGCACGTGACATGCATAATGGCCCGTGCGGTCTCTCACTGGCACTCGTCCTGCCCCTATTGCACGACCGTTAGTCGCATCAATTTTTTGCCCTAGCTTTCTTCGACAGTTTCTATGATGGCCTCTTTCAGCCTACCATACTTCGCTGATGAAGCAAGCCTTCCTGCTATATTGCCCACAGTGGAAGAGATCGAATCTGCAACAGAAATCCTCAATGAGCGCATGGCGGCGGCGTCAGGCAGAGTCGTCGGAATTGGCGAACACTTCATTGTTAAATATGGTGCCTTTGTCAATTTACAAGAGGGAGAGACAATGCTCTTCCTAAAACAGTCAACGACTGTTCCGATACCTCGCGTCTATGCGTTATACCAGAGGCCCGGACCCGACAAGCACACCTACAGTTACATCGTCATGGAGCGCATCAAAGGTCCAACACTGGCTTCCGTTTGGCCAAATATGGGTCGAGCGGCAAAAGAGATAGTATCTTCGAATCTCCGCCTTGTTTTTGAAGAGATGCGGAAGTTGAAGTCACCGGGAGGATACTGTAGCTTTGGTCATCGTGGATTACTGGATGGGCTTTTCGAGTCAGAGGATCACTCAAAGTCATTCAACGGACCATTTGATACCGAATCGGACCTGAATGAAGCTATGATTGCCAGATACGTCAAAGAAGGCCTTTCTATATACAAAGCAGAGCACTTCTCGCGCGCCTTTAAGGATGTCTTCCAGAACCACGCCCCAGTTTTCACGCATGCAGATTTCCAGCGAAAGAATATCATGTTCCGCAATCCCCTAGCGACAACAGAAAACGGCCAAGTTCAGTGGGACACAACGGACCTAGAGCTTGTGATCATCGACTGGGAGTTCTCTGGTTGGTATCCCAGCTATTGGGAGTATTCAAGAGCGCTGTTTGGGTGCGGAGCATGGAGGGATGACTGGAGCTACTGGATCGAGCAAGCCCTGAAGCCGTTTCGATCCGAATATGCCTGGGTACTACTATTTCTCACAGAACTGTTTTCGTAAGAGCATGTTCAATTTTGACATCTTGCAGTTATATACATTCTGGTCTCCTTATGTATGAGCCGATGCAGTGGACACACCCGGAGCTGGAAATCAACAACTCAAGATGTTCTACGTTCTACTAGGCCCTCCAAGTCGGTGGGGTTGGTATTCAACCTACAAGCTGGTCTCATCGAGCGTGAAATTACATGCGGCAGCTTTTTCGGCACTGCACGCCACTGCATGCCACTACATGCCACGATGGAATGGCCTAGAGAGAAATTACCACCTAGAATATTATTGAGGTGGAGGGTTTGATGGATTGAGGTGCATACTACATCCCTTCTGACGCAAAATATTTGAATCAGATGTAAACCAAAAAGAAGTACATGTCAGAGTTGAGGTTAGTAATTAGGCTCTCTCGCAGTAATTAGGTGAGATATAGCCTTGGGTGCACCCTCCAAGTTCATAACTTATTAGAATTAGGTCACAGAGGGATCCATCGCTGCAAGATGTATGCAGCTCAAGCCTTCGCTTGCACTAACTCCGATATCACCGACGAGTCGTTCTTTAATAATGTACCAAACGTGCTTTAGCAAGGTTCAAGAAGCGCCGGGATGCCATTAGGGGCCTGGCATTGATCCGCTGCACCACATCCAGTTGATTTCAAGAGAATGACTGTAAGTACGCCAATGCATTAGGTTCTTACCTGTAACTAGATGCTTGAATCTGTGCGTCCACGTGAGAGTTCGTTGTTTACCTAGGAAGTAGCAGCCCTAAAGGTATTAACAGGAGAGAAAAAGACAAGGGAGGCAAGGAGTTTATTTGTGTTAAACCCCCCTATGCGTAAATGCTACATACTACCTCACACCAAATAAATTTCCTCCGCTTTCTTCCCTTCCCTCTCCATTGCCTCCACCAGCTCACCATCCATTCCACCTGGAAGATACACCTCTCCTGCAATAACCCATAACATTTTCTGTCCCACCCCCTCAACCTCAATCTTACCTAAGGATCTTAACGCAAATGGCGTGCTCGCACCCATAAGAACCATCACCTCATCACCTGCATACGCATCCGCAGCCATACCCACATATCCCGTATTAAGCTCGATATACCGTCTCAGATGGCCCACAGATCTTACAGCGCGCTCCGCGTCGAAAATTCTCCTGTAAGTTTCTTCATCCTCGAACTCCTTGCGCGAAAGAGGCTGATAACCTATGTTAGAACTCTTTTGCTTGCTCATCCATGTTCGCCAAAGCTTGATGGAACCAATGTCTTCGGCTGTTGCCCTGCGGAACATCGTGCTGCCGACCCGAGCCGCGGAGTTGGCCGACGATGCAAAGAAAGAGTCCCCGCAGATGGCGCGGCATATGGCGTCGTAGTGCGTTCCTCCGCCTACATATGGTCTCAGGAGCTCCTCAGTCGGTTGAGCCGGGAGCGGGAACTCTCGTTTGTTAAGGTTGAGGGAGGCATTTCCATGGACGAGGAAAGGCATCATATAATTCGGCCCACCAGGTGTACTATCCTTGATTTTCCCTGCTCGGATCGCTGACACTGTGAGTACGGCTGTCCTAACCATGACTGGAGAAGAAGTAAACAGCGGCTTCGGTTGGAGAGCCGGGCGGCCTCCGCACGCGTCGAATACAACAGCTCGGTGCAATCGTTCGGCGACAGCGTTTTCGTACCCTGCTTGATTCATGCACGCCCAGTCAGGTGCCCAAGAGGAGAACATTATTTCGACAGGCTGGGGTTCCCCTTTTTTCAAGATCTCATCTTTTTTGCGTTTTGCTAGGTTGCTCGCGTTACGAGGCAAGTCAGTGTAGTATAATAGACCTGATTTGACAGCATCAATATCAATGAGATACTGCCTCTTCTCCCTCACCTTCTCAGCCTTGAATGCCAAGAAATCCAGAGAGTCTGTTATCCGGATCGAACATATAGCGATTTGCTCGTATAATGTCCGTGCAGTAATGTTGTAGTTAGGGACAACAGGTTCGCCATTACCCCAGTGTCGAACAAGCCCAAGCAACCCATAGATCTTATCTCTCGCGTCCGTGGCTTGCTTTGGATAGTAAAGACGGAGAAGCTTTAGAAGGGTTGTTTTCTCCTTTTGTCGCCAGAGTCTGTCACTTTCAACTATAGTCAACATCTTGTGACAGTAGTCATTCAGACAAGCGAACTCATTCCCGACTGGCAGGACATCTTTGCAGCATGATGTCCTGTGTTGCTCGAGGTGTTGGGCTGCGTCGGCATACATTTTAAGGGGAGCTGAGAATTGACCGAAGACTACTGTCACCTTCTTTGGAAGAATGACTTCCTGGACGACCCAGATGCGATCCCACTAGGTAGCTGTCAGTTTATCATTATTCCAACCCATTGAACGATGACTTTGAGAGGGGAGCTTCATTCACATACCCATGGCTGCACTATCAAGCTATCAAATGCCCTCATGCATATCTTTTGAATATTGAGATTAGTCCACAATGGAATTTCGTTCAAATGAACGTCACCAGCTAAGAGCCTAATTAAGCACATGGCAAACATGAGCTCATTTAAGGCGTGTTTGTCTGGCAAGTCTGGATACGTATCACCATACGCCAGCGCATATTGCAAGATCGTATTGATGCTCGGTATGTCATTCGCACCACCCGTCCACGTGAATAGGCTGGCATCCCATGGTTCGTTTTGGGCCTCCTTGGGTTGAGGCGTTTGATATAACACCGGCTCCCCTAGATAGACTATAACTTCTTCTGGATTTTGGTAGATGACGCGCATCAGTTGGACTTGGTGCATACGCTCGTCCATGTCGACTTGATTAATGCATATTGCATCGATCCAGATTGATACTTCAGTCCCTAGCGTACGAAGGCGTTGGAGTGCGCGTTTGAGATTACGTGTGACCTCGAAGCGATGGCCGTTCAATGTAATAGGGAGTGTGTCTTTCGGATCTCCCCAGGTGTAGGACAGCGCTCTGTAGACTGGCTTGGCGTCTAACGAGACTATAGTGAACTCGCAACTAACGTTGAACTTTGGGTCTACTTGAGGAGATATCTTAACGACTCGTATCTCATTTGTGTCCTTGTTTAGTGGACTATAGATTCTACCATGAACACTGCCTATTGCGTGATCAGAATTCCTTTCGTTCATGTACTGCCATTGGAAGCATACCATGGGCCAGAGCTTGACTCTGTAGTACAAGCTTGGAAGAGCTTCCTCTGGCACTTACAGTCATCCTAGTAGCCACTGGAGGAGTGGGTCTGGAAATGGTAGTAGTTTGGGTTGTTGATGAATCTTGCCTTTTGGCTTGGCTTGTTCGTATGTCACGATAGGCCTTGATTGTGTGCCTTACTGTTGACTCCGGTAATGTGGGTATACGTTGGATGAATTGGGCTGGAACGCCCACAGATCTAGCCTCTTCTTCCAAGGACATTGGCTCCGGCACTACCTCAGGCTCGAAATCTGCTAGGAGGGTTGAGGGTTGAGATTGATGAGATGGCGCCTCAGCGGACCTTTGGGGGAAAGAAGAAGTCTTTTCGAGGATAGATTTTGTGTTTTCATCAATACGATTTATCGCTTGTAAGACATCCTTCAAACTCGGCTGATCAAGAATTTTGTCTACTAGACTGAGAATGCTGACCGAGAGTGGATCGAAGACATGGTGTGGAACCGCATCCTTATGTTCCGCAGTACACTTTCGGATTGTTTCGATATCGACCCGTATGTTACTCGCATGGTCGGATACGGAAGAAGCTTGCTGGCCAACATTTGGCCAAGTTGGTTCTGACATAATGACTTGTGTTCGATAATTTGTTAGACAAAATCCCTTACCGGGACGATAAGAGGTAGGATATATGCTGTCGAAAGTTTCTGCTAGGTAAGCTCGGAATTATAATTCGCCGGGAGCACGTCTATCAGGGGCTGCTCTCAGGGGCTGCTCTCAGGGGCAAGAGCTGAAAACGAGTTTCAGATCTGCGGCTCGAAGTCGAATCCGAATTTTACGAGGAAGAACACGAGGTAAGGACCGGCTATCGGTATTATGCATATGAACCTCGTCCAACGCTTCGAGTTCCCGTGATCTGCAAAGGGTCGAAAATGAGCAACCTCATACATATGCAGGCCAGCATTTTGAGCGGAACTTTCGCTGAAAGGAGTCTCTTGCGCTGAATCGAAACATACAGCGGATAGGACATATGCTTGCATCGTGATTTACGGCCGTCCACGTGTTACATCTATATCCTCAACGAAGGTTTTGGTAAATAGAAATCTGAAGGTGAGTGCATTATCTTCTCTTGCATTCCTTAGGCTCGCCGATGGCGTTTCCATCGACCCAGCGAACGAGAATAGAATAGTCGTGGATACTCTGTCTCATTGGAAGACGACAATGAGAGAAGAGCGCGAGCTTACTGTTAAAAGAAAACGAAGGGTTGCTTGATGGCTAAACGAGACGAGTTGACGAAAGTGTGGGAGGATTGACGATCGAGAGCCGCTCAGCCTGGCAAAACGCGCACCTCAACGTGTCTTGGCGGGGTATGGTATCTTCATATATCTTCCCGATCCGGTAGAGCTTGCGAATCTTATATCTCGCACTTCTCCTCTCACAACTCCTTCCTTCGCCCTATGATTAAATCCATGGATAGTTTGTTCTCTGCATTCAGCGGCCGTAAGTTTGTTTTAGTGGCATTCAAGCAGCACGAGATCAAAAGGTTCACTAACAAGTTGGAGATGTAGGACGTCAAAGATCACAAGTTGAAGTATGAGACGTACGCTTCACGTCCAACGCCCATCACCGGGAATTCGATTTTGAAGGTGACCGGAGCAGTTTCATTCAAGTGTTGGGCATTCTGACGTGTCATTCGTCTGCGCCCCAAGCGCTCTTCGAGGCTGCCTCTCAAGCCTAACCCATTGTGGTTAGTATGAGACGGAAATAGGAATTCCAACACCTCTCCCTACGCGTCAAACCGGGGCAGAGCATGACTTACATTGCAATCGAATACTGATACTTAATAGAGACATTCTACTGCTGAGGTTGTGTTAAATCTAAGGACGTAGCAATTCCGAAAGGCCAACACCTATCATGACAGCATCTAGCACCAACAGCATCAACAGATCTTCGCTCCTTCGTGCCGAGACGATGAGCAACGCTGATTTATACTGCGTTACACCACCCGCATATGCTATGTCGGCAGCGGAAGATGAACAGACACTCGATGCGGAAGCTGTTGATGATTCGAAGACGGGCATTCCAGGCCCTTCAAACTTCCAAGAGTCTCTTCATATACCAGAAGACGAACCGAGAACGCTGGCACCAAGCACACCAAACACGCTATCCCCAGTTCCTACAGAGCTTCCTCCAGTGTATTTCCAGGAATTGGCTATGAATGCTTCAACTGCGCATGTAAGAAAATGCACTCTGCTTCCAAAGCGTCCAGCAGTGTGGCTTGTGAAGAAGAGGAATTTGGCACTGTCCCCGCTTGCAGCTGAGGTTCTAATCAAGGAGGGTCTAATAAGAAGTAAGGACCTTGACCTGTGAGTGTAGCCATTTGGCGCAGATAATAGAAGATGTGACTGATCAAACACTCCAGTATCTCGCAATCAGCTGGTGTTAAAAGAGACCCTTCGGATCCCATGTCCGCAATTGCATTCGCCACGTACGATACTGTCGGTGATGTGTTGTTGGGTTTGGTGGAAGGACCCGTAGAGGCATATCGACAATTTGGAATTGCCGACGTTGAGCGAAAACGAAGACTAGAAGAAGCGTCGGTTACCAATTCCAAATCTAAGGTTGAAGTAGACGAGTCTGCTCCATTTTTAGCATCAGGTGTGAGGAGGAAACCTGTGGCTGGAATCGAACCACCGCAATCAGGTGTTGGTTTTGTAGACCGCACCCTAGATCCGACAGTTGAACAGCCAAGTCATGGAAATTCGTCTCCAGCTCTGTCTTCCAACGCATATAAACAAGTAGCAATAAGCACGGGCAAAGGTTTTGGACGAATCGTTGGAGCCGGTGTCAAAGCTCCCATGACGTTTACCCACAACTTAACACGAGGATTCCACAATGCGCCAAAGCTCTATGGCGACGAGGTTCGAGAGTACGAGAACGTAACCGATATCCGAAGTGGAATAAAAGTCAGCGCAAAGGTAATCAATATCCACTCTGGTTTCCAGACCAACCCACTGATAAGAGACAGGGTTTTGGGTACGGTGTGTATGATGGTATTAGTGGGTTCTTTATTCAACCCCTACAAGGAGCACGAAAAGACGGGGCGTCGGGCTTCGCAAAAGGGTTTGGAAAAGGCATTGGCGGTATGGTATGCAAGCCAGCTGCAGGTAAGAAATGACTCGTTCGACGCGTGATATGCTTGTGAACTGACCCGAGAATCAGGTATTTGCGGGATTGTTGGCTATACATCAGCAGGCGTGTACCGGGAGATCCAAGGCTTGAGACCTGGCGGAAATCGCTCAGTTACGGAAGCCTTCAAGTCTCAAGGGGAAGTAGAATATAGCCAAGCCCCGGATCAGACCCGTGTGGAGGTTGTAAAGAGGTGGTGCCAGGTAACAATGCGCCAGGGTCACTCATAGAAGCGAAGGGGCTCGGGGAATCGCACAACAAATTTATACCCGTAAGAAATCTTCTCTAGGCGGAGAGCCTTCTGAATAGTATTCTCCTCGAATCTCGATATATCTTTCTCTTGGTTGTTGAGACGATTCTCTAGCACTGTCCCATGTGTGAGCCCCAGTGATTCTCCTCATTAACCACACCATAATCGGCCTATGGCGAGGTCCTAAAACCGTGTGCTGTTTGTATACAAGATGCGCGTATCGTGCCGATTATCCGAAGTGCGATAGCTAAAGCGTTATGTTAAAGCTCGCTTTCGCATCGACCTTGCAGCACGTCTCCCATGTGTTTGAGCATCCAGCAGCCGCGAAGCATTCAGCATATCAATTTGCCCCATGCATCCATGCCTCCGAATGCGGAATTGTGTGCGCTCAGAGATTGATTGACCGCGTGGTCCCGCTTCTTGGGAAGAGTTGCTCCGGAAGAGGCTCTGAACCAAATATGCATGGTCGTGCATACAGGCTGTAAGCGGCTAGGATGGAATTTTGACACACAACTAAGGTCTGGATTAAGAACCTAGAACACTTCGAGAAGGATACCAGAGAACTGGGTATGAACGGGCGGCCAGTGCGAACCAGAGACTTGCCACTTTTCTCAGACCTTTCCGCACCATGCGCAGATCGACCCGAAATATCGATCTCCTGACCGGCTTGAATTACGGGAGATGTCCTGCCCAGCATGTAAAATCTAGAAAGCGCTATAATACGCACGTTATATCACCTCAGAATCAACTCACGACAGATTCTGCAGGACGCAGCCAGCCACTGTAGGTGTGGTGATAGTCTGTCTAAAATTCAGCCACAAGAGGCAAAGAATTTGAAGTGATGCCTTGGTATGGACATATTGGTCAGGATTGACCAATTAAATACCCTGTGTTGATTGAGTAGGCTTAACAGACAGGGATTGTGCTCACCAGCATGATGACCCACGCATCTGGAAAGGTACACATTGATGAATACAATATATATCCCATTGCCCGAACACGAGTCGAATCGTCATCGAGCATTGCGATAACAACCATGGCAACAAATAAACACGGCTTCGAGACCATTGGTGATATACCGACACGAGTGGAGATAACCATTACCATGGTTCCGGCAGCGAGACATGTGTTACGGGTCTGAATGGTCGTCAACAGACAGAAGCCTTTATTTAGAACTAACTTCACTCATCTCGTGAGGACTACGTCGGCTCACTGAAAAGGGAAGTCGGTTCGAAAGAAAAAGCCTTCCATACGTCGTCCTTGGAGACATGCTGTGTGCACAATCATGCTATTCGCTTGTCTGTAGGCCCTAGAGTTCCTGTATCACTCCTGCACAATGTAGTTGGAGATACCATTGTACATGCAGCGTTATCTTAGCACAAAAATCTCATATCATGGAGGATGATCGAAATCCCACACTTGTCCCTCCGAGCGACATCCAGCCGCCTACAAACGACTTCTAGAGGACTGAAGGGGTGGAAGTCGGCTTTGTTGAGTGTCTGCTCCCCAGTCGCGCACGTGCATAGGAAGTGTCTTTGTTCCAGAAGCCTGGGTGGACACTTTCGCTTCATGATTCCGCATAGGTGTACCAGACGTTCGGATGAACACGCTCCGAGTCTTAGGAAACACCAGTTATGAACATCACTCCAGGTACAGGGTACGAGTATAAATTATTTTAAGTTGAGTCGTCCTGAAGGGGGGCAGCGGGAGCAATATACCATGCCTTCTTTGATCGAATACCTAAGATGGGTATTTCTGTCAAATATTTTTAGAATTCATTTTAACTGGAGCGTGAGGGCAGAAAGGAGGTGGAGGAGAAAGACTCACGTTTGCATTGGCTATCGCCGTGGGGAGCCGGATTGGTGCCAAGATGGATATGCTTGCATATCTTCATAGTGGCAGATGGCATTCCAGTTGAATGCACACAACCCACGCTACGTAAATGTACTGCAAATTATTACCCATCCCTGACCGCCGCGCTGGGGTGAGACCGTGAAATAACTTATCAGATGTGCTGCTCAAAATGAAGCATCCGGAAGGGGGAAAGTAGAGACAGGAACAACACCTACATTATCCAAATGTTAAGCTTTGACCCAGTTCATTCACGCTCTTCGGGTGCCTGGACACTTTCGAGTGTCCGAGCGTTTAATAGTAGTCTAGAATTTTAGTAACTTAGAACCCACGCTCTTTGCCCGAGTAAGGCTGTGTAATAGGTGTTTTTGTATCTACTATCGAGCAATTTGCGTCCTCGTGCACGAAATTGATCCATGCATGTAGTCCAGAAGGTGGGAATAACGGTCGACCTAGGAACCTTTGTAGAGGTCCGTGTCCACGACACCGTCGAGAGAAGTTATTAAATCATATTAAAAGAACTTCTTCCACTGGATATCTTGACCCGCGTTCCGGAGTGCAGGATCGCTTCGGTGATTCTAACACTGGGTAAGGTCAATACATAAGTGTCTCGCATCTCCGAGGGAAAAAGAGCATTCCTCACTACTACCTGCCCCTCCCTTAACTTCCTACCCTAACATCTTGTCTCTCGGGAATCGGCTATCGGTAGCCCGACGCTAACATGAAGACTATATTCCCAGCCTTCCTCGCCTCGGTCTTCTTCGACATGGCGCTTGGCGCCGGCAGTGCAACCAAAGGCACGGGAACAACAACAAGGGGATGGTCTTGTTGCAAGAACTCCTGCTCGTGGAGCAACAAAGCTCTAGTCAATAGTCCCGTTATCAGCTGTGATAACGTTGACAATCTGCTTAACTCTCCGGCTAGGAGAGATGGATGCGAAAGTGGAGGAGGCTCCTTTGCTTGCTCTGATCTGAGCCCGTGGGCCGCGAGCAATGACCTGTCTTATGGGTTCGCAGGCGTGAATATAGCAGCCTCCAATGAGTCGGCATGGTGCTGCTCTTGCTATCAGTAAGCAGAGGAACAATACTCTTCAATTCATAGCATACCAGCTAACTACGCAAAGGCTTACATTCACATCTGGCGCCGTAAACGGGAAGCAAATGGTTGTTCAGGTAGTGAACACTGGTTCTGATCTTGGCAATGACCAATTTGACCTAGCCATCCCAGGAGGTGGCCAAGGAAACCTTCAGGGGTAGGTTTGAGGCATGATTGCGTTTGGCTGCGAATCTAACGTGACTAGGTGTACAAAAGAATTTGGAGGAACAACTGACTTGTGGGGTGCTTCATATGGAGGAGTAGCTCATCGCGAGGACTGTAACGCGCTTCCAGACCCACTGAAAGCTGGATGCTATTGGTATTTGATCCCTCTCTCCTTCCTACTATCACCCCCCACTGATCGTAACAGGAGGTTCGATTGGTTCCGGAACACAGATAATCCCACTGTTAGCTGGGAGAAAGTGACGTGTCCAGAAGCACTGTCCTACGTATCTGGGTGCCGACGAAATGACGATCCTGTACCCGGAAAAGTGACCCCGACGCCCACAAAATCGGCTCCAATTGAATCCGGGACAGTCGCGCAGGGTAGCCAATGCGGCGGAGCGACGTATAAAGGCCCTACTGTTTGCGTGTCAGGGACAGTCTGCACATATGTGGATGAAAACCATTACTACTGCCTCCCGGATCCGGCAAGTACCCGCTCTACTCCAACTGTTACGAGCAGCACACCGATACCGACAATTGCCCAAGTTTGGGACCAGTGTGGCGGCAACGGCTGGCCAGGACCTTACCGATGCAAGGATTCCCAGTGTGTGAAGTTCGATGACTGTAAGTTAATTCCGAGAAAGCCACACATGTCTGACTATCTTCAGTCTACTCGCAATGCCAGCCATACAGCTCTGGAGGAGGACAACCAGTCGTAACCTCGAAGCCACAATCCAGTGCACCAGCCACTTATCCATGGGGCGGCCAGTGGACTCGTCCACACCGGACATGGCCAGGCCAGGTGCCCAACCAACCAACCTCAGGGAAACCGACATCCGCCAACCCGCCTGCAGCAACAGGTTATGCTCAGTTGTACGATCAGTGTGGCGGTCTAACATATACAGGTACAAAGAATTGCGCGCCGGGCTTGAAATGCGTGTACTCTGATCAATGGTACTCGCAATGTCAGAAGGCTTAAGGGTGGCAGCATTTTTGCATCTTGTCGAATCGAATCAGATTATGGGCGTGGTTTGAACCTGTACTCTTATGGCTAGGAATGAAGTAGATGGATCAGTAGAGCGTACTTCTTAGAAGAAACGCCCGTACCCTCTAAATGGCAGCGATACTGTCTTAATAACGGCAAAGATAGTGTTTCTATGTTTCGAGTGATCCTTATCCGCACTGTTGCTGTTACCATCAACAAGCTAGAATTGAACTAATGTAAGGCGCTCATAGGACAGCCTCAAAATGAAACAGAGTCCCGACGTGAAAAATATTGAGGATGAATAGGTAAGGAGCGCATGAAAGCTACTAAGGCTAGGAGAGGAACGATGGTGCTAGGGGCAACCTTGGAAGTCGTGAGGCTGCTGGCGTTTAATGTTAGGTCTGTGCGCAAGCTATGCTAGATTTACTAATTTAGCGCGCCAGGGGGATATGTAACAACTACGCCGGATAGCGGAGCAAGAGGCATGTAAGGGCTACGAGGAGTTAAGCCATCACCAAGGAAGCGCTTAGGTAATAACACACTAGTGCCCTCTAGGCTAGAGCCGGGCGTAATAAAGACATCATCATCATCAATTTAGCGCGCACGTGTTTGGGACAGATCTGGACCTTGAGTCTATGTCTCTTGCTGTACCTTCAACAAAAACCATGTGTGTCAGGAAGATCTCCTTACTTCTCCGAAGTCAATTATCTGGCATCCGCAACTCTTCACATAGCACTTGCAGAACGGTAAGAGACGCTTAATATATACAGAACATCTAATTTGGGTAAAATAGACCTTTCTGATCAGCCTCCATCCAACAGCAAGAGATAGATTGGAACGCATACAATCTTGTCAGCAATATCCAACCATCGCTCGGCGGAACGGACACAAAGCGAAATTCTCGGTTTCCATGTCATGTTGTGCTCGTGTCCTCCAAACTTTCCGCTCACGTACCCTGGCAGCTGGAATTGCGCTTGGCAGCCTTATTGCGATGACTTGCCGGCTATTGGCTGAGGAAGATCGTGAATGTTCACTTGTCTCTTTTCGGACTATGATGCTGAATACGACGCTTGGAGCGAAAATCGCGGCACAGCGTCCGCAGATATTATCTTGCAGGCGCAAATGATGCTGCTCTTTACAATTGCATTCTCGCGAGATTGAGAGGGTTGGGTATGGTCAGCTATATGAAAGGCTACGAACTCGAGCCCATTGAGTCTGATCGGGGATTCAGGTTTGCTTTTCCACGCCTCTAGGATGGCACTTTCCGCGGGTTTTCGGAGGCTTTCTGCTTCATTCATTTTCATATTCGTTTTCGTTTTCGTTTCCCCCCTACTGGCTTCTGCTGATGCAGTCGATGACCTTGCGGCCACATCGTTGAACAATGTTTACAAGATCCTCAACGGCTCGTTATCCGATGGAGCGACCCATAGTTCTTCATGTACCAGAGACAAACTGATCATCAGGCGGGAATATGGGAATTTGACCACTGAGGAGAGAGCTGAATACGTGAAGGCTGTTCAGTGTATCATATCAAAGCCCAGCAAATTCTCGGCAGGTCAAGTCCCCGGAGCCAAGAACCGATATGATGACTTCGTTGCGGTCCACCTCCAACAAACGCTGAACATCCATGGAACGGTTCGTCAACAATTTAGCAGTCAGTACGACTACCTCGTTGCTAACTTGTCTCAAGGCAAACTTCCTTTCATGGCATAGATACTTCACTTGGGCGTACGAAAACGCGTTAAGGACTGAATGTGGATACGAGGGGTCACAGCCTTATTGGAACTGGGGAAAGTACGCAGATTTGCTTCAATCACCAATCTTTGACGGGACGAACACATCTATGGGAGGTAATGGAGACTATGTCGCACACGGCGGCCATGCCGCCGGACAAGCGAATGTCATGGTGCCAGCTGGTAAAGGCGGTGGATGCATCTCGACCGGTCCCTTCAAGAACATGACTGTCAACTTGGGACCCATGTCAATTGCTATCGATGTTAAGATCCCAACGAACCCTCAGTCAGATGGCCTTGGGTACAATCCTCGATGCATAAGGCGAGACATCACAGACTACTTCACCAAATCATACCTCCGGACTAAAGATGTCCAAGCCCTTATCACGCAACCCACCACAATCCTAGCATTCCAAGATCAGATGCAGACTGATACGGCATCGAGTAAGAAGCGCCTACTCTTTCATAGTAGAATTGACTGACATGATAATTGTAGAGTTCGGAGTACACAGCGCCGGCCACTTCTCGATCTGGGGTGACCCAGGAGGTGATTTTTTCATTAGCCCTGGAGACCCAGCCTTCTTCCTACACCATGGTATGATTGATAGGGCTTGGTGGATCTGGCAAAATCAAGATCCATCGAAACGGGTTATGACAGTTGGAGGAAGCACTTCAATGTTTGGTGGCAGCACGGGAACGTTGAATGATAAGGTCGATCTCTCAGTTGTGGGCTCAGGACTAGCAATCAAGGAACTTGTGAGCACCACTGCTGGGCCTTTCTGTTACGCTTATCAGTAAAGACGAACCATAGAAGAGCGGTTGGAGCGTGTGAGAGAAGTATACTGCATGTTAGCACATTCGACGGAACATAGGGAGGAGCTAGAATAGAGAAGAAATTGGCATCCTCCCAATAAGCTCTCTAATTCCAGCAATAGGCATATTAGAGTAACTCTGCCCTGGGCCATGTTCCATGGTATGAGACGACACCCCGTGCAGTAATAGAATCTTGTCACAACGAAGAACCACGTTCTGCGTAATCATACCTTGTTATCTGCAAGAAAGTCCGAATCGCTGAGAATCAAGTTCCGAACATGCAGAGTGCACAAACCTCTCTTCATGCCACCGTGGACGGGATTGAAGCGAGGTGAGACCGATAACGGATGCACCAATGTGACTCACGCTATTGCCTCCAGTCAGCCGTATTGCGCTATCAAGACGTGGTTATCGTTTATGCACATGATGAAATATGCTTCCAATCATTTGTACCATGGCTCACTTCCGAAGACGGGCCATCGACACGGTGAATAGCGCTGGTGGCTGGAGACGAGACCTAACAACAGCTTTCAGCTTGCAGGTCGGCGAAGGGTAAGATATGCCCCGCAGATGAAGTTGTTGCCGGTGTGGTGGTTTTCTGACAAGATAATGGTGATAGGGGAGTTGTTGGTGTGGACGAGAGGTGGTCTGTTTAAGCTCTCCCAGGTTCTTGGGTCCCTTGGCAGTTGCTTGTACCTCCACCTCCAAGTCTCCTTCCATTTATTATGTTCTTACTAGTGTTTCAACAGTTCAGAATATGTTCATGCTCCGAACCCGCAAAAATGCGAACCCAATTCGTTTCCCTTCAGAGCTACTTCTCCGCCTAATGCCCTCATTCGAAAGCTGAAGAGTGTCCCTCTGCCAAATCTGTAACAATGATACGATATCTACTCCGTACCTTTGTTCAATTCACTAGCACCTAGGTTCAGCTGTTTCCATGGTACTTCGCGGCCTTAATCCATGCCGTCTCAACAGACTGCCCTCCAATCATGTTTCCCGAACTGACGTGAGGAATGAATCCAAACTGCTCTGATTGGTAAACGTCCGATATTGGGAAACTGCATGCTGCAGAACATGTGGAAAATAGCTCACTGCCTCACTCTACCTCTAGGTTCTAGTTTCCGACGCAAGGCCGAAGGCCTCCTGACTCTTAGAGCTGGAGCTATGGCCACGGGTGGTGATCATACTGGCCAATCCGATGCCCTTATTAGATAGCTAGAATGTCGTCGTGTCAATCAGCCGAGAATCTCCAGACGAGCTGAACTTAAGCTTAGACATTTTGTTGTGACACTTCCACGGATATTTCAATGAACTCGTGATTCAGCGAGTGTCTCGTCTATGTCCGAAATCAACTCCTATTTCCCCCTTTAATGTCCTTTCTTCATGTGTCTTCGTGACAACCTTCCCTCGCTACTTTATCGATGCTTGACGAAGTGGCGCATTGAACCCGAGTTGTGGCGTTAGTGTCGGCGGTCTCTCGGTAACCACTCGCTGATACTAAATGCGTCCCTGCTTTGCGTCTCAGGTGGGCTAAAAAGAGAATAAGGGTCCGGCACGTCGCACAAAAAGAGCCTAGCCTCCTCTGCAGCGGAGAATTGGTTCGCATGTGTGCATAGGGCCTCAGCTGAATGAATAGATGTACAAGGTGCCTGTGGAGGTCTTGGTTGAAAGACCGGAGTGAGATACGAGGAGTCGAAGGATCGATTGTGGGACGATGACCCAGGTTCGAGGTCTTCTCGCCGTTGTCAGATCTGTCGTAATTTTGCGTTGCCCGTTGACCGTTGGAGCTTTAATTTGACAGTGTGGCGTTGTGAGCCATGCGTTGTTCAAGGGTTGCTCAAAAGCAACTTAATAACGCCATGTGGCGCCTGCACGCTCCCATCACTCCTGTGGTTACCAAAGAGGCTGAAAAGGCAATTCTGACGGGGCGACTTTGTGCAAGTTACGCTGTGCCCAAAGATGCCCAAAGATGTGAACAACATCTCACTGCCGGTGGGAATAAATGGGGCAGTGAATGAGAGTCGAGGGTAAAGAGACAGATTATGCTCCTCGATTTTTTTATTGTTCTTGTTTTAAGGTAGTGAAGGAAATTTGTCTAATAGTGGTATTAATAGAAACTATAACAAAGAGAAGAAAACTGATGTTGAATGGAAATAGATCGCCATCTGCGAGAACGCATAATGGAATGTGGCATGTCCAAATAAGCCAACGATACAAATATTCTACGTATGCTTTCCAAGTCCAGTAACAGGTTCCATATCTAACGTCCTCCCTGTTGATGTTCCGCTCTAGGTCCCATGTGCAGTACAAGGAAAAGGCTAAATGGCAAGAGAGTGAGTCATAAGTCATGTCAATCGGTCACCTCAAACCCAGATCAGTAGGAGAACGCCTCCTCAATAAAATCAACGCTTCGGATACCTGTCCTTCTCCGTGTTGCCGCTCTGACGCTGTCACTAAAAGCCCCAGGGCCGCACACTGTAACCGCCATGGCGCCAACCTGCGCCAATACCTCACGGTCAACCACTTCCTGGGGATTGCAACGCTCGTACCAGACGTCCACGCCGGCGGGCAAAGCAGCGCTATCATGGCTGGGTTGCCTTCTCGAAACGTAGAGGTGGATGCGAACAACATCCTGGTAGTTCGGCAAAGCCATGATCTCGTCTACCCAGGGTTGTATCCATTCAAACATTGCTGGATTTTGAACAGACCAGACTAGACAGACCTTCCTCGCTGCAACAGAGCGGTTATTGTGGCCTATGAGGAGGTGCCGTACAAAGGAGATTTGATGGGTGATTCCCACGCCAGCAGCGAAAAGAACAACAGTTCCGTAGGAATCCAGAGAGTGATAGCCCCCATATGGACCTTCCACAATCCCCCAGGTCTGGACAGTCCCACACTTTGATCCTGAGACTTTGTTGTAGAGCTTGCGGGTCATCCCAGTGCGAGCACGGATGACACAGGAGACGGTACTGGGTCCATCTTTGATTTCAAGGTCTTTGATCGTTTTCGGTAATTTCTCGTCGTTCACCTGAACATCCTCCCTCGGCTTCGACCAGGCAATTGAGAAAGGATGCGAAGCAAACCATGCAATTGATGGTAGATATATGTGGGCGGAAGACCCAGGCTTTGCGGTCCACGTCCGTGCGAGTTCGAATGATACTCTGCTTGCCTCTCCTGGAAGGGCCTCGATGGTGACCTTGGTCCATGTTCGTCGTTTCCAAGATGAGTTGTAGTAAATGATCCGAAACGCTCGACCAAGGAATTCCAGCAACAAAAAGGATAAGAATAAATACACCCAGGGTAATTGTGGAAGTGCGTGCTTGGCCATGTGAAACCAGACCCCGAGGAGGGCGGCGGCGATACTGAGCCGGTGGAGGGTAAGAAAGGTCTCGTAGAAAGCGTGTCTCAGCGGGCCAAGGGAATGGATCATAAGGATGGAAAAGGCAATGAACCCTGAGAGTCCCCATTGGTACGACACGGATTGGGAAAGTACCCAATTAATGCTTTTCATCTTGCCCATTCCATCGTCTGACGTCCGGTAGGTGTTTAACATCCAAGCTCCAACGTGCCCGACAGACTCTAGGAAGACAAGGCGAGCCGTCCACCGGTGGAAGAGATTAAATGTGTCATAGCTGATATGAAGTAACCAGATGAAGGGATTGTTTCGAAGGGCAAAAAGTATGGTCAGGATTATGTTGAATGCTGCCAGCGACCCACAGCGTCCCCTGAAAGCTGCGATCTCTTTCTTGTTGTGGAAGTCATCGTGCTCTGGTGGTTCCGGGATCCTGAAGCAGTAGATTAAGTTGCTCACACTGTATACAACCATAATTATGAGCTGCAGTCTGGATGGGAGTGTCCCCATGCCGACAGCGTTCGAGATCTGGAATTCGCGGTTGTGGCGTGTTCTCCATAGTGGGGAATAGACTAGATATCTCTTAAAATCCCCCCACCAGAAGAATCGATTCTTAGCCCAGAAGTCCTGATTGAAGGTTGGTGGAGAATTGATAGCTGTGACCTGTCGTCGATCACGCTGGATAGCGGTGAGGATGCGGTAGGCGATAGTAAGGAGTACGATAGTAAAGACAGTTGTGATGAGAAGATTGACGTAAAGATAATTCGCAGGCTGGTCGACACCAGTCAGGCCGTGACTGTACCTGAACGGATCAGAGCTTGATTCATTTGCCTCGACGTTATTGATGTCTATCGATGAGGCCGCAGGAGTAGTGGCCCCTGAAGACACCAACACAGCAGATGTTGTAGCAGCCATCTGGCTGCTCACGCAACAGGTAATGGGAACGGAGGAAGAATAGGAAATCACTAGGCGTGCGGGCGATTGATAAAGGAATGTTCCCCGAACCGTTACGAAGACTTGCGTATGCTTGTCAACTGCGCCGTGGGATACTCTCCGTGCACCGTCCGATATTCATACTACCTTATAGTCAGCATGTTCGCGATTTTAATCTTGCTGGTCGCCAGAAGCCCCTAAGTTCTGACTGGCGGAGGCTAAGCCGCAAGTCGGACCTGGCTAGAAGCATTTCCCGAGAGTCCTCACACGAAGGCCATGTCAGTAAGCGGAAGCTAGCTTGCGCCGCAACCGGGTGGCCTGTCATAGGATAGGATTACCTAAAGATTAGAGTCTGACAGGAGGCAATGTCAAGGACTTAGATCCTGTCATTGGAGTTTAGATGCAAGATATGGATTTTTTTCAGGGCTGAAAAGTATCATGTACCAGGCTAGCATGCTGTGTCCTTCTAAGCCACACATACTCCCATCTAATCGACATGTCTTTAAAGGCGGGTCCATTATGGCCCGGGACGCATTGCGAGAAGGCGTAGGCAGTAGGCTTAGCTTCGCTCAGCGATGCATTCCGAAGTTGAATTGGTGTAGCGAAAATACTCCCTTGAAGAGCTAGGAATACGGAACATTGCTGACAAGACTTAGCTACATGCTGGAAGGAGAATGTGTGGAAGAACCTCTTGAGAGTTTGTTTATGCCAGCAGATAGACTTGCTTGCAGAAGCTGGTGGATAGGCGGAAAGCGATGAACGCATTCTTCAATGTCAAGCTTTCATCATTACTTGGTAGAATGTTCCACGTAAAGACTGAACTGATTGTTGCGTGACTGAACCTTGGTAACGGAGGCGAAACAAGCAATAAACCACGGTGTGAAAAGCGGTCTAGGCCAGCCAACTGAATCTTATCGATAACGACAACAAATCTGTGGTATCTTCACTTCCAGAAACAGATTTGAAGGTGTCGGTGCTATTGTTAGAAGGTTCACCCTACCCGGGAGCTCTCTAGAATTTGCTGCTATGGGATCCAACATGGCCAAGATAATAGCCACTCGCTAAATCGTCCCGTGCTTCGCTAACCCCTGGGTCAAATTCGGTCGGCCGCATATGTGAAGAAAATGCAACGTGAGTAAATTTGGGGGTAATGGAGCATGGAACGAAATGCACACATTGAGGGGTATTCGCGCGGTTAACCTCTGAGAAAGTGCACCGCACAACACCTACTGTTGTCAAAGAATCCTTGGCGAAGGTCGAGTTGTTCAATTGACAGTGGGAGGCTGACAGCGCTCAGTTTGGGGCGTTTCCAGGAACCTGGTGGTAGTAATGTGGCTCCTTCTTCGTCACATGTGGATGGAATACGGTCAAGCTGTAAAAGCTGTCTGCAGCCACACCAGCTGAAGACGAGCGCTTTGAGCCGATTGGCTTTCCGATGAGCACAAAGAGTACTTCGTTTGCGTTTCTAGCATAGATTGCGAACACCATTATAGAGAATCGGGAGAGGTCAGTTACACGAGGTCCATGACCTTGCGCATTCATGGTTTGTCTTTCGAAAAGGCCGAATAAGTGCTCGACGAAGGGCGGCTGACAACTACCGCATGTTAGCGCATGCTACAGATTATAAACAAGACAGTTGAAAGTTGTCAATCCCTTGCTAAGTTTGGTAGAGCAGTAAAAGAATGCTATTTTTATATCAAAAACCAAACCTTCTCATGTTCCATCGTAGCTGCCAACTCATGGTGCAGATTGCGAGTGTAGCACAATTTAGCAAATGGCTTCTAGGAGCGACCTGCAGACAATTGGCGGAGCTGCAGCAGGCGGAGTCCGCAGGGTAGAGGTGAGCAATCGTGCACGGTCACCAGTGGAGACATTCGGTGGACAATATTTGGCTCCCAAGCGGCGGCATAAGCCCATATACTCAACTGAATGGCCCCTCAAGTTCACCGACTACCGACGGGCTTGGTATCTTGGCCAGAGGTGTTGGAAGAGGGCGGGTTGCCGACAATGTCAGATTACTGAGGCTGCATAGAACCGATCGGATGTCGGGATGGAACTGTTTGATATGGCCGCCTGTGGGGCCCAGGGTGTGGTGTGGCAGGCTTCCGTTCACCATGTCAACGTTATTGCTTCATAAAGCTGTTCATGGCAAGGAGGAGTTATCTGTAAAGCGAATGCTCTGTTGAACTCGGACCAGATCGAACGACATCAGACAGGCAAACTCCGAAGCGGCTTTGGTGTGCTGTATGATATGCATACCAGGCTTCCGTCAGTGATCGGTGAGATCACAAGTTGTTGGCTGATATTGAGAGTGGGATGTGAACGGAATGTAGTAAGATTCGCCGGGACTACGTTGGATTAGCAAAAGGCGTGCAACCTTGAAACTGCCCACTAAAAACTTCAACAGGTTACATTGGTCTACAAATAGCTTATGAGGTCTTTTGCGTAGGACAGCGAGGATGCATTTGCTGAGATGAGATCCCAACGTGTAAACTCCATGCAAAGAGACGCTTAGAGGCTAGCTGCCTGAGGTACGTCGTCGTCGCACATGGACATTGAGATGTCCGCAAGGATACCCAAGAAATTGTAGTGATAGAGGGTGATGGAGGTCCTCCTTCACACGGGGGAGATTGAAGTGAAAGGTGAAAAATGCCCGTCGGCCCCACTCCCGAGAACCCGGGTCCGCATTACGTCACGTGGGAGTCCACCCCACCTTCCTAGGTGAGTATCAACTCGAAGGGCTCCACACAGGGAATGTGACGGTGGGTTTTTATTGTATATGTCTATATCCCGTTACGTTCTCTCTAGTTCCAGCAGGAGGGTCAACGGAAGATATTCACACGGATTACATTCGGTACTGTGAGAAACCTGGTTTAGAAATGTATATATACGCATCACTATACTTCGGCAAGGGGTTAACACTGTCATGCTGTCAAATAAAACCTTTCATTTATGCCTCCATAGCCACTTCTTCGGCTTGCTTCTTCTTCCACTGCTTCTTCATCCTCCTTTTCTTCAACTCATCCGTTGTCGAAATACATATCCACCAAATCACTAGCAGGATGCCGAAAGCAATGCTCCACCCAATAGCCTCCGTCCCAAACCAAACGAACAGTCCTAGCGTCTTCTTCAAGCCCTTGTTCTCCGTCTCCCACAACGATTTGGCACCAAGAATGACCTGCATTGCGCTCAATACTACACTAAAACCGGCAAACAAAAACAGTATAACAGGAAAGTACCGGCTGAAGTAAGCAGAATATCGGTGTTCATAACGGTGTAGATGCCAGCGGTGAAGGAAGAGTGCGCTGTAAAAATTGAGCGGGCTCAGAGGTAGCTCGCCGAGCCGATAGCGCATGCTCACTGCACTCTCTGGGAGTCCTTCGAAGGCCATGATGAACTTCGTGAAGTCCTCGAACGTAATGCTGGGGAAGGAGGAGAGAAGACCATGTTTCAGTGCAATCATGAAGTCCGAACGCCGACGTATGAGAGATGCATAGGTCCTTAAAAAGCCTAGTGAGGTTGCTCTCAACCTATCTCGCTCGTCTTGATTGATAGCTTCGTTGAATGGATCAAGTAAGTACTCCCAGAAGGCATAGGAACAGAGATAGGCTGGTAGCGGTTTTAGGTACAAAAGATCTTCATCCCATATCAGATGGTTGTTAGGATTCTCGGTGAGGATTATTTGTCGACCAATGGTCAATTGTTCAGTGAGAGAGCGCAGGTTCGGGCGCGGACCCACAAGCCAAAGCCGTTTTCCAAGCTTGTCTAGTCCTAGCGTTTCAAGGTCTTCTAGGCAGTACGAAACCAGGAGACATGAGTTGAGCGGTATTCGCGGCGCATCCGGGAGAGTTTGTCTGGGGCCATGGCTATACAGGCTGTATGGTTTCTCCGATTCCTGAAGAGAATATTCCAGTTCGTCGCAGAGCTGGTCGCATTTTTCGAACTGCGGGACGCTCTTCCACACTGCAGTCGTAGAGGTGCTGGATCGTGATACAGCAGCTACACTATGGTCCGAGGTGGGGGGGTTGACTTCTTCGCCCATGGATAAGACATTGGCCGGGTTAACAGTAGGAAAGCCGCAAAGAAAGAGTTGCCTCAAGTCGCAGACTTTGATGAGGGGTTTTGGGGGATGGTAGAACACGAGGGTGTGGTGATCTTCGACCAGGGGGATGCACAAATCATGCGCCCTGATTGGCTAAGCGCTTGCGTTAGACCGCACTCTCAACTCTCGTGTTCAGCCCAAGGGCTCAAGCCTCCCAAGTGCCTTTCTCGTTAAACTCGTTTTGTCGAGCATGCACTGTGGTTTTCTTGGATATGTTTGGTGCCAGAAGGTCTCGACCCTCTTGACCGTGGATGTGGTATTCATGACCTGAAGTGATGAGGACGCAAGCAAGTGATCAAGAACGTCACAAACTAGTGCTATGCAGCGTTAGCAATAATCTTTCGTACAAGGATGCAACAGGTGGACTATCGAACTTTTCGATATACGACGTATTGTGCCCCTGTCCTTTCAGCTCCGATAAGACTTCGCAGTATATCATCGTCTTCATCTCCGACTTACTCTTCGTTCTCCTCGCTCTTCTCCTTTGGCATTCCTTTATTTACTCCATCTGAAGTGCCGAATTTCAGCATGCTCTTCATGGTGATCGAACGCTTCCACTCTGGAAACCCAAAGCCCGTCTACGCTCGTTTCAGATCACAAGGTCGACTCGCCCCGGAAGGGCTGAAATACGTATCAAGCTGGGTTAGCGACGACCTGACGCGCTGTTATCAGTTGATGGAGACGGAGACGAGAGAGTTATTGGATAAGTGGATCAGCAATTGGAATGATATCGTGGACTTTGAGGTCGTTCCGGTGATTACTTCGGCGGAAGCTAGTGCGAAGGTCTCAGAGTAGGGAAATTAGCAAGGTGAAGGTGAACCAAGTTTGAGAGCAAGTGCGGAGGCAACACGTTTCGATATGGCATGAGACTTCGGGCCGGAAGTCCTCCCACAGCGCGTTTGTGGAGCTTCGTGCTATCAAATAACAAATGCTGTCTTGCCAAAAAGAAACTCACCTACATACCCAACACCTCCAACATCTCCATTATCTTGAAGGGGTATGCTTACCTCTTACCTGCCGTTCCGTTATGTATGATGGCTAGTGTCTCACTGTTGATGGGACAAGAACACTCACCACCAACCTCACTGACACCATCTGACCATCACGACAACACTAACCGCGAAATTGACTTCGCCACAAATCGGCCTCGCCTGGGCAGTCTAGTGTAATTCACCGTTTAGCACCCCGGCTTCTTATTTTGACAGCTGTTCATGGGCAGATCCACAAAGCTACGCCGTACTAAGCGCCTCGATGCTTTGGTTCAGCGAAGTGAGGAGCCGCCCACCAACACCGCCACGACCCCAAAATTACTTGAGATCCAGTTGCCAGCGCATTTCCAAGATGGAGAAACCCGGAGTGGATGTAGGCGAATACTTTTGGAGCGCCATTTTCAGCAAGAAGATGGCGATGCTCTTCGAACGTCCCCTCTCGGTCTTCCAAGATTATGCTTGAATGAGCGTATCGCCTACATCCTTTTTTGCAAAGCCTGAGTGAAGAGAGGGCCTTACAGCAACTTTGCGCTGTCAGTCCCGCCTATATTCGATCTCTAGATTCTTCACCGTTCGATCGACTCACCGTGACGATTCAACAGCACCCGAAATAGCAAAAATCTATGCCTCAATGCACCAGGAAGCATTCGGTAATGCCTTGACATTTTTACCTCCCGGCGTCCCGTGCGTGAGGAAAGATTATACGCCGCTGTCGTACAGCTTTAACTTGTTGCTCGATTGGCGCGATGAGAGAAAATAATCTTAACAGTAAGCGCACTCATAAGGCATTCTGTCCAATTACAAGGGTTAAGTACCTCGCTGGGCGTCTGCCAGTCTGCGGCGCAGTTGAGTTTGACGCGATAGCCTGGGAAGTCATTCGAGCCAACATGATTTCCAACACCAAACCCAGGCTCTTTTGATCAATTTTCATAACCGACTGCAGCACGCGTCTGCTCGACCCAGCTCAGCCGCTGTTTGCATTGGGAGTCGGTGAGTTGGTGCCTTTCATCACGAGGTGCTCGCGTGGGGTTTGCATCCACGATGCATCCACGATGCATCCTGATCCCCCCTTTCCTGACTCAGACTCCGGATGAGACAGAATCCACGCATTGCTCACAGAATTTGGAAGCTGTAAAGAGGAGACGGCCGACGACAATCCTTTGCAGTGGTGGTGTAGAGGAAGGGCTGCGGTTTCTCACAAACGTGAAACTGGGCCTCTCGTTTCAAGGAGTGCAGGGAAACGAGGGTCGCAGAAACGAGGCCCGTGAGGCGCAACTTGCTGCTTCGCGGAGGATTGTCGTTTCCGCGCACAGGGCGCCCCTCGCTCCATTCGAAAAGGCGTTTCCCCCTTTGATACATGTGGAGGCCCTTGCCGCATAAACCTCACAGTTTCGAAACTTCGCGTCTGCTCACTCGTGTGTTTGGTTGAACAAGGAACCGATCGCCTGTTCCTTTTGTCAGATTTATCATTTGAATGATTGGCGTGTAATGGTGCTGGGCTGGTGACCAACCCAACCCCAGACAGTGGCACATACGCCTCTTCCCTAAATACAAATGACAGCGGGGCGGTGAACGGGTTTGCAGGGCATAATCCTGGCTTAATGTTGTTGCAACCTAGCCCTTCAGCCCTTGTCATATTATGATAATATGCGGCGGGGGAGCTGGCTCCAGTTCCCCTATATCTTCGAGGGCACCGCGGGTTACGCCTGCCCTTTCGTTCACATTTCAAGCTGAACTTATTTATACAAAAAGTCGCCGCCTCACCTAGTTATTTATTTTGACCATTTGAATCTATCTTACGTTTAGTTCCTCCCAAGCACGCCTTCACTTCCCCATCAGCCATGTCCTCTTACTCTCCACGGTCTCCCTTTGGTCTCCCGCAATCCCCAAGACCAAACGGTATGCTCTCACCAGGCATGCTCTCACCAATCAACACAACTCTCTCCTCGCCCTCATCCCCGCGATACGACTCCGGAGCAACCTCTCCCACCAATCAAGCTCTGTCCGAGAAAGGCCCCCAGCCAATATTCATCGACACAAGACAACGACGCCGAGAGTCGATGATATTCGTCAACGCTACTATTCCTCTCAGTCCACGGAGCTCGATTGCTCTAGGTGACCGTTCAGATACTCAATCTCTACGAGAACCACCGCGGAAACGAAGGGGGATCGCAAGATTATTCTGCTGTTTTAGCTCTGAGGCCAGAGAGCGGAGGAAGAGGCAGCGATATATGGACTTTGAAAGGATGGAGGATGTACATTGGACGGAGCTTTGAGCAATGAAAATACCGTTGTTGGCGTTACGACCTTCGCTGCAAGCCTTGTTGCAACCACCCCCACTACGACCACTTTGCTCTAACCACTCTCCTACAACTCTACGCCCACAATCTACCACTTCCAACCATGCGACTCAGTCTTACGAAAAGCTGGCGCGCCCTTTCAGGGCCATCACAATAACTTCCCTTTTTCTCAGCCAGCATTTACGAGCGTACTCTTCTCCGCTTTTCTTCTAGTCATTTGAAGCGCATTTATCTTGATTTTGTATAGACGGCTCGATAATTTTGTGTCTTTTGTTGCATTGCGTTGGCGTTTAGGGCTTTTCTTGACTCACGAAATTGAAGTCCCCCTGCCATTCTCAGGATGAGAGGCTCATCTGTTTACACTGGGAAGGTGCAAGCTGTTAGACGCAGCGAAAGTATGCACCAGAAAGGAGGGTGTAGGTAGATACCCATAGAAATTGATCATGAGGTTCAGTGAATGAGATTTTGAGACTTAAGAGTGCATCCTGGGACAAGCGAGACATATGTAGTTTCGGGACTGAATTGTATCCTCTTGATACTCTACTTAATTTAAGCAGAATATTTGATAGATCGACGATCTCCGTTTATAGGCCTCTGTAAGCACCAATATACTATATGAATTCACGCGCCTGCTCTGGTATCCCAACAACTAATCTAGCTCCTTTCTTAGTCCGGGTCTCCCCTTCCCCTTCCCTTTCTTCTTCCCTCCACTCTTCTCCTCAACAGCCCACTCCTCCTCCAACCACTTCCTGCCCGACTCCTCCAGCTCCCGCTCTCCAACATTCTCAGGCTCCTTCACCTCCTTCTTATACCTCTCCAATGCCTCCCCAAACAAATACTCCATAGTCGTCAACGCACGCGATGCTAGGACCTGCGGGCCAAAACGCGTTCTGAACTGGACTGTCAACCACCTCGGCGGCGGAGGGGTGGATGGCATGATATCTGCACTCCTCCGCATCCACCCCACAAACTGCAGGATCTTAGTTTCAACCGGCACTGACCCGTCATTGATCTGCACGCCTTGACCCTCCCAGCCAATGTCGTTCATAAACCACGATGCCATGCACTCCTTTAGCAGTGGAAAATGCTCCTTCGCCTCTCGCGCATCGTTGATCATTTTCGTCCATGCCCCCATCGCAGTTTCCGTGTTCCAGCCATACATATATCCCACGGAATCGTACGTCAGGCGGATCCGGTGCACAAGTTTCCCCGCTGCGTCGGGGAACAAGCGGAGAGTGTTTGTGAGTGAGGTTTTGTAGGTGATGGAGATGCGGTTGTGACAACAGAAGGCACGGAGGGCTTCTGCGTATATGCGGCGCGAGACGAGGAAGAGAGAGATGTCTATGTAGTCCTCCTTGGGCTTTCCCCAGTAATCCTGGGAGTGCGCTTTGCGTCGACAGTAGATGACGCCTTTGGGTTCGTAGACGGCGAGCATGAGGATGAGGTCTTGGAGTTCGGTTGGTAGATCTAGGAATCGGAAGGATGCTTTCCATGAGCGTGGGCGAACTGTTCGGTCTCCAGGATTTGCGCCTGCCATTGTTGCGGATATGATTGGATTGGATTTAGGAGCTCGCCGTGGCTTGAATCTGTCGAGCTCGAGGAGGTTGCTAAATTCTTCGCGGAGCTCGGCAATGCCAGTGGGACTCGGGGGTGTGCTGGGCTCTGGATCTGAATCGTAAAAGCAGCTAGGCATAATTCTACAGCATGTTAGGGCATACTATGGATTATACATGGGGTAGATTTGAACCAAAATACCTCTGGGTACACGTAAGGAGAATGCCAAGACAAAGCTAGTTGTGTCCTAATTCAGATTATTGGTGCATTATAGAGAGGGGTAGCTACGGAACGATACAAAATGAATAAAAGGCGAAAACAGTGCGAACGAGGTTTGATATTTAAAAGTTAGGCGTGACTCAGGAAGCTGCTGGGGCTCGCTCGATGATCAAACGCTTGCATAAGATGGCAACGAGGCTGAGCAGATTGAAAGCTCCACCGTAGCTGGAATACGAAGTGCATCTAGCTTTTAATAGCGGTCTTGTTGCAACCCATCCACTTCAAGAAGTAAAATGACGATGCATTCATGGTGTTGCATTCATCCTACGAGCAGCAACTCCCTCCTCTGGGAACCACCGTCTGCAACTGATCGGCCCGTGGACCTGTTCCCAAATTCTCCCGGACAGTTCCTCCATCGCAATGGAAGAGAAAATGGATATTAAATATTAGTAACATCCTCGTCAACTCAATATCCTAAAGGCCCAAAATCCCAAAATCCCAGAGTCCCACCATCCCAAATGGCAGTTCCCCGCCCATGCCAAAACAAGACTAGTGTGCCGGGGTCGGAGAATGGTCGCAGCCAAGACCCTCGGCTTGGCCCATGACCACCATTCCCGTGAGGTCGGAAAACTCTCACAATTCACGCACTCATTGATTATATCTCTCATACACGGCACTCCTCAGCCCCCGCAGTCCAGCCCAGCTTCCATCTCCACTCTCTTCAATTCCGCACAGCCATGTTCTCTACCAGGCAGCTATTTGCTCAGGCCCAGCGCCGCTCCTTCTCGGTATCATCCCGCCAGGTATGTTGACCGACGCATGTCCATTGCTTTTTGCTGGAGGGTCGGATTTTGCAATGGCAAGGTTTCCTAGGCGCAGAAGTTAACAAGGCATGCTACAGGCGTCCAAGGTGACGGTGTTGGGTGCCGCTGGTGGCATTGGTCAGCCGTTGTCGCTGCTGTTGAAGCTCAACCCACGCGTCAGCCAGCTTGCGCTCTACGATATCCGCCTAGCTCCCGGTAGACTCTTCCCAGCCTCAAATATATGTTTTTCAAAGCTAATTGAAGTCCTCTAGGCGTCGCCGCCGACGTTGGCCACATCAACACCAAGAGCGAGGTATGGTGCAATTACCAATGGCCAGTCCTGAACACCGGCTGATACGCACAAGGTCCGGGGATATGATGCAACCCCCTCTGGGCTCGCCGAGTCACTCAAGGGCACCGAGATCGTGCTGATTCCGGCGGGCGTGCCTCGCAAGCCCGGAATGAGTCGTGATGGTGAGTTTCGACAATTGAGCAATTGAGCGGATCCGCAGCGGCTTTACCAACTGATGTGCTTAGACCTGTTCAACACCAACGCCTCCATTGTGCGAGATCTGGCCAAGGCCGCCGCCGACCACGCCCCCGAGGCCAACATCCTGATCATCTCAAACCCGGTGAGCCGAGAACACTATGTTTCGGTCGAGCAGCTCAATTGAACTATCTAGGTCAACTCTACCGTCCCCATCACCGCCGAAGTCTTCAAGTCCAAGGGCGTCTACAACCCGAAGCGCATCTTTGGCGTGACCACCCTCGACGTCGTCCGCGCCTCCCGCTTCATCTCGCAGCTCAAGGGCACCGACCCCGCTAACGAGAACATCACGGTCGTGGGCGGCCACTCCGGCGCCACCATCGTCCCCCTCCTCTCCCAATCCGGCTACAACCTCTCTGGCGAGCAGCTCGATGAGTACGTCCGCCGTGTACAGTTTGGAGGTGATGAGGTGGTGCAGGCCAAGGCTGGTGCGGGATCCGCTACGCTTTCCATGGCCATGGCTGGTGCGCGCTTCGCCGAGAGCTTGCTCAAGGCCTCGCAAGGCCAGAAGAACGTCATTGAGCCCACCTTTGTCGATTCACCGCTATACAAAGATAAGGGCTGCGAGTACTTCGCATCCAACGTTGAGCTCGGCCCTAACGGCGTCGAGAAGATCCACCCTGTTGGCAAGATCACCGATTACGAGCAGAAGCTGTTGGATGACTGTCTGTCAGACCTCAGCAAGAACATCGCCAAGGGCGTCGAGTTCGTCAAGCAGAACCCGGGCCAGTAAATCATCAATCCCACAAATATGAGGGTGTACACTAGCCACGACGTGAGTAATGATGGGGTAGGGGGAGGGAGATCTAGTAGACAATCTGCGGTGGTCGGGTGGTGATTTGGCTTTCCAACGCACGCATGCATTGTATTACAGGTCTAGTCAAAATCCCTTGTGGCACTTGGAAACTGGAACTGGACTGGACTGGCGCCGGACACCCGGGGGTTTTTCTCTCTGATCTGATCTGGATTCTGCGTGAAGGGAAGGCCGAAGTCAAATCCTACATGCATGCATCCCATGACAACCTGGTAGATTCCTCGGTCCCTATTTTCTGTTCTGTATCCGTACCTTAAAAAATATACTCCCTCTTCCCTCTCTCCCCTCTAGATCCTTTTCGTTTAGTGGCTAGCTTTCTCGAGTGACGGGTGGAGGTAGGAGAATGCTCACATGCATTCCACACTGCATTGTTCTCCCACGGACTCACGGGTAGGTAATAGCAGACTACTCGTCCTCCAATGATCACTCTGAAGTTGTCTTGGCAGCTAATTAACCAACCGCGAACTCCCGACTAAATGACATGTTTTCCCTCAATCAGGTTTACGTCTTCTTAAATTGGTTGACAAAAACGCACGTGTATCATGAGACCACCCACCCACAGCTAGCAGCTAGCAGCCAGGAGCCAGCAGCAAGCTTCCTCCACCTTCATCTCCGCATCGATGGAAGTTAGATATATACACGTGATGTTGGGTGTCGGGTAGATGGAGGTTTCCAAGGTTGGCGTGGGGTTAAGGTTGGAATAGCGCCGAGTTTGCGGCTCCTCCTCCAGGTTCCGTAGGACAGAAGTGGATGGATCAGGGAGTGAGTGGTAGTCGGGTTAACGTCAGCGTCCTGCCTGACCCTGATTTTAGACTGGTTCTAGTTGTGTGGTGGGTGGATTGTGGTACATTCTACTCTACTCTACGTTTCTACTCTAAGATTTTTAGACTGCCACTGACACACCTACACCTACACCTACACACACTAGACAGCTTTGATAAAGAACTAATCAGTAGCACACACATGCATCCCATCGCCTCTTAAAAACGCACTTCCACCTGCACCTGTACCTCCAGCTAGCAAGGGCGACAAGCATCAACCATGAAAACTATCAAACGTGCATCTTCCAAAAGAGCAAGTCAAAAAAATATCGGAAACGGGGAAAAGGGGTCTAGGAAGCGCGACAAGGAGAGCCCATGGATGTTATGGGAGTACATGTCGATGCTTCCCTGTACCTTAGGATCTCCGAGCTTCTCGTATGTACAAGATGCATTGAAATGGATTTGGGGGGGAAGGGGAAGTGGGGCGGCAAGCGTTCATAACTTCGCCTTCGGAGCTTCCAGGGTCGGAAGCATCAGGTCCCGGATATCGCCCGCGGCTTCGTTGAGATAGAAACTCATTTTATCCTGGGCGCAAGGATTAGCACTCATCCTTCTAAAGGAAAAGATAATTCCCTCTTCATCGGAGAGCCCCAGATGCGGGGAAGGTGATGGATAGCGGGGAATCAGGAGTGGACGTGGAGATATAAAACTTACCGAGCCCAGCCCCTTACTACAAACATTGAACTGAATACTATTCTCATTAATCATATACGCAATGCCCCACCCATCATCCACCACCTGACTCCAACCATATCCGTTGAAATACTCACTACTCAGCTGCGAGCTGGAGATAAACCATGTGGAACTGTAGCTGAATGCGGGGTCTTGGTAGAGCGCTGGCACGGGCTCGCCGTCTTTGAGACATTTCTTCAGGCCGAATAGATGGCGATCTACGCCACGACCGTCGGACGCGTCGGTGATGTACTTCACATGTGCGTTCAACGCGTCGCGGAACAACTGCTGGCATTTCTCCGCCGGGATGCTGTGGTCCGCCATGGCCGCGCAGAAAGCTACGCTTTCGTCGGATACCGTGCGACACGTTTCGGTGCGTCCTTCCTGGAAACGCCTTGTAGAGGCGGATTCGTAGGTTGGTCGATTTTTACCGTAGAATTTGTGGTACGCGAGTTGGATGATCATTTGCACGTATGCGTCGGGACTGCATTTGAATTTCTTGATGAGGCCTTTGCCGTAGCCTTGGTAGGCCTGGACGCGGAGTTCGTGCGCGCCGATTTGCCCGTTGAAGTGTGCTTGGGCGGCATCGATGTCTTTTTGGAGTTCGGGGGTGATGGTGAAGCGAAGGGGGGTTGGGTTGGGGAGGTTAGAGCGAATTGTGGGGTCATCAAAAGGGAGGGCGTTCGAGAAGATGAGCATGTTGGCGTGGTCGTTGAGGCGGTGTGTTGGTGTCCCGTCCATCAGTGAGTGCTCGCCCATAAAGCCCGATGTGCCGTTGTCGTTGATGATGAATTGGAGGGGCTTGTCGTACCAGCGATTGGAGCCGTCGCCATGCCAGTATTGGCGTGCGCGCTCTTCGAGAGTTATCGGGGAGGCGTCGTCTAAGCAGATGAGGAACGAGGCGGATTCGATGGCTTCCACCGATGCGGCGTTCATGCCTGAGGCGGCTTTCAGACGGGGATACACCTCTGCCCAAACGTCTCTGTTCTGGGACGTGAGGAAGCCGACAGCGGGGCTCTTCTCTGCGTTCTCGTAGATGCGTTTGAACTGCAGTTCTAGCTCGCTAGTGGTGAGTTGTTTACCCCCAACCTCATGTGGGAGCTTCCAGAACTGGTTCTTCCTTACGACTACAATATGGGGGTTCTCCTTGAAGGGATATTTGACGCTGGTATCGGCCGGCTTCTTTGGCACACGGCAGCAATTGAACATCCATTCATACGAGTTCATGGCCATTGGAAGCTTCTTCATGTACTCAGGCTCCAAGCTACCACCATCGACGGCTTTTTTAAACTCCAGAACCGCAGTAGCCATGGCTGCAGCGCGCTTGGCGGGGTTCCTCCGCTTTCTGTCATCACGATGCGAGTAGAAGTAGCTAACATAGGGGACCACGGGGTCACGATAGCCCATGTACGCCGCCTCATTCCACCACTCCGATATCCAATTGCGCGTCTCTGGTTGCTCTCTGCGCGCAACCAAGCGCCTCTGGAGCTCCTCTCCGGGGCCGCCAGGTGCTACAAACTCATTGACAGCTTTCGTGGTGGCTTCAAACTCGGTCTTGGAGAGTAGCGGGTGGACGGATTTCAGATATCGCTTGGCGGTTTCCTCGAGAGTCGGCACGGGCAGCCGGGGCAACGAATCCTCGAATCGCAGCATGGCACCTTTGCTGTGGTCTTCTTTGTAGCCTTCAGTTGGCACATATATTAGCTGTCTGCACGCATTCACGTGCTGGCATGTGAAAGACGACTACACACCTGCGGGCAGCGACGACTGCTGCCGTCTCAAGTTGGTGGGCGCCATGGCTGCAATCTGCGCAATGACCAAAATTAAAGGCTACCCTCGGTATTTCTCGGCTGTATTCTACAACATACCTTGTGTGCCTGCTGGGGGAGTAGTCGTGTGCGAAGGAGGGAGGCGGCCGGTGCTCGCACTCGTGCTACTGCACTGAACATCTGCAAAGATGTTTGTGAAGAAGACGAGAAAAAAAGGTCTAGGGCCGGGCAGGGTATTTAGGAGTTTCAGCAGATCCCTCGGCGAAGGTGACGCTGATTCTATGCGGGCTGGATGTCGGGTGGGCTGTTGCTGGGACCTGTTGAACCTCGGTCCCCGTCGGAAATGTCCAGGAGTAATGCGTGACTTGCAAATTGGTCTACTGCAGCCGCTTGCCCGGTCATGTACCTTTATGAAGGCTTTATATTTGTCGCAGGAAGATGTGGGAGATACCAAGACGTTTCAATGGCGCTGACAGTGAGACGTGATGGGGTGAATTGTTGTTTTCAACACTGGCAGCTCCGCGTGCGTGAAGCCTTCCCCGGATCTCCACCATCCATCCCACTAGCCACAGTCCGCCTTTTCGGGCACGGACGGTGAACAAACACCAATGTGCCTCGCTGGGCCGAGGGTCACACCTCTATCTTCTGTCTTCTCCTCCAATCCTCCGAATTTTGGCAAGCGTCATTGGAGGAAGCTCAAAAAAAGCAAGCGTCACGAGGCCGGTTCTCTCCTTGAAGTCCAGCTAATGCTCAACGCTTCAACGAACTCGTCCGAGGTCAGAGACTCCGATATCGCCAAGTTCAGCAAGTCAAGCGCCTTTACCGATTGAACCGCGCCCCAGACATTGAAGAAATGAAGATTAAGAGAAATTAAGAGGAATGACGGTTAAGAAGAACCGAAGATTCGGAAGAACCGAAATGTCGACAAGCTTGATCTTTATCAAGATGAGCTTGAGTTGCTCCCTTAGAGCACCTACCCAAATAATGTCTGTATGCCGATACCGCATATTGACGTCAACTAGGGTGCACTAACCGGAAGGGTTTAGTATGCCAGGCCTGTCGCCGAAATTCAGGAGAGTATGAAGTAAAAAGTGAACACTGTCGTAGACTAGGCCTGCTTTGTTCAGTCGCATCTACTAAAATGCAGTACACCGGAGATGTGGTGTCTTCCATAGGGCCGTGACGAGCGCGTCCCTACAGCTACCTCTCACCAGCTAACATGTCACATCTAGCATTAAACTCAGAGGACCACGTTCATTTAAGATCACTACGAGTTGGAATTTTACCGCGACACTCTCGCTTCAAGTGAGTTCAGCTTTAACGTTGAGCGTGGACGTATTTCTCATCCACATGCTTAACTAGATTCCCTTGGTGCGATTTGCATGTCCATCTCCCCCTTATCTTCCATTTCCATTCACTCTAAGCAACGAAGACTCAAGGTTTACCATCGAGCTTCGAGATTGGCCGCCTTACACCGGGCGAACGCTAACTCCGACAACCAATGCTCCTCTAGCGCGTCCGTCAAGATATATTATAGACTGACAATGTTCCTTTTTTTTTAATATTGTTTGGATCTATCTCAATCATTCCCTTAGCTTACCAGTGAGATATTCTTAATCTCAAGAACTCTTGGTTCGTTTTGATTCCCCCGCCCGGATTTGTTCCGTGCTCCCAAAACCTCCCTAGCTTGCTTTTCGTTACACTCTTATCCTCCGTCTCTGGATTAATTGTAGTCCTCATCTTCAATCCCTTGTCCTTCAATTTTCCATCACTACAATGCCCGCCGATCCCTCCACCGACCTCCTCCTTATAACCTGCGCATCCGGCAAACAAGCCTCCGCCCTCCTCCCCCTCCTCCCCCACTGGAAAAATATGCGTCTCGTTGTACACTCTCCAACTTCAAAAACGCGTCTCCAATCCCAATATCCTCACGCCGAAGTCCTCAACACAGATCTCTATTCACCCACCGCCACTTCCAGCCTCATAAGAAATGCTAATGTCGTCCTCCACATTGGCCCGTCCTACCACCCACACGAGACCGAAATCGGATACATGATGATCGACGCCGCAGTCACGGCATACGATTCCGGAAAAGGCCATCTCAAACATTTTATCTTAAGCAGTGTGCTAAATACGCAGTTAAGGAAGATGATGAACCATGATTGTAAACGGTATGTTGAGGAATATGTTATAGAGTCTGGTTTGCCATATACAATCCTCCAACCAACCACCTTTATGGACAACCTCCCAATTCCGGTGTTCATGAAGGAAGAGAGGCCGGTATTTAGGTGTGGATGGGACACGGATATCCAATTCTCCTGGATCGCGTTGAAGGATCTGGCAGAGGGAATGAACAAGGTGCTTGAAGAACGCGAAAAGCATTTCTCCGCGCAGTATCCGCTTGTTTCGACACATGATACGGTGTCTTTTGCGCAAGCTATCTCAATCATTGGAGATAAACTAGGGAAGAAGATTGAGGTTGAGACTGCGCTGTTTAAGGAGGCGGTTGATAACCTCTGTTTGCGGGTATACGGGACTACGGAAGGAGTTGATCAGAGGAGCAGGGACGCTGCACAGAGAATGATCTTGTTTTACGACAATCGCGGGTTGGTTGGGAATCCGAATGTTTTGGAGTGGCTGTTAGGTAGAGAGGCGACGCAGTTTGGGGAATGGGTTGAGGGGAATATGGGGGAGGTAAAGTGAGGATACGGCTATAGAGACGATAGAAAGTAGGTAGTAAGCCCAGAATCCACTACTTTTCCACAGTTCTACTCCTAGCCCAACACGTGATGAGGGTGCGCGTGGATTTTAGTTAGCACCGGATATAGGTTTAGAAGTACACTGGTGTGATTGCCTGTCCCTCGTATTTTAATAAAGTACAGCTGAGACAGCATACAGCTTTCCAGCAATAACACGGAGATTGAATTCCTTGTATATAGAACTAAAACTTTAAACAGTGATATGGAGCTAGCAGCTTCATAGACAGCAAACGCATTCAGATACAGATATCAGCTGCGCAATGCACCTACCCACAAATCCTTTCACCTCCGCGACAATCCTTAAGTCCAGGAACACGATAAGAATGGCTAACTGTTTATTACAGCACTCCAACTTGCTGTTGACATTGCCGTAGTGAGCTAATACGCCGCCCACCTGAGAAGAACATGTTCCTCTTCTTAGACTGCGACTCAGGACCTCGATACTGCAACTTCCGCTACTACTAATAGCTATGTCGTGGCCGCATATGGAGGTGGTACCTTCGGCGCGGCGTCACTTTTCTACATCGCATAATCCGCCGTGGAAGAGTTGTCATTGGTCAGAGGCTGATCCAAGCAGACATGGACTTCCAGGTAGCGAGAAGAAGGGGGAGGAAGAGGGCAAGCTTATAAGACGCGTTAGCTAGCGGATAGGAACTCGTAAGGTGTCTGCAATCTGTCTGGGACTTTGGATTCTTTTAGCGTATGCCCATGACTGCGGGCGTTCTTGCACTCCGCTACCCATTATCTAGGGATAGTTTTACTAGGAAGATATCCCTTCCCCCTACTTACCTACCCAAGATTTGGGCTTGTGTTGGACATGTCGAGGAGCAACCCAGGGAAACATAAATACGGCTATCAATTCTACACACTCTAATACTCCTCCAGCCACTCCTATAACCCAAACAGGATATTCCAAAGCATTGTCGAGACATGACCGACGGACAGGGAGTCTTGTAAAGGGTACAGAATACAACCACACCCACCTAGCCATATTCAAACTCTTTAAGACTTAAGTATACATGGACAAACAGCAAGGTCGTTAAGGTAGTGCATCAAGTGCACTATGACTTTATCCATATAAAATAAATATTCTCTCCTCAAACACCACCCCAACAACGCTAAAAAATCTAATTTAACACCCCTCCCTCTCTGATGATGAGAAGAATCCGGAACTGAGCTACTACTATACAAAACACGAACGCTACGCCCCATGCGCTTTATGAGACACCGCGAGAAGTGGATCAAAATATCACCCTATTTTAATCCACAGAGGCCAGCGCCGAATGACGAAATCACTCGCTCGCTCGCTTCAAAGAGCCGTCAATATCGCACGTCACCAATTACGATAGCTGAAACCCTTTTAGCAAGATCACTAAACAGCCAACGTTCAAGGAAGTACAGATTCCCAATCCTTCATCTAACGCCCTCGACTCGCTCTCCTAGCCAACACAGGCGACCCCACAACTGGCGTCATAAGCTGCACCCTCTCTGTACCCAACTTGGTCTCAAAAATCCGCATCACAAGCGCTTGCACAACCCTCTGGACATCGGGCGCCATCTCCGTACCCAGAATTCCCACAACAAGCGGCGCGAATATATCCACGTGTTTCTCGAATTCGCCGGGGGGGAACCCGACGTAGCCGTCGAGGACGGTGACAACGACCGGACGCCAGGTGACGATGTTGCGCTGTTGCGTTTCTTCATCGAGTTCGATGTAGGATAAAATGATGTCTTCGCAGAGCGGGACGAGCGCTTTTTCGGTTTCGACACGTGAGGCAGCGCGGTCGGTGGACGTATCATGGTACATGCGGAAGAGGATGCTTACGTACACTGATGCTGAGCCCGACTCTTGTTTGAGTAGGTTCGGCGGCTGTTTCATGAAGCCTTCGCGGAATAGCCGTGTGCGGAGGTCGCGGTCGGCGTTGAAGCGCTTGGCGAAATGGTAGGATTTCTTGAGGACGCCCATTAACCGGAGTAGCTCGCCTGACGGGATCTTCTCATAGACCGAGTCGTTCGTGAAGAGCTCTTGAACCGTCTCGATCATCAGAAGCTGAAGGACACATTTGGTGATAATTTGGTTGAAGAAGCGACGGCGAGCGGCGGTTACGACTACGGGTGGCTGTTGCAGATCTTGGTTCTCTGGCCGGTAGTCTTCCAGTTCCTGTGTTTGGCGTTTTGGCAGCGGGGACGGCATGCGCTGTTCAGTAGCCATACTGGATGATTCGGAGGTCACGAGAGATGGACGGCGCGGGCTCGACAGACCGTTGATTCCAAGCGCATTGTCTTCCTCTGGTTCGTCCACAGGAGTCTGCGATAGTTGAAGGTCTCCTGGTGGAGGGGTTTCCGCCGTTGGAGTCTTTCCACCAGGGGTTCCACGGGTGCCATTTGTCGGGGTATAAGACGATGTAGCGGCAGCGGAGAAGAGCGCCGTGGCTTCCGTGCGCTGGAAGAGCTCAACAAATGCCTTCACAATTTGACTCCAGTGTTCCGGCTTGAACTTTTGTACATTCTGAAGAATCAGTTGCTGAAGGCAATTGCTACCGATCCGTGCAAGTGTATCGTTCTCTTGGCAGATGCAAAGTGCCAAAAGGTCGAGAAAGCGATCCAACATGTACTCAAGCGATTCGAAGAAGTGAGTGAAGAGTTTGATCATGTTGCGAAGAGCCTGGATCATCGTGGTCGATAACCAGACTGAGAGTTCCTCATGGTTGAGCACTTTTGACATTTCGGATTTAGACTTAAGGACCATGAAAATGGGGTATAGCAGCTGCCGCCAGAGAATGTCCCAAAAGTCTTGAGGGAAGTCTCGACCATAGGTAATCAGGGTTTCAAAGAGATAGCTCAGCGCTCTCGAGCGAACTTCCAAATCCTCGCCCGTCATGAGAACGTCATGAAAAGCAAAAAGCACTGGGAACCAGAACTGCTCTTCCTGGGTTTGCCGACTTGGCTGTTTTGGTATCAAAACTCCATGATCCGACTCTTTTACGAAACCGGCGCGTGCAGACAATGGGCACTCAGGTGTTCGGAGCATCTTCGGTACGGAAGACTTCAGCAACTCGATAGCTTGAAGAGATTTCTTCTGAAATTTGAAATTCTTCGAGAATTCTGTGAGGCACACTATCATGTCCGCGAATGCGGCCTGTGAGATGACGACACCGAACCGAGTGTTGTACACATGAGTGACATTCTCGAAAGCTAGATTGACGATCCCCTCTGCGTATTGTAAGCAATGTGTGCGAAGTATTATATCCAAAGACCACTAACCGTACGGTTCTCTGGCAGCTACGGTGAAGACACCAAACATGGTCTTCCAGCCAGATCGAATATTCTCCCCGCGAGCTTGAATCATTTGAATCAAACAGCGAAGCACCATATCTTTCACGGCCACTACACTGGTGTTGCTCATGATGTGTTCGAACGGTTTGAGGAAGTCTTTTTGGAATTTGAAACCTGGTAATTCTTCAATCTCCATGAAGCGCATCGATAATTGTCGGAGGGAATTGAGAGCGAAGTAGACCACATTAGTGTTGGGGTGACATCCAACTTCATTGAAGTGGGAGCCAAGAATCTGCCAGATGTTGGTCCATTCGAAGCGGACACGGGTCATGTTGTATCCACTTATTTCGACCAATTTCTGGAGGCTATATGTACGCGGGAAGTCGCTCTGACCTGATGACTGGATCTCTTGCCAGCTGACTTGTGTTAGAGCCTTAACAAAGTCAACAATAGCTTCCCCAGATAGATTCGCAGTATTTGTGAAGATCCTGTCGACACCACGAATCATGTCTGTCGATCGACTCTCTTCGGCAACATCCGCTTGATAATTTACGTTACCGGCATGAGACGGTGGCCGTCGCGCTCCACGAGGGACGTTCAAGGATTTTCGAGGAGTTGGGGATGCTTTTGGCTGCATTTGAGCTTTTAACACGTCAGGGACGGCCCGTTCGTCAACACCAGTAGAAATTAATTGAAAGCGATCAAGCTGCGAGATGCAGGTCAGAACATCTCGCCAAGATTCCTTGAGTAGATTGCCCTCGGTATGGGCAACCTCTATCAAAACTTTCAACGCTTCAACATTCTTAGCTTTCATCTCGCTCAGATTGTAGAGGTTGGTGAATCGCGCTAGGAACGAGACAAATGCCTGCCGCGGGTTCTCGAGATCAAACAAGCAGGATATTCGTATAGCCAGCTTGATGCCTTCAATGCACAACTTCACAATCTCGATGTTGTTGTCCTGGGCTTGGCCCGAAAGTGCGGTGAGGAATGGCATCCACGTGACTTCAAACATGGGGCCGACGTGTTTTGAGGAGGAAGCTGGGATAAACTTCGAAACTGGCAGCCTGGATGCCGTCCGCCTTTGTGCTCGCAGAAGGGACTTGTAAAGCTGTTCAGTCTTATTGGCCATCTCCTCAGAAGCTTGCATGTACGCTTCTCGCTGCAAGTCTCGGCCAGCAAATGCTTGTCCAAGGTTGGCCGCCAGACCTCCCGCAGGTTGAGGAGTAATGCCTAGGTTGGCCGCAGCCTCCTGTTCCGTGTTTAAGACGATTTCATTGTGGGAAATCTCGTCAAAAATGGCGCGCAAATACTCGTCTGGCAGATCGGCGCTATCATTGATACCACGGTTGTTCTTAATAAAGTCCTCCGGTGTCATGCGTGCGCCCTTCAGCTTCTTGCTATGCTGATCCGTGTTTAGCATGATGACTGAATACGCCAACACATACGCTGTATCAGCGTTTGCGAACGCGTTCGGGTTGCCGGTGATATACCGCTCGGCGAACTTCAGCATAAAGCGATCGATCTTCTGGGCTTCGCCAGGAAGGCGAAAGCTTTGGAGAAAGCGTCGTAACGCGTCTACAAAGCGGGTCTTGTTAAAATCCATGAGATCTACAAAGGCATGCATGATAGCGATGTTTTGTGGGTCACCCTCTCCAAGGTATTCTCCAAGCGCTTTCTTGTCTATTTGCTCATTATCGAGGAAGAATCGTGCCATGTCCTCTGGGGATTCCGAAGCGATGAAGCCATCTTTGAGTAACACCTTTACTCCGCGCTTGGGCTTGAAGTTGAATTGGCGTGTCGCGTTCGTAAGGGCAGTCTTTCTCTGCTTTGCCTTCTCTAGTTGACTAAAATCATCCTCGGCTAGGGGAGTCACTGTCCCAGAATCTATACCCACACTCGGGGAGTCGGTCATACCTCGAGCATCAAAAGACTCTCTCATATCATCAAGAGAGGTTCTCGATTCGAATCTTGATACTCTTATGCTCTCGCTCATAGCCTGCTGAGACCAGTTCACCAGGGATCGCAAGATCTCGACCAGGGCTTCTAGTGATTCTTGCTTCATTGCGTATTCTGGCGGATAAGCATGCTCGGTGTCGTGGGGTGTATTCATCGATGCGGTGGAGAGTGAAGGAGGTAGTGTTCCACGGGTCTGCCAGTCCGAATGGTTCGATTGCTTTGCGTGGTGGTCCTGATATGCTTGCTGCTGCATTGGGGATACGGTGACAGGGGTGCTCGATATCCGCGACAGATGTTCGACAATACGCTGGTACATGTTGTCCAACGCTGTCCGATCACAGTCGTAGTTTAGGTAGATCTCGACTAATGCTCTGGGGTCAGCGGCCAACCTTCCGAATACCGTTAAGATGTACTGTTTCTGGAAACCCGCCGCAGCTCGCTTGTCCAGGATAGCGAGGTAAATCTCCTTGAGGAAAACCTCAATTTCTTTCTTGAGCATTACCCGCAGATATTTGAGCAACTGCCAGAAGATCTCGCAGCTGACCTCAAACACCTTGTTGACGGAGCTTGCCCCATTCCGGCTCAAGCTTAGACATAGATACTGCTTGATTGCCTGAACGAAAGTAGTGGGTTCGTCGCTGCTACTGCTTCTGATGGTAGCATATGGCGAAATGAAGACAGCTATGTTGTTGTGGAGTATGGTATGGATTATATGCAACGAGAGCAGTTTTGACCGCATTCCCTGCGATCGCACATCGGTAGCCTGGTCCACGGGGAGGCCTTTTGTGCTGAGCCTGCACATAGCCCTGAAAACCAGGTACGCATCCTTGACGAAGATCTCGTCTTCTTCGTCCTCATCCGAGCCCTCACTTCCACTATGAAGATTTGGGGATGCATCCTGCCCAGATACTTGTCTTGATCCGGGCTTTCCTTTTATTCGAGTCACCAGAGTGGGGGCATTGTCGTGTATCCGGTCGTCGTTGAAGCTCATGTTCTGTTCGAAGCTCTGTAGGGTGATTTTTGGGCCGGTGTGCTTCTCCACGGGCTTGTCACTCGGCTCTTCGGAGTTTGGATCATACCGCTCCTCCTCTTCTCCATCCCCGTTAATCTCAGAGCCATCAACGCCTCGCGTACTGCCGTCGGTCTCTTCCCGCATGCTCTCTGCGGACTCCTCTTTTTCATTGAGGGAGACACGGGACAAGTTCATCCTGGACTCTTTTACTGCCAGTCGTGTTTTAACCCTCTCGAATACAGTCCCCACCATCTGCGTCAACGCTCCCTGGGCCACCTGCTGGTTTGCACTAGATTTGGAAAGCAAGAATATATTGTACGTCAACCGCACCGCCTTTAGCAAGCCAGCGCCATGCACCACGATTTTGTCATTCAGGATCGCCGCCAGTAGCGACTTTACAATCTGCAGCTGGACGTCCGGATGTGTTGCCTCTCCCTGAAAACAGTCGCAAATTGTGTCTATAGCGCGCTCGATCAGGGGGGGGACGTCGGTGTTGTCGGGGTGGGGCTCGGAGGGGACAGAAAAGTAGGAATAGCTGATGAGCTTGCCGATGCAGTCCAAGGCAGTGATGGAGACTGTCACGGTGTGGGCCTCGGAGGCGAGTTGGAGGGGCTCAAAGAGGGTCTCAGGGTTGATGCGGGAGGGGTCTCCTTCCTTCTTGATAGCTGCCAACGCGTGCGCGGTGGAGTCTCCGAGCTTCTTGATTTTCCTTGCATCTTTGGACACCGCAATGGTCTCCAGCGCCGTGACGACGAAAACGAGGGAGCTCCGGGTGGAGGGCCGGGTAGGGGCGATAGGGGCAGTTGCAGAGGTGGACTGTGAATCTGTGCGCGGACGATTCTCCAAGTGGATTCGCGGCTCAAAGAACTCTGCGGTTCGGGGGCTGCTCGCATTGTCTGAGCCATTTGGGACTGCCAGCGTGGGCGTCGATGGAGTAGGAGTGGGAGTGGGCATATCCGACAGCTCCTGGGGGGTAACCTGGGGTGGCCGCGGAGGGAGCGGATCTGGGGGCTCAGAGGTCGACTCAGAGGCAGTGTCGCCATTTCTTTCTTCCTCTTGTACGGCAGGCTCCTGCTGCAGCAGCTTCCTGTTCAGAGGCGTCTCCAGGGGCTCTGGCGGGGGGTCGGTGTCGGCCATGGCAAGTGTGGTGGACACTGGGGTGGGAGTTGGGCGGAGGGTGCTTCTTTCACTTTCAGGCGGGGCGCTTTCCAGCAACCATGGCGAGGAAGTAGCACAGAAGAAGATGTCTACGTGACCTTATGGAGCTGTCTCCATGCAGCGCAATTCGAGAAAATGAGAGCGGATCAAAAAGCAAGGCCGCGGCTTCGCACGGGGGTAATGCAAAGTGTCTTCGACACACATCAGCCTCCCTACTGACGAATCCCTACCAGCACCTGGCCGCTGTGGCTGCTGTGGCTGACTGACCTGAGGCTGTGGCTGTAGTTCTTGGCAGGCCCAGCGCGGGCTCGGGGCCCGACTGTTGGAGATCCGGGAGTCTACACTTTTCTGTTGTCGCCGAGTTCGCCCAACAATTCTCATCTCCCACATCCTCCGCCCGTGTCGAGCGCGCGAGTGAGCATCGCTTTAGTCTCCCCTTCCCCTAACCTCCTCCTCCTCCCTTGTCGTGGTTTCTCTCTAGCCCTGCTTCTCTGGTAATTTGCTTCTGCCAGCTTCGGCATCCCGTCACAATGCCCGCCACGACAACCCTTATTTCACGGGCCGGAGGCCAATTGACCTTGAGGGGATCAATTGCTCTGCGAGGCACCCTCGGCGCCTCACGATCCTCAGGATTCACTCTGTACGTTTCCAGGTCCGATGCAGCGTCCCCGAGCTGGCTTTGCTGACACAGGAGCTGTAGACGACGGAGCCCAGCCCTTTCCGCGCTCGCACGGTACTATGCCTCGAAATGTAAGAAACCACTCTCTGCTGGATCTGCACGCTCCCTATCAATTATTCCGATGCTAATTGGCCTCGACACAGCTTTCCCACCGCACACCGTCGTCAGCATGCCCGCCCTGTCCCCGACTATGACCGCCGGAAATATTGGAACGTGGCAGAAGAAGGTCGGCGATTCGATAGCGCCCGGTGACGTCCTTGTGGAAATCGAGACCGACAAGGCACAAATGGACTTTGAGTTCCAGGAGGAGGGCGTCATCGCCAAGCTCCTCAAGGAGTCTGGCGAGAAGGACGTTGCAGTCGGCAGCGTAAGTTCTTCCACACTTTCCATTTGTACCCAAGCTTGGAAATTCGCATTGGGTTGGCCCTCTCGAGCCCGCTGCTAACCTCTTGCAGCCAATTGCTGTCATGGTCGAGGACGGCGAGGACATTTCTGCCTTCGAGTCCTTCTCTGTCGAAGATGCTGGCGGCGATAAGGCGGCTCCAGCAGCCCCGAAAGGAGGCGAAGCCTCAGAAGCCAGCGAACCTCCCGCTTCTGGGTCCGGTACTGCTCCTCCTGCGAAGGAGACCTCAGTTCCCGAACCCCAAGAATCAGAATCGGCGGGTGCCCGGCTGGAAACCGCCCTCGAGCGCCAGCCAGCTGTGTCTCCTGCTGTTAAGAAGCTCGCTTTGGAAAAGGGTATCGCTCTTTCCGCTATCAAGGGATCTGGCCCGGGCGGAAAGATCACCAAGGAGGATGTGGAGAAGTTCAAGCCTGCTGTGGCTGCTCCGCCAGCTGGAGGAGCCACTGCTGGCGGGCCCACTTACGAAGACACGCCTGCTACAAGCATGCGCAAAGTCATTGCCAGCCGTCTCACTCAGAGTATGCAACAGAACCCCCACTACTTCGTCGCCTCCAACATCTCCGTCTCCAAGCTCCTTAAACTCCGCGAAGCTCTCAACGCGTCTGCTGATGGCGCGTACAAGCTTTCCGTCAACGATTTCCTCGTCAAGGCTCTTGGGGTGGCCGCACGCAAGGTTCCCGCCGCAAACTCGTCATGGCGTGAGGAGGGCGGGCAAGTCTTCATCCGCCAGCACAATATTGTTGATGTCTCCGTCGCAGTCGCTACGCCTGTTGGGCTCATGACCCCAATCGTGAAGAACGTTGGTGCTCTCGGCCTCCAGTCAATCTCTGCATCCATCAAGGATCTTGGTAAGCGTGCACGAGACGGAAAGCTGAAGCCAGAGGAATATCAAGGCGGAACAATCACAATCTCTAACATGGGCATGAATCCCGCCGTCGAACGCTTCACCGCTGTCATCAACCCACCGCAAGCTGTCATTGTCGCCATCGGCACAACGAAGAAGGTTGCAGTCCCAGGAGAGCCTACAGGGGATGGCACTGCAAGCGTCGAATGGGATGACCAGATCGTGATTACGGGCAGCTTTGACCACAAGGTCGTGGACGGTGCGGTTGGTGGCGAGTTCATGCGAGAGCTCAAGAAGGTGATCGAGAACCCGCTGGAGCTGCTGCTATAGATCTATAATGTTTGATGGATTTTCTTTTCTGGGGAAGGGTATTGTGTGTAAGTCCTTCAGAGAGCAAGCGGGTGGTTCGGGATAATCTTGTACAATGATATGGCAATTTTCTTTTCTTTCACCTTCCACTCGAATCATCCCTCTAAGAACCTCTTTTGCCTCTTGCATAGTCTGCACTTGTAACAAAAGATTTGTTCTTCGGTATTTCCTAGGTAGGGTGTGTAATCAAAAATTGTCATAGAGTTCCTTCCTTCCACTTTCATTCTAATCCCCTGATTGCCAAGTCACACAATCACCAACGAAACAGTTGGGGCCTGCCTTTGGTCGTATCTTGACCCATTATCCTCAACAATCTAGTCTCTGCTACTATCCCCGATATTTGGAATGCCAGCCATGGTTGAATCAATCCGCTTTTAGACGAAGATGAAGCCGAAGCCGAATGCGGTATTCTACCCACCCACCAGAACCTTGCAAACTTAGAAGCTGGGAAGTTTCTCCGCAACGCGCCCACGTGCGCTCCTCTCTCCCGACAGCGTACTTTGGACTATGTAATATATATTTTCTGCAATTGGAGACAGTTGTGGCTCATGATCACGAGCTTGTTGTCTGATTAGATTGATGTCTGCTGACATCGGCTTATAAGTGGATGTTCGGGGCTTCTTTAGGTGAGGTTTTGGGAGCTCTGAGCAGTGCCAGGACGCACTGGCAAATTACCTGAGACGACGGTGGGTAAGGATTCGGCCTGATATACGCAATTGTGGTTTGCTCTCCGATAATCGCATATTCATGTTTGACTCGTCATCTCAATGAGAGCACAACAGGTCTTCGAAAGACTTAACCCAGAATGAAAACCACAACAAGCTTTTCCCCCAGAGCCAGAAACTAACCCCGCCGATCTCAAATTCTATATAATTCGACCGTTACCCCACAAACGCTAATGTGCAGCGGGTGCTCGGGTCATTACAGGGATAAATGACACTGCAGCTCTTTTACGCGGCCCTTGCTCAAGCTCCTTTAACCCACGGGATTTTGGAAAGAGTTGGAGCGAAGGATTAGCAGCACTAAGGTTTAGAATACCATTTCCAAATAATGTGGATGTATGGATATATGTTTAAGTTATTTGAGTTCCTTATTTCCTGTGAAGTGTTTCTTTCTGTCCCTTTTCCTCACTTCCTCCCCTAGAAGATCCACCTCACCTCACCATGTTTCTCCCCCCACTCCTCTTCCTCTCCCTCCTCACAAGCAGCGCCCCCGTCTTCGCTCTCAACTTCGATTGGGAAAAGATTCAACTCACCGAAGCAGAAACACGCAACTACTCCGCAATCCAATTCGCCGGCCCCTTAAGCAATGCTCCCAAAAAAAATTGCCGGAGCATCCCCGGAGACGCAGACTGGCCCACTGAAGCACAATGGGCCAAGTTCAACAAGACGCTAGGAGGAGCTTTGCTCAAACCTCGGCCACTGGCGGCAGCGTGTTATAGTGGCCCGCAGTATGATGCAAATCGGTGTCAGGAGTTGAAGCAGATGTGGAGCAATACTTTCTTGCAGTAAGAGTTCCCATGATCACTTGGGTATTTGCTACATAGAGAGAGTGTTAATGGGTTTTTAGTATGAGTGATCCTACCAGTATAATGTCGCAGTGGTCATCAGGGAATACGTGCGTTCCGACTTCGAACCCGAATTCTACGTGCTCCCAGGGTGGATATCCGGTTTATGTTGTCAATGCGACAACAGTGCGTCACGTCCAATTAGCTGTAAATTTTGCAAGGAACTCTAACATTCGGCTAGTAGTGAAGTACGCAAGTCCCTGGAACTCATATTGATGGTTCAAGAGGTGAAGAACACTAATGAAGTGCAGAAACTCCGGTCATGACTTCAACGGCAAATCTATCGGCGGCAACGCCCTCTCCGTTTGGACCCACAATCTAAAGGCTCTCACATACCACACCAACTACAGTGCCCCCGAATACACAGGTCGAGCTGTAGCTTATGGCGCAGGTATCCAAGCTTTCGATGCCTATAAGGCAATGTCCACGTACAACATGACGATGATCGTAGCAGGCGGCTCCACAGTAGGCCTTGCAGGGGGGTTTGTGCAAGGAGGAGGCCACTCGACGTATACAAGTTTCTATGGCCTGGCTGCAGATCAGGTGCTCAGGATACAAGCTGTTACTGCTAGTGGGAAGTTTGTGAACGCTGATGCAGAGGAAAATGAGGATCTTTATTGGGCATTTAGAGGGGGAGGGGGAGGTAAAGCTCTGCTTTATTTACTCTCTCATCAGATTTCTTCAATGCCCAAAATGTTGAAGTAGGAGTTAGTGCTAATTCGTTGTTTAGGAACATATGGCATCATCACATCCATCGTTGTTAAAGCATTTCCAGTAACCCCGGTTGCTTCGGGAAGCATAGCTTTTTCAACGGTAGCGAATCCAGCAATTAAGAATAGTACAGCGGTTCCAGTGGAAACGTTCTGGAAAGGTGTGAAGGAGTATTGGGCATACTGTATCGCTCTCTGTGATGCTGGTGGCTTAGGGTAAGAAAATCTCTCTTTAATGTCTCTACGACGGCTAAATCCCTATTTCCAACAACTACATTCACTCAACCCCATTCTAATTCTCCCCTTCAGCTACAACTTCATCCGCCACACCCACTCGGCCAACACCACAGGCCTAACCTTCACAACCTCTATCTCCCTGCCCAACCACACCATCCCCCAATACCGCCAATTCATCCGCCCTCTTATCCAAAAACTAAACACTATCGGCATTCCCCTTCCCCTGCCCCCAATCCAACGTTTCAACAACTACTACACCCGCGACATCCCCAATGCTGTCTCCGGTGACACCGTTGGAAACACGCGTTTTGCGTCTCGCTTTTTCCTACGCTCAAACTACGACACTCACTCCGCGCTGGAAGAAATGCACGCTGCGATCCGGGATTTTGTAGAAGGAGGAGGATATACGCTTCACGGAATAAACTACTCCCCGACGTTAGAGGTGGCTGGGAATCCCGATAATGCAGTCCACCCAGCGTTCCGGGAAACCATCATGCACGCCGAAGGCTTCGACAGCTCTGCATGGTGGGATGGGAAAACCCCCATCGCCTCCATCTCCTCGCAAAAATCGCAGCATGACCGCTTACAATCTTATATGCAGAAGTGGAGGGATATTACTCCGGGGAGTGGGAGTTATATTAATGAGGGTGACGCCCAGGAGCCGGAATGGAAAGATGCTTTTTTTGGAAGTAATTATGAGAGGTTGGCGGCAGTGAAGAGAAGGTGGGATCGCTGGGGATTGTTTTATACGGTTAGTGGCGTGGGCAGTGATGAGTGGGAAGTTAAGGGGAGTAGTGGGGGTGGGAGGGAGGGTGTGTTGACGCAGGATGGGAGACTGTGTAGAGTGGGTGTGTGAGAGGTTGATAGGGCGAAGATGGACATGCCAAGATGAGACGAGGTATGAGAAGAGTATTATTGTTTTAATCGATGACTGTGTTAACAGAAATCGCAAATAACTTGGTATGGCAGGATGTCATCATATTCCATTAATATTTGTATTCGAGGTGCAGGCTCAGTTACATGTCCTTATCAGACTAAACAAGTGAATATTCGGGAATAATGTGGGAGTGAGATGGTATAAATATCGCAATGCTAAACGAACAATCAGTCACCGTGGAGGTCCAAACCTTTTGGTAGCTACTTGGGGTATAGTATCAAGCTTCTAATCCTTACTCGCCTTGTCAGTTCAGATATTTCCTTTTGCAAAATTGAGAGAAAACTAGCAGGCAGTTACATCTAACAGCCCATACCTTTTGTAAAGGCATTACATCAATTGCAGTGAAGTTCTGCGGTAGCTGCTATGTCTGGTCACGAAAAACCTGGCTTGCAAACATTTACTCTACATTCTTTTCTCCAAAGCATCCTAGGCTCAAGCCAAAATCCGAACCCAGAAAACCCAAAGCCATAAATATTGCACGCAATGTAAAACCAATTCCATCAGACCCCCACCAGACTCCTGGAAGAATTCAAGCCCCCACAGAGGCGAATCTCACAACTCCTAAATGGCAATGACTTGGGGGTGCTGTGAAATTCCGTATTTAGGTGTTGGGGAAGGAGGATGTCGTTTTGGCATTCCAAGTCCAGAGAGGAGGCAGGATACTTGGGCGGTTTGAGAGTAAACATTTTCTGACAACGAGTTGACCGAGGATGAGAGTGTTACATACCTTCCCAGTCTAAGCCTAGCGTTGGAGCTGGCCATGGAGTCGGAGTTCAGGACAGCGCAAATATTTGGGAAGTCTAAGGTCAGAATTACGTCCTTTGCATGAAGCTGCCCCCGGAAGTGTCAGTGAACCAGTCGCCACGACACCAACTCGACGTCCCACTAGTTCTTCCAAGTCTTTTTGAACATGCTCTCACAAGCTAATGGATCTATCAACTTGCCAGTCATACGCTCTAGCACATCCGACACAAAGTTCCATTTATTCGCATCAACTTCCGCAACAGCCTCCCACAAGTGAAGCGTCATATCCGTCGCCTCTAATTCTTGGCAATCTTGTGCGAGCTTCGACTTCTTCGGTGCGCGCTCAAGCTCCCTAGATATACGGCGTTTCTTGCTCTTTGCAGTTGTCGGAGGAGTTTGGGTCTCATAGCTGTCGTGAGATGGCGTCGGGCTGCTACTGTCGAAGATACCATTATCCCCCTCTGCGGTCGGATATTTACGCGGATTGCGGAGATGCATGTGGTCTTTCGAATCAAAGCCAAGATCCCCCATGGTGGCAGCAATCTTAGGGCCGTTGCGTACGAAGCGTGAATAAACAGCTGGTTGTGTCATAGTCGCTGGTTCACCACGCTTGACACGCTCGTTGTTCAGCCAGTTCGCGATATCGCCCCAGCCCATCTTGTCCACGGTGCGCAATTTCACGATGAGACGGTTCTCAGGGTCGTCTTCGACTTTACGGCGGATGGCGCGGGGTTTAACTCTTTTGAGGAAGAAGGAATTGGACTCGAGTTCGACTTTAATGTTGCGGGCGCGGTTTTGGGTGTCGTGGTCGAGGGTGAGTTTAGATATGGAAGGTGGACTAGCATTGTGAAGGCCGATTGTGGATGCGCTGGCAAAGCGATTACCGGCGATGTCGTTCATCGGCTCGAAAAGAGGTGATCCTCCGTCTTCTTGGCTGCTAACTTGCTTCGATTGGTTGCCATGTTCATTGTTCTTGCCTTCACCTGGGGTGACCGATTGATGCTCTTGCTCAGCACCAATACCCGGAGCTGCTGGCGAGGAGGCTATAGCTTCGCCGGTACCTCCTTCTTCGTCACTGACAAATGGGAGATGGCTGGCAGTCTGATTGAGTTGGTTGATATGCTTCTGGCTACGCTCCAAGACAGGCTTACAGACAGCGAGAGAACCCCTCCTGGGTGTAGTAGATGCTGTGGTAGAAATGACACGGCCTGAGGAAGCTTGAAGAAGCTGAGAGCGAAAATTAGTAGCTCCGTTCTTCATAACATCGGAAGTGTCGTTGGTTTTAGGCTGTCCATTGGTCGTTGCCGCGGCGAAGTGCTCCGCGGAGGCGATGATATCGCTGTAGCCATGTTAGCAACGGGAGGCTCAGATGTGTAGATTGGCAGCTCTAAAGCACAATAAAAGTTGAGAAGAGTGAAGTAAGGCTGGAGAAGAGGAATAGTTGTGCGAGGTGTCACAGGGGGGTCCTGATAGGTCAAACTAAAAGTATTGTAGGCTTGTAGGTATGGAGAAGTAGAATAACTCGTGGATAATTGTATTAGTGCCCGAGGAATGTTCTAGGTATATAGTGTGGTGTCCTACGCGGTAAAATACAAAACAAATCAGACTTACCTGCGTTCCAATCCTGCAACAGATTTCTCCTTTGAAGGACCCATCTTGCATACAAACCAACGACCTCCTACACTTCACTATACAGAATTATAGTAAAACAATTTTTCGTGTGATAGCGGGTGTTGCTGTTTGTTAGGATGAAGGTGGGTGATGGGCGGATGACGGTGCTGTGTTGGTGGTGATGATACCAGTATGCAGCCTCAAGGTGAAGACCGCCAAACGCCGACGATGACGTATAGAGGTGTTTTGGCAGTAGAGTGTATGGAACTTCTTGCGGCCTTGTTTTGGTGAGGAGACCAGAAGAGGATGTGCACAGTATTGGTAGGGATGAATACCATATGTCGGTGCTGATGACGATGACGACAGCCAAAACTGAGCTGGTAGTCTAGTGGGGAGTAGAATGTGACGATGGTGGAGAGGGCGGCTCTCTATATTGATAGGGTTTAGGCGATGGGCTGATGGTGTGCGCGAGATCCTGTGATCGGTTTGGGTCGGTGTACGGTGAACGTCCTACACGATAATGTCGGTCAGGAGTGAGAAAACAATCATCCCGGCTAATCGCTCCTTCCAATAATTTAACTGTGGAGAGGCAAACAAACTGAATGAGTGTTAATGTGGAAAGGCGAGAGAACGATAAAAAAAATGGTTAGACTGGATGATCTAAATGCTTGGATGCTCGAAACAGTAGACTATAGGAGGACATGACCCAGTTCGAAGTTCCGCACTTGGGCTCAAATCTTTCAAGGTAGCAAATATGGATGGAATTTTGCAGACATCCTTGAGGAGAACAAGGAGTCTCGGGTAAACAAATAATGACAATACTCATCAATAAAGCCCAAGCTAGCACGCGAATGAGGTAGTATTTTAAATAGAGAATAGGCAAGAACGTGATTAAGCGCTCGGAAACAAGCGTCACAGTAAAAAATAAGGAAACAATAATATGTTTACTTCTAATCGTAATATCAAATTATATCCAAATCTGTTAAATGCCTCTGGATTCCTAGAAGGCCTTTTATAACCCCAAGACCCATTCCCGGTAAAATATTGGCATTGCGAAAATCGCAATAGGAATCTTCAACCCTGGCAATATCTAAGCGAGGTGCAAAAGTATTGGCTCGTTCGGTCCGTTTCGTGAGATACACTGAAGAGTTAACAGGATTGGTCTCCCAAACCCCCAATCCTGTCAACGCATAGCGTAAGTCATTCGAGCTTCTCTTTCTATGAGCATCCGTTCCGACTTCGCTGCTGGAGTCTCCGTAGGCCTCACGGGCCTCGGAGATTGCCGTGACCGGAAAATTGACTTGAGGAGTGAGGTCATGGAGGAGATGGTTGATGTCGATCGCGTGGATGATTTCTCGGCGAGAGAACTTGTGCTTGGTGTTACAGACATGGTGGGTGTAGTATGATGTTCAGATCGAGGGATTATATCAAGATGAACTTTGTTCTGGGGCTTATGATGGAGTCCGAAGACCGGAGAGGTGTGTGGGTGCAGTGTTGAGAGATGGGGGAAAAAATGTAGTTGTAGATTACGGAACCTCCTTTCCAGGAATGGGATTTCAACTCCAATAAATACCCACCTTTCACGACTCACCATGCATTGACACATCCAACCAAACACCATCAAATCATAGATAGATGATCCGTACCGCATACACTACACTGTGCTACTGTTACAGCCTTCCGGCAAAGGCCCAAGGAAGGCCGCATCATCCTACTCAGCCCCATGCACAGGTGACTCAAAAGACGGGCAGGAGCGTCGGCTTGATTTTCAATATTCTGCAGGGTGTCTGCTAACGTACGAGGATATGGGGTGTGTGGGTGAAAATGGTGAGTGGTTGACGAAGCTTGAGTCAAACAATGAACGGCTAAACCGAGTTGGGTATAGCGTGCCATGTTTGGACTCACACTTTTCTAAGGTTTCCAAGTATCTCGCATTACTGCCTTCTTTGGGCTTCATTCTTATGATTTACAATTCGATGTGAAAATTTTTCATGAGATCATGAAATTAGTCAGACAATTAGGTTTCAAAGTAGAACCTTGGGGGTGGCTCGGAGCTGACACGCCACCATCCCTGGGTCAAGCTGCCACATTTGCACCTATGACGGAGAATCTCAACCACCTCATGAAGATGGAAGACAAGAGAATCATAATGCACGTGTTTTCTGGTAAATGATCTCTTGCAGAAAGGGTATGCTCAATTATCCTTGTAATACGTCATGTGCAATTATACTCCAGTTTGTGCCGCTGTAAAGCTCAATTGTCCAATGAACCCAGTCAACTTTCGGGTGTACATCTTCTTAACAACGTATCACTACCTGTGGAACAGAGGAAACATATTCTTTTGCGACTGGTAAGTAAGATGTAGGGTTTGTGTATTGCATGGTGGTCGTTACAGTAGGACAAGATACGGATCTGACATCCACATCCGCTTCACATCCTTCCTCATTTTCTAGAAAGCGGAGTAAAGAGAGTACGGCACCCCAAGGTTCACACAAGCATTTTCCTTCCCTGCTTAAAGAACTAAGCTGCGCATACTCCAGTTTGAGCTATGGCTATGCTAGAGTGAGTGCATCCTGAATGGATGACCTAGCTATTCACTAAGGATGCGGCCGGTAAACTCATTCGAGACTTCGAGAAGCTATCCGTTAGTCTCGGGCCAGAGAGGAAAGCATTCTGGGCGATGGATGACAGGAACTTCATCTGGGACTCTCTCCCGGCTGAGTTGGAAACTGGTGTCATCGAGGTGCTGAAGAACGGCAAGTTTATCGATAGTCCAAGGGTTGTGACTCTGGGGTTTGGCGGAGACTACTTCATGCTCATGGAGAAGAATTCACGTCATTGGCATTTGGCCGACTATCGAGAACTCAACGCAGCCATGGCGACGTTCCGAGATAATAAGGTGTTTTATACGGCCCTGACACGCCCTTCAACAGAATCTCGCCTTGAGCCCGCATAGCGCCCATGTATGAACCGCCGTCCTCAGTAGTGGCACTTCTTTTGTAGAAGGTATGCTGGCGACAGCAGAAGCTGCGATGCCAGGGATGGAGAAAGCTATCAAATCCGGCACGGAGATTCTGCAACATCAACAAGAGCATCGGAGGATCCAGGCTAATAATTGAACGATCTTGTTGAATAGATGGCGACGGCCGAGGCGGGCTCACAGATGCGGCGAAATATGCAGACATATGATTTTTTTTCAACATCGGATATAAGTATCATTATTGTAGGCAGAATCCCGCGGATTACAATTATGGGGGGTACGTTATCTAAGTGGATGGCGATGCAAGAACTACCACAAAGTCGTTATGGGAGATAGATTCTACGATCTTATGATGAAGTGCAACATTGCGTTGGCCGACTGCTACAGTTGGAATCCAAGTGTGAAGAGTGGCTGGCCAGGTAGGTTTGCAGGTTTCTGAAACGCAGTGCAGTGAAATGCTAATGGAAGTGCTAGGTTTTTGGCTGGACAACTACATGTGTGTTGACATCTAGCCACGTAAAACCGGAGGTGACGCAATAGACAATAAAAAAAGCCATAATACCTTAATAGATATCTACAATTCGTCCCGAACATCACTATCACCATCGGCACTCTCCTCTGACTCCTCATCGCTGCTATCCTCGCCTAGATTGATCGGATCTTTCCCAAAGTCTTCGTCCACAACTGCATGGTTTTGTTGACGAAACACTCCATCTTGCATTTTTGCAGCCCTCAGGTACCAGGTAGAGGAATGGCCGGGCTGTCCATAGCTGTCATCCTCGGTAAGAACGCCGTCCAGAGATGGCAAGTAGTGGGGCGAAACCTTGAATGAGCCGGTATACCGGCCAACGAGCTTTGGTGCCCATTTCCGCATATCTTGCTCGTCGAAATGGCGATCGAGAAGCTTGATGAAGGCAATTTCGTCCAAGTTGTGAGAAGTGTCCGCGAGCACAGAGTCAATGGTCTCCTTGTCGGCGACGAGGCAGACATTTTCCTCGTAGCCCGACCAAACTTTCTTGATAGTTGGGATTAGTGAGTAGTGGCCATCGGGTGGGTCGCTGTGGTCGAGAAACCAGTTTTTGAAAGCCCTGAAATGCATGAAGTCAGCGAATCCAGAATTGTGAAAGGATAAGCGGTAGCAGCTTCGAAAATGCCAGAATGTAACGGCCTTGCAAAAGCAAAAGAACCATACTCTCTTGTGGCATCATCATCTGCATTGTCCAGCTTGTCCCTATCCTCGATCCAAAGAATCCGGAACTTCTCCCCTTCCTCAGTTTTATAGATATGATAAGCGCCCACAATTTTCCTCCGAAACGTCTCCCAGTCGGCATCGCTATGCCCATAGTGCGTACGAATGCCGACCCAGCCCCAAGACGGAAGCTTCCACCGCCTTACGCGAAACGCATCATGGAAAAGGTAGAGCTGGCGAATGTGCGAAAATTCATGGTTATTTCTCACTTTGACGTAAGGCTTGATACTGGGAGGAATATAGACCCCTTCCTCGGTCAGGTGCTCGGCTGGTGGATCCACTAGTACGGGCTCTGGGATGTCGGTGCGGAAAGGTGGCCTGGCGGAAGGTGGCCACATTGGGTCGCCCATGGCTGATGTAGCGACGATGAAGAGGACAAGGCCCAAAATCAGAGGGAGCATGCTTACCTATTCTTAGTTTGCGAAGGAGCGGGAACGATGTAATGACTTTGCTGATATGATCTCACAAGAACTAAGCCTAAAATATGCTTCTAGCCAAATTAAGTAAGGTGAATTCCCGGGTTACTCTCACTCTATCTTCACAGTGACGCCAAGTGACGAAAATACGCCCAATGACTACTCAGGACCCAAGACAACCGAATAGCCCACTAACTTTAAGTCCAGTATTAAGGTCCCTTAATGCCTCAATATCCCCTCGCACTACAAAGGGCATTGCTAGCAATATGGTCGCATCTTGATATGACCTTAGCACAGGTACACCACTACAATAGCAGAATTATCTTTTTAAAACGCTAAAGCATGTTCTACAAGTATCGCAATTTAGCCAAGCTTACTACAGCAGTTTGTTGGGCTACGGATGCTTAATATCCTACTGACTGGTGTTAGAAATGTGATTTTAGGACGAGCAATGCCCATTGCAGAAACAGAAGGGAATTGTGCGAACAGGAATGTCGCTTATGTATATGATTATTGGTCGATTGCCTGTTCGGGAGTAGCATAAAACCCGTAAGCGAGACTGGCTGAACGGGGAGCATCCACTTCCCGGTCAGATTGTTTTTTATTTAAAAAGTTAGTTTTATAATCTTTCACTATTATCATATTTTATAGAATCAAAGCTATTTTCAGCGATATACTGGCTTAAATTATTATCAATGTATTAAAGCTGTTATGCAGCATAATCTGCCTAGTCCATATTAGCATAAGGAGTCTCTATTCATGATAAGAAACAAATACTATAGAAATATCAGCGCGTCTTAGAATTGATAGCAGGTATTAAGAAATTACAGACTAGTACCAGTCTCACAGTCTTCCATTTGCATCTTCTTTAGGATGCTCATATAAGGACGTGGCTCCGCACCACTCCGCCATCAACAACGAAAAAAGGTACGAACAATCAACCAACGGCTGATTCGTGTGTAGAATAGTATATCTGCCTTACTGCCCATTTCAATGAAGACGTAGGCAAGGAGGGCAAATAAAGATAGAGACAGACAAATAGCCGACATCGCATTGAGATATGAGTTGAAAGAGTATGCATTTTGAAAATCTGATTGCTCCCCATCCGTAGCGTTCAAAGATGGGGTAGTTTTCATGTCGAGTTGTTCCATGACGACTGACAAATTGTAGATTTCGGCCCAGTAAAAGGATCTATGAGAGCCCACACGAAGCAATAAAGATGAGATGCATGAGGAATGGAACAAGACCGAATAGACTAAGACTTAGTACTAGCTCGACCCAACGTATATTGAAGCATAGTTCAGGAGATATAAGGAAGTGGACAAAACGTGCTCCTAAACAGATTGTTGTGGGGACTTATCGAACTCAGTAAAAGCTAGATTTGGCTTCTGCAGTATTAGTCTAGGGCTACTCCAGACTGTCGGAATCAGCAAAAGACTCAAATGGGTTGTGGTGAGTCCACTTCAATGCCAAGATGCGGCACAGGCATTTTTCATGCAGGAGCCGGATGCAGCAGCTGTGCCTCCCGAGCACCTCAACCTCGTTTATAGTTGGAAGTCTCACACCTCTTCCTATCACTGCCAGCGCTCATGCATCCCTACCTTGCGCCGTTACATCAGGACGAGCCTATTTCGGACGTAAGATCTGCCGCCCCAGAAATGGATCATCATCGATCATTCAAATTCACACCGCCGGACGGAGCTTTCGGCACTTGTCACCTGCCCTCCATCGCCTCTCACCACACTCCACCCTAAAGCAACTCTTGCCTCTAGAAATGTCTGCCCCAAATTACGAGGTTTCTCATAATTATGGTACGAGGTTGCTGCCTCAAGCTCTAGATGAATTGGCGTCATCGACTCCGCATCGTCTCTATGCCTCCATCCCTAGAGAACGAGATCTATCTCATGGGTTTCTCGATGTCACCTGCGAAGACATGGCTAGGTGTGTCAACTTCATGGCCTCCTGGATAACCAGTCGCCTTGAACCAAGCCAGGACTTCGAGACTTTAGCGTATATTGGAATTCCGGACCTCAGGAGCGCAGCGATCTTCCTGGGCGCAGTCAAAGCTGGCTTCAAGGTGAACACGGATCGTGCTTTCGTCTTAGCCTGAATTGATTTCGAGTAGGTTTTACTCCCATCTCCACGCAATCCGTCGGCTACCAACCTCTCCCTACTGGGACAAACTGGATGCACTAAGATTTTGTACGCCGCCGAAGTCACCCCCATTGTTAAGCAACTCAACGCAATTAATGAGAGTTTAACCATTTTGGAAGTTCCAAGCTTCCAGGATATGTTCCAGAGCACTCCTTCATCATATCCCTTTGGGAAAATATATGATCAAGTCAAGAATGATCCAATCCTCATCCTGCACTCGTCCGGATCTACAGGTGGGGTGCCAGACCGTACTACGGCTGAAGGCCTCTAACATTCTGTCAGGTCTCCCAAAGCCAATTACAATGACCCATGCAACTTTCGCGGTGTTGGACAACGAACGGAATTTACCTAAGGTCCCTGGCCGCCGGAACAGGGACTATTCAATCTGGGATTTTAATGACGGCGGCCGGTTCTACACAGTCTTTCCATATTTCCACCTAGCAGGATTTCTCTCCCTTCTCGTTAACCCGATCTTCACAGAGGCATCGAGCCCTGTTCTGGGTCCCCCTCTTATGCCACCAAGTGGATCACTTCTCAAGGACGTCATGAGGCACCAAGAGTTGCGTGCACTTTATCTGCCTCCATCTATCGCGGAGCAGTTTCTGCTCGAGCCTGGGGGAATTGACTTTTTTAAAGATCTGGACTTTCTTTGCTACACGGGCGGTCCTTTCTCTCCATCCGCGGGAGAGCAACTATCGATGGTCACCGAGCTATGTCCTCTGTACGGTTCTACGGAGGCTTTCCAGGTCCCACAGCTTGCCCCTTCCTCAGAAGACTGGGCCTGGATGGAATGGAATCCCTATTTTAAGGTTGAAATGCAACCATCCGAAGATGAACATGGGGCTTTTGAACTTGTTCTCTATGCGGATTCATCAACGGAGAAGATCTCGGCTCTCAACCATAACATGCCGGGCACCCCAATTTACCGCACTAAGGATCTCTTCAAGCAACACCCCGAAAAACCCCAACTGTGGCAGTATTATGGCCGTAGAGATGACATTATTGTTCTCTCTAATGGGGAGAAATTTAATCCGGTACCTGCAGAACTTCTGGTTCAGGGCCATTCAGCATTAGCTGGTGCGCTTGTTATAGGTCAAGGCAGGACTCATGCCACACTTTTGGTAGAGCCGAAACCTGACTTGGGCACCTTAGAGCGCGAAGGCCTTGTGGATAGCATCTGGCCTTTGGTGGAGAAATCGAACTACCTTTTGCCTGGCCAAGGTCGCATATTACGTGCCAGTATTCTCGCGGCCCACCCTGCGAAACCGTTTGTACGCGCTGGTAAGGGAACCATCGTCAGAAAGCTCACAGAGAAACTATATTTGTCCGAGATTGAGGCGCTGTATGCAAATAAGCCAAGTGCGCCAATACGCAAGCTGCCCACGCTTAAGCCAGTTTTTGAGTCAATGGCTATCCAAGGCTTCATTCAAGACATCATTGCTACCTCCTTCCCTGACTTTGGAATTGTTGAACCTCAGGAAGACCTCTTTTCTCGAGGTCTCGATTCGGTCATGATAACGGAGCTCCTCAGCACCCTCAAGGTCGGACTCCAGGAGAGTTCTACCGTTGGCGATCTTTCATGGCTTGATGCCCGGGTTGTTTACCAGAATTCTTCCATTGAGGGCTTGTCTAGGATACTGTACGACTTCCTCAATGACGACAAGATGCCCACTCTTGATTCCGAAAATTCCCGCTCTATCAGAATGGAGGAGTTGGTCCAACGGTACACTGAAGGCTTGATGGAAGCCTCGATTAGGAAGCCTAAGTCCATAGGACCTCATTCTGTTGCTCTTATCGGATCGACTGGCTATCTAGGCCCGCGAATTGCTGCTTCGCTGCTGTCCAATCCAAAGATATCATCCCTCTATTGTCTAAATCGCGGCTCAGACGCGAAGGACCGCACAATAAAAGTAATGCAGACACTGGATGTGTATCCCCAAGATGCCTTCGAGAAGGCAATATTCCTATCAGTCGACCTGGGCAGTTCTCGATTGGGTATGAGCGATACTGAATACCAGGAGCTAGCGTCAGAGGTTGACATTATCATATATAATTCCTGGAAACCAGATTTCAGCACTCCTCTTCAATCGTTCGAGAAACCGTTCCTCACCGGGCTTCGATCTGTTATCGACTGGAGTTACGAAAGCCCTAAGGCGCCACGAATATTGTTTATCTCATCTATTGCCGCGGTTGGAAGTTGGTCGAAGGTTTACCCTGATCAACCTGTCATCCCCGAAGTTCCTATTCAAGACTGCAATGTAGCCATGGGGATGGGCTATGGAGAATCCAAATGTGTAGCTGAACGAATTCTCGGTGTTGCCAACCAGGTGGCAGGGATCCCTGTGAGCATCCTTCGTGTTGGGCAAATAGGCGGACCTCTTGGTCTTGGGAAGTGGCCAGTACAGAAGTGGTTGCTCGCTATCATCAAAACCTCGAAGACCATCAAAGCTTTGCCCGACCACGTCTCACCCGTAGACAGGATCCCAGTGGATGCGCTTTCAGATGTGATCAGTGACATCGCGAGTGCGGGAGCGGTGTCTAACATGTTTCAGATATTTAATTTGACGCATCCAGATCCGGCACCATGGAAGACCTTCCTGCAGACCCTGATAAATCGATATGGTCTCAAGGTTGAGATTGTTAGCCTTCCGGAATGGCTTGATAAACTTGATGGCGTCGTCAAGCTCGATGGAAAAGACCGGGCAAAGCTTCCAGCACTTGCCTTGTACAACTTCTTTCGATCTTTGGGAGAAGGTCTAGAAGACATGAGAAGTGATGTAAGGAATATGAAGAGTGTCTTAAGGAGGGGTATGGATAGCTTTACTGAGGAACTGTTAATGGGTTGGCTTCAGGATTGGGACTTGGAAGATTTCCTGGAAGGCATTATCTGAACTTAGGGTTTTCACGATTACAAGGAACGTCCTTTACATATGCACATCATTCGAGGGGTTTGTGACACCGCCGAAGTGGATGGATGAAGTTTGGCGGCTATGAGCACCACTTACATCTTTAGTCCTGCTTGTGGATAGAATGCTTGATCAGTCGAATGTCTCCTCGTGCCTTAGCTTCTGCTTAAGAATAAAAGACAAATATTCTTTTAGTTGACTGTGAAACTTTGAAGACCATCTTCCATTAAGGTTTTGTTTGATTTTCCACGCGATTTTAACCCCTTTACCTCGCATACACAGCTAAAACAACCACTCCTCTAACATATGTGTTAGATGTCACAAATATTTTCCTTCCACCTTTACTAAGAAATCATGCCACTAAACTATAGCTACACTAATGAATATTACGTATGCTGTATATTCAAATAATATCTTCATGTTCTTAGACTAAGAAGAGAATTTCAAAGATTTTTAAAGAAGTTCTTTTTTTTAAAAATAAAAAGCGAAGCTACTGTAAGTTTTACTTTAAAAAAGTGAATAACTTTTTCAGAAGCTATATTGTTAGTTTTAATAAAGGCTTAAATCTCACTCTAAAATATAAAGTAAAATAAAAAAGTATAACTAGTTAACTAAATAGCTTATTACTTTATATTAATAAGTTTATAAAATTGTTGTCCTTTTCTAGGTGACACATAAAAGTGGATAATACATAGCTAAGATAAACTACTATATTCTAGTAAATACTAAGTAAAAGATGGAAGGTTTATCTTAAACTTTACCTAAAAGATTATAGTTTTAATAAAGTTAAAGTTTCAAACACGTATCATTATTATATTCTAAGAAATTATTAAAGACTTAACTTGCTAATTGGATACTAGATATAATACTTTATCTATTTCCTATATTTAATTTAGATAGTATAGAGTTAACTAATTATATCTTTTTATATTTTACTCTAAGACTATCTTAGATTCTTTTCTAGTTATATAACGTACTTCATGGGCGAGTTGCTTACACACCTGAGTCGCTTACTTTTGCTAAGACCCTACTAAACCACCCTTCCTACACTAATGCATTCCCCACAATACTACTTAGACGTGCTAAAAGAATGTTAGATACAGCTTACACTTTAAGCTTTTAAATAAAACATAAAACTTTTAAAGAAATGTGCTATAGCTATGTGTAAAGTTTTATAAAAAATAATAAATAACTATAGCGCTAAACAACCTTTATAAGCTAATTCTACAGCTAAATTATAAAGGCTAAGTAATAAAAAGAAGTAGGTAATTATTAAGACTATACTTAAGCTATCTGCGTAAGGAATTTCCCCTTAGATAGCATTTATAGCTAATATAGCTAATTCTTTACGCGCTAAGCGTAATCTAGGCTATGTTTATATAAACTAGCCTAGTATGTTTATAAAGCGTTATTTAAAGCTTAAAGTAAAGTTTTAAGCGTAAGTATAGTTAAGAGATATCTAGCTAATTATAAACTCTATTTTACTAAAGTTGTACATGTTATTATCTTAGATGCTATACTTAGCTTTAATATTCTTTATAAGGCTAAACCTGCCCTAAATTACTCTAGGACTCTTATAAAGGGCTCTCTTATAGTTATACTTACACTTAAACATTACTTTAAGCTTTAAATAACACTTTACAAACATACTAGGCTAGTTTATGCAAACATAGCCTAGATTACGCTTAGCGCGCAAAAAATTAGCTATATTAGCTATAAATGCTATCTAAGGGGAAATTCCTTGCGCATATAGCTTAAGTATAGTCTTAATAATTACCTGCTTTTTTTTATTACCTAGCCTTTATAATTTAGCTGTAGAATTAGCTTATAAAGGTTATCTAGCGCTATAGTTATTTATTATCTTTTATAAGACCCTACACATAGCTATAGCACATTTCTTTAAGAGTTTTATGTCTTATTTAAAAGCTTAGAGCGTAAGCTGTATCTAACATTCTTTTAGCGCGTCTAAGTAGTGTTGTGGGGAATGCATTAGTGTAGGAAGGGTGGTTTAGTGGGGTCTTGGCAAAAGTAAGCGACTCGGGTGTGTGAGCAACTCGCCCATGAAGTACGTTAGTATATAACTACTAACCTAATACTATTCTAACCTGTTTAGGTTCTTAGGCTCTAATGTTAAATTAGGCTTCTTATCGACCTAGTACAGAGTGCTTATCTTTAGTAGTATGCGAGAACATACAATAATTCGTGTATGATCCAACGAGCCGAAATAACCCTCTCCTAAAATTAAGTTTCCTTCAATTAACTTGGGAAAGGCATGGTTGCTGGAGACTTATATCCATTCTTCCCCACCGCCCGAATCCCAAAGATCATATTATCCTTGCTTAAAGAAACCGTGGCAGTATTAGCCATGCCAACAAACAGCATATGCGTCCAAAGAGGGGCAGTTGTTGGCCTCCAGACCACTTCGTACCCAGCTAAGTCCGTATCGTTGCTCATAATCCATTTGAACTTCGAATCGTTGCCAAGGGTGGTGGTATCGACGGTGACGTTTCGGACGCGGCCAGGTGCATTAGCAAGGGACCATAGCGTGGCAAGATTCACTTTAGCTACGCGGGCTGTATATTCAAAGTCCACGAACTCCATCAAGTCTCCATATTGCGTGCCATTCTCGATCCGGATGTTTTGGTGTTGGTGGTTGAAGTTTTCGTTTGGTTCGGTGTATCGAATGGCTGCATAGCCTTGTTGTAAGAATGATGAGTGATCACCACCTCGCAGATAGCGATCCAGACGGTTGATGATGGCAATGTTCATGCCAGTGACATCATTTGCGGCAACTTCGTTGGAGAATCGACCTAACTCTCTTGCAGGCGAATCGTTTTCTCCTCCGATCTGCAGGCGTGTGGCAGTGACGGAGGCAGATTCCGTTAAAGGTGGGCCTTGACAGAAGATGCGAATCGTAAAGGGGTCCTTCTGCCCTCGGTCGCCAGTTGAAGATCCAACTATGTCGTTATTTAACATTCCCTCGACGTTCGTACTCGAATTTTTGAGAGTCTGGGCTAGAAACGTTGATCCGTACAGATTCTGCTCTTCCCCAGCTACAGCTCCCAGAATGATGGTGGCTTTTGGCTTCTTCGAGGCCAATATACGCGCCAGTTCCATTACCACTGCTAGATATTAATATCAGGTTCCAGAATGCAAGATAAATGCCCGACTTACAAGCAGTACCGCTCGCATCGTCATTCGCCCCAGGCGCATCGGACGTATAATCAAGGACGTCTGTAACTCGACTATCATAATGGCCAGTAATCACATACACTCTTGCTGGATCTGAAGAGCCCTCGATTGTTGCAAGGACATTAGATATTTTTACAGGAAATGGAATTCTGGACGCAACGCCCTGGGTGTATCCTGGCACGGTGACGGTCATCATTCCCTCTGACTCATTCGCGTACTTTCGCATCTCGGACGCTATCCAATCTCTTGCTGCGCCTATTCCACGCTTTGGATCCGTCTGGGTTGAGAGAGTATGTCTTGTTCCAAACGAGACCAGCTTCTTAATGGTCGCTTCAATACGGGCTGGGTCGATCACAGCGAGCATCGCTTTTAGTTCATCGTCGGGCGCTTGCGGTACTAACTCGACTCCTACTCCAGACGGAGGCCATGCTGCATTTGCGCAGTCAGTGTAACTGCTTGCATTGGCGGCGACTGAGGGTGGTAATGCCTTCGGTAGGAGTAGCTGGTTGGCACATGCTGCCGTTAGTAGTAGACCGAAGGATAATATTGACAATGGCATGGCGGAGAACTGGCAAGTGCGGACGTGAACCAAAGCCAATGCAGGAACAGGAGCTTTTAAATTGACACTCTTCGACAATAGCCGATGCATGACGGAAGACGAGTTACCGGGACGCCTTCCAGGTAGACATAGCGAGTTGCCTTTAACAGCTAGATGAAAAGATGGTTCCTGACAACCCTTCACCCTCATTTGAGATTGCTGTCGGCTTCTACAAGGCCAGCGGCTCGGCAGCCGTCATTTCTTGGTTATCGTGAGTGGCGACAGGATTAGATTGTAGCTGATTACTGGAACAAGAAGGTGGGGAAATGCTTGACTCAGAAATGAATATCATCATTCATGCAGAAAATGAAAATGAGAAAATGATCTTTGTATCTCGGAACGTTCGTGTTCATATCCATGGAGTGTTTGTTTTTGTTCCGATTCATCCTACGGCTATCTTTTACTTGTTCTGTCTTCATTCTCTATAATTAATGCTGCATCAACATCAGTATCAGCATTAGACTAAAAAGATCGGGTAGATACCGTGACAGGTGACCTTACAATTCACCTGGAATGGTAGCTACTACGAGGACATGGGTTTGGGAGATAGATGAAGATGAGCGAGGAATGAAAGCGGTTGAAGCTGAGAGCCGTTTTCAACCCCAACCGAAGCCACAAATTAGCGGAAATGAAGGCGTCAATCGAGCCAATTACGGAACCTCTGCCAACCCAGGCACCAGCGAATCGTCTCGCCCTCCGGATTTGCGGGTACATTAACTCTCTCAGTATGAGTATAAACCTACCAGATTCTATCCTGGTTGACTCCAAACAAAACTGTTTGTAAGTTTTGCTCTAAGTTGCAACCTCTGGCGGAAAGGTAAATTCTAGACGTGGACCTAAAGGCTTCTAATCTAGGAAGCCTACAACCTTCACTGGATCTAGCTAACCCCTCAATGGTCACTCTCAATGGACACCATCCCGCCAGAAATCTTCGACCAAATCCTCCAACACGTGCGCGAATACAAGGGTCCTTGTGACCTGTCAAGATACTACCCGCACAACATCGACCCCACGTCAGTGCGAACAATCCTCAATCTTCGCCTTGTCTGCCGAGACTTCAAAGGCTCACTGACTCTCGAGAGGTTGTTTAAGGAAGCCGTGGAGGATGCTGAGATTCTAAAGAAATGGAGGAAGACGTGGAGGCCTAAGGGGTGATGGATGCAAGTAGGAAATAAAACCACACGATGGGAAACCGAGGATTCTATGACAGACCTTACTTGAGGGGCAAAATCGGAGAAACTTCTTAGAATCATGATACCAAATCAATCAATCAATCCCTAATAGCCCCGAATGAAGGTAGCCCAGGCCTAAGCTGTAACGCGGTAACTAACATCAATCTTGGGACTCACACGGAAAAGGCCCCGGGTATCCTAAGAAAGCAACATATTGTACATGGCCCGTCCCTTTAGTTTTCTGGCCATCACCGCTTCCTCGTCCTCCTCGGCGCCGGTCTCGCTCGCCCACCACTCCGACCCGTTTTTCGCGTGCTCGGAGCGGTCTCTTCTTCGGACTCGGCAGTGTCTTCCTCTTCGTTATCATCTTCATCCTCGTCTTCTGCGGAATCCGAGACTGCAGATTGGGCCTTACTGTGCTTAGCAGCTTGCCCTAATTTGGTAGCCTGTCCCTTCTTCGCCGCCGCGGCTCGGCTTGCGCGTGTACTGGCTTTTGTGTTCTTGGGTGTTGGTGTGGCGCCGGATGCACTCTCTGCTGCCTCCGCTTGACGCGCTTTGAGCCCTTCTCCTCCTGGTAAATCATGTAGAAGACCGATCCCCGGGTGATACAGCGCTCTGTCTTCATCGGCAGAGACCAGGGGTGGGGATGAGGATGCGACGGATTCGGGGCCATGGAATCGTCTCTCCCACATTAGGCCGCCAAACTCGTCTTCGGGGAGCTCAAACTGGGGCAGTTTGGCGGCTTCTGTGGGGTCAAGCGGGTCGGGCTGATTGTGGAAGGTATATGCGAATTCGCGCTCGTCGAGAGCGTTGAGGTCGTAGAGCTGATGGAGCTTCTGCCAGATGCCTGGGATGCGCGTGTGCGGGGTGTCCGGGGTGACGAAGCCGTGGGAGCGCATGTTGTTTTGTATTGAGATCATGCGGAAGTGCTTGTGCAGGCCTATAGTGTGCCGATTAGATCGAGACTAGCTACAGTCAAGACCACAGAGGTCCTGGTCCTACCTGTGGGCTTCCATTTCATCATGCCCTTGAAGAGCTGCGTCTCTTGTTCATCGGTCCACGGGTCATTGAGCAGATTCTCGTTCTGCGGAGAAGCTTGCTGCGATTGCACTGCGACGCCTGTGTCTTGGGGAGTCTTTGGCTGCGTCTCGGCCAGAGGCGTGGAGGCCGCGCTTGCCTTTGCCCTCTTCCGTGGAGGCATTGCGGCGGTGTGAGGCTCGGAAAGTCGTGGTTCATAAGACAGATGTCGAATGGAGGGGATACACCCAGAACACGTCGAGGTGGGAAAGCAGTGGGTGGATCGTCTCTCGTGAAGTAGTTGAGGTCCCAAGGCCCTGCAAGTACGAGGTGTGCTAGGTAAGGCCGTGGTCGTCATCCGTGCCGAGGCTCTCCTGCACCAACCCACTCCCTCTCTATGGCACCCCATCTACACAATGGACCACGATGACTGCATACCGGATACTTTCAGTACGGATCGCCTCTGGAAGCCTTCTCGGCTCTTCTTAGATCCATCTTCATACGAATCCTTGCTATTCGCGCCATTGCAGCTTGACAGTATGTTTCGTCGCGTCTTGCGGGCAACACGCGTCGAGCAGTGGTTGACCAGCTGACAGTTCCCTCAATCAAGTTCGACCACCCCTATGCCCCGAAGGAGCCACTTGATCGCGACTTGCGCCTGCCAGACCTGGACGCGTTTGAGTTCGGACCCCTCCCAGAACTAGAAAGTCTTGACCAGGCCTCCTTTTCCACTGATGCCCCGCCAACTGAGCCGGAGGATGATATTTGGGAAATCGCAATAGAACTTGGCCCTGCGGACAAGGACTCTCAGTTTTTTACTTGGGAAGCCTTTGAGAATGAAAAGCATCAAGAGCGCTACACACCGTATATCTCTGAATCCGGTCCCGAGGCCTATGATGCCGCGCTCCTATCGGAGACCAATGACAATGAGGATGCCGTAACCGGACGGATTCTTCGGGGAGATACTCTCCTACACTCTTTATGGAATTTGGGGCTTGGTCGCTCTTCCCTCTTGTTCAATTTCAACCGAAAACTGCGGACATTTGTCCCGGCCATTCACGATGGACGGGCATCGGGGACTAGTCTTGAGTCCGCCCAAAGCCTCATAAACCAATTCATATTGACTGGAAATACCTTTCTTTACCTGCGTTCCTTCGTCGCGCGCACCTTCGCATCTGCCACTTCCATTCCTGCGCGGGTCGCTCTTGCTACCTGCGTCTCAACCATCCTCTCCACTTTCGAGGACCACCTCGGGCGACATTCGCAGAATATCCGGTCCCTGCTCCAGCTCCAGCGGCTTTTTTCTAAGTCTCGAGAGGTTTTGGTGTATGTTGCTCGCCTTGTCGATGCTGTAAAGCATGCCAAAACCAACGAGCACCTTTCATCCATCATCCATCATCGCGTACTAGAGATTGAAGATGGTGATAGAGACCTCCGGCGACTCGCAACCCAGATCCTGCTCCGCGTCGCAGCACCTAGCTTGGAAATTATTGGCGAGTGGATTGGAATTCGAAAAGAAGACGAAACCGTGCCAGTGACAAGAAGAGGCGCTTTCGTTTTTGACGACAGCCCTGAAGGGAATGCCTCTTCGGAATGCACATATTATCCCGAGATGATGCCGCGGTTCGTTTCTCCGGAAGACGGTAACGTGATATTTGAAACGGGCAACAGCTTGCGCTTCTTGAAGCTGCATCATCCGGAGCATCCTCTGGCCTGCGTGGAGAAATTTGGGATTCATCCTCCTCAATTGGAGTGGAGGTTCGCATGGGAAGACATCGAGGCAGTTTCTACGAAGGCAAAAATCTATGAAGAAGATCTCCGGAGAGCCATCCAAGATTTTAGTGGAGGAACAGCGAGGGAATTACAAGGCACCCGACAACCCCACGCTAGTTCTGCTTCCAACACCTCCATAGAAAACACGACCCCGACAGATATCGCGAAATATATCGAAGAAATGGTCCAACTGTTCGATCAAGCTCCCAAACATTCTTCTGATACCCTTCCAGATGAGCTCCAACTCCTCATCGAACACATAGTATCCGACGGATCTACCACTGAGCCTTCAAGGTTGTCATCCTTCTCTCCCCCTTTATCTCTGACTTCCACGCTATCCTTCAATCCTCTCCTTGCTGCGCAAGCAAAACTTGTCAACGCAACGACGCTCCGCCTCTTCTTCCGATCGCACCGCCTTCGCTTACATCTTTCCCTCCAACGGCAATACCATCTTCTCGGCGACGGCGTTTTCTCTTCTCGTCTCGCCTCCGCGCTTTTCGACCCGGAACGCGAAACTGCTGCTCGACGCAATGGAATTATCCGCAGCGGCGTAGACATGGGTCTCCAGCTTGGTGCGAGGAGCGATTGGCCGCCTGCCAGTTCGGAGCTGAGGCTTGCTCTAACAGGCGTCTTGAGCGAGAGCTACTACGAGTCTGCACTATATTTTTCCACCCAAGCCACAACATGTGGTGAAGTGCGCACAAGAGCAGAGAAAGACGAACTCCCCGGTCAACTCAACTTCGCCATCCGAACACTCACGGACCTGGAAATGGAGAAATGCAAGGATCCAGATTCCCTCTATGCTCTGGATTTCTTGCGTTTGCAGTATGTTCCGCCAAGCCCACTGAACCTTATCATCACGAACCGCACGCTCGAGAAGTACGACGATATCTTCAAATTTCTGCTTAGACTCTTGCGAATGCTGTTCGTGGTCTCGCATCTCCCGCGTCAGTACCCAGATACCGAGTCCCGCTTTTTCAGGATGGAAGCGCATCACTTTATCACGGCGATTTCTTCATATATCTTTCAGACCGGCATCGCTGAGCATTGGCATAACTTCGAGACGTTTATAACGACTGTCGAGACACAGCTACAAGAAGAAGATTCTGCCAGCGAACTCGGCACCCGCGTAAAAGAAGGCTTAGAATCCCTGAAATCCGCACACGAACAATGCCTCGAGGGCATTATGTTCTCGTTGCTTCTCCGGCGCCGACAGAAACGCGTTATGCTGCTGCTTGAAGAGATCTTCGACCACATTCTCCTTTTTGCGAAATGGCAGAACCAGAACCAGCGAGGAGAAATCGAAGAGGGGAGAGAGAGCGTGAAAGACCTCTACGCCAAACTCCGCGGTAAAATCAAAGTCTACATTAGCGTGATCAAAGGCTTAGTAGGCAAGAAAGGGTACGGAAAGGGGCGAGGTAGTAGCGAGGAGAATAGTCTAGAGAGGTTGGGTGTGTTGTTAGAGATGAATGGCTATTATGGTAGAGGTTCTTGAGGAGCGAACAAACATTTGATACCCAGCTCGATTCATTCAATGGAATATTGATACCCACACTACTATGTATCGTTTCACACGTACCCTTTCCCTACCGTCCCCTCAACCCCCCTCACCAACCCCCACCCGGCCATCCAACTCCCAACGACGGCAACCGCACCCACAATCCCCGCTTTCACAACTGCATTCCCCATCACCCACTGATCCGTCACACACTGCACAAACACTAGTACAACTACGTGCACCAGAAACGCGGGATAACTGTATCTCGCTACATCAAACCCCCAAAAGGTCCATTTCTGGTTGAGGTATTTGGAGTTTTTGAAGAAACTTAAGATGATGGAGGTGATGAGTATGCCTGTGACTTCATTCCAGAGCGAATAGATGGAGGAGAAGTGGTTGAAGCCGCCGCGGAAGTAAGGGAGGATGGTGGCGATAGGGGGACGAGTACCGGTTCTCTGCTGCTCTGTAGAGATCTGGGATTTCAAGCTTAGGAGGCCGGAAATGGTGATAAGGAGGAAAGCGAGGATGAGGGTGATTCGAGTGCGACGGGGAATTAGTGAGGACAATCCGGTTTTGTAGTGTGTGTGTGCGAGTATGCCGGTGGTGTAGAAAAGGAGGTATTGTGGTACGTAGCCAGGGTTAATGTTTAGGGGCCTAAGGCGGGTTCCGAGGGGATAGGAGATGCGGATTAGGAAAGAGAGCGTGGATGTTACAGTAAAAGCGAAGAAGACTTGGATTGGGGATATGGTTTGCGGTTTGGTGCCTGGCCGTCTCAGGACTTTAGTTGTAGTGTTGCTGTGGCGCTCACTCCTCTTCCCATCCCCATCATCTTTCTTCTCTGTCATCTTCTTACTCTTCCTTTTCATAGCACCGAAATCCTGGCGTCTGACAACTGCATACACTCCATCAAAAACTAACAATAACCCACAATACCAAACCGGCCCCCTAACCCCCCTCACCTTCCCAACCTCCCTCCAAAACCCCTTCCACAAACCCCCTTCCCTGCTCTCTTCCCCCAGCATCACCTGCATCATCACCCAAATCCCCGGATTCACAAAAAGCGAATATACCACCATCGGTATACCTAGCCTCTTTACCTTTTCTCTTAAGAACTCTCCCCTTCCTTTCTTAGCGGCTGCCAGGGCGGTAAAGTATCCGGAGAGAAGGAAGAATACGGCCATGAAGAACGTTTGGTTAAGGATGTTGAAGGCAAGTAAGGGAAGGCTGGAGTACCGGGTATGGAGAGTGGAAATGTAGATCCATGTTCCGGTGCCACCGTAGGAGATGCTGGCGTGGCTGAGGATTACGAGCGTGGTTAGGAAGGTACGGAGGTTGTCGAGGTGGTGGGATCGGGGAAAGGATGAGGTTGGGGTTGGCATGGCTGGGGATTGAATTTGAAGACGGGGGATGTTTTGTATGGGGATCAGGATTGGGGGAATTTTTGGGAAGAGGGATGAGGAGTTGTGTTTGTTTTTGTTGGGATTTGCGGGGGGTGGTTTAAGGCAGCAATATTAGAGATGTGGAGTTGTGATCCGAGATACGAGGCATGTCGTCAGCTGCGGCGTATACACCAAAATACGATCTCGCTCGCTATTAGTTTCATATGAGACTGTTCAGCTCCTGGGAGTGTCTGGACGCACCTCGCAAACATCTACAGATATCCCAACATCGGCCGTTGGATTGGGGCTACTGCTAGTAATCCCCCACTCTGAAACTTAGTAGCAGCAAATTTTGAAAGAATGTCATGCGATGGATGAATCCTTTTATGTTTCTATTCCCCAAATCGTCTAGAGGCATTCCTCTTTGCATTCGCCCCCAGTTAATCCCTCAACTAGAGACATGAATGAAATCTGTTAAATAAGTGCATCACATGTAGGAAATTCCCCATATTAAAGTCATGACGAGGGCAACTATCAGGCCTCTCCAGCCATATTCTTAGTCCAATAGTTAGTATATTCTCTTCCCAGTAACTTCATTCGACCTAATCCTTCGTTGAGAAAGCAGTCTAGAAACACCAATCTAGCAGTATGGTGGAGAGGCTGGCCCGTAATAGAACTGTGCTCAGTGTCTCAGACATTCTCATAGTCGATTCTAGGGTCCCGCATGTCAGTAGAAATTGGTGTTGGTATAGTGTCTTTTGAATTGGAGTCAGGTGAAGTGTGAAGCGTTTTTGGCGGGATCGAGGAGGACTGCTCAACGAAAGGTAATAAGGAGTTTTCAGAGGTGGGAGGGCTGCCAAGACTGAAGAGAGCTGCGTTTTGGCAGGGAAGCTTGTCTTTTGACCTGCCTCGTCGCTGGGATGCCTGGGAGCAGGAGCGGCTCTGTTGGCAGCGACTGCAACGGAGATTGCCTGACCGGGCGTAAACTTCGCAGATAGAGGCAACATTCATGGTGGTTGGATCAGAGAATCAAGTACTCACCGAAGAGATTGGGTTGAGGTTGAGAGAAGCTGTAAGCCACAATCAACTCACTGCATTTGTGTAGTCAGCGAAGCAAACGAAGAGCTGCTTGGCAAAGTACCGGAACGTGTCATGTAAGTTGAATTCCTAAAGAAATCTGAGACTTTGGTAAGCTAACTAGGAGATCACTAATCTCGCATTCTTCTTAATGGATATTTTGAATGTATCTACGTGCCTCCTACCTATTCAATTTCAGGTTTAAGTGTAAAGGGTGTATACTTGTGCTCACGCGAGGGCTTTGCGTTATCTCCATAAATCCTGAAGAAGACCGTCCTTTGGGGAACTCAGTGGGGGCAATTGAATGGCCAGTTGCGGCCAGCAGCGTTCTGCGCCATGCCGAGTATCTTCCTAGGCTCTGGCTCGATCGGTTGTCAAAACTACCTTTGCCGCAAACTCGAGGCGGAGACATTCCAGTGATGTTTCGTCATATGCCGAATAGCCTTATTTCGCTGATACTTTGGAAAATATGTAGAGCTCCTCCGCAAATCCATTAGTAATGAGAGAGCGGAGCTCTGTTCGTTGTGGAGATCATAATACCTCGTGTATGAGCTTATGGGTAGCCTAACCTATCTTCTAGGGTCAACGGTGACTGACGCGACGCCGGGATCTGAATTTGTCACACGTTTCGCAGAGGCTTGTGTTCTTCGCATTATTGTTCTGGTGGTCAGCGAAGGCAGTTGAGATGTGAGCTCCCGTTGAAGCTAAATGTTTTGGTTCTTGGGAGCGGGGTAATGGCGGAAGCTTCAAGCCACGATGACCTCACCGTCATGGTGGACAAGGGTAGTTTGCGTTTCAGGAGTCACAAGGCTGAAGATGGACGGAACCACGATGTTTCTCCCGCGGAAGCTTCTGAAAACGGAACATTCTGTGACATTAGTGGCACAAGCACTCCAGCCATTGATTGGATCCCTGATGCCTGGCTAGCCTCGACGTCCTCATCAACGTTGTGTGAGGATCATCAATGATCATCAATTCTGATGCAGGCCTGACAAGGCCCATAGTGAGAGATAGACAGGAGGGCTCTGTATCTTGCTTCTTCCAAGAAGCTCTGGTGCTAAATCCGCTCTATGTGTGGCTAGTGTAAGCGCCAAAGCCAGCATGTCGGAATACCGCATTGATGCATGTGGTCGCAACACGGTCTTCCACCTCCAGTCACCTGTGACTGGCCGGACCTTCATCATCCTCCAGCGACGGATAGCTGCAATCCTTCTGGCGATGGCATAGGCGACCCTGACAGTGGTGGCGGAAGAGGCTCAGCCCTCCGAGACTATGGCAATGTGGGAAATGGCATGCCAGAGGACGTTGCAGAGCCCGCCAAGGATAATACGAGGCATCGGACATGGTCTTTGCCGTTCATAAAAATGTGGATGCACGATGCACGAGAACGGCAATCTGTGGCTGAAGTTAAGCGAACGCATGCAAATCTATTGGGTGTCCCGCTTGGGAGGAAAAAATCAGGAGGAAGAGCGTTGACGCGGCAAAAAGAAACGGAAAAGCCTCAGATAGAAAGAAAGAGTGTCGAATGCGACGTGACAGAAGGACCCCCGTGGACACCCTCGCCTGCATCGTGTTGCTGTTGCTGTTGCTGTCCTGTTGCTGTTGTTGTCCTTGCTGGGAGTAGTCGTCGACTCGCGGAGCGGACTACTGCTGGCAAAAACGCGGCGACGTCGTCATCTCTCTCGTTCCTTCCTAGATCCCGGACCTCTCGCCTTGCGCTGCACGCCCGGCTCCTGCGGTGCCTCCTCAATATCAGGAACCGCTCCCACACAACACGGCATCCGCGCGCTCTGCTCCCCTCTCCTTACATGCCCTCGTGGTATCGCCGCCGTCTCGCTGTTTGCAAGATATCTCTTCCGAGCCGGCTAAGCCGTTGATCAGTCGCTCGTTTCTCCATCAGGTCTGCACATTCGTTCGTTGCTTGGCGCTTGCGACGCTCCTCCCCTCCAGCACTCTTCCCTCCTGCCCCCATCTCCTCCGCAAGTCATCCACGGCCCTCGCAGCTGCTTTGGACCATACCACACTCGCAGGAACCATTCGCGCGCGCCGGCTAGCTCAGCGCCGCGGATTAAATGAGGAGAAGGTCTTCTGGCTCCAACTCGGAGGACGACACCTCGACTCCCGAAGCTGTCCTCACTGTCACTCCGCATGGCGATAAGCTGAAGGAGAAGCGGAGAGCCGCCGATAAGATAATAAAAGACGGATCACACAAAAAGGACCGCCGGAAGGACAATGCGTCGGTGCTGCGACCAGCGTCCAGCAAGACCCACCTCTACAACAACAGCACCATGGCCTCCGCACCATCCCCGCCCTCGAAAAAGGGACAGCAGCCCCCAGTGACTCGCCTCGCAAGAGACATCACCGCCGACAGCATGGTCGAGTGCCATGGCAGGCGCCGCTCCCGTTTGCGAAATCCCTGGGCCTGCTCGCTGCTGACCCTGATCACTACGCTGGCCGCCTTTTGCGTGCTCTTCCTCATGCTTCAGTCCTTCATGACTAGGCAATTGGATCCCAAAGGGTGCGAAATGTCATATATGCGGCCTGCATTTGCTAGATTTTCGGATTTTGATACCGAGCATACCCGCTTTGCGAGCAAATACTCGCTGTATCTGTATCGTGAGGGAGGCATAGACGAGGATATCAGGGTACGTCAATCCATCCAATTGAGGCATCATCTATGCTCACAGCATCCCAGGTCAAAGGCGTCCCTGTTCTTTTCATTCCCGGGAACGCTGGAAGCTACAAACAGGTCCGACCCCTCGCCGCCGAAGCAGCATATCATTATCACAACGTGATCCAACACGACATTGGGGCGAGCAGGGCAGGAAAGAGACCGTTGGATTTCTTTTCGGTGGACTTCAACGAGGATATTACTGCCTTCCATGGACAAACATTGTTAGACCAGGCTGAGTACCTGAACGACGCCATCTCCTTCATCCTCTCTCTGTACCACACCCCGTCCCGCTGCCTGCGTGACTCGGATCTACCAGACCCCAGCTCGGTCATTATCGTTGGGCATTCAATGGGAGGAATTGTTGCCCGAACGATGCTTACAATGCCGAACTACCAATCAAACTCTATCAACACAATAGTTACACTCTCCGCCCCCCACGCACGACCTCCGGTGTCCTTTGATGGAGATATTGTGCGCACATATAAAGAAGTGAACGACTATTGGAGACACGCGTATTCGCAGAAATGGGCCATCGACAATCCCCTCTGGCATGTCACTCTGATTTCGATTGCTGGAGGAGGGTTAGACACTGTTGTGCCCTCGGATTACGCCAGCCTAGCGTCGCTCGTTCCTGAAACACACGGTTTCACTGTGTTTACTGCCTCTATTCCGAATGTCTGGACCGGCATGGACCATCTGGCCATTACCTGGTGTGACCAGGTTCGAAAGAGCATAGTCCGCGCCCTGTACGACGTGATAGATGTTTCAAGACCAACACAGACGCTTCCGCGCGCCGAACGTATGCGAGGATTCAAGCGATGGTTTTTGACTGGCCTTGAGGATATTTCAGAAAAGACCCTGCCACACAAAGGTATGCGGGACGTTTCCGTTGTACGAAACCTGCTCACAATTTCCAATAGAACCGAAAACCCTCCTCACTTTGGAAGACAATTCGAACGCAATCGTCCCTCAGGGTGAGAAACTTATTCTAAGGAGCCTTGGGCAAGCGCAGAGGAAGCCAAAGGCCTACCTTCTTCCAGTCCCACCACAAGGAGCACCAGAGGGGAGAAAGTTTACTTTACTCTCCAATGAGCGGCTGGATTCGCCTGGCGAGTATGGAAAGCTCGAGGTCCTCTTCTGCAGTGTCTTCCCGCTACAGGCTGGACAATCAGCAGCCCTCTTCTCAATGAATATGGACCTCTCTGGCGATAGTTCCGGATCAACACGGCTCGCCTGTAAGAATGCCGCCGACGACGTGATCACGCTTCCAGCCTCCACCCGCCATTCGAGTCAACCTTTCAAGACAGACGAGCAGCCGTTCTCGTACCTGCAGTATGACCTCGAAGATCTTGCCGAGCATCAATTTGTGGCTGTGGTCGATAAGGCAGGCGAGCACAGCACTGGCTGGGTTGTGGCGGATTTTAATGCTCCGTCCCAATCAGTCATCGATATCAACATGGGTCTGCAACGTCTCTTGACTACTGGTCTTAGCATTAGACTTCCAGCGCGGCGCCCGATGGTGCTAGACATCAAACTTTCAGCCCTGCACTCAAGTCTCCTAGCTTATAAGTTCCATATTGGTAAACAAACCTGCGACATGGGAGAGCTATTTGCACCTCTTCTTCGACAGTACATTACAGAGGTTTACGAGTCCAAATTCTTTGTTAACGTCAAGGATGCCAACATTAACTTGCATGGGATTGCGCCTTACATGCCTCCTCCTTTCCTGGCCAAGGGCTCGGGAAATGGATTGTCATTGCAGATCTGGACAGATCCAACCTGCGATAGCGCCATGGACATATCTTTGAAAATTGACGTGCTTGGCAGCATGGGCAAGCTGTGGATGCGCTATCGTCTTGTCTTTGCCGCTTTTCCTCTGCTTGTTGTTGCTCTTGTCCTACGACAACAGTTCAGAGTATACGATGAAACCGCCATCTTCATGAGTTTCTCTGAGGGCTTCAACGAGTGCTTGCGCTCTTCGCTACCCTTCGCCTTCGCTGCGTTAACGTTCTTGTCAATTTCTTTGGCAGGTGCGCATCACCGGACCTCTAAATCCGCCCAACACTGGCTTTTCAGTGGTGGAATGGGCAACGCCTCGAATCCGTTCGGCAACACCAATCACGAGCTTCTTCTTGGATCCGACGATGCCTTCTTCTGGTTCCTAGTCCCGCTCTTCGGATTGATGTGTGTGGGAACCTGCGCTGTGGTGAATTACATTGCACTCTGCCTGACCTATGCTCTCACCATGCTCTACTCGGCCATACACTCAACCTCCCTTCGCTCTGAGGATGGCAGGAGAACCCCGACAACCTTTGCTGTCACCTCGACCCGACAGCGCGTCATCACGACCTGCATTCTTCTGTCTCTAGTATCGACAGTGATACCCTACCATTTTGCGTACATGGTACTTTGCATCGTGCAGATAGCGACTTGTGTGCGTGGCTACAAACTGGTCAGGGATTCGGTGAGTACTTGGTCTCTCCTACGATATCGTTGCTAAGAGCATATAGCCCCTCGATACAAACTACAATTTCTACAACTACGCCCACTCTATCCTCATCCTCATGATTTGGATCCTCCCCATCAACCTACCCGTACTGGTGGTTTGGATACGAAATCTGGCTGTGCATTGGCTTACCCCCTTCTCGTCGCACCATAACATCCTGTCTATCATGCCCTTCATACTCCTTGTTGAAACGCTCAGTACTGGCCGCATGATCCCACGGGTTCAATCCCGCTTCCGCCTCTTTACCAGCCTTTTTCTCTTCGCTATCGCCGGATACGCTGCCATCTACGGTGTCACCTACGCGTACGTGCTTCACCAACTTGCCAACATACTTTGTGTCTGGTTTGTTGCAATCCATTTCGACTTCTCCTCATTATCCGTTCAAAGACTCAGCACGATGCTAGAAACAATGGATCCGGATGGCAGCGTCAAGAAACGACCTTAATTACAGACTTCTCCTCCTCTCTCTGGTTTTTGATTTGGTTCTTTAGACGACTTTTCTCTTGGAAACGCTACGCTTTAGGGCTTACCGTTCATGGCGTTAGTACATCATCTCTCCTTCCGTCTCGCAGCGCTACACGCGAACGAGGATTTAATAATACCCCCTTTCTTCTTTCTCTCTCTCAAGCATCTCTTGCATCGGCGTTCTGCGGATAAATTTCAACCTATGAGCATTCCCGAGTCGGCCTTGATAGAGCTGCTAGTGGTCTGTATGTATATAGCGATGTTCTCAGCTTCCAGGCCAGCATATGTTTGTTTTAGTTCATTACTCTGCAGACTTTGTATTGGGGCGGATTCTTCTCTCTCAGCTTAGGCCTGAGACTAGGGCAAGACGCTGCCATCGGCCGGTAGGGGTTCGGGAGTTCAAGGGTCGAGTGAAACAGCTGTCTGGGGGAGGGGAGGGTGTTTGGCGAAGACGAGTGAGGTGGAAACAAAGAAGTTACAATGGCAGGAGAATAGTGGAAGTGACTAGCAAGACGTGGTGGACAGCTGTTTATTAAGTAATGTTGATAATGTTTGGATGCCAGCGAGTCATTCACCCTACCTGCTTTGGTGTGGCCACAATGGAAGGATGAAAGATGGTGGGATAGGTACTGTACATACATAGTAATTGTGCCCCTGTAAAACACAGGGAACGCTCGACACTTTGTGCGAGAACCGAGCTTGAATCATGAGAAGATTGACTTGAATTGATCTGGGCACTATTATCACAAAGGCTCATATCACCAAGCCTGGAATGAGGGCTATGGCCTTAACCTGTCCGGGGTTAGCGTGGCTTGGCTTGAGCTTCGTGATGTACTTCCATGAATGATGCAAAGTGTCCAGAAAAGAGTTGGCGCCTAACATCCCGCGCAACACCAAAGAATAACTTCTGCAAGCTCTTCAAAGCTCACTATAACTCCGCGACACCAAGTCCAGCCCCACGGAGCCTCTACCAAGGCTGGCCACACCCGGCAATTCCTCCGCACCCCTTCCACAATGGCATGGACCCTCCACGTCCTTCTCCCTCCCTTGCTAATCCCTGTCCCCACAGAACGCCCTCTTCAACTCCGCCCTCCGACAAAGCATATCTATCCGCAAAGACCTCGACCTCTTCGCCGATTCGTCATCACCTTCCCCCGCGCTCCAGGGCCAGATCAACGCGTCCCTAACCTCGTTTTCGCGGACAATTGACGACTATGCGAAGCTTGCGAAACAGGAGCCTATTGCTACGAAGCAGGAGAAGGCGTTTGAGAGATTAAAAGGGTTTAGACAGGAGCTAGGGGACTACCGAGAGCAGTTTCAGAGGATAAAAGGGCTGAATGATGAGATGGTATGGTTGTCCCTCTTTCCCTACCTCTTCCCCATTGGCTATGCATATATGCCAATGCCAACAGCTAGATACGGACATACTAACAAATAGATGTATAGCAAACAACAGCCGCCCGCACCGAACTCCTCGGCCGTCGTCCACACCACGCCTCTACGCCCGAAAACCCCTACGCCAATCCCTCCTCTTCCACGCACACCAACCCCCTCTTTGCCGCCTCCACGTCCGCCTCTACCCAAAATCCCAACTCTCCATACCGCCCCAACCCTTCATCCTCTTCGTACGCTGGCACCGCCCTTGGCGCCTCTCCACAAGACTACAACCGCGAATCGCATGCCTTCCGCGAACAAAACTTTCTGTCGCAGACGGGCGCGCAACTTGACGAGTTCCTGGACCGCGGGCGTGCCGTATTGGGGGATTTGGGACAGCAGAGAGAGATGTTGAAGGGCACGCAGAGGAGGCTATATAGTGTGGCGAATACCCTGGGGGTGAGTGGGGATACGATTAGGATGGTAGAAAGGAGGGCGAGACAGGATAAGTGGATTTTTTGGACAGGCGTAGTATGCTTCTTTCTATTTTGTTGGCTAGTGTTGCATTTTCTGCGGTGAGAGGGGAAATGTGTTTAGACTGGAAGACGGTTGGGAGATTCTGGAAGAGAGCGAACGGTTGTTCTTCATGTTTTACTTCTTGTGTATCCATATTTTGCGTATGTGGGTTGGAATGCTAGGCGGCGGCGTTTGCGAAGGAAGCTTTACCGAGGGTTGCACGCCCTTTTTGACGGGATTAGCGTTGAGTATTATGTGCATGGGCTTTTAGATCCAGGCCAGGCTGAGCAGGCAGGCGATCTTCCGATCATCACTCCATCGAAATATTGGTTGGACCGAAAAGTGTTTACCCAAAGATATTATCTTGATGGGTGAGTCTGGGCAAACTCATCCAATCCTTCGGTATCGTCGTAGTCATGACTATGGATTCCAAGAACACCTGACTTGCCTACTATTACCCATATGAAAATCACCTCCCTTCAAGATCTTTCCAGAGTAAAGCGATATCCCTTATAAACACCACTCACAACCCTGCTCCCCTCCCCTCCATTCCACTGCACTCCACCACACACCCAAATAATCTACATAGACAAATTTCGAAACCCAACGGCCTCCTATCAATAGATCATTGAACGTGTATAGTAAATCCCCCCCGATGCAAAACTTTCGAAATCGCTAAAGCATGATAAAACCATAGATAACCTGCAGACTAAAACGAAAAAAAGCAGTACTGCAAAGAATGTGCGGATTACATAGGCATTCCGTAGTGCATCTGGAGCTGTATTCTTGTTACCTCGTCCTCCAACATACCTTGTCGTGCAACGAGGTCGTCGATGATGTCGCCCTCCATAACAGGCATTCCCATGTGGGGAGAAGTAAGGGGTAATTCCATTGGGTCGTACACGGATGGCGCCAGAAGAAGTTCCTGTCCGGAATAATGAGAGGAGGTGAGATAATGAGGTGCACTGTTAAATCTTGGGAGCCCGTGCTTCCACATTCGACGATTCGGGGTTCGGCCCCGGAAGTCATCGTACATGCCATAGTCGGATGACTGGTTGAATATGTCATCTAAGAGTCGGAGGATCCTGTGTCTCCCAGGATTGTGACATTGTGAGACATGGTACATGACCTTCTCTCTTTTGGCGTAAAGATGTTGTACGCACATGGAAATATCGCTATGGTGAACGAGATGGCGAAGCGATTCGATGGCTATGACCCAATCTCCGAGGTTGTGGGTACGCTCGTGTCTCATGACGTGAATATTGTTGGTGCAGAAGAAATTGACCAGTGCAGCGGCAATATGCTGCGATTTGGCGTAACCAGCCAGCAGACTAAAAGCTGTGAATCGCCGACGACAATGCGTCAAACCGCCGTCACGGACTGGCTGCTCGATGTCCCTCATCATGCAGTCAAACAGCTCCTTGATCAATCCGGCCTTGAAGCTTTCAAAAGCCGTGTCATAGCGTTCAAGTAAAAAGAAGACTCTTCGAACGGCAAGCATGGAAAGTTGGTGGGGAATCATACCCCTGCTCTTGCGGGAGACTTCACCAGCGACCGCTCTTGCGTCGACTTCACCCCGATACTCGACTTTGCGTGCAATCCTGGGCAGGCAATGTTGTATTGCAAGGAAGTTAACGTAGAGGGTCCCTTGGTCGGTTATGACTGGGATAAGTTCGTCGAAATAGTTTGCTCCGAGAGCGTCGAGCGGTGTTACCAATCCATCTGGAAAGGCGTCAAAGTGGTCGAAAGGCATAAACGCCATGTTAGTTAGAGTAGGTCAAGGATGTCCTCAACGCAATTGATGTATTTCGATGGTATAAAGAAGACCAGCTGAGAAGGTTGATCCTAGATCCAAAATAATCGACCCTTAGGTCGAGGAGACGGAAGACGGGAGGGGTCCGAGGACGAGGGAGAACTCGCTTTCCGCTATATATCTGCTGTCATGACAGCACGGACATTATAAACCAAACAAGACATAACCCAGCAGCAGGTCCCCATGTCGTATCGAGTTCTTGTTTGTTGTTGGGGTGTGACTAGATCTGAGCAAGGGTCACTGAACGCTGTCAATCTGCCGAACAGCAAACAAGCGCACCTGAGAGGCTGACAAGGAGAATACTCACGCGTTCTATCCCACCCCTTTCAGCCAGTGAGTGATCGAGTTGTCATAAACTCCGCTCGGAGCTCACCGCTCATTCAGATGAGGCATGCAGTTGCTGTGGTAGTGTATGCTCACTGGGGCATCCCGATCCGTCTCACTTGGCAGCTACAGTAGCTTTCCGCAGTCGCTCGAGGAGAGTTACCTTGTAGTCTATGCTTAGAGCTGACTGGGTCGATCATCGATCCTCGTCTCGAAGCCGCATGGTAAAGGCCCAGAAGAAGACCTATGGTGTCAAAACTATGAGATGAGTTCGAGATAAGAGATGCTCAGCCTACTTTTGTGGTGCGCCAACAAAACAACGACCAAATACACAATATGCAGACTCAGGCTGTGATCGAACACATCTGCAAGAAAATTAGGGGCTGGGGCAAACTAGGCGCAGTCAAACTGGGCGGTTCTAAGGCTGGAAACTCGACAAGCAATTGTGCATGTTTGAGAAGGCGATCATAGCGTGTCACAATGTATGATTGTGTCTTTTGATATCTTGTTGCTCGTAACGCAGGCCTGGTGTTCAACCGCGGCTTGCTCACAAGCAGTGTAACCAGTCAGTGAGTAAACTGCTCAAGTGTGCTTTCTAAGGCTAGACGCTGGACGCTGTGCTCTCCGGAGAAGAAACACGAAAGAAGCAAGACGATTGCCTGTTTGGCACCGAGGGCTAGAGTGAAAGGAGAAGTTCGGTGTTTAAAATTAGTGCGCATGCAAATTGAATTAGAAGAGGGGACAGTAGTTCAGCTTCCTACCAAGGATAAAGCAAGCTAGCACCACGTGATCCTCAGCCATGCTAAGAAATGAGTGATTGCTAGTCTGCCTAGCAGAGTTATCTGTCCCTAATGCCAACGTTTCAAGGCTAAGCGTGAAGACTGGTCCGCCTCATATGAGCAATCAACAGTACGTAGTGTTTGTAGAGGGTCACACTGACGGTGTCCCTAATATGTAAGTCAGCAGTCTATTAATGATGTGATAGGTACAAGGTATTTCGCAGAAAAGAGGCCCCAAGGCCGACATAACAGCCCAAGCCCTCCTTTTTAAATGTCATTCTTACATTACACTCACTACTCGTCTCACCAATCTAAACCTCCAGCGCCCCTCTCACCCCCAGCTACTATCATGCTTGCCTTCCGATTTTCTCCTATTCCGTCCTCAAGCTGACTGATCATTACACCCTTCCTTCCCTTTCCTTGTATGGCCTTTAATTTCTTATCCAGAGCCTCAAACGGATCCTCCGATTCACTCTTCTTGATCTTCCATTTCTCGGTCCCAAGCACTGAATCAAGCTCCTCGACCGACGGCAATTTGACGTACACCCAGCCATCCTCTCTCGCCTCAACCGGGAACACGGCGATATTAACGCTCTCGTCGTTAGCGCACCGTCCCGCATTTTCGCCTCCGAGTTCGTAGTTGCGCTTGTGGTAAGGACATGAGACCCAGAGCTTGTTGTTCGCGATATCGTCGCCAATAAGGCCATCTGAGAGGACAAAAGCGCGCTTATGTGGGCACATTTGCTGTGTACAGTACCATTTCCCACGAACCTTGAAGATAGCTAGCTGGGTATCACCTCGTTTGACTGCTTTAGAGTCTCCAGTGGAAGTATCTTGGAACTCTTGCGCTTTGACTAGCGGCTGCCATGAGAGCTCACTCCATTTGTGGCCTCGGAAGTCCTCGGTCGCGGAGTCCTTAGGCCAGTATGATGGACGCTCCTGGCCACGTTCCTTGGTTGGCTCGATAGTGTCGTTGATATTCTCGTTAGTGTTTGCGAATTGAGAGAAGAGGGCTCTACGGGCAGGATTCTTAACGACTTCGGTCCATTCGCAGAAGTAGGAGTCGACTAGTTGCTCCATTTGCTTCTCAAGCTCCGCGCAGATTCCGAGCTTATCTTCCAAGATGACTTCTTGGAGATACTTGATGCCACCTGGCAAGTTCTCAATCCATCGAGCTGTTCGTTGTAACTTATCGGCTGTTCGGATATAGAGGGAGAGGTAGCGGTCGAGGATAGGAACGACATCGTCCGGAGGCACATCCTTCGCCAGGAGTTCTGAATGCCTAGGTTTCGCTCCTCCATTGCCACCAACGAAGATGTTGAACCCTTTCTCAGTAGCAATCAAACCGAAATCCTTGTTCTGTGCCTCAGCACATTCACGGACACAACCTGATACACCTCCTTTGATCTTGTGAGGCGCTCGAATAGACTTATAGCGCTCTTCAAGTCGGACAGCCATACCGACACTGTCGCCAATCCCAAATCTGCACCAGGTTGTGCCCACGCAGGATTTGACTGTTCGAAGAGACTTTGCATATGCATAGCCAGATTCCATGCCACCGTCAATCAGTGCTTCCCATATGGGAAGAAGATCCTGTTTCCTCGCACCAAACATATCAATACGCTGTCCGCCAGTAATTTTGGTATAGAGATTGTATTTCTTTGCAACAGTTCCAATGATGATAAGCTTATCGGGTGTAATCTCTCCCCCCGCCATTCGAGGAATGACTGAGAAAGTACCGTTTCGCTGGATGTTGGCCAGAAATCTATCGTTCGTGTCCTGAAGACCTCTTCGCGGTTCGTCGAGCAGGTGCTTGTTGAATAGGGAGGAGATTATGGATCCAATAGCTGGCTTACAAGCCTCACAGCCAGTCGACTCCGGCTCTTTTCCGCACTCCTTCATAACATTTGAAAATTCTTTCAAGCCCTTGACACTGATAATGTTGTAGAGATCCGCGCGAGAGTATTCAAAATGTGGACATAGATGATTCTTGACTTCTTGGCCCATCGATGCCATAGTTTTGTTGAATATGGTTTGGACTAGAGGCATACAGCCACCGCATCCGGTCCCAGCTTTCGTACACGACTTGACGTCGCCAATGCTCTTGCAGGTTCCATCTTTAACATTCTTGACTACGTCACCTTTCGTAACATTATGACATGAACAAATTTGAGTGTCGTCGTCACTACAAGCTCGTTAATAGTCACTCCATAGACGGTAAGGGGAAGGAAACTCACAGATCATCCCCATCATCTTCGCCCTTACTCGCACCAACGATGAGCTCACTCGGTGGGATCTCCAGCTGCTTCTGATTCTTGACCATTGGTACCAACTTGACATAGTCCTTCGTATCACCAATCATCATTCCACCGAGCAGATACTTCCCATCCATCGTGAAAAGATACTTCTTGTAAACCTGCTGGAATGGATCCTTGTATGTCAAAGCCTTGACGGGGGGCGGGGATGGACCATCAGTGAGTCTTCTCACCTTATCTTGGGTTCCTTCTGAACCTTCTTTCTTTGCAGCTTGTCGTCGGCCAGGCATATTTTTCGGTCCATCTCGATCCGCGAAGAAGTCTCCAAAACTAGCGACCTCAACGCCAAGGAGCTTTAGTTTCGTGCTGAGATCCGGTCGTTTGAATTTCCGTGGGGAGTGAGCTTTCGCTTGGGTGAGATTGAATGCGAGCACATCTGCCATTTCAATACCAGGGGCAATAAGACCAAAGGTTTGGTTTTCCCAACTTGCACACTCCCCAATGGCGTAGATATCAGGGGTGGAGGTTGAGAGGTCAGGGGAAACTACGATACCACCTCCTCGATCCGCGCACTTGATTCCGGCTTTCCGTGCAAGCTCGTCTCGAGCTTTGATACCAATCTATCGATGTCAGTGCCCACTCCTACGCAAATTAAGAACCTATCCTTACCGCAAAGCAGATGCACGAGCAGTCCATTTGCTCACCGTCTTCAAATACTACGCCTTTTACAGAGTTATTCTCATCCGTCAAGATCTTTCCAACGCGCTTGCTGAGGAGGACGTCCAAACCGAGTGCTCGAACTTGTTCCACAACCATCCCGCCTGCATCACCGTCTAATTGTCTCGAAAGCACCCACCGGTTTCTCTCAATTAGCTTGACCTGACCAAAATCTTCTAGATCCATCATCGCTTTAGCAGCTTCAAGACCTAGCAAACCACCTCCAACAACCGCACCCGTCGTACCCTTCCTCATGCTCGCAAAGTCGATGAGCTTTTCCAGATCGTCGATTGTGCGATATACGAAAACACCTTTAGCATCGTGGCCGGGGGTGTGCCTTGGGAGCACTGCGTCGGACCCTGTGGCCAGAACGAGGATATCGTAGGGGACAGTGTCCCCAGCCGAGGTTTTTACAACTTTGTCTTCCGCGTAGATTTCAGTGACTAAGGTGTTGAGATGGTAGTTTAGGGAGCCTTCGGGCATCGAGGAGTACTGCCACCTTGTCAATCCCCTTCTTCCTAGATCAAATTTGAAGATTGTTTCAGAAGAACTCACCCATTCTCTCGGATTCAAATATAAATTCTCGACTTCTCGATGTTGGAAGAAACTCGTCAATCCGACGCGATTATACGCCAAATGTGGTTCCTCGCCAATCACCACGATATCATATTCTCTCCTCTTAACATCCAACTTCATGAGTTTCTCACTATCCTGAAGTCAGCAAAAAGACCCAAAATTTCTAAGAAAATGCAAACGGCCAGCTTACATAAACGCAATCCCCACCATCCCCAACCCAACAACCACAATCCTCTTCCTCTCCGTCCTCTTCGGCAACTCCTCTTTCAACGCCATCTCTTCCACCTTTTCCGGGAGCGTATTCGCCTCTGTATTATTCCACTCGCTATTCGACATATTGGCCGCTTTGGCTCCCCAATTTGGATTCGAAGGAAGGGATGATGGAGGACTGTGGGATTCGCCACTCGTAGGTTCTATCCCTGGAGTTAGGACAGGGATCGGATCAGACATATGTGCCTGTCTGAAGCTAAAGCTCCTTGCAGAGTCGGGGGGGTGTGTGCGATTGGAAGCTGAAAGACCTGCAATGCGATGTAGGTGGACGGGATAAGAGAAGGCGTGCTCAATGGAGCGGCCGCTCTCGACAGAGAAGCAATCCCAGGCAGAGAGTTGAGTGAAGGATGAAAAGATGGAGGAAGAGTACACAGTAGATCTACAAATGAAGACAGCTAAAAAAACGCTTAGGTTGTCACTGTCCTAGTCCGGAGTAGCTCTCTCTTCGCGCTGTACAGCTCTGTCTGCTTGCTTATCGAAGCTAAAAACAAAGATATCCCAACAACGAACACCACTTTGTGGCAATCATAGTTGTATGTCTGTCTCTGTCTATTAACGCCTCATTAAAACCCACCCCAGACACCAGTCAAATCGCACACAATACAAATTCCCGCAGCCGTTCCGCAGGATTTAACCCCATTAACCAGCTTTCTCCTCTGAGAAACGTCTTCTGGCCCCTCCATGGATAACACGAAGCCCCGCGGCGCCCGGAAATGCAGCCTTGACGCAAACCCGTGCTTTCGGGCTCCAGCCCAGACAAGGACCAAGGAAAAATTTAGCTCCGTTGACAATTACCCTTACCATAATTGCTTGTTGCGGAGCTCCGGGGAGAAAGCTGGTTGCAGTAGATGGGCAAGTCTGCGGGGCGATCCTGATAAGGGATAAAATCTCGATGGTGCCAAGCTCCTGCACGCGAAAACGCTTGGGCGAGATCGCGGAACGGAGATGCGGGTGCTTCTTCAAGATTCTCCGAGTCAGCTCTTTTCTCTCTCAATGTGTAGGGATTGACTCGGACAGTGATGCGAACGAAGGACAGATCGCGCTGTATCGAGATCTAGAATCGCATAGCATCGCGTTCTCAGGATTGCGCCCTGGCTGTCTTGTGACTGCAGAGTGATGTCAAAAGTCAAGGGAACAGCCGTTGAGTGGTTGAGAAAGCGGAAGCTAGATCACGAACCTCGCATTGATGTGACAAAGAGTACTATATTCAGAAGTAATTTTGGAACCGGTCATAATCGTGATATTTACAAAGCTCCAAACGAAAATGACGATATGAAAAGGCTTCAGATGCTCCCAAAAACGCCACTTTTGCAAGTCTGTGTCCTCGTGAAGCCCCCGTTCCCCGTGCTTCTTTGCACAAGAGACTAGAAGAACAGCAAATCTGCATCCGACCAGCCTTGCTCATTTAGGATAGCGTGTGCGCTCTTCTCAAGCGCTTCTGGACCGCAGATGAGTACCAACGCATCCTCATCCTCCCCTCTGACGCAATGCTCTTCCAGCAATGATGCCCCGATTCGGCCTCTCAATCCTTGCCAGTCTTCAGGGCCTTGGGTGAGAGTATAGATCAGTTTACATCGGTCGACATTGTCTCTTGCAAAGGTGTCTAGATCCTCTTTGCAGAGGATATCTTCGACAAGACGGTTCCCATCGAAAACAACGCACGTAGTGGGATCTTCCTTGTCCTGCATGACGGCGCGGAGAACCTGGAAGATGGGTGTGATGCCTGAACCGCCACAGATCATAAAGAAGCGCCTCACTTGTCGCTGCACGCTGTTGACTGCGCAAAGACCATGGCCAAGGTATTCGAATTTTCCAATGGGTCCTTTGAAGTCTACGGTATTACCAATTGGGATCGCATCGAGTGCTTTCGTCATCTTGCCGCCGGCGCGCTCTTTCGTGTCAAAATAGACTTTCACAAGGACGTCGCAGAAGCCTTTCCTTGTGGTCTGAGAAATAGGGGTGTAGCTGCGAATGATGTTTTCTTGCGTCACGGGATCGCGAAGTCGGATCATCAGATGCTGGCCAGTCGGCAGACCAAGTGGCTGGTCGTCATGCTCCAGCTTGAAGGTGAAGATTCGGGTGTCCCAGGATACGGAAACTTTCGAGTGGAGAAGGGCTTTGTTCCACACTCTTGAGTTGAGGAAGATCGGCCTTAGCTCAGTGGACTCATTTTGCGGTTCTCCTTCTGCAAGAATTCTACGGGAGGCCTCATCCAGAGATCCAATATGATAGGAGGGCATCATCGCCTTAGCAGTCTCACTGTCTGCATGGTGTCAGCGCTAGATCACATTTGTTTTCTACATTACTTACGGATTGCCATGAACTCGTCAGTGCTGTCTAACCCAGCAGCTGAGATGATACTCTGTGCTCCTCCTGGATGCTCCTGCAGGAATGCTGTCCCGTCATACACCTCACCATTGACGACGAACCACGGCTGTTCTGCTTTATCATGTTTTCGGAGCTGATCGATTGTGATCTCCCGGTCCAGGCCATCCTTGGTCATCTTGATCTCTTTTGGTGTTTCAACGACGACTGCATCATCGGCTTCACCGCCTATCCTCTCACCCCATTGGCCGTTTGTCAAATTGCCCCCAGCCTTCTTTATCCTCTCCATCCAGCCTCCAGGGAGGAGCGCAGGCTGTGTTGGATGCTCGAATCGAAGTGAGCCGTTCTCACTGTGAATAACTATCCGGTAATAAGGATTGTTCATCATACCCAAGACTGACCAATACATATCCCTTGGTTGGATGCACATGCTTTCATCCATTGACCTAACAAGAATATCTTTCGCCTCTTGAAGTTCTTTCACAGGGATATCCAAGCTCCAGAAACACCAGCAGAAACATGTCTCCCGCCAGTCCATATCGAGCCTCCCTCCAAACAATTGCTTGTTTTCGAAACCTCGATACCTATCTTCGGCATATTCGATATTTGAGAGTCTCCACGTCTTGCCTTTGTCGATTGATATCTCCACTCTAGTGATGCGACGGCCTCCTCCACTGTAAGCATAGCCTCTAGCGGTATATACTTCTGGCGCTGCTGCAATGGCAAGTTGTTCTTCGTGTGCGGGGTAGGCAATCGCGGAGTTAGGGCTAAGATCGTAAATCGCATAGCGCTCGTCTTTCCACCAGGCTGGGTTCTTAGCAGCCTCATCTGGATCCACCATCGTCCTGCATATGTAAGTCATAAAACAGGGCTTAGCGCTAATGATACGTACGGAAGAACTCTGTTGTCATATATGTGGTACCAATTATCACTTGGCTCAGCAGTGACTATGAGCTTCTTCAGCCACTTAACACTTCTGCCACCAATCTGACCTGGAATCACTGCTCGCAACGGTTGTCCATGATCTGGTCGGAGCATTTCGCCATTCATCCCGTGAGCGAGCATGATGCCCCGATTCGGGTCCATGACCCAATTGAGTTTCACCGAGGTTCCGTAGTAGCCATTTGGCTTGTGACGCTTAGCTTTGTGCAGTGAATGAAGAGTACAATACTTACAAGTTTGTCGGCACCTTCCATGCAGACATACCTCGCCTTCCTCAAAGGGTTTGCCCTCTTGATGACGTCTGCCATTACCACTCCAGTGAACAGAGCGGTTGAGACACCGGCGGGGCCCCATGAGAAACCTTTCGATTTGCGGACGACGTTCTGCTCCTTTCGTCTGTTGCCTGCGCAAACTAGAGTGATTGGATATGTAACATTTTCATATTCTGATAGCAGCTCCCTCAGGGTGATCTTGAGAGGATTGGCCACGAGGCTATAACTACTATTAGCTCTAACTTCAAGTAAAATGAAATTGAGAGGTACCCTTCAACCGTGAACTCCCAATTTGGAATATCTTCATCCTGAACAATTGGTACTGCGCCGTGATTCCTTACGTAGAACAGCTCCGGACTTGTCAAGAAACCCTCGTTGAACAGGTCTGTTAAAGGGGCCTCGACGTTGAATGGGTGAACACCAGTTAGTCGAATCAGTCGAGGATCTCTCGGTACGTGCGCATCAGGCGTTGGAATGTCGATGTCCAGTATCTTCGAGGGAATTGTAGATGGAGGTGGCAGAGGTAACGAGAGAAGTTCTTCGCCGCTTAACCCGTACTGAGATGCAATCGAGGCCCAGGAGCGCGTTCTCTTTCTATCATCGATAGACTTTGTATCATCTCCATCAATCACTGTTTCGGGAGGCGTAGGCGGTAAGTCGACCACTACCTGATGGGACTGGATATTTTCTTCTTTCATTACGGCACCCATATTGAATCAAGCGAGAAGGATGCGGTGAGGATAGATAAAAGATCACTCGATCGAGGTTAAGTGACAGGTAATAGAACGCAAGTAAGGTTTAACCCTGTGAGAACCATGCAGAGAAAGACCTCGAGATATGAAGTAGAGAAAGATAGGAACTTTCATGGGGCTCAGCCGCCTAATCGCGCACCCTAGTGTTGTAGGTTCGCTATTGCAGTCAATTGATAGTGTACTCTGGGGGTATTAGGGTGTGTGTGCCACATGGGTTTCGTCATACTTTTGACTACAAGCCACTCCGCCCGGAGAAAGCTGGTCCAGCAGCGGGAGGAGCTAGGCTAAAGGGGAAAAAATTGGAAGGGTCCGCGGAAGTGGCTGATCAAAAGGAAACTGCAGATCTGTGGGATCACAACCGATGGTGTGAGGGGTCGCTCGATGGACAAGGAAGAGGAATAATGGGGCGTGTAATACGATCTTCGCCGGGTCTGCGTCCTTATCTTTGCGAGGAAGCGGGCCGTTTCAGGTTAGCACTGCCGACCTGGAAGAACTTCAGCGAATCCAAGAAGCAGAAATACCGACACCCATTCTTGCATCTGCGGCTTCAAGTCTTGGGAAAGTTTGCCTCTCGTCCAGACTTTGAGAACCCAACTGGCCGTGTATTCGAGAGCCATGGCCAGCGGAAATATCTCAACTTTCCAGCTCCTTAGCCCGTGGAAAAGGGTTACAAGTACTCATCTGCTCCCCACCCCTTCAACAAAGCCAGACAAAGTCGACTGCGGTATTAACCTCGATATTTCTAGTTCCATGGGATTATACAATCTGCAGAAGTATCTCCTTATGTCAATCTTTCGTTCAATCCGCAGTTCTTGGCAATTCTCTGCTTGCCTTAACTGAGCCCGATCTTGGTACATTCTCTTTTCTTTCTCTGCCACTACTTTCCATATTTCCTTTTCTTGTTTCCGCAGCGACATCTTACCCATGGCGTAAATCCCCTCACCACAACTACCATGGAGCACGCGGGAATAGGCGGAAGACTCAAGGGAATTGCGGAGTTGACTGCATTCCTGCAGGACGTCCGGAGTACGACAAACACACAGGACCCACTTGCATCCGATTCATATTAAAATTCTGACGCTCTCATTGAGTGCAATAAGAGAATGGTACGATAAGAGATGGAAGGATACGGTTGCTCTCACGGGTGTTGAGCTCCGGGTAGTTACATCTCCGCGGCATAAAGCGAAGCGGCAACGATTCGCCGAGCGACGCTATAACCACCAATTGGGCATCATACGGGGAAAGAATGCATCGTTGGGACTTTATCATCTAATAATCTCTCTACAAGACTCTCTACCTGTACTTTACGCGCTGCTACGTGTCTCTTGGTGATCTCTGAAACGAGGTACTGCATATCGGCACAGATGATGGGACTCGCAAGGGCACGATTTACATCAGGATGCTACATCCTCTGGACACTCTCCTCGATTCTAGGAATTGGCTTAGTAGATCAAAGTATCCCCATTCATGTTCTGTGGCTTGCGCCAGTACACTATATCGTGGAAAAAGTTGGTCGAGACGCTTACATTTCGAATCTAGCTCGCGGTATATTGGTAGAATTAACTCCAATCCATGGTTCATGTTTTTGTTGCCCGCTGATCCGCATGTCACCCCGCTCGGAAAAAGTGTCTATGTGGAGTGTAAAGTCTAGAATACTTGATGAGCTCCTGTTTAGTCCGTTCAGCACATGCAATTGCCTAAAGACTATTCTCAGTGCCCATAGCAATTCGCTAAAATACTTCTTCTTTCCATGCACGACGCCCTCGCAGTCAGTCATAATTTGATGTCCCTCGCTATCCACGACCCGCCAAAGGCTAGGCTAAATAACTGGATCTGAAGAAGTCGGTTTGTTATCGCTGTTAACGCACTTGAAGTGATCCTTCGCTTTGCCTTTCCCTTTTACAGAGAATATTTTGTTGTCTCGCTTTGGGTCAAGCCTGTCTTCATTGCCCCAATCAGGCGACCTAAAAGAAGGTAGAACGAGCAGGTTGAAAGCGAGACACCCCATCACAACACATTTATTAAGTCTGTTAGTCTTGCGCCAGTGAGTCAGGCGCAATATTTAGTAGAAGCATATGTCCGGAGCAGAGGGTAGAGGTCATTGTGGGTGCGTTCATCGTTGATGGCCCGGGGAATCAAAGTGAGAGGAAAGGTCACGGATGCAAGTCTCGTGCATGAGGGTGGAAGGAATGTGCTTCTAGAGCTGTTGCTCAAGCCCAACTTCAGCAGCAGACTCTTGCTCCAGATGGTCCAGGCAATGCACATAGCTAGTGCCCTTAGCCAAGTCTCCACGTTGGCTAGAAGTGAGAGAGGTCTCAACCGTGGAATGGACACCCCGGTTGTAGCATGCTTAAGCGCGAATTAAGATGCGCCTTCGTCTCCAGTCCCATTGGCGTAGAACTTTAAGACATGAAATACAATGGCCTGGTACAGACTGGAGAACCCTTGGTCGATGTGAGCATCTGTGGTGGGATCGTGTACACCAGAAGTCGAGGGAATCGGGCCAGTGGTGGCGAGGATAACAAGGAAGGATCCTTGGATGTTTTCTGTACTTGACGTCGCTCGGCCACAAGCTCAGCGCGACCCCCAATCCCCTTTGGTATCAGTTTAAGCTGGGCGGGCAAGCGGTGGATCCCCCGCAGCCCGGTCCCAAAGGTTACCACGACAGCCAAAGTTTGGGGATTTCTCCCGTCATGGCGGTTCCATTGCTGTCGGGTACTGACGATAAAAGTGAGGCAGTGCAGAAGGCGAATGGGATGTTTATAACCAGTTGATGGATAGTTCATTACCTAGACCGGAGAGATGGCCTGACCACGGATGCTTTTGTGACATATGTGGAATGCGGCTGGAGTCGCGAATGTTCGACCACTGGAATGCTTCAACTTTCTTTCACTGCAGTAACAGCCCTGACACGCTCGCCCACACCGAGCTCAAGATAAAGAACAGCTAGTCAGGCAATTACCTCACCCATACATGTTCTGTATTACTCTTTTATGAAGATGCGACAGCCTAGAACGAGTCTGAGAGCGGTCCGACCTGAATCCGGTCCTGAAGCCGTTTCCGTGCGGCCTCTGCACGCTCCTGCGCCTTGTGGGCAACTCTCTTCCGAGCCGATGCCTTGTCGAATATTCCTCTTGTCCCATGCTTAATCCTCGTTATCATGTCCCCTGCCTTCCCTTTCGTTAAGTCGCTACGTTTCAGTTGGTCTTCCTCTGGGCGGAATTTATTCAGAAAATCGACTTGCGCCTGAGACGCCATACCTCTGCGCCATAGTTGCATTTTAGAAACGAATATGTACTCAAACACTTCCGCTGCAAAGGTATCTGCAGCATGAACAACATGTTCAAACGACTCTCCCTGCGCTATGACCCGAGGAGTGGCGTACGGGCTTTTCGACTTGACACCGGACGGAAGTCTGCGGTAATACTTGACCACAAAACCACTATCCTCTGTCCTGGAGGGCTCAATGACTAGGTAGTTACCGGTGTTTGTGGTCAAGACAAATTTGCTGTCCCCGACAGCGACCCAGGCAAATTCGCTGAGTTTCCGTACGTACTGGTCGCCTGAGGTGTCTGCTATAAGATCGTGGACGGAGTCGTAGTCAGTGAACGTGATCATACCCGGAATCCGTCTAGCCACGGCCTGTCGCTGAACTCTAGCTGCCTCTTCTTCCCGTATCTTTTCACGTTCTTTTCTTTCTTTTAATTCTGTCATAGCTTGACTATCCGCGTTTTCCACGATTTCCGCCGGGTCCAGGCCAAAGAGTGTCGGCGTGGATACAACACCGGTACTCAACGCGGCCACTAAGTCAATGATGTGACAGTTTTGTTTGCTTTTGTGGAGCCTCATCCCGCGCCCAATCATTTGCACAAGCAAGTTGCGAGACTTGGTCGGGCGAGCCAGAAGCACGCAGTCGATATTTGGGATGTCGGTTCCTTCCGTGAAAACACCACAATTTAGGAGCACTGGAAACTCTCCATTCCGAAATGCATCAACCCTCTGGCTACGGACCTTCTTTGGTGTGTCTCCTGTCACAAATTCAGCCGCAATGCCGTGTTGCCGGAATTTTGCGGTCAGATTGGAGACGTGGCTCAAGTCTACACAGAAGACCAACGTTGACTTCCGCTCTTTCGCCCGCGTCATCCAGGCCCGAACAGCGATTTCATTGGTCTCTTCAGTGTTAATGGCTCTTGAAAGAGCACCAGCCTGGAAATCGCCATTGGCGCCGGAGCCGAGTCTGGTCAGGTCGGCTTTGATCTCGACCGTGGTAAAAATAACATCAGAGAGCCAGTTCTCTTCGATCATATCAACATAGTCACTACTCATCATTAGCCCAGGCTTTTCCGGCCAAACGTAGGGCACATACCGATGATACACAATATGGTCGATGACTGAGCCCAGCTTCCTTCCGTCAAATCGGGAGAAGGTTGCAGATACGCCTACAAGAGCAGGCACAGAAGTTGTGTTCCAATCTGCAGGATGTCGCAATCCAAAATGTTCTAGCACATCGAGATACTGCGAGCTGACTATATGGTGGGCTTCGTCTACGAGAATCAACTTGTATCTTAACGGATCGAACTTGAGAAGCCGATCGCCCGACATGATACTCTGTATCGAAGCCACGGTGATATCTGCAGCACCAGAGGCATGGTGGTTTCCCATTTCTATATCGACGTGCTTGTGCGGATAGGCGATGGTACAATGGCGAGCAGCTTGCTCGACGAGTTCCCGCCGGTGAGCAAGAATGAGGGTCTGGGACGCATTGCCTACGGAAGCAATGCGGTCAATTAAATGTGTGAAGATGACCTTGGTTATATTCAGTCTACGAAATCGAAGGGCGAAATATCACAATTTACAGTCTTCCCACTGCCAGTCGCCAGAGAGATACCGAGCCTCTTGTGTCCTTTCCTGAGGTACGAAAGCACGGATTGGATGCATTCTTCTTGATATTCGCGGAGAGTGATTTGCAATGGAGAGACTGGTTGGGAGGATTGCAGAACGAGGACGGGGGTTGTGGCGGTTGACGCGCCTCGGGAGATTGTACGAGTAGGTAGTATACCTGCCCGCTTAGATATTTTCAGCGCATACTGTGAAAATCGCAACATCAATACATTTGAGTGTCAATAAAGTGCATTCAGGTCGTAGGAAGGTGCAGGTGCGGTTGTCACGAAATTTGAGCCGAGGCTTTCCCGCCTTGGCAACGACCGCCTAGGGGAAGCTTCGTCAACATACGTCCTCACTTGTACCACCCACCATGACTCCACCGCTATATTAATGCTCCTAGAGGTGCACTAGGGACTTTACAGAGTGCCACAAGCTCACGCCTAAACTGACCACCTACCATGAACTCTTCCGCCCGTCATTTTGCAAGTAACGAACTCTCTGATTCCGACTTTCAAGAGTCCCACAGTTCGACCACTTCTGGCCAGTCCTCGGGTAAAGATGAATCTAAGGGCCCCTCCAAACGCCTGCTCCACTCCCCTAATTCTTCATGCAAACGTCGCAAGCAGTCAGGCTCCGATTCTGTAGAATTTTTCCCTGACACCAAGCGCCATCTCCAAGGCCAATACATTAATGCTTACCGCACCCTCTTTAACGAAAGTGTGAACGATGCGGTGCATCGATTTGTCTCAGATGCCTCTTTCATCCCACCAAGAGCCCAAATCGGCGCGTCAAGATGGTCCATGGACGAAAAGTCCAGGTTCTTCGCAGCCCTCGACAGGCTTGGAAGAGGTGATTTGCCCGGAATTGCTCGAGCTGTGCGAACGAAGACCATTCCGGAAATTCAAAACTTGTTTCTTCTGCTAGAAAATTCCACTCTCGAGCGCAAGATCACCTCTCAAGACATTTCGGCTGCAACCGAAGTCAGTCCGGCATGCATTGAGCGACTAGAAGTGGCTGGCGATGCGCTAGCTTGGTATCAAGAACGCTTTGAAGCAAAGGCAGAACAGGATAGATATGGGAAGTACTGGCTCGTCACACCCGAGATAGCCGATCAAATAGAGGAAGCCATTAGACCCTCGAGGACCCCTTCTTTGTCTCTACCGCTTGATTCTAGGAATGCAGAACTTGAGGATTCTTCGCCTGTACGCAATGCAAGCACCCCAAATGTACCAGAGATCTTGCAACACATTCCTGAGGCAAGTCTTCTCAAGCCATCGGCACTTCTTACCCTCTCAAAGTCTCTCTTCATGAATTCTTCTCCCATTCTTCAACCGACATATCCGCATTGGACCGACCTCATTTCACCATTAGCGTCGGAGCCATCGATCTACCGAACTGCATTCATCGATTTCCATACTTTAGTCCTTTCCCTCACAAAACGCATTACTCAGGCCACCATAATCCAAGCGACATCTCGTATTCGATCACAAAGCTGGCGTATCAAGAAAGGGGTGAGTCCCTTAGTGAAGAGACGAGATGTACTCACTGCAGTAGACATGTTAGGATTGAAGAGGAATGGACGCGAGCGATGGAAGGGAGTCGCAAGGCGTTGTCGACTCCGTGTGTTTGACGGGGCGGGGAAAAGTAAGAGGGAAGTTGATTGGGATGAAATTGAAGCAATCATGGGAATACCAGTACAGCCAAAGGACTTTGCAGATGCCGATTCTAGCGGGAAAAAGCGAAATTTGTCCTCTGGTGAGGACGAAGATGATTTCAAATGGAGAGCTCGTCGTAGCGGCACTCCTCTTCCTCGAGAAAGCCTCGCCCACTCTGAAAACGATGACGAGTCCAGGTCTGATAAGCAGTGCGAAGATGAAGGCTCGGGAAGAGACTCTTCAGGAAGTAGTCAAACGTCACAATCCTCCGCACGCAATACGACCAGGTCTCCTTCAAAGCCTCCGCACAGCTCACCAGACGCAAAACTAGATATGATCTTAGAAGACCTTGATCAAGAAGCCAGCCGGGAAGAGGAGCGTCGCCTCTGGGAAATCCTCGGTGATACCCAACATCCGATTAAAGAGCCCAGAAAGACTGAAGAAAATCCGCTCCCCAAATTCTCCGATGACAATACCGCCAATTTTGAAGGGTGGAGGGGCTGGACAGAGTACTATGCCGAATGGGAAGAATTCTGTACCCCTGTCCCCGAAGTCAAATTCCTGGAAAATAGAAAGCTACCCCGGGCTACGACAGACAAGCTCAGCAACCCCGATGCGACTACTTCAATCTACCAAGGCTCCAACAATAGTGATAGAGATGGACAAAGTGACAGAAACTGGAAGAAGAGTAGGAAGGCAAACGCACCTGACATCCCTATTCGAGGTTCAAGAGCCTATGCAGCCTTACAAGACAGTGTTTCCGCGTCTGTCGATCGAGATGCACACGATGAGGGTGTATCTGATGATGCTAAGATGCTGGTGGACTCTATTGAGAATGCGCATATGCAGCATAGAGACTCCCTTGTAACTCAAATGTCTGATTATGTGATGGAAGTGGATATGAATGTGGAGCGGGTGCTGCAGGGAGGTAGTTCTCCCGACCGATATCTGTAAAATAGCTCCATCCGGAATGCAGTTCTTATTCACTGTGCACCGGCTTTTAAGTGGAGGAACAAGGTGTTCTGTTACCTAATTTGTGCTAGTGCCCATGACCATTCCAAAACGAAAGCTTCGTTCCTCCACAACTTCCATACCCTCTTCTCCCCAGATCTTCGACCTCCCCTGCCCCCGTACTCACCCCTGTGCTTCACTTCGCACAAACTTGGGCATTTCTATTCAGTGCCCTTCACAGCAGGGGCAACATTAAGACCACCATGAGATACACAATCTTACGGTTCTCGGTCCACGCTTGCCCTTCCAAGATATCGTTAAAGAGACCCCTGGGGGCCTTTGAGTTTTAAAGACGCGGGAGACGGGTCTAAGTTTATAGATTGTTTGGTGCGATTCATCGCCGTGGTAGCAGTGTCCCGCTAACTGCCAAGATTCGTGGTACAACGGGACATGTTTGAAGATCTCGTCGAGGACCTCCAGAGGGATAGTGTCCACAGTGAGAGACGGGTGAATGTTTGGATGATATCAGGTCAAGCTCGGCGAAATGCTAGAAGAGAATGAAGAAGATGATTTACGATCTGTTGCTAGTGGATTATAGCGGATATTTGAATTTAGGTAGGTGTTGTTGTTGTTGTTGTTGTTGTTGTTGTTGTTGGTGTAGAGGTGGGAACTCTTTGAGCTCAAGCGGAAGTCGGGGATATTCTAGGGAACCAGAAAGGTGAGAAGATTCGGAAGAGGGAAGGGCCACTTTCACTACACCAACTATTCACAGGTCGGAATGTGTTGAAATTCTCAAACCGCACTTTGGAAGTAGCCGAGTAAAGCCCTCCAAAGATGAAGGGTGAAAAGAGGAAGAGGTCACATCCACTGCACCAACTGTTCGCAGTTCACAATATGGTGAAAACCTCGATCCATACTTTGGAAATGAGTGAGTAAAGCCCTCGGAAGGATTGATGTCAGCACTAACACAAAACAGATTCAATGGCCACCTTTGGACATCGATAGAGGCAGACTCTGCCTAGCGAAGAATGGTTGCCCTAATTTTTTTTTCCCCACGAATATTAACATCAAGCCTAATATCCACAACAGCAACTCCTAAGCCCCAAACTCCTAAATCCCTCGTCGTAATCAATCTGAACAACAGAACCAGGCTGTCCCCAAGGACTTGAAAAGTTATATTTCCTCCCTACTATATTTCTAGTATTTGTAGTTGTCCTCGGGGTCCTGAAGTTGTTACGCGCTAGTAAAGCTAAGATTTTCGTTCTCTTCATTCCGAGAACGCTTCGCGTCGATAGGACTAGAAGTTTCAGTTTCTTTCTCGTCATCAAGTGGTCCCTCCTTGTCGGTAGGACCGGATCCCTCATTTTCCTTGTTTTGAAAAATGGTCGCGTTCACAAACTAGCGCCTCTACTCTCATCCCTACGAAACATTCTGGCTTCTGAAGGACGGGAAGAATTATTGTCATTGCCATTCGCATTACCAGTAATTCATCGTAGGCTAGGAATTAGTGAACCAGTGCGTCGGCTAGCTCGACGGAGTCCCTCACGGAACCTTCCAACAGCTCTGTCAATTCGAATGACTTACGAACAACATTGTAATCGCCTGTAGATGAAGTGTGCACTGGAGATATCTCGGGTCGAGCCAGTAGTGTATTGGTTCTCGTAAATGGGGAGATATTCCAGGATGTTGTCTATTAGCTCCCGGGAAGGCCACTCATGGCTTGTTCCATGTTTATAGTGAATTAGGACTTGGGTCTTGGAGGGATAGATAATTTTAAGGTCGTGGTAGATGTGATGCTAAAAGGTGAAGACTGCAAATTCGGGTTTATAGGTTTTGAATTGAACTCACATAATCCTGGTAATGGCATTGACATATTTAGTTCTTGAGTTAGCGCATTAGTCACACACGTTCCTAATCCTGTCCCATCAAATCAGCGCAATTGGGTGATATGGGCGACGCATCAGACAGAATCCATCGCAGAATAAATTAGGATAGTAAATTGGGACAAAAGGAACCATTGTCTAAGCGGTTCCCGTGGAAATATTAGTAAGTGTCAAGGATTCCTTTTCGCTGCTAGCGTTTTGCGGAAGGCCCTTAACACGCTGTCTACTACACCGCCAACACCTTTAAAGCCTACTCTTCACCCCTAAAAACTCACCCTTCTCCACCCTCTGACACAACCCCTTCAACCTCTCCGCCGCCCACGCAAAATCTGACATCTCAAGATACACCTGCGCACTGAACCGCACCCACCAATTTCCGCCATAGAACATAAAAGCCATGAACGTATCATAATCATCAATCACCGCCTTGCTCATCCAATCTCTAACAAAATTTCCCACGCTGGCTTTCTGCACTCCGTTTTCGACTGCGATCTTTTCAATTGATAGAAGAGCTAGCGGGAGACGCACGTTCGATAGGCAACAGTTCGACAAAGTGCCAGTTGCGTTTTCAAGGACCTCCGTACCGAGGACTTCTGCGACGTGGCTAGCTGCGGATTTGGCGAGCGTGTGGTTGTATGATATAATTTTCCGTTCGCCGCCAATGCTAGAGCGGAATTTGAGGGCATCTGGGATGCAGAGATATGGCGCGTTGTCAATGGTTCCAACGAATTCGAAGTTCGTGACAAAGGAGGATTTGGAGCTTTTAGGGAGCGGGCTGTGGATTGTAACACCGGGCTTTGGTTTGGGGATGAAGCCGTGTGATGTAGGGAGAGTGGAGGGGAGAAGGGGCTGGTTGCGTAGTGGGACGTAGAAGATTGCGCAGCCCCGGGGGACGAAGAGCCATCTATTATTCTAATTGTTAGCGCTTATCTTTTTCTAAAGGGAGAGCCGCTATCAGTGACGGATGTCGGCAAGCTATCGACCGTTGAAGAGAAAGTGACTGAGGAGCAGAAGATCAAGAACACAGAAAGGTGCAACTTCTCACTCCGTGGCCGCTCCTTCTTCAAACCTAATAAGAGAGGACGAAACTTACTTATGACAATTACTGACCAAGAAATCTGGATCCAGCTTCGCGAGGTCTAGTTCCACATGGCCAACCCCATGAGCCGCATCCACACAACTTAGAACGCCCAGTTCTCGGCACGCTTCCGTTAGTTTCTCAAAAGGCATTCTTACACCTGGCATGCTGACCACAGTATCAAAAATCGCAACCTTAACTCTACATCCCTGGCTCTTTTCCGCAGCCACTTTCCTCTTAAATTCGTCAACAAGCCAGTCATCTTCCACCGGATACGTATATTCAATTTTCACCGATTCCGCAGGGGTGGTTTCAGTGATGTAAGTCACAGTCTTCTCACATGCTCCGTAAATAGTGGCGAAGTAGATAATCTTTTCTCCAGGCTCAAAGGCGAGGTTGCGGAGAACGGTGTTAATGCCGGTAGTAGCGTTGGGGACAAAGACCAGGGTTTCGACCGGGGCACTGAGAATGGTGGAGATGGCAGACCGCGACTGGTCGAGGAGTTTAGGGTACGTGTAACGGATGAATTCGTCGGGTCGGGATTCAGCTTGGTCTTGGAAAGAGCGCATTGCGGCGCGGACTGTGTTGGGATAGGTGCCGAAGGAGCCTAAGGAGAGTTAAGACTGGACGAGTGGAACTCATGTACTACTAAAATTCCATAGAATCGATCGCAGAGGGAAAGAAGCTAGACGTCGCTGGGAGCATTGGCGTTTGTCAACTGAAAGAGTAGTTCGAAAGATGAAAAAAAATATCTACTTTGATACCAAGGCTAAAGAGACCGAGAAACAAGGAACTAGCTCACCATGATTCAAATTTAAATACTTTGGATCAAAAAGAAATTGCTTCCTCAGCTCCTTTCCAAACTTCAGATCTCCCTCACTCTTGTCTCTCACAGCGAGCGTTGTCAACGTCATGACTTAAAAATCTTTATACCTCTAAGACTTTATAAGGGCCTTGAAGAAGTGAGAAGAGGGAACGCATATAAGCAATCCACTGTAACTCAATCAAGAGGAGTAAAATCCGGCATCGGATAGCTGCAGTGCTTGTGTCTCCCAAAGGGCGCGTTGTCGCTTTGAAATACGAGTTGTTCCGTTGAAATTGACCAATGACAGCGAAGCGAGGGATGGCGGCTAGAATCGGCCCCGCATCTACCTTTTCCCAAGCGTCATATCGCAGGATAAATTCTGACTTCTGCAAAGACGTGGATAGTTTGACACAGATTCATATTTGGTATCTACTACATAGTTCTACGTTTACGTTCAAGATTGTTCATCTTCACTCCTTCAAGTATAAAACGTCCATCGCCAGGATGACAAGATCCGTTTGTGACCGACGACCACATCAGGTAATTATGTACAGCATGTAGTGAAAGAATATTTTGAAAGCAAATACTACCTCATCCAACCCCATGAGACATTCTAAACGCGAGAAATGAACAGAGGCATAAAAGAGCGTAGCGGGCAAATTATATCGTGCGCATTCCGCTTGCGACCTCACGCTTCATCCGCCTCCTGTACTGCTCTCGGAACTGGATACGACCGACAGTGCCAAGGCCAACGGCAAGGAACAGTCCTCCTGTCCATATACAGGTGATGACAAGCCCTGTAGGGAAGAAGGCGAGATTGGTACCAGGGAGGTTGAATGGCGCAGCCTTCGCAACCGCAGCTGAGGCTGAAGCTTGAGCGGCAGGATCGTTAGTTGTCGTGGCCTGCTTTGAGAAAACGCCATTTACGAATGATGCTTCTTGGGATGAAAGCGTTGCTGACACTTGCTGGTTCGACTTTGGTGATTGCGCCGACAGCTCTATCTTAGGAATGAGTAGCGGTTGCAAGGTAGCTCTGTTCTTGATTAGTCATGCGTCACCATTTGGAAATCATTATACTAACTGTGTCATAGCGGAGCCCATCAGGTTAGGATTGATCTTTCCGACATAGTTGAGGACCTTGAGCTCTTGTGGCGCAGCGCTAGTTTGCCTTTCGACCAAAAGACCGTCACGAATTGGGGGCCACGTGACTTCTTCCCTCCTCATGAATGTCCCATTCATACTTTGCACAGTAGCGCCGAGGTAAGACAAGGTCATACTAACATCTGCGGCGGTGACACCAACCCAAGGATCGATTGGGGCTGAGATGTTGTACATTCGGAGTTCGGCTTGGAAGACTCCGGTTGTGTTGTCGAGGAAGGGTAGATTGTAGCAGACGGCGATTCCGGATGGGTTTGATGCTTGGCCGTTGAGTTGTGTGAGTGCGTTCTGGCAAGCTTGCTTTGTCTGCGTTTCCCATGCTGCGAGGTCAGCCTTTGCTGCGTCGCCAGATTGTGGTGTCGATGAGATTTGAGGGTCCGGGTTCGTATTGCTGGTATCTTGCCGTCGAGTGAGAGTCGCTACCATGGAATCCGCATCTCGTCGAAGTTGTTCTTCAAGGTCCTCGCCGCGTTGGAAGAGTGCGTTGACGGTTGCTGAAGCCTGGCTGGCGACTAGGAGCCCGCCCAGCAATGCAGTCTTGAGAATCATGGCGAAGATGATGGGGATAATTAGATATGTTCTGTTCTATTAAAGATGCTGGATGGGAATGAGAGTCGACCGAGCTGCACAGCAGCGGCGGGAAATGAGGGTGGCGAGAAGAGAAACTGCAGAATAGAAACAAAGAGTGAAGGTGTGAAGGTCAACCACGGCACAGGAGAAGCCGGCTCTGCATGGAAGACATTAGGAGAAAACGTGAGTGTCTAGAGAGTTAAGGGAGAGATGCTATGGGGTAAGTGGTGGGGGTGACGACGCAGGCCAGCCTCAAGTCCGATGGTGGGTTGGTGACACCGTGATGGCGTGAGTGGCAGAGACTGAAGGAGCAGCACCAATAACGCATTGAAATCATCATGGGGAGAGTTGAGACGGTCTCTGCCGGACACTGAGACGGGTGGCAGCGGTACTGTCATGCGGAACTGCCAATCGAAGCTAACATAAAGCTTAAGATGGATAAACGAAGGGCTATTTCGCTCGAAGCCAGCTAATGGCCAGTCAAGCTTTGGACTCAAAGGGGTTAATTTCGAGCGTGGGCCCATACAGGCATGAATCGCTGGAGCTCCTTGAGACAATTGGTGTTGAGGTTCGGAGACGTGGGCGCACAGACGAGACCTGCGGCGCTTCAGCCATCAGGCGGCGGGCCAATTGGCGGCTCTGCATCCTTCGCTAAGTGTCGACCCCTCGCTGGCCCTCCCGAGTTTCTCTCGGCTCTGGGGTTTCATCATTCTTCTTTTCTTGAGCCTCGTCGCATCACTCCCATTTCTCTCGACGCTAGGCTACCTCTCGTCGCCTGTCGTTCTCAGTTCATGAACCAAAGGTCTCAAAACAGTGCGGATGCTGCCGCTGTCGTTGAACGAAGTCCGGGCTTCTGTAGCTCACCAGAACGCGAGCTCGGCGTCACGCCCGGAGTGAAAGTTCCGTTGAGAGATATCTCATCCGCCTTGCGCCCGATGAGCCCTATCCTTTGGTACCTAGGTCTATAGGCGTTTCGTTCTTCGAGACATCCTCTGCCGACCAGTAACCTGGCCAGGCCCGGCGATCGCGGAACTTCTTTCTTCCCCTCCGATAGGGACTGCCCAGAAGTTACGGTGAAGGAACACACATCATCGTGTCGTCTCCGTGTCGTCCGTGTCGTCTGCCTCGGTATCATCGTTGCAGCCAAATGAGCGGTGCAGTTGGTGCTGTCACGCCTGCCACTCCAATAGAGGGCTGCGCAGCTATTAAAGGACGACTTGTCCATTCTTCCTGTACTTCCTTCTCTCGCGCAGCCTGCGGTCCTTGCAGTCCTGCAGTCCTGCAGCCCTCTTTGGCCGCCAACCCTCTGCCACCACGAATAAGGGTCATTCCAAGTCGATCCGGACCAGCCCTGCTCCTTTTCGGGACGGCTCGCGCGCTCGACTTCCAAACGATCCAGATGATCTGGCACCACACGGTGTCTTGCTGACAACGGCGGCCTGCGAACAGCTGCACAGGGCCTCCTCTCGTGAAAGAAGCGAGTCACGAATGCACACATGGCATGCGCCGCCCTAACCCCCAAGGGTGCGCTCGTGCCCTACTCGCACTCGCCCAACTCCCGCGGCCACAAGCATATATTGCAACCTTCTCACTAATGCGGTTCGGAATGCAGAAAAGTAATTGCCAGCACATCAAAAGGCTTTTGTGCATGCTATGGAGATAGCCTGTCCTGCTCGCTAGGATTTCGGGATGGCGACCGTCCCGTCCCACACCCAAATGTAGCCAACTCCCCCTGCGGACCCAGTACATCTATCATGGACTGATGCTCCTGGAAGCACTTTCCTTTCACTGTCACCTCCACGCTTTTCCCCTCAGATGCTGATATGCCCTCTTTGCTTTTTCTGTGCTTTGTTTGGGCAGTCTCCGCATTGCACAGCCAATAGTTGCCCAGTCTCAGTTTGCATTTTTGCTCGACCACGGCCTCGCGTCATTTCTTTGGTTGCTCATTGACTCTTTTTTGTTCACCTGATAGACCATCGTTTCCGTCTGGCAGCAATGCAGCAGACCTCAAAATCTCCCTGGCGCCTGCCAATGTCGCCCACTTCGGAATACCCAAAGCATCCATACAACCTTCAGCACACTGTGTCGATGCTAAACCTACATGAGGAACCAACATGGCACTTCAACCGAGGACCCCCATCTCCTACTGCTTCTTCAGTTTCTTCTACTACCAGTCGAAGTACAACCCCAACTATCTCGAACAATAATCCATGGTCTACGGTTATGGCAAGCCCGTCTTCAAACTCTACCAATTCAACACACTCCTCCCCTAGAGACAGCCCGAACCGAACCCCGCAGTACACGAGTCGATCTGCCACTCCGGTTGCCCCTCAACCCCTGCGGCCTATTCCTCAGTCGACAGGATTCGTCCCAATAAATCCCCCACCACTATCATCTGGAGATGCTTTCAGAGGGTCCGAGTATCCAGGGTCGCCTGTTCCAAACTTTCCTGGGTCACCAAACCCATATCGACAGCAACCAATCACTTTACCTCCATTGGCTAATGGGTTTGTCACACCTGCTGTGCTTTCTCAGTGTCAGTCAGGCTTCTTCTACGAGTTGTCTCGTCGACAAGGGTGGGCAGCCCAGTCAGCCCGAAATGCATTTCTTTGGTCTCTCTCCAATCCCCGAACGTCCCTTCTACTACTGCTTTGTGACGATGTTGCCTCATGGCCCAAGGCAATGTTCTGGGATTTAAAGGACGAGAATCTGCCTTTCAGCGAGCCTGACCTGCAAAAGATCGTGGCGAACCCTAGAAAGGTAGTTGACATGCAGTGGCGGGTTACTGCCAAGGAACTTCCATTGAATGGGTTTCATGTCGAGTTTACGGCCCGTGAGACAGTACCCTTGCAACAACTTAGTCTCATTAGAACATCTAGTCCAGACAGAAGTACCGATCGAGTTCGATTATTGGGCGATGGTGATGAACGTATCCTCATCCGTAAACGCTTTGTTCTCACCCGCGCTACCCAAAAGGCTACCCTCCTCAAACAGATACATGATTTCAAGCAGTTGGATCACAAGAATATTGCCAAAATACTGTGCTCATACTCGCAGCTGAGCCATGTTGGGATCGTTACTGCCCCAGCCCATTACACTTTGGACGACTATCTTTGCCTCCCTGGGGATGCTAATCATTCCCGGATGCTTTTGGACTGGATGAACGATCTTGCCCAAGCGTTGGAGTTTTTACACTCACAGTCGATATGCCATCGCAGTATCCGGCCCCGGAAGATTTTGGTTGAGGGATCTCGGATTTACCTCGCTCCTTTTGGCATCGGGCAAAGCAGTGAGAATTTCAGCCCCACAACAATCAAGGCTCAACGGCCAGATCAGCTAAACGCCTACTTCCAGGATCAGTCGTACATCTTCGCAGCTCCGGAACTCATCGTACCTCGTGGGAAGAAACCGGGCAAGCCGGCCGATGTTTTTGCTCTGGGTTGTGTCTTTCTGTGCATGATGACGGTCGTGCAAAACCTGTCTCTGTCAGCATTCACGCAATATCGTGCCGGATCATCTCACGACGCTTCGTTCCATGCTAATCCTGAACGAGTCGTAAGTTGGCGTGCTCGTCTCTCCGCCGCGGCGAATTCGGTGCGGAATGGAGTCAGCAGTGGAGGAAGGAAAGAACGGCAACTCAAATCAGAAGCCTTTTTGCTCAGTGCTATCGAGAAAATGATCCCAGCGGATCCTAATGAGAGATTTAAGATGAGGAGGCTGGCTACATACTTGGCTAAGTGGGGGGATGGGAAGACGTCCGGGAATCGGAGGCGAAGTTTGGACGGTGGAGGATACAGTGGACAGGTTGCTGCAACCCTGGGGGTTACCGCTAATGGTGTGAATATTAGTAAAGGAGTACAAGGAGGAAACGGCATTCCGAACGGCGTTCAGCAGAAACCGGAGTTAAACATTTTTGGGGAGTATTTCCAGCAGCAACAACGGGCGTACGAACAGCCACATCCCACATGGGGAAGAAACTGAAATTTCTTCAGACCGGTAGTCATCTGACCTTTCCAAAGCGAAACGCGGCATTGCGAAGAGAAAAACTTCCGAACGATGATGAGACGAAACGAATGAAACGACAACGACAACAAATACAAAACAAATGCTCTTGAACACTTACCGCGGGATACCAAGGACCATGAAACGGAAGATGAATGAATGGCGGATCATCTATTATGGACAACGGATGAACAATGGCTTTCGGTACCAGTTATCATTCGCGACTTATGCAATTCATATACAGATTTTCACGGGTCGGCCCATCTGATACCCTTCTTGCATCTCCTTTGCACGCATTTCTATCAGCGTTCTTTCAGATTTTAGCGCGCATATCTACGAACGCACGACACTACGAGCCAGAGAAGTAGTGATGCAACGATGCAGCATTTCGGGAAGGAACGCATTGTTACGATGTCACCACCTTCGCTCAGTTTCCACGCACACATGGCTTATTTCTTACGTATTCATTTACATTTACCTGGCGAATCGGAAGACGGGGGTCCGGGGACCTAAGGGGGGGTAGGACGGCGTTTAGAAGAGTTTTCCTGTCTGTACGCGTCTCTTAGTTTTCGTGGAGTGTTTTCCGTTGTTCAACCCCTCCACCCCCCTTTACCCGATAGCGAATATATAACTTTCATACTGACGTGGATTGAGGCTCGCCCTGTGATTGTGTGGCAATGCCTCTCACTATTTCATATTTTGACGCACCCTCCTCTCCCGAAAGTACGGAATTGGACGTTGCTTGTTATTGTCCTATGTTGTCCTACCTGATATCCGACACAAGTCGCCATCCATCCTGCCTTGCTCTTGAAGGTACATCCATACACAAACAGCCCCTCCCCTTGCCTCTACGAAACTCAGCAGCTCTTAACAAAATCTCTTTACTGTACTAGCCTGTGTGCTGTTCTATCCTACACACGTACCCACCTGAGCAGGCCTCTGCAAGGTCCTTTTGCAGCGTTTTTCCTGTTAAATTCCTCCTATATGCAATCTTAGGCAGAAGTCAGGATCTTCCTAGCTAACGAAGACATTTAAGTTTATTAGTGACAGAATTTTCGCCTTCTAGGACCGTAGTATTATGTGTCGCGTACACTGAGAGCCTTGGCTGGGGCTCGGAGCCTGGGACGCGGCTCGGGATCTGGAGATAGTATGTTCCGAAGCTCGGTGTATATAAGGAGAGCTTTCAACTCTCCTAGATAGCAGAGTCACTTCATCCGATCTTCTGAACAGCTACTGCCAGGCTATTTTATCTTCCACATTATGTGTATGCACGAGTCTATTTCATCCGTCGCTATTCCCAAGACTAGTTCCGATTTTCGACGGCAGAACTGATCTAGCTGCTCTGACACTTCAACCTAGGCAATTCTAGCTCTTTCTAAAAGGCGGGGAATTTCTAGCACTGTGGGCTCTATGGTATTATCGCCCGTATCGGCTAGCCTTTTGGGCTTTCTCGGATTTCCATGCCATTTTCTGCACATGTGAGGGTAGCATTATTAGGATGAGAATAGATGCAGATACGGGAATATTTGGAACTCAGGTAGAATTCTATACACAATTCGGAGGTGTATAGGCTATGATACGACACATCACATACAATATGATACATGGCCTGGGCTTCCTCTGCTCTCGAGCCCTTGGTTTCCAGCAGATCCGTTCATCGTCCCTGATGCCTCGTTCGTCCAAAAGCATCCGCCCATGACCTCTACAGTAACCCATTCCCCCGGCTCTCAGTTTAAAAACAGCACTGATACTTCCAACATATCCATATCCATATCCATGCACCTCTAAACTCCAAAGCGTAGATGTGATGTGGTATGCGCAATCCCGTCCCAACGGTATCCTACCCTATCCTATCTTACACAATAACCTCTCCACAATCCACCATATTCGGTCTCCACTTGTCCGCGCCCATGCCGCCTTCTGTTGAACTCGGGACTGTGACTTCGACGGGCCTGTATAGATACCAACCCTTCAGCGCGGCGGCTGCGGCCCGGACCCTCGCTTCGTCAAGCGAACTCCCCGCTCCCTCGCCCAGCTTGTCTTTCCCGGAGTATACGCCAACCACGAAGACGGGGTGTCTGCTCAACCGACCTGTTTCTGAGATGAGCCGGGCAACAGGTGCTTCGAAGCCTTCACGCGCGCATAGACGGGATAGATCGCGGGTGGGTGTACGGAAATCGAAGAGTTTGTCGAGGTCGAGATGGCGGGAGAGAAAGTGATCTCTATAGAATCTCTTAACAGCCGGAGGGCCCAGGTGCAGATGTAACGACCCAATCAACGCTCGTACGAAAGACTGCGCTGCTTCTTCCAGCGGCACCGGCTGCCGTGCGAGCTCCTCTGGCGCGGGCTGCCGGGAGGCCGAGCCGAATTCGTCGCTGGTGAGGATCTTGTGCGTGGTTGTGATGTTCCATTTCTTCGGTATTTTGAGCTTCAATGCGTCGGGGATGTCATCCCCGGATCGCAGTCGCCGGAACTGCAAAAGGCCTGGGTCGACTTCACCTCCAGGCTCGGCCGCTGCCTCAATGCCCCATTCACAGGCTATTGTAGCCAGTGCTTTGGGGCCTATGTATGCGTATTGCGCGGCGAAGACGACCGACATTGGGAGACGGGGGTAGTTGCAGAGGAAGTACTCGGTGGTATAGTAGCCGAGCAAATTGGAGCCGAGAATTGATAACGAGCCATTGTTAAACGCGGAATTAGGGTCTGCGGAGGGATGAACAAGCGTTCTGGCTAGAGTCTCGAGTGGAAAGCGGGGCGGAAGAGAGAGTCTGCTGCGGAGGGCGGAGAGTTTGGCGGAGTCCCGGGATGCAGAAGGATGAGGCGATGGAAGGACTTCTGGGGGGTATTTGGTCTTTGGTTGAACTGTATTTTCGGCATCGTCGGCTAGAACCGCGGTTGATTGCCATCGCGATTGTATCCGGTAGTTATGAGGCGTGATATGTCTCTGCAGCGGTGGTGCACAAGGACATGGCGGACGTCGAGAGGATGGTTGGGCGAGCAATTGTGTCCCGCATCTTGATATGCGTATTCGCTTCATCAAAAATAAGAGAGCGGGAAAAGGAAAAGCAACCAAAGAAGAAGAGAGGCGGCGTGCAATGGCGTTGTGGTCGTGTGTCTCCTTCCTCCAGCTTGGGATTATCAAAATTTCGAGAAAGAAGCCCTCGAGTCGCCAAGCGCCTTGGCACATCGCTCGGATGGCGGCGAACCTCACGTCAAGTCTCATGGCTCCGTCCATCCCCCCACGACATCACCGCAAGAGAACATTTCACCATGGGCGGCGGAGGAAAGATTCCGTACGTTTTCTCCTTCAATTGCTCGCCCCGTGGATGGCTAATGGCAGAAGGTATCCAAAGCACGTCTGGTCACCAGCTGGTGGTTGGTACTCGCAACCATCCAACTGGAAGTCCAATACTGCAGTCATGGGCGCTGTCATCTTCGGCATAACGGCATTGTGCTGGAGTGTCAGTGCTGATCGAGAGTACCGCGACAAGATGCCAGAGCAGGGCAGATTCTTCCCCAGCCGATAGTACGATCCCCCACTGCACACCACTAACCCTCCGCTATATGCAGCTGACAATGCCCCAGTTGGAGCAGACAAATCGTCGAATACGAACGAAAAGTAAAGGAGAAGGAATCAAGGGAAGGATAGGATGGGGTGACATATGGCCATGACGAGTTGATTGTGGGTCCTTGTGGTGCACTCTGGATGCACACTAAGGCTGTACATATTTCTCCAGCTGCACTCTGAAATCTGAAAGCCTTTCCTCGACACGAACGCCGTTCCATGTCTCGCCTGGTTCCGCATAAGACAGTATTGGCATCCCAACCTGTTCAATGGCCAAGCTGGCGGATATTGAGCCCCATATTGCGGCTTCATAGAGATTCTGAAGTCCAGGCGCTGATCCCCCCCTCACCAATCCCATCGCTAAACCGCCTAGGAATCCATTGCCTCCGCCTGTAGGGTCCAATACCTTCTCTGCAGACTGGTGGTAGGCAGGCACCCACTTTCCAAAGTCTTGGCGGGCTACGAAGCACCCATCCTTGCCAGCCCGGACTACAATACCAACACCACTCTGCAGCCACCGATTGCATAGATCTTCAATGGCTCGGTAATCAACATGATCCTTGGCATCCGTGTCCCGCCCAAAGAAGGCACCCAGCTCGGAATGATTGGGGCTCACCACATCAACGTATTTCAAGGCATTGCAGCAATTCGTAAGCTCTTTTGCGGTGCAGAGATCAGGCACCGGTTCCCAAATGAACAGAGGACGAGTTTTGGACCCCACATCCCGACTCTGGCCGCGTAATGCGAGAATGTTGTCGACTAGATCAATGCAACGTGCTGGGGAGCAGATGAGGTGGAAAGCCTTGGACCAGAGCAGCTGTGTGTTGGCTAGAGCATGGTGATCGAGACGCAGTTTCGGAGTTGTGTAACGGAACGCTGCATCAGATTAGAGGCATGCACACGAGGCTGACGGCGTAGGTGAATTTCTACCTCTATGCTCGTGCTCCCCATAGCCGTTCCAGCCTCGCGTGGTGAGGCGATGCGGAGTCTCGCGAATCAGACAGCTAGTATCCCACCGGGCAATAGTTTCTCGAAGCTCAGGCGGAAAGTCGGATCCACAATCAACGATCCATCCCACTGCCTTGGATCTTGGGGGCGGAGAAAAGATGCGGGCTCCCAGCGCAGAGTAGGAGCCAGCGCCACCGAGAATGTTTGTCACGGGAGGTTTGGGTGGTGGAAATTCAATCTCATCTGGAGATATATTGAGTGGTGGTCAGATGGAGGAGGCACGGCCGGGCGGTGTACCTATTATGAACATTCCCAACGTGCAGAAGTCGATGCCATCTGCGTCATTTTCTGCGTGCATTGCGCCAGGTTGGACAGGCCAACGTGTATGTTCGCGATGCTGCTGATTTAGGGTTGCTGAATGGTGACTGTCGGGTAAGCTTCTGGCTTGGCATGCGGCTAACGCATGGACAGGAGAAAGTGTCTAGGAATGCTTCAGCTTGATTGAGGTGCACCTGCAAACCACCCCATCTACACAGTGAACGAAGCTCAGACTGTCGTTCCACTGTCTTCTATTCCTACCCTACAGATATTTTAGAAGGCGTCGCACGGTGCGCCGAGCTCTATCGAAGTGCACCTGCCCTGGCAGCTGCCCTTTCAAGCTCGCTCATTCCCATGGCCCAGAACAACATGAACAACCTGACCACTCTTATAAAACGGTGCGTGCCTCTCACCGCAGCCCGGGTTAAAGTCAGCATATCGAGCACATCATGGACGATACCCCTACCATTCTGGGCCGTCGCGGCCCTATCCACACCTCGCGCTCCGAGCTAACAACCTTCATACGCAGGCTCGAAGCCGCCACGTCTAGACTGGAGGACATTGCCTCGACATCGGTCGGGTTCGACGTCACCGGCGCCAATGGAGCTCCCGGGGCCAGCGGTGGCTCGTCGATTGCCCCCATATCCTCTGAGGCGTCCACAACCCCGAAAGCTGTCGAAACGCTCCCGCCCTCCATCCAAGCATTCGACACCCTTCTAAGTACCGAGCTGAAGGCATGGCTAGACCTCAGCAGCAAGCTGGGGAGCGTCATTGAGGGCCAGGCCAAGGCCGTGCAGCAGGCCTTTACAGCGCAGCGACAGTTCCTCCTCGTTTCGACCAAAGCGAAGAAGCCCGACATCTCCACCTGCATGGAGATTCTCAAAGACCTCCAGGCCGCCATGGAGAAGGTCGATGAGATCCGGCAGGGCAACAAGGAACGTGCCCTGAGAGATCCGCTGACTATGGTAGCGGACGGTGTGGGAGCCCTGGGATGGGTCACGGTAGAGAGCAGCCCCAAGCCCCACGAATACATCTCCGAGCTGTTTGGTGGTGCCCAGATATTCGGGAACAAAGTACTGAAAGAGTACAAGGCCAAGTATGCTATCGACGCCACCATGCTTCTTCGTTTCTGACCTCCTTAGGCCTGACAAGACCAATGTTGATTGGGTGAACGCCTACTACAGGCTCTTTAAGGCTCTCTCAGAATACACGAAGAAGTTCCACCTCGCTGCGGTAGCTTGGAACAAAGATGGGATCGATGCGAAGGAGGCCGCGAAACAGGTCAAGGACTCTGCTTCATCTATCCCCTCGATAAATGGTCCCGTAGCTCCCGCGCCGTCGGTGGGAGTTCCCCCGCCACCTCCGCCTCCACCACCTCCAGGCCCGCCGCCACCACCAGGGATGCCTCCAGCGCCCAAGAAGGCTGCCCCAGACATGGGCGCTGTATTCAGCGATTTGAACAAGGGCGAGGCCGTGACAAAGGGGCTGAAGAAGGTGGATCCCAGCCAGATGACCCACAAGAACCCCTCATTGCGAGCAAGTGCCCCTGTACCAACGCGGAGTGACAGTTCAGGTTCATTGCGGAGCAAGAGTCCTGCACCTCCAGGGAAGAAGCCCAAACCAGAGAGCATGCGGACAAAGAAACCCCCGAAGAAGGAGCTAGATGGAAATAAGTGGATAATAGTAAGTAGCTATTCCATCGGATCGACTCTCTTCGTAGTAACCTATGTTGCAGGACAATTTCGACAATCCCGGCGACATGCTTGAAATCGACGCCGAAATCCAACACTCAATCCTCATCTCCCGCTGCAAAAACACCACGATCCGCGTCAATGGCAAAGCCAACGCCATTTCTCTCGATAACTCGTCCCGTGCCTCCCTCATCATCGATTCCCTCGTCTCCTCAGTCGACGTCATCAAATGCCCAAACTTCGCCCTGCAGGTGCTGGGCACTCTGCCTACGGTGCTGTTGGATCAGGTTGATGGCGCGACTATCTATCTGAGCAAGGATAGCCAAGGGACAGAGATTTTCACAAGTAAATGCTCGAGTGTTAATATAAATCTGCCGACTGAGGAGGATTATGCGGAGAACCCGGTGCCCGGGCAGATTCGGAGTTTTATTAAGAATGGGCAGTTGGTCAGTGAGATTGTGGAGCATGCGGGTTAGGAGTCTGGACTGGTATATACTACCAGTCAGGAAAAGAAGGAAATGAAGTCAGCTAGCCTTGCCGTTGGTTATGGAACTTCTAGGTAGGAGCGTTTTGGTGCGATGCGATGCGGTGCGGTGCGGTAAAGTACGGTGCAGTACGGTGCGGTGCATTGGGTGGAGTCTGCCTGCAAATATATTGTATTGTCTTTGTGTGGACATTGAAGTTGATTGTTGACGGAGACTGAGTTCGTAGTAGAATACTTAGCCGACCTATGTACTTTTCACCTTCTTGCATTACACGTTGCACACAGCTTTGTAAATGTGTAACTCGTCGCATAAATATTCGCTTTTGAGCTGTGGGGGTTAAATCGGTAGTTCAGCATCTTGTTAGGCATCTATACAACGCCTATTTGTGGTGGCTTGGTGGGGAAATACTTGCTTTTCTGCTGTGCTGTGCGGTGAGTGATGTAACTACCCTATTTGCGGCTGAGGTCCTGCAACCCTCTCTCGACAGAACGGCCAGCCTGCGCTGAGCTGTGGGTAAATACTCCGACACCGATCCCTACTTTCTGGCAATCTATGCCATGTCTCTCGGTCAGAATGTGGCGGGCTGTATAGGTGTCGTCGTTTGCTTTCCATGTCTTTTGACATTTTTGCATTTGAAAGATAAGGGAATGGGGGAGAGGAGGAGGAGGAGAGGCGCTAGGGGGAGGGGAGGAGCGGACGGTGGTACAGACGGGGTTGGGGTTCGGGAGTGAGGTGTTGGGGACTTAGGTTCGAGGATTGAGGATTATTTCGAAGTCCCAATATGGTCAACTGTTAATTGTTGGCTGGAGTAATTGTAAGATGTGGTATTGGCACAATAAGAAGCTGCTGCTTTGAGTGGAAGGGAGAAGAAGAAGGTGTGTAGAAGGCACTACTAGGACGAGCGGACGGACAAGGATGGGAGGTGGGGAGTCTGGGGGCTGGGTTAGTGTGGACGAACTAGGATTGGACGAAGGATGTAGGTATTGGAGTTGTGAGGAGATTGAGTTTGAATTTGGAAAGAAAACAAAGAGAAAGCGGGCAATTGGAAGGTAGATTGGTTTCTAGGAATCTGAAAAGGAATTGGAGGGAATCTGGGGAGATTGTGTGTTCGGCGGAGAATTGTTAAGCCAATTGGTAGAACCAGGGAGTGTCAAAAGGATGCTAAATTTTGTCCCAATCCGAACTCTGACCATGGTCTATAACAGGGGCTATGATGCTGAAATTTCCGCCAAATCTGGCTAGTCTTCTCCCTAATTAAGTAAACGTTTATCTCAGCAAGCTCATACAGGATGAGGAGAGAGCCCCGACAGAGGCAAGCCCCTGCTAGTTAATAGGAACCCTAGCTAGTAGCCTTAGTAGCGCAAGCCCTATCTCTCTAGCTAATAAGAGTGTAAGAAAGGCTTTCTCTCCCTATGTAAGGCCGAGATGGCGCTTACATGCGACAGGTATATATGTAACGAGGTCGGCACGGTCAACCACGTGGCCTTCTCTCGCTCATAGAGGTTTAGGCTAGGCTAGAGACAACCGCTAGTGCTAGTGCTTACCCTAGCATTACCTATATATATATTATACTATGCGAGAATACTTAGCTTAAGTATTCTCGTGCGTACCTTTTGGTACAGTGGGGAAAGTCGTATAGTATCGGCTTGGCAGGCGGGGCGCCTACCTCATTACAACATATACTATTCTGTACGCAAGATTAACTGTTGGTTGATTATTCGCACCTTTTTAGTTGTATTAGCGCAGTGGTACAGAGCTCTGTCTTTACACCCTAGCTATTTAAAGAACTTTTATAAATTCTTAAGTAATAACGTACCTAATAGGTTGGCCGGCTACACAGGTTGGCCAGCCACTTTTGCTAAGCCCCTACTATACTCTACCTATCTACATAATGCCTTAACAACAACACTAGATTAAATCTTCTAAAGAATGTTAAATATAGCTTACTTTTTAAGATTTTAAATAAGACTTAAAACTTTTTTTATAACATGCTATAGCTATTTATAATATTTTTTATATAACACTAAGTAATTAACACACTAAATAGCCTTTATAAGTAAAATGTTAGCTTAAATTAAAAAATCTAACTAAGCTTAAAAAAAGTAGTTATTAAGTATATACTTAAGCTTATTACATATAGATTTTTTTAGGCTTATAGCTATAGCTAATATAGCTAATTTCTTACACGTAAAGTATAATCTAGGCTAAGTTAGCTTAAACTAGCCTAGTATATAAGTTAAGCACTGCTCTAAGTTTATAATAAAGTTTAATTATAAGTATAATTATAAAAAAGTGCTTTATAAAAATTTAAAAGTTATTTAAAGCTAGTTTTACTTAGTAGCTAATATAAAAGCTAAGTATAGTATCTAAAATAAAAATATATATAACTTTAATAAGTTAAGCTTTATAATAAGCTAGATATTAACTAAAGCAGTTATTATAGCTTTAAAGAAATAAAAATAGCTAAAAGTAATATAGTAAAGTAATAAAAAGTAAATAATAGTTATTTAAGGTATTAACATAATAAAGTAAGCTATTTTACTTTTTATTATTTTTAAAAGCTGCTATTACTTTTTTACTTAGTATAAAAAAAATCTACTTTAAAACTAGGTTATTATAGTCTCTAAAAATAGCTAGATAATAAATAAGCTTAGGCTATAGTAGTTAAAGCACTTTAATAAGTATATAAAAAAAAGGTTATAAGCGCTTATTAGCTTTTTATTATTAATAGCTATAAAAGCTATAACTTACTTAATTTTTAGTAGTACTATAAAAAAATAAAATTATTACTATTTATATGCTTTTACACTTATTACACTTTTTATAGCCTTTTAATATAAGTTATTTTACTTTTTTAAAAAAAGTGTATAGGCGCTAAGCTAAAGATTTTATATATAACTAAATTACTTATATTATAAAACTTAAGTTTCTACTATGCTTTATACACACTTATAATGCAGTAATTACTTTTAGTAATATCTAAAAAAAGTTTTAAAGTGCTAGTTTAGTTCTATTTAACTTAAAATAAGTTAAAATAGCTTTTAATATCTAGTTATATACTTTATTACTACTACTACTTATTAATAATAAGCCTTAGTAGTTATAAACTCTAAGTAACGTACCTAACAGGTTAGCCGGCCACACAGGTTGGCCGGCCACTTTTGCTAAGCCCCTACTAAACTCTACCTATCTACATAATACCTTAACAACAACACTAGATTAAATCTTTTAAAGAATATTAAATACAGCTTACTTTTTAGGCTTTTAAATAAGACTTAAAACTTTTCTTATAATATGCTATAGCTATCTATAATGTTTCTTACACAACACTAAGCAATTAACGCGCTAGATAGCCTTTATAAGTAAAATGCTAGCTTAAATTAAGAAATCTAACTAAGCTTAAAAAAAAAGTAGTTATTAAGTATATACTTAAGCTTATTACACACAGATTTCTCTTTAAGCTTATAGCTATAGCTAATATAGCTAATTCCTTACTTATAGAGCGTAATCTAGGCTAAGTTAGCTTAAACTAAACTAGTATATAAGTTAAGCACTACCCTAAGTTTATAATAAAGTTTAATTATAAGTATAATTATAAGAAAGTGCTTTATAAAAATCTAAAAGTTATCTAGAGCTAGTTTTACCTAGTAGCTAACATAAAAGCTAAGTACAGTATCTAAAATAAAGATAAGTATAACTTTAATAAGTTAAGCTTTATAATAGGCTAAATATTAACTAGAGTAGTTATTACAGCTTTAAAAAGATAAAAACAGCTAAAGGTAATATAGTAAAGTAATAAAAAGTAGATAATAGTTATCTAAAGCATTAACATAATAAAGTAGGCTATAAAATTATAAAGCTTTAAGTAGTAAATAAAGCTACTACATAACATAAATTATATAAAAAAGTAAATTTAGGTAAAAAAGACTTTAATAGTTAAAAATAAAGCTTATCTAACTACTATAAAAGAGTTTAGAGCGCGTAGTAATAGAAAGAAGCTAAAGACGCAGGTGCGCGCTAAAGAAGGTAAGCTAAGTTAAAGGCAATGCAGGCAGTGTAATTAGACTAGGCATAACTTGCGTACATGTAAGCAAGTAGTAAAAGTAGACTCTAAATAATATCTTATGTTATATTACTCTATACAGGGCTAAAGTAGGCTGTTTTGCGAGAGAATGGGGTGGTTTTAGTGGGGGCTTGGCAAAAGTGGCCGGCTAATGTAAGGACGGAGCTCTGTACCACTACGCTAATACAACCAAAAAGGTGCGAATAATCAACCAACGTTAATTATTGCGTACAGAATAGTATATATACCCGTCGCACGTAAGCACCATCTCGGCCTTACAGCCAACCCGTGTGGCCGGCCAACCCGTTAGGTACGTTAATACTTTTAAATTTAAGTTATAATTAATGCTTATAAAAGTAAAAATTTAAAGGCATATAAATAGCTTACTAATATCTATAGTAAAAGCTTTTAAAAAAGTTTTTAAAAAAGCAGCAATTATTACACATAAGCTAGTATTAGTGTAAAAGAAGATTATAAAGCTTTAAGTAGTAAATAAAGCTGCTATGTAATATAAATTATATAAAAAAAAGTAAATTTAAGTAAAAAAAACCTTAATAGTTAAAAATAAAGCTTATTTAACTACTTTAAAGAAGTTTAAAGCGCGTAGTAATAAGAAAAAGCTAAAGATATAAGTGCGCACTAAAAAAAAATAAGCTAAGTTAAAGGTAATGTAGGTAGTGTAATTAGACTAGGCATAACTTACATACATATAAAAAAGTAGTAAAAGTAGACTTTAAATAATATCTTATGTTATATTACTCTATATAGGGCTAAAGTAGGCTGTTTTGCGCTAGAATAGAGTGGTTTTAGTAGGGGCTTGGCAAAAGTAGCTAGCTAACCCGTGTAGCCGGCCAACCTGTTAGGTACGTTATATAATTAGAAAGTTTTCTTTTACTAACGTATACTATAGGCGAGTTGCTTACACACCTAAGTTGCTTGCTTTTGCTAAGACTACACTAAACTACTTTTTATATACTAATACCTTTTTAATAACACTACTTAGATATATTAAAAACATGTTAAATATAGCTTACACTTTAAGCTTTTAAATAAAATATAACGTACTCTATAGGCAAGTTGCTTACACACTTAAGTTACTTACTTTTACTAAGACTCTACTAAACTACTTTTTTTACACTAATATATTTCTAATAACACTACTTAAATATACTAAAAGAATATTAGATATAGCTTATATATTAGGCTTTTAAATAAAATGTAACACACTTAAAGTAACATACTATAGCTATATATAAAGTTTTTTAAAAAATAATAAATAACTAATATACTAAATAACCTTTAAAAGCTAAGTAATAATAAAAAGTAGGTAAT